CGCAACTTCGTCTTGAAGACGGCTGACACTGCATGTGTAGGTAGGTTCTTAGCATTAAGCAACACCAGGTCCCCGACCTCAAAACTTTCAACATTGCCTCTGCCCCTGGCATCTGCATGTTCCTTTTGCTTGTCTTGGCTTTCAGCCATTGTGTCACGCACATGTCGTAAGACACTCAAACGCGTCGACAAGCAAGCGTCAACCTGTTTACGAACAGTAGCCGGGCTGACATCGGCTAGCCGATCAGCAAAATCGGCTTCTCCTCCCCCACCAAGCCCGAGGCCACCAAGTGGCGGCGTCAGCGGGACGCGGGGGTGAGACAAGCTGTTCACGTATAACGGCGTGTAGCCTGTCGAGGCGTGCACGGCGTTGTTCAACGCAAACTCAACGAGTGACAGCATGGCGCTCCAGCGCTTCGGCGTTTCGGCGCAAATGCTGCCGAGCACGTCCTCGACGACGCGATTCACGCGCTCTGTCTGATCATCGGTCTGCGGATGGTCCGCCGTGGACATGTCCAGCTTGGTGCCAAGCACCGCAAAGACCGCGCTCCAGAAGTTGCCCGTGAAGCGGGGGTCTCGGTCCGAGACAATCGACTCAGGGAGTCCGTGTTGTCGAAACATTCGGTCCAAGAACAGCGTAGCTGTACCTTTACCATCGATGGTATCCGGCACAGCTGCAATGTGAGCCGTCTTGCTCAGCCGGTCCACGAAGACCACGACGCCTGTGTTGCCCGCCGCGTCCGCCGGCAGGTCAAACACAAAATACATACTCATGGATTTCCAGCACAGGCAAACTCGCCAACGGCGCTGCAGCATGAGGTGACGACTTCACTCGCTGACACGTCTCGCACGTGCGCACATAAGTGCTCGTCCACTTGTACAACTTCGGCCACCAGTAGTGGGTGCTCACCGAGCTGTAGGTCTTCTCACGACCAAGATGACCGGCCAGCGGCGTGTCGTGGGCATCATAGAGGATGTGATACTTCAGATCCTCATCATGAGGGATACCCACGCGGGGCGTATCCTCGGGGCCGGTGTTGTAGAACAACAGGCCTCCATCGAGGGAATAACAGTGGAGCCGCGCTGACAATTCCATGTCCGAGTCTTGAAACTCCTTGCTCCCCAGAGCCTTCTGCAACGCGACACAAGTGTCATCCTTGGCATAAGCCGTTCGGATCAGATCCGAAAATGACGAAGTCAGGGTCGTTACATGAGCCAGCTTATAATCCGGCCTGCGCGACAGCGCTTCCGCAAGGTGCCAGGCTTGTACTTCACCTCGAAGTTGTACTCCGCGAAGAAGGACAGCCAACGGGCCATTCTTTGCGAAAGGTGAGGCGACTGAGTCACAATGCGTAACGACGCATGATCCGTGTAAATCACGAACGGCTGAGAACCCAACAGGTGTACCCTGAACTTGACGAGCGCATACTTCATCGCAAGTAGCTCTTTCTCATGGACAGGATAGTTCTTCTCCGCAGCCTTCAGCTGGCGAGATTCGAACGCCACCACGCGCTCGCACCCCTCGGCGTCTGCTTGCAGCAGTGCACAGCCGATGGCAAAGTCCGAGGCGTCACAGACGACACTAAACGGACGAGCGGTGTCTGGCAAAGCCAGAATAGGCGCATGAAGGAGACTGCCCTTAATGGCCGCGAACGCATCTTGATGCTCGGTGTCCCAACACCACTCCGCATCCTTCTTCAGGAGATTGGAGAGTGGCCGAGCCATCTCAACGTAGTTCTCGCTGTACTTGTGCAAGTAATTGGCCAAGCCAAGCCACTTGCGAAGATCCTTCTGGTTCTAGGGAACCGGCCAGTCAACAATGGCCTTGACCTTGACCGGGCCGGCCCTCAGGCTACGCTTCCCAATGAAGCACCCTAAGAAGGGGATCTCTTCCGCTCCGAAGATGCATTTGTCAATGTTGGCGTACAACTTGTTTTGACGCAAGCATTCGAGCACAGCACGCAGGTGCTCCACATGGTTCTCCATATCAGTCTTTCCGTGCTCCGCACGACTGTGGGCAAAGATGTCATCGAAGTACGTTTGCGCGTACGCCCGATGGGGCCTGAAGAGCTGCGTCACAAGACGATTAAACGTAGCTGGCGCGTTCGAAAGCCCTTGGGACATCACCAACCACTCCCAGAGCATGCCGCTTGGAGTACTCACCGCAGTGAGAGGAATGTCGCTCGTCCTCATGAGCAATTGGTAATATCCATCGACCAAGTCGAGCGCACTGTACATCGTACATCCTGTCATGTTGTTCTGAAGAACATCCTTCCGAGGAATCGGCGTCTGCGCCGAAAATGGTAGCGGCATTCAGCTTGTTAAAAGCATGCACGATACGCCACTTGGCATTCGGCTTTCTGACACAGAACGTCGGCGTAGAGTGTGGAGACTTACTCTCACGCACCATGCCCGCTTCGTGCTTCGCACAGAAGAACGCATCAATGACGTCATACTGATCCTTCGGCAAGGGCCACTGCCTCGTCACGCAGTACTTCGTTCCCGGAAGGAAATCGATTTCGTGTCGAACACCTTGATCCGGAGGTAGCCCCGAGGGCGGTTCCTTCAAGACCACGTCCTAGTAATCCTTTACCACTTGATACAAGGGATCCGCCGGGTCCTTCAGGATCGCCGATCCGCTCCGCGCATTCAGCGCCTTCTTGGTGTCTTCCAGGACAGCTTCATCCAGAAGCGAGGACGAGTTCAACTCTTCTTCGGGTCGTATGACCACTACCTCGGCCAAGTCTCTGGCCTTCAAGGCTTCGCCGAACTCGGCCAAGGACATCTCGTTCAGCTCCAGGAGAGCAGACAGTGAGGGTCGAGGTTGAAACCTCCGTCGACGTCGCCCATCACTCCGTTCACGAGTGTATAGAGCTGCTCGCTCTCGCGTGGAGCCTCACCACTCGACACGCCCTTCTCGACTCGTGAGATCGCAGACGCCTTGCGTCTCGCAGTCAGCGCTTTGCGGCGCTGCCTCCTCTTCATGGAAACCGTCCGCACTGAAGAGCTCCGTGATTTCGCGTGCGTCTTGACGCCAGGTGTCACCACCTCGTTCAACTCCTGGGGAGCTCCAGTGTCTTTACCGACACTCAGCGAAGAGCTGCACGATCCGCAGCCTCCACTCAGTGGATTACGTGCCACTCCACGATCTTCATCCGGGCAAAGCCCCATCTTCACTCGACTTCCTGTCGACCGCGCCTTCACCAGCACGCAGCAGGGCGTCGCCCTCAGACGCACACCCGCTCAGCGGAATCCGTGCCGCTCCACCTGCCGTCCGCGAACCACGCTCGGAGCGCTCGTTCTCGACACACTCAGTGTCCACCAACTCGGAAACTCCGATGTCCAGCTCATTGGCCGACCCGGTCCAGTGCTCGCGCCAGAAGCGCTTCTGCTTCCTAGCAGAGGTGGGTTCATGACTCGCCAATGCTCCGCCAGGAGAGAAATGCGTAGCACCAAGGGTCTTCGACCTCCAATCGATCCAAGGCTCATAGCGTTCCAGCCACGCCATACCAAGGATGAGATCATATCTCGAATCGAGATCTAAGACTATCAAAATCCAAAACCGATTGCCATACCAAGGATGAGATCATATCTCGAATCGAGATCTAAGACTATCAAAATCCAAAACCGATTTGCACTTCACGAATTTGTTTTTGCTCTTGCCGCATTTCACCGCTACATCGAGAATTACGCCTGGAAAAGGTGTAGTTCAAAAATACGGTCGTAATTTGAGATTTCACCTTCTTTTTTACTTGGTTCTTGTATGTGTGATGAGGTGTTCCTGTATTCGTCGCAGTAGTCAAAACAGTCCCTTGTATGGTAGCCCCGCCTTAAACTAGACTATCAGGAACGTTTAAACAAGTCGCGTACGTGTTGTATCAGTACAAATAACGTAGTTTGTCAGTGTGGCATAACTCGCAATTTGCGAGTCGCAAAATTGGCTAGGCAAGATGGTAAAACGGAGGTATTCATATCAACCTCCAAATTGGCATGTTAAATCGGGCGGCAAAATTGTTGAAAACCACAATAATTGTTATTCTAACAAAATGCACAATTATTGAAATCGGGTCTATGTGATATTGAATATTCCCAATAATAGGTTTAGCAATCACGGCATCAAAAGTTTTGCAAAGATGGCCCTGGACCTTCGCAAGTTCGTCTTGAGAGCCAAAACCGAAACGAAAGACAGCGTGTTGCTGTCGCTGTGTAGTGCAGCAAGTTGGCGGTAGATGATCGACTTAGAGTATGCTGTCAAAGTCTTGTCGATGCGCCTTCGAGCCGACGCATTGAGCCGGATGTATGACTGGGCTATAGGCGCCGACTACCTGTCGCTCGCTCGAATCTTGTTCGAGGGCTTAGCCCACTCGCTCGCTGCTGGCAAGATGCCGAGGTTTTTCGTATCGGACTACATTCATCCAAGTGAGAGGGACACGAATGTATACGCGTTTAAAGAACTCGAAATACTGGATGGAGACGCAACGCGTCCAAGGCGGGCGAGTACTTCCAGCCACTGATATGGTGGAGAGACAGTCCTGCTTCGACGTATTGGGCTCCTAATTACCACGACTTCCCGAACATTGCCCAGCATTGCAAAAATCGAGCCTCGCACGAGCTTGGGCAGGGACGCAGTGGCGTATCTTCAGGTCGTCAACACTGAAACCCACAACATCAACGCCTCGCAGTTGGAGGACATGAATCGGATCTTCTTCCCACCCCAAGTCGAGCGAGCTGGATTCACGGCACGCCCAACTCTACTCGTCTTATGCCCCAACAAGGCTGCATGCAGACGCATGACCTTTACGACTCCAGAGCAAGTTGCCGCCGCGCGAAAGATGTGCCGGGTGTGCGTTGGCTTTTGCACGCAATTGCCCACAGCCTAGGCGCAACATATGAACTTCAAGTTGGATTACGTTGCACATCTCCACCATTAATAATTCCATACGCAACTTACTGACCATTCCTGCGCACATACTCAACGCCAGTCACTTTTTCCAGCTCAACATGGCGTCCACGTCCGAGTCTACCGCTGCGGCTCTGCAGCGCTACAGCGCCTTTGTGGAGGAGGTTCTGCGCCCGCAACTCAAGGAGACGCTCGCGCACCGCGACGCGCTGGCGCAGGAGGTGCAGGAGTACTCGGAGCTGCGCGAGCTGCTGCAGGAGCTGGCGGCCAAGCCGGACGAGCCGCTGCACACGCTGCTGGACGTCGGCGAGCGCTTCCACGTGCGCGCCAAGGTGCCGGACACGTCGCTCATCACGGTGGACATCGGCCTCAACTTCCACGTGGAGATGACGGTCCCAGAGGCGCAGAAGTTCGTGCAGAGCCACCTGCTGCACTTGACAGAGTACGCAATACGTGGGGGGGGGGGGTAAGTCACTAACTTTTAGGCTTATTAATTGATCCATTTGGTGGCTGCAGGAAGCGCAACAAGTGGCAGGAGAAGGCGCGCGAGGTGTCGGAGCATGTGAACCTCGTCATCGCCTCCATCCAGCAGCTCGCGGCATTGCAATGAGGCACAAATAAACTCTAATGAACGAACGAATGACTAATGATAACAGCTATTCTCGACACTGTAGTGCTATTTGAGGGTGGCAGTCTCAGGTGTTAGTTAAACTGGTGACCAAGTGGAGTGTCGGTAAATTAAGCGCGCAGGCCCAGCCTCCATCTCGGCACAGTTGGATGACGTCGTGATGGAGCGCTCGGCGTCTTCGTTCTCCTCGCTGCCGCCGTCGATCTCGACGTCTCGGTCTCCGCTGCTGCCTGTGAGTGTCAAGAAGTCGCTTGTCGCTCGGACGTCGCCCCTCCCGTCGTCGTCTCCCCCCGGTAACCAGCAGAGCCACAGGCACGCGTCGAAGCTGCTGACCTCGCCGAATGCCGTCTCCAAGCGCGCGCCTCTTGTGATCGACACGAAGGCTCCTCCAGCTCACATCGACAATGGCCGTCGCAAGTCTCGCCCCACCACTGCTGCGGCTGTCGTCCTCTCCTCGACAGAGACAATCAACGCCATGATCGGCATCCCGGAGAATGGCGAGCGTGTCCAGCAGCACCCCCGACCTGAAAGCGCTCAGCCGATTCCAGGTCGGCGGCCAAGCTTCACTGGGTCCATTGCCCCATTGGGGTCGACACACTCCCCGTCACCATTGACAGGAGGAGGAGGTCACCACAACAGTGCCTGGTCGATTGCGCCGTCGTCGTCAGTGATGGTCTCGTCGTCCCGCTGCGCTGGCTGCGGAGGGTACGCCGAGATGTGTCTGTCCTGCTTCACGCAGTTCAAGCAGAAGGACGGCGCGAGGTACAAGACTCAACTGGTCCAAGCTGTAGACTCGCTGTTCGAGAAGGCGACGACACGCGCGTTCACGCGCATGGCTGCAGTGGTGCTGCAGTGGGTCTTCCAGGCATGGAGAGCTGCGGCCAGGCGGTCGAAGTGGAAGCACAGACTGGCTGAGCGCATGCTCCAACAGAGCCGCATGCGTCGACTGTGGAAAACGTGGCAGGTCTTCCTCTACGAGCGGAGAATTGTCGGTGCCATGTTGTATGCAGAGTCCCAGCAGCGAGAAACCAACGAGAAAGCCAAGGAGGTGGCGAAGCTTCATGGCGACGGCTTCGAGCGTGAGTCTGCGGCCCGTGTACACGAAGCACTGCATCGAGATACTGTCAAGAAGCTCGAGGCTCAGCTCGCAGCTCTGAAGGCGTCGTCACTGGCCAAAGACCGCGAGTTGCTTGAGTTGCGCAAGGAATTGCGAGAGAAGCACGCACTTGTGGATTCGTTGCAGACGCAGGTCATAGATCCGTGTGAGATAGAGAGGATGCGAGTCGAAAGCTCCGAATACAAGAAGGCCAGCTTCCAACTCGTGGGTGCGCTAACACACACGATGGAGGCCCAAGTGGAGGTGCTGACCTCAAGCGAGGGCCGCCAGAATCTCAGCGAGATCTTCACGCGCGATCTACTGCTCGCGATCGATAAGCCTGAAAACGCGGCGTTCTATAACCCGCTGGTGGATATGGAGAGCGCAGCCTCGGCTTCCAGTGCCAGTGGCGAAGCAACCAGCAACAACTTCATGCTGGCTTATGAGGCTCCGGTAGATCGAGCGGACGTGATTCTAACCCAGTGGGTGAACTCCCTGGTCGCTCGACAACCGCATGACTGGCTGGCAGCGCCTCGTATGCAAAACTTCCATTCGAGCCTGAACGACGGCAAGATTTACGCTGTGATCACTAAGCTGCTGCACGCAGCCATGTGCCGAACGCGACTTCGCCGACCTCCAGGTGCTACCGTGTCACGACTCGAAGCCACGTCAGTGTTGCGTGAGAACGGCGAGGATCTAACAGAAATTGCGATGGAGAGATACCTGGAGCATGTGCGTCGCGAGACTAGTGTGGAGAAACGGTTGGAACTCATGATCAACACGCTGGGTCAGGCAATGTGGCTGCCTCTCGGACTGCTCAATACCAAGGATATTCGTGCTGGCCACGCCGAGTTCAACTTTGCAGCACTTACCTATCTGTTTGTCACATTCTCGCCGTGTCTTGCTCCAGACTACTACTCATTGTGCGCCGAGCTGACACAGCAGCTGGAGGCGGTGAAGTCCAAGTGGCGCGAGCTTCAGGGCGACAGTATGACTACAGCTGCAGCTTTGGCTACGGGGTCCGACTCGAGTACGGGGGAGGAGATATCCATGAGCATGCGCGTGAAGCTGGCACTATCGCAGACACTTGAATTGAAGCGGCGTATCGACTCGGAAGACGTCAAGTCACGTGAGGGTCATTCTCTCTGGGTCAAAGCCGAACGCATTGTGATGAGGAAGTGCTTCCTGTCCTACGCACGACTGGCACGCGGTAAAGTTGGCGTCATGTCGAAGCTGGATTCATCTCTGGGCGATGAGAACGAGGCGTTCGCAAAGATCCCCAAGCACAAACTACAGGACTTGGCGCTGCCATATGAAGACTTTACGTGGGAAGCCAAGCTACTGCAGAGTTATCTGGTGACGATCTATTGCGACCTGGCGCGAATTTACCGCAGCTATGCTACCCGCTCCGGTGTCATCAATGATACGATCAACGTCGGTGAGTTCACGGAGCTGCTGGCCGAGTGTCATGTGCTAGAAGGAAACATGACTGCGGCAGACCTACAGAACATCATCCGAGCCTTGGATCCGAAGAGTGTAAGTAAGCCCTTTCAAAGGAGTCGTGGTGCGGGTGCTGATCCTTCTGGAATGTATATAACAGAAAACTGTAAACGCACATCGCGCTCTACCTCCCATTGAGTTCCTGGAAGCGCTCATCCGGGTGGGACGTAAGAAGTATCCTGTCGAGTACGTTGCACACTTGTTTTGATTGAGCTTTGATTATCTATTTACGCGGTCTTTTGCTTCATGGCCCCCAGAACAAACCGTGTGACGATCTCCGAGGCATTTTGCTTGTTCGTCGACAACTTCATTCTCCCGTTCGCGTTCCGTTCTGATGCCGATTTGTTCCGACATCAGCTCGATGATGCAACGATTCGTCGGCTTCTCATCAAGTACGCGGGCGACCTGAAAAACCTCTACGATAAATATGCCGTCGAGGACCCAAAGGCGAAAAACAAGTCGGAGCGAGTCACCGCCTTCACCTTTAGCCAGTGCCTGCTGGATCGTGGAGTGCTCGACATGACGCTAACATCGGGCAAGATACTAGGGATACTCAGCAAAGTCTTGAGGACGACGAAGGGAGCGGGGCCATCAGCTCCTACCGACTCCTTTTTATCTTCAAAAGGTGGGCGTCGAGCTGGTGAAGACGACGATGTCACGTACCCTGAGTTCGAGGAAGCACTCATCGCCGTCGCCTGCCATAAATTTCCCGACCCTTATATCTCACTAGAAAGCCGAGTAGAGAAGTTTTTCTCCGTGTACATACGCGAGCGGAGAGGCTAATGGCCTTCAGTAAAGCACTCAAACATGGCCCAAAACAAGATGTCAACGTGAAGCTACTGTAAGCTTCAGTCTGGCTATCGGAAAAAAGCAAACGACACGTAAGGTCGATCGGATGATGGCTTCGTATCCCCAGTGCCTCCGCAGCGCGTTCCAGTATTTTGATTGTATTCGCGAGAGTAGAGTTGCTGTACTCGGTCAGTCAGTGGGAGCGATCAGTGCCAGACATTTTTTTCAACAAGGGCCAGCTATATTCCATTCAGCTCTTACTCATGCTTCGTCTAGAATCAAATGACACGTGGTGGAATTTAGGCCTGCTTCTCGTCAGGATATCCACCGTTGTTGAGCCGCCCGTAGTAGATCGGCCCACCTGCAGGGGTGGGTGTCGTCGCTTGAGGTGTGGGCGTGGGGTAAGGATATCCACCGTTGTTAGGACGGCCATAGTAGATCGGCCCACTGGGAGGCGCGGGCATCGTAGTCGTGTTTTCACTGGGTGCCGTCGCTTGAGGTGTAGGCGTGGGGTACGGATACCCCCCATTGTTTGGTCGCCCGTAGTAGATTGGCCCGTTCGCTGGGTTGGCGTCGGAGGCCAATGCGTCGGAGGCCAGGGCCGCTAGGACAACCCCGACGGTTGCGAAGAACTTCATGTCTTCTGGAACACCGATTGAGAAATGAGGAGCCCGGGCATGCCATCCTTCCTTGAGCGACACAGAGCCAGTGTTTTCTCACTCTTGTGATGTGTAAATGATTACAGTATCCGCAATCTGTGACTGGCAGTCACTGACTGCAAGCTTACTAAGGTGCTCACTCTCACTGAGTCCATTCGGCAACAATCTGACAACGAGAGCACTTCAGTTTATCACGGATTACGGGGAGCAAGCTACATGCACATGTACAGGGGTCGGCTAATGGGGCATTTTGAGAATCGTACCCCCACTAGGGCTTCGCGGGGGCTGGGATAGCTCGTCTAGACTTGTCCGATTCGCATTGCAAGCGACTTCGGCGCGCCGCACATGCGGTGCACAGTCGCTCTCTGGACATGGATACTTACCCCATTCAATATGATAATGACATCAAAATTCAGTAGGCTTGCGTGGGCGACAAGGATGCGAATTAATAGTATAGTTGGACTAACGTGCTGCTATTGTTGTTGTGTGTTGTTGCTGTGGCAGGCCCATGGTGAGCTACAGCTGAGGGATGGTGACGGCTTTCGGCTTTCGGTGGCTCTAGCTTTTTTTCTTTACTGACGTCGGCGAATGCGTCCAACAGCTGATTAATGTGAATGCAATGACTATAGTTTTGTAAATGCAGTCCGTCTTCACTGTCGCTCGACACTTGATGACTGAAACTGTTGTAGATGACACGATCGCACCACCAATACGGCCCACCAGCCAAGTTGGGAGGTCTTCCTTGTCTTAAATTAAAGGCCTTGAAGGAACGACTGCGAACTCATATAATAGAGGGTTTCAGTTAATCACTCCTTGAAGGAATGAGCCGAAGAGAAATTGGGCGAAATCAAGGAATGATTTTCATAGGGGGGGGGTTATCGGAAGGAATGGGCTCAAGGAATGAGCTCATTCCTTGGGCTCATCGTTTGAAGAAATGATTCACTGAAACCCCCTAATATGCAAGGTATCTCATCTCATTTACTGACAAAGGTAAAGAAAGAAAATATGGCCTCAGCGTGCGGGGAGTTGGCTGTGCTGTGCGATTTGTTGACCGTTGGTTGCAAGAAGAGCGATCCCCTGCTTACTCTTCCAGAAACTTGCGATCCTTACTTGTGGGCTGACACGTCGTAATCAACTTCAAGCGTTTGTACCTCAGCTTCGCAGTTTTCAAACTCGTAGCCAGCAATGGTACGAATAGCCACTGATACTGAGGAGGAGGAGGAAGATGGAACTTGAATGACGTTCTCCTTAAATGCCAGTGTTGTCACAGGACGACGAAAATCCGACAGTTGATCCTTCGGAACAACAAAAAGAGCTCGATTTTCTTGAGCTTCACGTCTTGCTGAGCGATGAGTTTGCCCAAAAACTCAATAAAGTATCGATGGTCGTAGCGGTGGTAGTCGGCGCGTGTAACTTGAACAAATCGAACCAGTCGGTTGGGCATATCCACGAAGACAGCATCGTACCCGGCTTCGTTCCACTGCACCGGGGTCACACAAATGGCGTATTCAAGGTCAATATCAATAGAGGAATTGCTTGGATCGAAGAAAACAACGTCTGATCGCTTCCATACTCCCCCTCGTAAAACGCTAAACCGCTCCTGTTGAAATCGGATATCTTCTGTCTTCAGCATTGAGAGGAACCACGCTTCAAACAACCATTCATCCATTGGCGGTGTCACACGGCGCGCAGTTGCTATCTTCTCCAGGATATCGAAACCTCGGCTGACAGCGATTTGTCGAGCAATATAGGCACTCAGCAAGCAAGTCTCATCATCGCCGAACTCACGACGATAAATTGCCAGCAAGCTTTCGATGACACCAACGTTTCGCAAGTGACTAACTGCGTCATCCAAAAAGGTCACCGCGTTGTCTACCGAAACGCCAAACATCAGTCGAGCACTGCCGCCAGCAATACAGTGCTTCATCTCTACTGATTGCCGCCTCTCTAGCAGTGACATCCTCTCAACTGGTGTTGCGGTTGCATATCCTGATTCAGGAAACGAGGGGAACGCATCCTTCACACTGTTGAAAAACGTTTCGTCTTGGGCTGCATCTCGGTAATCCTCCAAACTCCACGAGCCCAGTAGAAACCTCATGGCGTCGCGCACTTCCAGTTCCAGTTTGTTTCCCTGCCAGTCCGTCTCATCCAGTTCAAACATCTCTTCGTCCTCTCCTTCCTCAGAATTTTCATGATCGGGAGCTGGAATTTTCACTCCGCGTGCAGCTTCTTCAGTAATAGTGACAGTGCCCGGAATATCGTGGGTCAGTTCAGACCGGTAGTCTCCACCGAGCCGAACCGTAGAGCATACAAACACAAGCCGGTGCTTGATAACGTCGTCATCTCGCCACTTCCTGCAGACGAAACCCGCGTCCATCACCTCGTTCTCTCTATTGTCGTATCCATCGAGAAAGACAATAGTCGTCACTTCGTTGGATGTCTCTCCTAACAACAGCAGTAGCTGGGTGGTCAGCGTCGTCATGTCCAGAGTGCACGTGACCTTCTCGCCCCCACGCAGCCACACACAACGCGCGACACCGTAGGTGCTAGACAGATGGAGCCAAATCACATCCCACTGCGACGGCTTCAAGGCGTACGCAAAAGCCAACGCGGTACACGACTTCCCAGTGCCTGGCGGGCCAACAGTCCACAGCAGAGCGTACGTCCGGATGCAACAGCGATAGATTTTCTTCTACTGCTCCAGCACCTGTGGGCGACAGAACAACGTCAGGGGTTTGTCTCTGTGGTCCATTCCCGAGCCAAGCGTGCACGCTCTAGGTAGCTCAAGCGCTCGGGTCTCGGCGCTAATAGAGAGCTGAACACGAGCTTTAGGCACTGTCCATTCGATTTCCATCGGCCTCAACCAGAGCATTGTCGGCAATGCGAAAGATGATCGCGGTACAACAACAATGAGCGCGTGATCTTCATCTTCTCCCAAGCCAGTAAGTTCATCCGAGACCTCAGAGGCCTTATGTCGTTCTCGAACTCATTTTGGTTCTTGAAAACTCGTAGTTGACTCACAATGAGTCCAGCGCACTGGGTCAGGTCCTTTGCGTAGACCTTCGCACGAAAACCTTGGACAGAGTCAGTGGCGCCGGTACGTGGCACTGAATCTGGTGTCGTGTCGGCAAACGGACCGCCCGTTAGAGCATCGATAAGCTGGTACCAGATGTCGTGTCGGCAGATATTCTCGACGACCAACACTCATTTTTATTGACTACATTCGTGCAACACCGGTACATAAGCGTGCCCGTACATGTACTTCGAGCATCTCCACCGGTGCTTAGTATGTCAATTCTCGGATGTATAGCGTGTTCACTTGATTCAAGACAGTCGTCGGGCTTTCGACTTCAAACCTTCGGCAGACTTCAGAGAAGTTCAAAGGGTCATGATCGTTTCCCCTGGCTGGTTTACACTTTCTGCTGTGGGGCTTCCACCGCCCGTCTCCGTTTCGGGAGGTTTGTAGCATTGGGATCCCCTCGAGGAAGACACTAGGGATGTAAATGACTTGCTCAGCACAATTGCGAGCAGCGTGGGCCGTTGTAGTCGAATAATATCTCCTCGAAGAAAACTATAGTCTTTCTGGACGTTTCACTTAACAGCTGCGGAAGCTGGGCGTTCAGCGTCGTCACGTTCAGAGTGCACGTGGTCTTCTCGTCCCCACGCAGTCACACACATCTCACAACCCCACCCGTGCTTGAAAGATGAATCCAAATCACATCCCATTGTGACGCATCTAGTGAGTGTGCTACAGCCAACGCCGTGCACGATTTCCCCGTGCCTGGCGGACCAACGATCCACAGCAGAGTAAACGTGCAGATGCAGCACCGATAGATCTCCTTCCACTGCTCCATCATCTGGGGGCGACAGAACAGCGTCAGAGGTTTGTCTCTATGATCCATTCCCGAACGACCTGGCCGTTAGGCCGACCCAGCGCGGAATCACGTCGATGTCGACCCACAAGGTTGTGTGTGGTGCCAGCAGTGTAACCAGCTACTGCAAACCACCGGACGGAACCACGTTGAACGGATCAAACATCATCTGGCCAAGCGCTGCTCTACCAAGTCCAGCACTACCTTTATAACAGACGCCTTCCGCCCCCAGCTCAAGAGTAACACGACCAAGCAGTTCCAGGACAAGCTGGCGTGGTGGGTGTACAGTACTGGCATGCCATTCTACAAGATCGGGCACGCCAGTTTGATGGAAGCACTGCAGCTGGTGCTGAAGTACCAAGCCCAGACCAGCTGGCCACCATCTTGCTCGATCGGGCTTACACGAAGTCGATCAAGGTTCTCACACTGACGCTGGCTGGCAAGATCGTAACGCTATTCACGGACGGATGGACGGACATCAATGGCCAAGCTGTTGTGAACTACGTCGTCGTGTGCGGTGATCTCACGTTTTCCCTCGAGTCCGCCTACACAGGCACTCAAGCCCATGCCGTTGAGTTCCTGACTGCTGACGTGAAGCGTGTCATTGCCAAGTACGACTTCCTGGAAGTTGGGGCTGTGGTGACCGATAATACCAACGCCAACCAAGCCACCTGGAAGATTTCCAGGTGCGTTGCTGCTCAACAGGCTTACGGACAGACCCCTCTGTCGTCCGCAAGCTCTCTTTTGCGTCGATGTCATCTGTTATGCGGACTTGGGTCGAAGGGGTTTTCGAGGAGGCGAACGCATGCTGTAACGTTATCAGTCGGTGTACGGAGGCAAGCACCCTATCCGCCGCGCCCAAGAGTGAAGTCCCTCCTTCCTGGAGGGGATCTGCTCTCGGTTACCTTTTTTACTACCCTTATTTCACCCTGACCGGAACTTTTACCCGGAACTCTTTTTTAGTGAAAAAGAGCGCATGTTTTCAATGACCTGAGAATAACCCGGAGAAGATATATTTGCCAAGTTCATGCGGGCATATATATCATCTACATCGCCATCTACCCTAAGAAACTATTATTATCCAAATCTCTCACAAAACTATACTTATCCGCAGCATTCTCGCATGGGAAGGCCCCATGGGAAGGCCCCATGGCAATACTGGTAAGGCAGCAGCACATACCATCTTCCTGCTTTCCGCACAAGCGCAGCTCCCTGTTCAACCACAACCAACTCTCGAGACGTCTAGATGACCCGCCAGGGCACCCAGCAAAAAAAAGAAGCGCTCCGTCCGTCGCAAGGTCGGCAATGATGCGAGTGGGAACACTCTCGAGTTGCAAGCGCTGTCCCTTGATGATCCATCTGACCAAGTCCAAGCTGCCGGTGATCACATGATGCTACCCCCTGCTAGCCAGGAACCCATGCCACGAGCCAAGAAAAAGCGAGGGTCGAAAACGATCAAGATCTACAAGGGCTTTCGATATTGCAAGAACTGGTACTCGAAGAAGCACATTGCATATCGCTGCAGTACTTCGAAGACTTCTGGCTGTAAGGTCACGCTCAAAGTAACCCCGGCCGCTATTTGGTGGGTGGAGGGTGAACACACGTGCCGTCCGGTCCCGGTATTGAATGGGCAACTCAATGATGAGACCGACGCAATGAAACGAACTACAGATCAGCTAGCAACCCAAAATCCAACAATGCCAGAGGGCGACATTTGGGAGCAAGTATGCGAGGCGTTCTACGGTCCCGATAGAGATAAGCTGTTAAACGGATTGACAGAGGAGCAAGTTATCGGGCGTATCCGTCGCATTCGCCGCCGATACTACGGTGGTGATATTCACGGAGTTGTGGAAGTCCCTCCCTTCTCCAAAGTGAAAGACTCAGCCATCCCATTCTTCCGGTTCCATTTGGTAACGGCCCACCCCGATCCTAAGAAAGCACCAAGTCGTGTGCTAGGCTGGGCTCATCCTGCGCTGAAAGAGCTCCTACTCTACAACAGCGTATCTCTTTTCCTCGACGGTACTTTTCGATCTGTACCACGAGGATTTCGCCAGTGCTTGATCTTAATGGTGGATGACCCAGCGCGTAACCTGTTCACACCGGTATACTTCGTGCTCTGTACGTCCCAGACTGAGTCCATGTACGACGATATCCTGCATCTCATCTACCGCGACACCGGCAAAAAGCTCAATCCTGCAGAAATTGTATGTGATTTCGAGTTTAGCCTCGTCTCATCTGTTCAGACCCGGTTCCCGAACGCTGAAGTGGTGGGCTGTTTCTTCCATTTTAAACAAGCCATTCGCCGGCGACTGAAAGACGAGCGCATCTCCGACGACGAAGTGACTATCGCTATGGAGTCTAGCGTCTTGGACATTCTCACTGTAATTGATCCAGACCTCGTCGATCCGAAGGGCATCGCATGGGTGAAGCAGGAGATCAAGCAGAGGTGCATCGCGAACAATTGCCCATACTCACGCCGTGAGTGGAAAAGTTTTTGGGTTTACTTTAGAAAAACCTGTCTTGAGCGATACTACATCACAGAGTGGAATGTGTTTGGTATCGCCAATACTATCGTGGCGCGCACAAACAACCCCTTGGAGAGGTTTAACAGGGAGATGAACGCCGCGTTCAAGCCCCACCCCAAGCTTCGACACTTTGTTTCTACAATTGCCAAAATTTCAACTGCTTACGCGCAGCGGCAAGCCAACATCACGCGCGGTCTACGCAAGAAGAAACAGCGTCCACCACGCATTGAGTTGCCGGCTGCCCCCGACTTAGCATCATTTGAAGTTCCGCCTGAGTCGGAAGATGAAGGTGACTATGATGAGCTTGGCGACCTGTCCGACGGCTCCGTCGAATCAGCTCGTAGTGGCGAAGCTGATCACTCTTCGGAGGAAGATGAGCCATCCCGAAATGCGCAGTCGGCCGAAGACGTGCAGCAGGAAATTGATGAGCACGCTAACACTTACAACTTCTTTCTTGACTCGGACAGTGACCATGATCCAGATGAAGAAAATGGCGTGGAGGAGTGGTCATTCCAGCCCTCAGACTGCGATCATGCTGCGACGCGCTGAATCGTCGAGCTACGCACCTGCATAACTCAACACACACCATAACTTACATTAAACACTGCTATTAAATATCACTTCAATGCACACTCTTGCTTTACCCGGATATTTGGCCTGACCTGGTGTTTTACCCGGGAAAAAGGTCCGGGTAAAAGTTCCGGTCAGGGTGAAATAAGGGTAGTAAAAAATCCTACCTCTGCTCTCTTGGCTTGATGGAGCTTCATAGTGACCTTCAAGTTTTTAGAGACCAGAAGGAGTACATGAGCGGTGCGGACCCTCTAAGACCCTTGACTGAAATAACTGGCTTAGGTGAAGACGAAGACCGTGCCCTCATCATCGAGGTGCCAAGACCGGATCACGATTCAGGGACGATTGTCGGGTCAAATCTGCTGGAAGTTGTCTGGACGCCATCGGAAGCTCGTCCCCAGATTGCTGCTTTTGATGCCGAGACCCGAACCCTTCAAATACCTGTGGACTGTGTCTTCTCGCTCGATGGATACGTTAAAACTTTGCCTGTGGCTGGCCTCAGTCAGTGGGACCGAAACTGGGCCGACGTCTTTGACAACGAGACCGGGGACGTTCTGGCGTTGTACAGTACAACTCGAGGGAAGCAGTCCACAATGCAAGCTAATCTCGGGGTCCCAGGGCCTACAGTTATGAAATACTTATCGGTTGCAGGACACCAACAGTTGAACAAACAAGCAAACAAAGAAACATACCTGGGGTAGACATAATTGGTCTATAGATGTATAATAGACATAATAATATTATATTATGTCTATCCCGGTTACACAACTACAAAAATATGACATATTATGTCAATCCCAACTACAAAAATATGCCTGGAGATGAACGCGTAGTGCGGTCACTCGATCCATCATCAGGCGGATGCCATTCGGGACAGGGCTGGAGCTTGGCATGGCGTGCGGGTCGTGGCTTGAGGACAGAGTTGCTTGATCGAAGATTCGAAAGTGAGAGAAGATGTCCGGCTAGAACTACTTGCGAATGCGAATACTTGATTAGAAGTGCGAGGACTTCGAACCAACCATTTCGTAGCCAGCCCAGCTTTGGGCCTTAAATTCAAAAACTAATTGACGACAATTCAAAGAATTGATAAGAGCGTTAGGGGTCAATTATCCAATTAGTCCACCCACCCTTTGTCAGTGTTGATCCCCCCGGCGATTTTGAATTTTCGGGATTTTCCGGAACCCTGGCGGGCGCTGACGTTGGCCGCCATGCTTGGGGTGTATTGAAAATGTTAGGGGATGTCGCACCACCGATTTGCACCGGATCGGACCTAATGTGACCGTTTGCCACCGAATGTGTCCCGCTTCGTGCTGCTGTAGCACGCTTTGGGCGGCTCAAAGCTTCTTGACAACCTTCGTAGGGCGCGCTCGATCTACACGGAGCATGGTATGTAGTTTAGAAACCCTACTTTAGTGTGGGAGTCACCCTTACATAGTGCATCTTCAATACAGTGAATAACTGCGTTAAGGGCTCTGTTGCGAGGGCCTACGGCTTCAATTTAGTGTCAGGAGGATGCATTCGTGCTCTTTCCTCTATTGCTACTATGTACTACTGAAGAATGCATTGCGTAGCGGGCCTAGAGGACGTGCAACTAGCGCTATCACGCAGCAGTCGCTTTGCGTTCACATAATATGTATGATTCATACATGTATATGTCTCCTTGTTTGCATCTAGATCATCGGATAGCGCGGACTTCATTCCTACTACAGGTGAATACTACTAGGCAAAGGGCCTGGACGTATACGCCGCTCGCTCCCATCGTTCAGGTCGTCGGAGATACCAATGAACCTGAACATCCAAGCCTACTCTGCGTTCACGATACCTCGCAAGTAATACATTTGTGCAGATACTCCTAACTACGTCAAATTACAGTCTGATAGTGTCCTGACAGCCTTCCACGTGCTTCCGCCGGCGGCGGAGATTGTCGGAGTTCGGGTGCAAATGTCGGAGATGTCGGGGCCTGGCGGCCCCAACATCACCGATAAGTCCATGCTTGTGCGAGTGCTAGCGAAAGTTGTGTACGCCACGCCACGTCAGCTGGTGGTGGTGTGAGCCACCTCATTTCAAGCCAAGTGGCTAGCGCCACAAACTGGATGGTGCATTTGGGTGGAGTGAGCCACCGACTGTACCATGAGTGCGGATTGGTGAAAATGAACTTGAGGTGGATAGGCCTGCCCCAAAGGCGTGATTGAAATGGCGTGGCTCCGGCGCTCGGTGCAGTCGGGCTCTCTGCGAAGGAGGGTTTGGCAGTGGTTGGCTCCAACGTCTCGGTTTTTGATTCCTTTGCTGCTGTTTTGGCGCTGTTTTATTCGAATTTTGCGGTACGGGAGTTGATGCAACATCTTGTTGTAGAGCCACCTGGAGACACCGTCTACAAGCTCATAAAGATTGCTTATTGCCATCCTAACTCAAAGACATTCTTCCATGGGTGCGTGTGCCACGCCTTGCACCTCCTGGTCAAGGATATCGTCCTGAAACTCAAGTGGGTAGACGCGCTGCAAAGCGGGTGTAAGACACTCGTGAGCTTCTTCAGGAAGCATCACAAGATGTGGGCCGATCTCTCTGCTCGACTCAAAGAGCAGAATCTCCGCCTGCTCGCTAAGCCTGGTGACACAAGATGGGGGTCTTTGCTGGCTTGCTTCTCAACAGTGCTAGCCGCTGAGGCCGTGCTGTTCACATGTGTGTCTGCGCGCGGGTTTCTCAACGCAAAGACGAAGAAGCAGAAAAAGATTCGGCGAGAGGTGTCCGACTTGGTGACATCCTCCGACTCTATACCACGGCTGAAGAAGGCGATCGCTCTGCTGAAACCAATTGATGCAGCGCTCAAGCGTTTTGAGAAGAACGAGACGCCAGTGTCGGAGGTGTATCAAGTCTTCGTCGACCTTCCAGCAGATCTGAAGGCAGCTGGCCTCACTGCTGTGGAGTTCAAGATTGTGAAGCCTTTGGTGGAGTCAAGGTTCGACTTTATTTAGGGCGACGCCCATGGCGTCGCTTATCTCCTTGACCCACGGTACACAGGCGTCGACATGGAAACAGAAGTACGCGGCGCGGTTGAAGAGTTTTTGGTGCAGTGGCATGGCGCGGAGAAGGGCGACGCAGTCATCGTGGAGCTTGCTGCCTTTTATCGGCATGTTCGGGACATCAAGGCGAGCCAACCGCGACAGTGGAAACTGCTATGCGAGCGCAATATTCCCGTATTCGACGTTTGGTGCGGATTAAACAAGTTCCCGCTGCTGCAAGACATTGCCCTGCGGCTGTTCAGGTGTGCTGCGTCTAGTGCTGCCTCCGAACGCAACTTTTCGGCGCACGCATTCATCCACTCCAAGCTTCGGAACCGCTTGGTACCCGAACGGGTTGAGAAGCTCGTGCACATTTTCTTCAATGCGAAGAACATTTGCGATGAAGACATTGAGCGCTATTCGCATTTGGAAGATCTACTTAGAGAGGCAGATGATGAAGAAGACACCGAAGAGACCGATGCGAACCAGAGCGAGGACTATGTGTACTACTAGATAGGATGCATGAAGAAAGCAACTAAAGACAATCTAATTGAACTCAAGCTTTCGTTTCTTCACAGCCATGATATTGCTCCGTACAGCACGGTGGAGTTTGCCGATCCATCGTAGCAAACAGAGTTCGCGGACAGAACGTTGCAGAACGCCATGGCTTTTCAGCCCCCTATATCATACTACGCGCGCTACCAACAACTGCAGTGCAAAGTACCAAAGTACAGCGGGGTTTGTCTGCATACTTCGGCCCGTAGCCCCCTTTGCTGAAGAAGGAAATTCAAGAGTACGACCTTTGCGAATAGGTGCTCTGATTGATATTGATAGCCAGATTGATTGACCTAGCTTGATTGAAGTAGATGGACGGGTGATAGATTGATGGGTGGGTGGCTTTTTAATTTATCCATAATAAACCCACCCCAAGCCGGCTCTGGGTGGATGGGTGGTATTAACGGAATATTCCAGACCCATTTTGCCCCAGGCCAGAACCCTTCATAGTATGAAGGAACCCCCTGAATTGTTTCTCGAGCTTCTGGTACACTGTCGCGCGAAAAGCTTGGACGTTTCGAGCGTGGGGAACTGAATCTAGTGGAGCATGCAAACGAAGTGCGTGTTACAGCATCCACGAGCTGGTATCAAATGTCGGCCGACATTTGCACTCCACATCGCACCGCCGTGCCGCCGCCGCACTGCCGCTCTCCGGCAATTTCTCAATGATGGTGAGGAGGATATTTTCAGCCAAAGATTCATACTTATCATGTATGGAATGAATCGATTTAAATAGGAGTTCAAATATGACAGAACTTTTGATATTGCATTTCAGCAATGCCCTATTCCGATATAGCGGGTATTAATACAAACGTCGGGAGTTCTGTACTGTACACCGCTCCAACATTGTACCCACCGAGAGCAGTGGCCAACTGCATCCTGATGTGGCGCGGTATCTGCCACGCGTGGACCGCCGTTCGAGTCCGAGCCCAGTTGCTACGTCGAGAAGATCGAGTTCGAAGTCCATGACTACGCGCGTTGGCAATGATGAGCTTGAGCGGTTAATTTTGAAGTGCTTACAGGCATCCTCGGTCGTATTACATGTAGGCACAAGCTGCCGGTGTCGCAGTCCGAGCCGCTGGAGCACACCAAGTCATCGTACAAACCCTGGATAGTTCATACTGTGCATGTCCATGAATGCGTTATGTTTGACATTTTGTGCTAATACTGTTGTGCATAGTGAAGAGGTCCATGGCCTCTCGAAGTAATCCCAGACGCCTTCTACCTCGGGACTCTGCTCGCCAATTGGAAGCTGAATGTGGAGATACGTTATCTCTGTGTTGCCTCGGGGGGGGGGGGGGGGGGCTCCACTTGGAAATTTGACGGGGTGTCTCGCGTAACCAGCACAACGTAGAAGTTTCATGTTGAATAGGAGTACATCAGTGTGAATTGAAGAAATTGAAGAATAGTACGTCAGCTGTATGATATTATTCGACTAGTGTTTGATAATACGATGGCAATCCGCTGGCGAGTCCAATTCGAGTAGCTTTTGGAGGTTAGTGTCCCTGCAAATACCTATATCGGCTCTATCGGAAGACCACTAATTTGCTCGAGTTTCAGCGACAAACCCCAGACACTGCCGCGATGTTCGGTTTCAACACATTGATCCACGGTTTTGCTGCGTCGTCGGGTATTGCGTAAGTGACAGCAGGATTCGCTTGGAGCACGATTTCAGATTTAAATGTAAGGTAAGGTGCCAGTTGCGTGCCTACAACCAGTTCCGTGCCTACTTGTTTTAGCCAATTAGCATCTTCTCCTTGTTAAACTCTCGTAGTCTATTGGTAGATTTTTCCAGCGTCACATGCAATTTCCGATGAGCCTCCTAGGATTTGCATAGCATACAAAAATGCTATCAAAAAGAGGCAGGAAACTGGCAGCTCACTCCAAATCAACAAGCTTTTCAAAACAATAACAAGAAGTTCTGCAAAATTTACACGGACCAGCGTGAAGTACATAAATTCAGCCCAATCGCGCCAGATTTAGCGGTGCAATCAGATTTCAGAATGGACAATTCAATGAAACGTTATGCCACAGCAAGTCCGCAAGTTCGAAGGACGGCACGAAACTGGCAGAAGAAGACCTTAGACCTGGATTGTCCCGATCAGTCTGATTCACCTCAGGCTAAGATTAATGCGTTTTTTTCCTGTGTACAAAGATCTGTGACCGCGCACTCTGGGGACCCTCGAGCCCAGGTCCACGTCATCCGGCATGCTTATTTGTACCAAAACCAGCGCAAATTAAAATACAATGTCATAGGATTAAGCGGGTCGAGGCAGCCCAAGTATTTTGTGTAAGCATGTTCTATATCAAAATGTCTCCGTCTTTCGGTGGTCTCCGTAGACTGCTGGGTCGCGTTAGTGCCGCTTGTCCAGCTGGACGTCACAGCGTAACCGCAGCGCTCAGTCATGCCACGGGTGAACGTCACCGCTCAGTCCTTGTCGGTCGCCGCACTCACCACCTTGACCGTCACCGTCACCGTCTCCATCGTCTCGGTCGAGTCGACATCGTCTTGGAGTGGGTGACACTCATGGCCAAGATGCAGTCCATAGCTGCAAGCCACATAAATGAGAGGAGGGGCTCCACTGTCTGGTGGAGACTCATCGGCAGGAGTAGCCATAGACCCGAAGGCTGGTCGCCACGGCGCACACAGCGAAAGGTGCGCGCACCACTGAAACCGAGCGCGCTGCGCGATAGTGATCAAGCAGCACGCGCCGGTGAACCACGATGACCAGCGCTTTTCGTTCAAACGTCGAACTTATAGCCGCGTTCGTGTTTAACTCACGTCATAACGCGATCATTTTCCGGATGCGCCAAGTTCTGTCGTAGTAGTACGGCTTCAGCTTTTCATGCTGCAGATCCTTGCAACTGAATTGACTTGAGAAACGTAAGTCCCTAAATGGAGCTCTCTGATTGGCTAAAATATCCTGGGCTTATGACATGTCCACTTGAGTCGTTCGGAACGACCCCAAGTGCAGTGTATATCTAGGCGGAAAAATTGTTAGTGTGTGCATTACAGATAAAGTAGGTGGTAACCGCGGGAAGTAGTGATTTAACCACAATGGAACCTGGAGGCCGTCCGGGAATCGCATTTTTGAACTCTATGCGCATACTTAGGTAGACATATTTTGACCAATAGAAGTATCCGCTTTTCGTCAGCTACCGCCGCTTACGCTTTCCCGGAAGGATGCGATCCCAACCGCCCGTTATTTGGCCTCAGTCAATGTGGCATACTCCAAGGGGCGGGAATACACAAATTCCGGAAATCATAAGCCAAAAACTGATGATTTGATTAACTGGTTATTGCTGGTTGTACGCTCTTGGGAAACTGAATTGTTGATCTTCCTTGGGTGAATTGGGTGTCAGAGGTAATGATTGTTGAATGATTGTGATGAGATATTGGATTGGAAAGTGTATCAATTTATTCTTTTTCCTTTTTTGTCCTTGGTGGGATTTGAACTCCGGCCAAGAGCGTACTTCCTGGGACCTTTACCCAGTGATCTACCAGCAGCCCCTAAGCCAATCTGCCTACGTTTTGGCGGAAAATCCCATATACTAGGGCTTCGCGATGGCTAGGATAGGATTGGTTAACTCACCTTTGACCGCCATTAATAAACTGATGTATCGCCACTATGGTCACACGAATTTGCAAATGAGCTGGACCAGCCTCCATCATTCTTGAGAAGTCTAAAACACTCGGTCAATCGCCATCACTTACTGTAAATTGACCTAAAGACATGTTACCGGTTCATCACCGGCGTCGATTGGACGGGGGGACAGCGCCCGAATTAATCCTGTTTGGACTGGGCTATCAGACCTTCGTCCCTTCCTATCCCAGTATAACTTACGTAAATACGAGAATGTCGTGTGACTCGATACCTAACGAAGTTTTTACCGCCACTTGTTCACTAGTTGGTGAAAAGCACCGTCAAACAAAATCCATACTCCTGGCTGTGCGGTCGATGAATCTGCAGAGGTGGCGTGGTTGGTATACGCTATGTTCTACGGGCTTGCAGCGGCGTAGAAGTTACTGACTTTTTCGTATCAAGCCTGCGAGTTACAAACACTAAACTGACCAGCACGGATGTGGCAATATTGAAGCAGAATTGGAGACTGGCTATTCGATAGCTGCGCACCAACGGGATCTTGTCTACGGGTTCGTTGATATTCACGGCGAAACTCCATTGTGGTCTCTTGAGTGTCAAGACGCCTAGATTGCAGCGAATTGTAATTCCGATGACGAGCTTGTTACGACCCAGCTAACTGCGAATTTGTGGACATCATTGCCCCTGGTTACGGGATTTGCAAGACGAGAGTTAGTGGTGCGAGCCAGTTCACACCCGATTAAAGAAACCGTGCGCGACCAAGAAGAGACTTTGTAAGAGCTTGGCATTGGAGTTCGACTCGATTGAACGTGTTGGGTGGTATCATTACTAGGAAATCCAACGCTTCGAATGAGACGAGAGCTCGTAGAGTTCATGGTTACGCCTGCTGGGAACCGACATTTTAACGAGGAAGACAAGAGGGGGCTCCTGGCCTATGACGGAGAGTTTTTATCAGTCACGAAGGGAAAAATGCCCTACCAGGCCACAGCTGCACTAATTAGTGCTGTGACGAAAGGCCCTACCGGTTATCACTCTACGGTGGAGTTGAAGGCAATCTGGACGCCAATATCCTGAGCCTGATCTTTGGTTAGCTATTTCCATGGTGCACGGGGCTATTTAGATTGTTGAATTGGGGAGGGACAGATCCGGAAGAAAATTATCTGTACTAAAGCAGTCCTAAATGTCCTAAAATTTCCTAAAATTCGGCGTAATTTACCGAAATAGATTGCACTTTATGTCCTAAAAAGTTCCTAAAGGGCGTAATTTATGTTTGTCCTAATACTGTCCAAAAGAAATCCATCGGTTTTTAGGACGCCTTTTAGGATTATGTTTAGGACATGTCCTAAAACCTTGGCTCCAGCAGTAAGGTTTTTCTTCAATCGATTTACACTGTGTGAATGTGTGAATCACACATGCCCACCAGAGTGCTGACTGCGGGCGAGAGCGAGCGAATGCGAGCGCGAGCCTCACTCAGTGCATTCACTGGTAGCAAACACCCGCCGATCAGGCGGGGGCGTGTCTGCGCGAGCGAGCGAACGCGAGCGCTGCAACCGGATATTTTTTTTTCAAGACACCGCGCCTGGCCGAGCCGAGGACTTAGCGTAAGGCACGAAGGGTGGGGCAGGTCGCGAAGCGGCGGTCCCCGAGCAAAGCGAGAGAGGGGCGGGACCCCGAAGTGCCGTAGCTAAGTCCGCAGGCGAGAGCCAACGCGAGAGTGTCCTGCCCACGTCAACATCAAGTAACTACTGTAGTGGCAGAACAGCAAGTACAGTATAGTAAAGTAGACTCTATCTATATGTAGTATAATAGAACGTAAGTCCCCGGGGGGTAGTGTCCTAACTAGTGTTCGCTTACCCCTACCGATAAGACTTACCCCGGTTAATTTACGGAAATTAACCCCTCATTCACCAATGTCGGACGATCCGTCAAGTGAAATATTTACTCGTCGGATCTGCTGACATACGGAGCTTACATACATACATACTGACATATTTTTCACATGTTATACAAAACCATATATGCGGGAATATGTCGCTATTTCACATCTAAAGACTGGAGCGAGCAAAAACCAGGCCATCCGCCCAGCCACTACGCATTAGTACTGTCGCTACGCATTATTACACAGATTATGGCACCGCCGGTCACGAGCGACGGCTGCGGCTACATTATGATTTGTGTTCTGTCCAGGGTTCTGGCAGAGTATTGCACAGAACAAATTATGGGAACCAGCACTAAGTGCCACGGATGAACATTTTTGCCAACGACGATCGTTCGTCTTGCTAAACTGTTGCAATCTCATGAAGCTTCTCTAATGCTAATTGCAGGAGCAAAGTTCCGGCACACGACGACCGGCAGACTGCAGCACCTGCGAGGAGGATCGGTCACGGACACGACGACAGGTGGCATTTCGGACGGCGACATCCTAGAGCGCGCGTTCATGGAGACGGACGAGAGTGACATGCCCACGAATCGGCTGTACCGGGCGATGGTCGAGTATCTGACGGAGATGAAGACGCGTGAGCACTCGCACCCGGCAGTGTCGCTGTCGGGGGGAGTGGACTCGATGGTGGTGGCGTACCTAACCTAATGCACAAGCTGAGTGACAAGCACGGAGGGTTCAAGATCGTGGCAGTGCATCTTGACTACGGCAACCGCGCCGAGAGCGGAGCCGAGTGTGAATACGTGCGTCGCAGGTGCGAGAGGTTTAGAATTATTTTCTATGTCCGAAGGGTTGACGAGGTGAAGCTAGTGGGGACGGTTGGTGAGGACGAGGGACGTAATCTCGCGCTAGTGCAGCGCTGCCGTGGTAGAATCGTGGAGGCACTGGTCGTGTGCAGGACCAGCGTGGCGGCGTTGGCCGCAGTCGATACTGATTTGATCAGCAAAAGCTGTTTTAGGCGTTGCGGACGGCAACCGTTGACGCTGGCACGCCGTTCGGTCAACAGCGTTTCCATTGGTGATGGGAGCTGCGATTCCGTTGAGTAATATTTGAAGCTGCGTACTACACTGAGCAGCTTATGCTGGCAAGCACACATCAAGCATGTTGGCTAGGACGGTGTTGAACATCTTTGAAAAAATAAAACAAACAGGTAGCTAGAGGAAAAAGCAAATGATATGTATTTGATGCGTGTTAGTTGCCTGCAATACCGTTAGCACGCTCAACCTGCTCTCGGTCCGCAGGTACCAAGTTCGAAAGTGGCTCCAGTGTATTGGGCCAGTTCATCAAGACCCTGAGGTCGCCGTCTGCTGGATAGTGTATACCCCGTATAACCTCGTAGTGGTATGCAGGAGGTCCGACAGGCATTTGCTGTGGTCGGCGCAGGTATCTTGCAAGGGCGCGTGCATCCGCAGGGTACAAGGCGGAAAAAGGTTCGAGCGTGTCCTCCCATTCCACCCACGTTCGGATCTCTCCATCCGCCATTCGCTCAGTACCAACTACGCGCACTAGGTCCTCAGGCGGTACTTCATCAACTTGCGGCGGGTCCTCGTCAGTCTCGGACTCAGCGTCAGTCGTCTCTCCTGGTGAGCCGGGCGGAGGACTAGAGGCTGTCGGGGCACTAGCTGCTCTCGGCGGACTAGAAATTATCGCCGGACTAGGAGCTCCAGGAGGACTACCTGCTCTCGGTGGACCGGGAGCTATCGCCAAGCTAAGAGCACTCGTCGTCCGACGAGCTCTCTCTGGACTAGGAGCTCTCGCCGGACTAGGAGCACTAACGCCATGCACATCTCCTTCTTCCTCTTTCTCTTCGCCTTCGTCATACGTGTAGTCTTCGTCGCTAGCGAAACCGTCGTCACTGATCTGGCTGGTCGTCGCAGCGCTGACCGCGTCGATCTCTTGATTGCCGGACTTCGCCGAGCATGGAGCTCCCAGGGAACTGGTATCTCTCGCTAGACCAGACGCTGTCAGCACACCAGAAACTCTCGTTAGGTCAAACGCGGTCGGGGGGCTTGGTGATCTAGGAGGACTTGTCGGGACAGAAGCTGGTGATTGTGGCGATCGCAACGGAGCTCTTGGCGGGGGCGTCGGGGCGGACAAAGATGGATGCGGAGTCAGCAGCGGGAACGCGGCAAGCAATGACGAGGCTAACGCGGATTTGACGTTAGCCCTGTTGACATCGCCAACTCCTTGACTTTGCACGAACGCAGGCACCACGTCGTCCAGTCGATCGGCTGGCACACGACGTTTTTTCATTTCTTGAGCGAGAGCTTGCATGCCACTACCGAACAGACGAACTGTCGGCGGCGCATGTTTTAGGCAAGCGACGTGCACCCATTTATTGCTGCCTGGTACTTGTCCCTACTGGGGGTGAAAGTCCTGCTGTTGCTGACGCTGCTGCTTGGTGCTGCGCTGATGCCTGCGGTGAGCCGATCTCCTCGCCATGACCACCAAGGTCGTGGGTAGGAAAATACCAAATGACCAGGTCGACAGTGCGTTGCACCTTTAGAGTTATTTTTTTCTTCTAAACCCGACTGCTTGACTATACATCTAGTAGCCGCATGTGCTTTTGGTCGAACGTGGTGGAGTCCATCGCCAAGGCCGGTGATATCTCGCAGTACCCATGGCGCGACAGCTCGGCTACCTAGTTAGCCCGTCCCTCTCTAGGGCTCTCGCACGGCATGTCGTCATAGAGCCAATCGAGCCACGATAGTTCCCAGCCGGGCGTTGACAACACGACCTGTAGATGTAGTGCACGCCCACGTTCACAAACGCATCTTATCTGTCGCCTTCTTGCCATGGTGCCGTCGAAACACACAGCTCGGGTCCGTCCTCGACGTAGCTTGCCACCTGTCGCCAACAGTGATCAGGCTAGAAATGCACAAAAGCGCAAAGCACAAGCGCTTCTTGTTCACATCACTGCCCCCAACGACCGACCGGAGCCGACACGCTGGCCGTAGATACGACCAGTGCCTCCACGATACTACCACGGCAGCGCTGCAATAGCGCGAGATCACGCCCGTCGTCCTCCCCAACCGTCCCCACCAGTCTGTCCTAATCCAACGAAAACCCTCGCACGCCGTCGCTGTGCTCCAGACCGATGGAGCCGCAGTACTTTGTCGGTCGGTTGTCGGCTACGCCGGCACGTACAAAATGGCATTGCCACTCGACGCGGCCACACCGCCGCCAGAAAACACGCACCTCGACCCTCTCCACGCTACCCCTCGACGTGGCTTGCCACCAACATCATTCCGACCAGCACGTCTATGCCGGCGACATGCCGACCGCAGCGCACAAGCGCTTCTTGTTCATATCGTTGCCCACAACGACCGACCAGAGCGGCCGTAGATACGACCAGTGCCTCCACGGTACTACCACGGCAGCGCTGCAATAGCGCGAGATCACTGAGGCGAGGCCGAAGAAACCTTTGTCGCCCAGGGGAGTTCGTATAGCGCAGCCCAAGACTGTTCCCCAGGGGTAGACCCAGAGAATCGACTTGAGAGCCAACAGCAAGAAGATAGACCCAGAGATTCGCAGCCGCAAAGCTTTAAACCCTGAGAATAACACTCCTTGGTTGGCGTGGGTACCTTGTGTAATCCCTGTCGGCTCGTTTGTCTTCGACGGAACAGCACTCCACCGGTTGAAAATGTTGCCTCGAAGAAGTGCGGGAGCGCACGTCTACTTCAGAACGCACCTCCACACCAAAAGACAAACCCAGAGAATCAGATCCCCTGAAACCCAGAATATCACGAATTCAGGGTCCAGGATTTCAGTCAACTCTGGGACTTGGAACTCAGAAGACACCTTACCCAAATGCCCTCCTAGCTCGATAAAACCAACAAATACACACTAGGCTCACTCGAGTCTGAAATTCAGGGGCCTAGCTCCCCTGAGACTCACACAAACGCGCACCACCTCCAATAAAGGAGGAAAATACAATCACTATCAGTTACCTTCCCTTCACACAAGCAGTCAATACAAAATCCTGGAGGCGACTACCTAGCACCCCAGAATACCCTCTGGAATAATATGAAATGGGCTACCACGAGCACAGCAAGTGACCCAACTAGGATATGGAATAGATGGATCACCCCAGGAAGCTCAAGGCCGTCGCTGGTCACCACCTAACTGGACTTGAGTTTGATGGAGCCCACACAGACGGCTGTCCTTCGCCGTTGATGTACCCTTAGCGTCCCACGGTCGTAGTCTCGGGTCCTCCGGATTTCCGTCGGCAGGCTTGGCCGAAGTCACTTGCGCAGTACAGGGTAAAATGAACTCTGTTTGGTTTTTATCAGCTACTTCTCTCTCTCTCTCTCTCTCTTCTTGGTAACAAGTCTGCTACATTGCAGGCCTGCGTGAATCTCCACAAAGCCACACTTTTAGCGGGTTTAGCGGCCTCCTGCGCATGATCACGGTAGTAGTGGGTTGATTCTCAGGGTAATTTGATCCTCTGGGGCACTCTGAGCCACAGCAAGATGAGGTGTACTCTGGGATACATTCTCCAGAGACACTTTCCGCCAGACTTTAGGCACTCATCGTAAGGGAAAGTCCGCGGCTGGACTGAGTGTTCTCTGAAATTCTGGGCGCGGAAACCCAGAGTGCCACACGATGACCCAGAGTTCACCTCCCTGAGTACAGGTGACCCAGAGTTCCAAAGATGATTCTCTGGGCTTGGACCATAAATCCAGACTCTTTATACTGAACTTAAGTGTTTCCCAAACCAACACCCAAGAATTCCTACAGTTCCCCAATATTCCTCAGAATCCCCAGGATTTCAGAAGATGACCCTGAGTGTCACTTGATTCTCAGGGATTCAAGTCAGTTCGAAGCCAGTCTGCAATCAAAATGATGCGTGACCTTGAAGAACCGTCATGGATGCACAGACTGGATACTTTCGAGGAGTCGAGAGGGAGTCCTGCACCATACTAAACCCAGTCTAAGGACTTTCGACGCCGTGCGACAATGGATTCGCAAGCCGATCGCAAGTTTGGACCGCTGATCCCAAGGTATACTCAAGACAAGACATTTTGACCCCGGGCAAATATCTTCTGTTCACTATGCTTGCAGATGGGCCCAACTGGCTGGAAGTGTGAATCCTCGGTCAGACGCTGGATTCATCCCGAGAATTCACTTCTCTCCCACAGTCGCCATCCATGTCACACGGGTACAGCCGCGCCGTATCCAAGTCATCCACCAATCAGCATCCGATACAAACTCCAGGTCACAGAGGTGACGGCACATCGTCGGCAATTTTCTGGGGACCGCCTCGTGTCAACCGCCCCTCCTGGTCCGGGTCCATCAAGAGGAAATCGCTCCGAACTGGTGAACCATGGCCAGGCCACAAAAACACACAGGTCCATCCAACGTCGACTTCGACGCGGCCGTTGCACTCTGTCGACTCCCAGGGTTTCACTCACTTTGGCGGCACCCTGTCTCCCCAACGGTTGATCAGGACCTATCTTCAAGTTTCTCCTCTCAAACGCAAAAACTCCAACGGGTAATGCGCGGTCACATCGCCATTTCGCAGATCGTCAACATGGCGGAGAGCGCGACTTCGGACGGCAAGCAAGCGACGGCGCCCCCCGGCAGCGTGCCACCTCCGACACAGCAGCGCACCGGCGGCGCCCCTGCGAGCACTGCACCAACAGGCGGCGGCAGCGGCCAGGCGGGTAACTCAGCGTCCGGCGACACTTCGACGGGCAGCACCAAGACGGGCGTAACCAAGCTCATCTCCTTCTCCAGCGCCACCGGCAAGACCTCCGACGCGGACATGCGCGAGGCCGATGGCAACGCCTCGACTGACGCTGCAACCCAGGAAACGGGTGACGCGAACTCAGAGTCCAAGGCTCCAGACGTGGACATGAAGGGCGCCCCTGAGTTCAAGTTACCACGACACGCGACGCTAGAGGACGTCAGGGGACTCATCTTCGCAGGCATGCTTCGGCAGGAGGAGGTCGATCCCCCTGACTTCCTGGTCCCTGAACGCCCCCCCCCCCCCCGCACTGGAAACTGCCGGCTCCACCGAATCTCAAGACCAACGCGTATCTCGTGGGGGTCCCAGGGGTCGTGAACGACATTCGCGCGGGCGCGTTCGCCATGGAAGGCTACGGCGGCGCGACCACGTTGGTCGGCTTCGAGGAGCTCTCCGACGAGGATCTTCAGGGGTTGAAGGAAGTCTGTGGCGCCGACGCTGGGATCGATGTCCTATGTCCACGTCGTTCGCCTCTTTCAGCGTTCGAACTGGACAATACCCTGAATTCCATCGGTATTCGACGCGAGATGGCCTCACTCCTGCGTCACTTCAACAGCACAAGGCTCGCTGAGCGCGTGTTCAAGATGACTGGTTACCTGCGTCGAGTCCTCGGGGCCTACCGAAACATGCGTTCTCTGGTTGACTCTCAGCAGGGTTTCACCGCCGCTCAGGAAGTAGTCGATACGCGACGCAAGTACAAGGAACTGAAGCGCGCCTGGAAATTCACGTGCGACTACTGGTTCCTGGAGGTCCAAGAGGCCCTGGGCAAGGTGGATGACGCTGAGTCCAAGTACAAAGTCGCGCTGGGCGAGCAGAAGGCGCGGTATCAAGACGAGATTGATTCTCTGGAGTCCGAGAAAGCGCAACTCAAGGCGCGCCTTGCCGACTCTGAGGCACAAGTGCGACTCCTGAAATCGCGTCTTGAGTCAGCCACCGTGGACCCCTGGGAGTTCTCCGATTTCCTTCAAGAGCACACAGACTTCACGGATAATTGGGAGCGCCTCCACGACCGCTTCAAGCTCTGCATCAAGGACTCGAAGCCTCCCGAATCCTGGGACACTGTCATCAACGTCACGGCCATGGACAAGCGCAAGGCTGCGGTGGTCCCGTACCCAGAGAAAAGCACACGTATGCCTCCGTGGATCGTCTGGTCGTCCTGAAATTCTGGATCTCACGGATCCTGGCAGCAAGCCTCGCAGCGGTTCGAAGACCGGGGGCAAAACTCAGGATTCCAAGAAAGGTCAAGGCCCCAGAAAATCACGGGATTCCAAGGCGCCGGGCGAGTCGCCACGGCAGTCGGCGCACCGTAAGCCTAACAAAGTTCAGCGTCGCCCCAAGGATCACCAACCAGGCCGCGACTCTGTGCGTCGCGCCAGCGAGAAGACTGTGGTGTCCAAGGAGGCCGCACACACGATGCTCCCAGGGGGGGGTGTCGTCTGGAAGGAAGTTCGGCCAGACGTACGTCAGGCCATTCTTGCTGGGCTCAAGTACGACACAGCCATGGAGTGGATTGGTAGCGACCGGGCGGCTCATGGGCACTTCAGGCAGCCGGAGCTGATCAAGATGCTCGTGAGCATGATGTACTGGCGTCGTCTTGACCTGACTCCCTGGAGCAAGTACGTCCCTGAAGCCTACTACGAAATGGCAGACGAGCGTCTGGACAGGTGCCTTCGACGCGGTGATGTGCCACCACCCTGGGGGAACCTCGATGACCACATGGTGTACCCTGATGAGGACGCCGATTCCACGGTGGACGACATCGAGAACGACCCGGACTACCAGCCTCCCGCCCAGGAACTTGAGGAGAGCGCCTCTAGTAATAGCTCTGAAGAGGAGGAGGTCGCTCCTGAAACTCTGGAGGACATCGAGGATGCAGGGGACGACGACGACGCAGAGGACGACAATGGGGTAGAAGAACCCCTGGAAGTCAAGCCTCCTGCTAAGCGCCCCCGTTCTGAGTCAAACAAGAAACCTCAGGGTTCCAACTCGAAGTCGATGAAGAAACGTCGCACAGGAAACAAGACAGACACTTCTGCCACTCAGGGTTCTAGTGGTACTCAGGGGTCCAAGGCTACATCACGCTCCAAGCATCCGTCGACGCTCGCGCGGAAACCGTAATCGGAGCTCACTTCAAGTGAGTTGATGACGGCCGAAGACCCTGAAGACAACGAGACCTCCTGGCGCATCTATGGGGTTCTTGTTCAATATCCAAGTTCGACCAAGAGTGCGTCTTGCCAGACTCCCGGGTTCCCAGAGTACGAGATCCACAAGTATTCGTACGACGTTGCTCACGAGCCTCTGGGACCGCCAGGCATACCAAGAAGTCCTGGATTCTGAACCCTGGGAGACTATGCTTCAGGGTCGCTTCCGAGTGTTCTACTTCCATGAGCGAGAGCTACTCTCCGCGAAAGCGCTCAAGCTGATGGAGGACGTCGTGGACGTCATGCACAAGCACGCACAGGCAATCTGGGAGCGCGGGCACTGGGTGCCTATTCCGACTGAAGAACAAGCAGACGCCACCATGGAATCTCAGCGGAAGTCGCGTCGAAACGCGCTACGTAGAGCGTACAAGACGCTCGTCGAGCGCTCGCGCAACACCCCTGGGTTCATCCCGTCGTTGTGGCACGAACCGGGTCTCTGGAAGTTCCCGGACAAGTGCTGCTACTGGATTTGGGAGGATCCCAGGGCCAAGAAACTCGGGGGAGCTAAGTGCAAGGACTTAAACGTCCAGCTAGCGACGTTGGACATTCGTGAGCCTGCTCGAGTCCAATGGAACACGGCGGCTGACGACGATGAGTGGCTACAATACGTGCCGAACAACATCAAGCGCCACATCAAGCCCCTGGCCATCCGCAAGCTCAACCCGCTGTCTCTCAAGCACTCGTGAGAGTCAAGGTCACCTCCAAATCCCGAGAACCACCTGAATTGCACATGTCGTAGCGTAACTCTCCATAATACCCAGGATTTCATCTCGATTTCATTGTCTTCCTCAGAAAATCATCATTTTCTGACTTGTTCTCTGGGTCAGCCAACTTCGTTTACCGTTTCCATGTCTTTGTAAAGCTCGCCGCCTTCATCTTCCCTCTCACACACTGCCAAAGCCTCAGCAGTATCACCTTCTCCATAATCAAATCAAGTCAAATCACATTCACGTTTTCCGTCTCCAATATTCACACATTCCGTCGATTTTTCCCAGAGTTTCACAGTGTTACCCAGAGTTTCCCCTGAATATCACGTGTAACTCTGGGTCATTGTCACCCCAGAGTGCTAGAATCCTGGGTGATCATCTCCAGCCTGCATGGCCTGGAAACGGGCCCGCGCTCTTGCGCCTTGATTGAATTTGTAGAGCAGGGCACCACAGTTGAGCTTCGACACAGGCAGCCACTCGGTCTCATCATACCCCTTCCACTTCACAAGGTACTCACGAATTCGTCTCGCTGTCCGAGTCCGTTTAGTCCATCGCAAATCCAGGATTCGCTCAACTTCGTACTCACCGTTCGCAGCGTCGGGCTCCCAACTGTCTTCAGGCAACAGCGCTGCATCAAAGTCATCATCCTCGTCCACGTCGATCTCCACAGTGGGCCGCTTCGGGAATAGTGCTCTGGGTTTCAAACGGCTCACGTGTACCCAGGGATTCACGCGATATCTTGTGTTCTCGACCCTGAGTTTCACGCGGAAGTTGTCATGGATTTCCTGAATTCTGAAGGGGCCATGCCACATGTGAGCCAGTTTGCGGCTCAGCCCGGGCTGCACTTTGGGTATATACAGCCACACAGCATCACCGGCTGCGAATCCTGCCTTCAGTCGTTCGGACAGCTCTCTCCACTTCCTGGTTTGTTCGACAGAGCGCGCACGCTTGGCCTTCTTCTGAAGATCCTCAGCGCAAGCTTGTGCATAACTATTGTCACGCTGTAGCTTCCTGCGCCACTCGTACGCAGTGCGCTCCTGGATACTCGAGGGCCTGGGTCTTAACATTGCAGACACCGTGCCGTGTGCGTCCCAGCCGTGCACCAGAAAAAACGGAGTGTCCAGGCGAGTTGCATCGATCGATGTATTCAGGGCGAACATCAGGCGCTCAGCATGGTCGTCCCAGTCACTCTGGTCCGCCTCCGCAATGTACGCTCGAATGCTGCGCACGACAGTCTGCACCGACCGCTCCTGTTGTCCGTTCGCCTGGGGGCGATACGCTAGAGTGGCTCGCTGCTTGCTACCCAAAAGTTCACGGAAGCGCGTGAACACCTCACTCATGAACCTTGGGTCTTGGTCGTGCCTCAGCATCGAGCTCGCGCCGAATCTCCTGAAGACCTGCTCTTCGTACACTTCAGCCACATCTTGCGCCGTGGTGGAACTCATGGGTTTACACATGACGAATCCTGAGAACGCATCCTGAAAAAGCAGCAGGAACGTGTTCCCACGGTCCGACTTAGGCAAGTGTGTCGCGAAATCCATAGACACAACTTCAAAAGGGCGCCTCGGTTCGATGTTCCCAGGGGAAGGCCCTGGATTGTGAGGGCGCCCCTTGCCGCTGGCGCAATCCACACACTCTTTGACGAAAACGTCCACATCAGCGTACATGGCGTGCCAGTAGAAATCAGAACACAGCTTCTCGTACGTCTTCGTGATCCCCTGGTGCCCACCCTGAAAATCTTCGTGAGCGTAATGCAGGATATCCGGTCGCAGAGCTTTCGGCACCACGAGTCTGAGTTCGTCAACCATGTCTCGGGGTCGATCTCTGGTGGACCGACTCAAGCGGTACAGGACTTCTCTGGAATCCAACACGAAATCATCAGCGACTTTCGCGAGTTTCCTGGCTTGAGCGTGCGACAGCTTCGTCGTGTCTCCTTTCAGGAAATCCTTGAGTTGCAGCAGGTGATCATCTTTGTCCTGGTGCACTTTGATGCGTCGCCAGCGTTCCGCCTGGTACTCCAGAGGTCCCATGGGTTCGCTTTGGGCTTCGATCTCCTGAGTCCGCGCCCGAGTCATTACTGCAAACACTTTGGCCGCCACAAGCAACGGAGCGCACTCAGGTCCAGGGATACCCAGAGTTTCGACACCTTGAGAATCACTCCCCTGAATTCCACCATTCAATAACACCTTCGGTCTTACCAACTTCTCGTGAATCTTGGACACCAACTGCAGATGTGTTCGTTCGTAAGCATCCTCCACCTTCCAGGATTCACCAAGCGCGAGGGTCTTAGACGTCAGGTAGTCTGCGGCCTGGTTAAACTCTCGCTTGACATGCACCAGCCGCACAGACTTGAACTTCGTCTTCAGCACTTTATACTCAGCCAGCTTCCTCTGGAGATTTGGCTGATTGCAGTTGATGAGACCCTGGGCTTGCTGGATGGCAATCCTGGAGTCCCCACCCACAACGATGTCCTGAATTCCACGCTCAATCGCCAGAGTGAGGCCCTTCAGAAGTCCATAATACTCAGCGTCGTTCACAATCACGTCCTCCAGGGTGAATCCCTGGGCATCCAGGATTTCCCACCCGGGGACATGCCTTAGGATGCAGCCGCAGCTCCCTTGTCGCGTGGAAGTCTTAGCGGCGCCATCGAAGCTCAGACTAGTCTGCTTCCAGTATTTCCATACTGATAGGCACTGGAGGTTTAACGCGCCCCTTGGCTGGGATCAGGTTCTCAGCGATCTCATCCAAGTGTTCTCTGGGAGTATTACCCGCACCCAGAATTGCAGCCAAGTCGTCTTCATCCCGTTGAACTCTGCGTATCTCCAGGTTCCAGTGGGACAACTTCAGACCCCACTTCACCGTTCGACCGTCTGCCGACTGCGAGGTCAGCAACCACTTCAACACAGAATATCGCGTGTAGACGACGATCTTAGGGTTGTCTTCAACCAAAGTGCGAAACACCTCCAGGACTCTTAGGATAGCAATCACCTCCTTTTCCGCAATGTGATACCGCAGCTCAGCGTCATTCAAAACGCGACCTGTGAATCGAACCGGGTGCACAATCCTGTCGTACTCCTGGCCCAACACAGCGGATGCTGCCCACGGGTTCGCGTGGAGAATAATCACGAAGGGCCTTGAACGATCTGGGTGTCTGAGCAACGGAGTCGAAACGATCTTGCGCTTCAGGATTTCAAAAGCTTCCTGGGATAGGTCTCTCCTGGATTTCACTTGTTCCTCAGTCAGCTCGTACAGGACGGCCGCGATCACGGGTAGATCTTCAATGAACTTGTTGTAGTAATTCAGACTCCCCATGAAACTCTGGACGCCTTTCACTGTCGTCAGGAACGGCAAGTCTTGGACCCCCTTCGCGATTTTAGGGGTCGCTCGGATGCCCTCAGCACTAATCTCGTGAGAGAGGTACGGAATGGACAACTTCCCGAATTCGCTCTTGGGAAGACTCACAGAGATATTCCAGTAACGTAGTCGGAAGAGCAGCGCGTTCAGATCCTGGCACAGCTGCTCCCAAGTAGGCGCACCGCGGGCGATGTCGTCGATATACGAGCTTCGACCCAGGACAGGGCCCATCTGAGAGGGAGCCGGGATGTTACGCTGAAAAACAGTCATCTCATCCGCCAACACTGAAAGTCGCGGAACATTTTCACCTGAAACTCTGGGTTCCCCAGTGTTCAACCCCCAAAAGTCCAAGACATCTTGGTCGACCTCAGCTTCTTCCTCAGGGGAAAGCCGCTGAAATCCCCACAGACAGTTATTGAGAACTGCCTGGTAGATCAGCGGCGCGTTCTTGAGGCCAAACGGCATCCTGACCCACTGGTAGTGCCGATAGAGACAGACGAACGCAGAGATCAACTTGGCTCTCTCGGTCATCTTGATAGCCCAGAAACCACTCGCCATGTCCAAGCTCATAAACCACATCGCCGACTCAAAGCCAATCAAAAGGTCATCAATAAGCGGCAGCGGATAGTGTGAGAGCTTGATGAAGCCATTCACCACGCGATAGTCGATGCACATCCGGATGTCGACGCCATTATTCCTGAGGACGATCACGATTGGAGATGCCCAGGGGACGTAGAAGTCTCGATCAGCCCGTTCTCCAGAAGCTTCTTCAGAAGTTCATACACCTTAGTCCACAGGTGCGGTGCAATGGACCTTGGACACTGGGCAACAGGTTTAGCGTCGCCTACATCCAGGTCACAAACCACTCCACGGGCAGGTGGGGGAGCTGCATTGCCGTCTCCCAAGAAGATCTTCCGATGATATTCCAGAATTCGCCTCACTTGGTCTTCCATCGCGGGCGTCGTTTTCCCAGGGACTCCAACATCTGCCTCCTCGATCATGCACTCAGGGGTCAAGTCACGCATCTCAGGAAGCATATGTAGACCGCAGGCTCGTAGTCGAGGTCCTCTGTCGAAAGCCGCATGCAGCGCTCATATTCCTGCTTCAGCTTCTCCAACGGAGTTCCTGGCATCTCTGAGATCGGGATATCCCAGTAATCTTCAACAGCACCCTGAGAATCGTCGTCATCCACATCGAATCCCAGAGAATCACCTTCGTCGCACCACTGACCCTGAGAATCACTGCCAACTTCAACCTGTAAACTCAGGGTTTCAGCGGCCGTATCACCTTCAGGACTCGTGTCCTCTGGGGTTCCGACAGTCTGCGAGGCAACATCGGTCACCGCCTCCTACAGAACGTCACCCAAGTCACTCGTATCAACAGCAACGTCTCGGAGTTCAGGAGGGTCTTCAGGAGGCACTCCTTCAGTCTGAGTTGCAGCGTCTTCAGCGAAGCGCACGCGACGAGGCTTCGGTTTCCTGAGAATCGAGGCAAGCAGTGCCATGTCGGGGCCCTTTGCAGGTCGCGGCAGAATCTTCGTAGGCCACTGATACTCTGGGGTCTTGACACAGGATGGCTCAAGCGCAGCCAGGCGTTCCGCCCGAAGTCTGCCCTCACGCGACTGTGTAATCCCTGTCGGCTCGTTTGTCTTCGACGGAACAGCACTCCACCGGTTGAAAATGTTGCCTCGAAGAAGTGCGGGAGCGCACGTCTACTTCAGAACGCACCTCCACACCAAAAGGCAAACCCAGAGAATCAGATCCCCTGAAACCCAGAATATCACGAATTCAGGGTCCAGGATTTCAGTCAACTCTGGGACTTGGAACTCAGAAGACACCTTACCCAAATGCCCTCCTAGCTCGATAAAACCAACAAATACACACTAGGCTCACTCGAGTCTGAAATTCAGGGGCCTAGCTCCCCTGAGACTCACACAAACGCGCACCACCTCCAATAAAGGAGGAAAATACAATCACTATCAGTTACCTTCCCTTCACACAAGCAGTCAATACAAAATCCTGGAGGCGACTACCTAGCACCCCAGAATACCCTCTGGAATAATATGAAATGGGCTACCACGAGCACAGCAAGTGACCCAACTAGGATATGGAATAGATGGATCACCCCAGGAAGCTCAAGGCCGTCGCTGGTCACCACCTAACTGGACTTGAGTTTGATGGAGCCCACACAGACGGCTGTCCTTCGCCGTTGATGTACCCTTAGCGTCCCACGGTCGTAGTCTCGGGTCCTCCGGATTTCCGTCGGCAGGCTTGGCCGAAGTCACTTGCGCAGTACAGGGTAAAATGAACTCTGTTTGGTTTTTATCAGCTACTTCTCTCTCTCTCTCTCTCTCTTCTTGGTAACAAGTCTGCTACATTGCAGGCCTGCGTGAATCTCCACAAAGCCACACTTTTAGCGGGTTTAGCGGCCTCCTGCGCATGATCACGGTAGTAGTGGGTTGATTCTCAGGGTAATTTGATCCTCTGGGGCACTCTGAGCCACAGCAAGATGAGGTGTACTCTGGGATACATTCTCCAGAGACACTTTCCGCCAGACTTTAGGCACTCATCGTAAGGGAAAGTCCGCGGCTGGACTGAGTGTTCTCTGAAATTCTGGGCGCGGAAACCCAGAGTGCCACACGATGACCCAGAGTTCACCTCCCTGAGTACAGGTGACCCAGAGTTCCAAAGATGATTCTCTGGGCTTGGACCATAAATCCAGACTCTTTATACTGAACTTAAGTGTTTCCCAAACCAACACCCAAGAATTCCTACAGTTCCCCAATATTCCTCAGAATCCCCAGGATTTCAGAAGATGACCCTGAGTGTCACTTGATTCTCAGGGATTCAAGTCAGTTCGAAGCCAGTCTGCAATCAAAATGATGCGTGACCTTGAAGAACCGTCATGGATGCACAGACTGGATACTTTCGAGGAGTCGAGAGGGAGTCCTGCACCATACTAAACCCAGTCTAAGGACTTTCGACGCCGTGCGACAATGGATTCGCAAGCCGATCGCAAGTTTGGACCGCTGATCCCAAGGTATACTCAAGACAAGACATTTTGACCCCGGGCAAATATCTTCTGTTCACTATGCTTGCAGATGGGCCCAACTGGCTGGAAGTGTGAATCCTCGGTCAGACGCTGGATTCATCCCGAGAATTCACTTCTCTCCCATAGTCGCCATCCATGTCACACGGGTACAGCCGCGCCGTATCCAAGTCATCCACCAATCAGCATCCGATACAAACTCCAGGTCACAGAGGTGACAGCACATCGTCGGCAATATTCTGGAGACCGCCTCGTGTCATCACGCCCGTCGTCCTCCCCAGCCGTCCCCACCAGTCTGTCCTCATCCAACGAAGGCTCTCGCACGCCGTCGCTGTGCTCCAGCCCGATGGAGCTGCAGTACTTTGTCGGTAGGTTGTCGGCAACGCTGGCTCGTACAGAATCGCATTGCCACTCGACGCGGCCACACCGCCGCCAGAAAACACGCGGCGGGTCTACGTCACGCTACTTCTCGACGCGGCTTGCCGCCAACATCGTTCCGACCAGCACATCTATGCCGGCGACATGCCGACCGCAGCAGCTCGAAGACAGAATGGCCGGCAAGCACAGGGGCTGCTTCGATAGGCAGTCGACGGCGACCTTATAGTAGAGATCAAATCAACATCATTGTGCATTTTCTGGTTAGGACTACGAGCTCTTCAATTCTGCTATGGCGACTAGTTTTTCTGCGCCTTCTTCGCTTTCAGCTCATTGGCCTGCACCTCCAACTCCTTTACCCGGCGCTTGAGCGCTTTGTTATCCGCCCTCGCTTTCGCCTCGAACTCCTCGGCCTGTGCACGCACCCCCGCACAGTCTGCTTCGAGCTGTTGCTTCAACTGCACCTCCATGTTGTGTACGTACTGCGTGGCTTCTCGCACTACGGTCCCATGCACACGTCCAAATTCTGCAATCCTCTTCAATTGTTCGTCTGTCATCAAAAATGCGTCAGCAGCAGCACTAAACACTAAACCAATACACACCCAACCTACTCGTAAAATGGCCTTCAACCTGCAAAATAACTATTTGCCTCCACAACTCAAGCTCTTTCACGGAGAGCGTCACCACCGCTTCTTCGTCCTCCTCACAACTAGAATCCGCTGCTGCCTCGTGTCGACCGACCTCGCTGTCGTCTCCGCTGCTGCCGTCGCAAGAGGAGTCCATGAATGCCTGCGAAGCTCGGAGTGAGAGTGAGCTGGCGACGAGCGCTAGGCGTGCGGGCAATCAGGCCGAGCCGCATGACAACAAATATGGAACCATTTTGAAGAAGAAAAGAAAAAAACACGGCAGTCTTCGACGCAGTCACCACATGAACCTCCATGTCTGGTTGGCGATGGTGTCGTCCGCATCGCTTAAGCTGAGCTTTTTTGTCTCACGGGATTTTGGCACATGGTACCACAATTGGCGTCCATCCACCACATATGGTACATGGTACCATAATCGCGTATGCGAGCCGGCGTTGCCGATAACCGACCGACAAAGTACTGCGGCTCCATCGGGCTGCAGCACAGCGACGGCGTGCGAGAGCCTTCGGTGGATCAGGACAGACTGGTGGGGAAAGCAGGCGAGGACGAGGAACGTGATCTCGCGCTATTGCAGCGCTGCTGTGGTAGTATCGTGGTGGCACTGCTCGTGTCCACGGCCAGCGTGTCGGCTCCGGTCGGTCGTTGGGGGCAGTGATGTGAACAAGAAGCGCTTTGTGCGCTGCAGTCGGCATGTCGCCGGCATAGATGTGCTGGTCGGAATGATGTTGGCGGCAAGCCACGTCGAGGAGTAGCGTGGAGTGGGCCGAGGATTGTGTTATCTGGCAGCACGGAGGCCGAGGCGAGTGGCGATGTCATTCTGTACGTGCCGGCGTTGCCGTCAACCGATCGACGCAGTATCGCGGCTCCATCGGCCTGGAGCACAGCGACGGCGTGCGAGAGCCTTCGGTGGATGCGGACAGACCGGTGGGGAAAGCAGGCGAGGACGAGGAACGTGATCTCGCGCTATTGCAGCGCTGCTGTGGTAGTATCGTGGTGGCACTGCTCGTGTCCACGGCCAGCGTGTCGGCTCCGGTCGGTCGTTGGGGGCAGTGATGTGAACAAGAAGCGCTTTGTGCGCTGAGGCCGGCATGTCGCCGGCATAGACGTGCTGGTCGGAATGATGTTGGCGGCAAGCCACGTCGAGGAGTAGCGTGGAGTGGGCCGAGGATTGTGTTATCTGGCAGCACGGAGGCCGAGGCGAGTGGCGATGTCATTCTGTACGTGCCGGCGTTGCCGTCAACCGATCGACGCAGTATCGCGGCTCCATCGGCCTGGAGCACAGCGACGGCGTGCGAGAGCCTTCGGTGGATGCGGACAGACCGGTGGGGAAAGCAGGCGAGGACGAGGAACGTGATCTCGCGCTATTTCAGCGCTGCTGTGGTAGTATCGTGGTGGCACTGCTCGTGTCCACGGCCAGCGTGTCGGCTCCGGTCGGTCGTTGGGGGCAGTGATGTGAACAAGAAGCGCTTTGTGCGCTGAGGCCGGCATGTCGCCGGCATAGACGTGCTGGTCGGAATGATGTTGGCGGCAAGCCACGTCGAGGAGTAGCGTGGAGTGGGCCGAGGATTGTGTTATCTGGCAGCACGGAGGCCGAGGCGAGTGGCGATGTCATTCTGTACGTGCCGGCGTTGCCGTCAACCGATCGACGCAGTATCGCGGCTCCATCGGCCTGGAGCACAGCGACGGCGTGCGAGAGCCTTCGGTGGATGCGGGCAGACCGGTGGGGAAAGCAGGCGAGGACGAGGAACGTGATCTCGCGCTATTTCAGCGCTGCTGTGGTAGTATCGTGGTGGCACTGCTCGTGTCCACGGCCAGCGTGTCGGCTCCGGTCGGTCGTTGGGGGCAGTGATGTGAACAAGAAGCGCTTTGTGCGCTGAGGCCGGCATGTCGCCGGCATAGACGTGCTGGTCGGAATGATGTTGGCGGCACGCCACGTCGAGGAGTCGAGGATTGTGTTATCTGGCAGCACGGAGGCCGAGGCGAGTGGCGATGTCATTCTGTACGTGCCGGCGTTGCCGTCAACCGATCGACGCAGTATCGCGGCTCCATCGGCCTGGAGCACAGCGACGGCGTGCGAGAGCCTTCGGTGGATGCGGACAGACCGGTGGGGAAAGCAGGCGAGGACGAGGAACGTGATCTCGCGCTATTTCAGCGCTACCGTGGTAGTATCGTGGTGGCACTGCTCGTGTCCACGGCCAGCGTGTCGGCTCCGGTCGGTCGTTGGGGGCAGTGATGTGAACAAGAAGCGCTTTGTGCGCTGAGGCCGGCATGTCGCCGGCATAGACGTGCTGGTCGGAATGATGTTGGCGGCAAGCCACGTCGAGGAGTAGCGTGGAGTGGGCCGAGGATTGTGTTATCTGGCAGCACGGAGGCCGAGGCGAGTGGCGATGTCATTCTGTACGTGCCGGCGTTGCCGTCAACCGATCGACGCAGTATCGCGGCTCCATCGGCCTGGAGCACAGCGACGGCGTGCGAGAGCCTTCGGTGGATGCGGACAGACCGGTGGGGAAAGCAGGCGAGGACGAGGAACGTGATCTCGCGCTATTTCAGCGCTGCTGTGGTAGTATCGTGGTGGCACTGCTCGTGTCCACGGCCAGCGTGTCGGCTCCGGTCGGTCGTTGGGGGCAGTGATGTGAACAAGAAGCGCTTTGTGCGCTGAGGCCGGCATGTCGCCGGCATAGACGTGCTGGTCGGAATGATGTTGGCGGCAAGCCACGTCGAGGAGTAGCGTGGAGTGGGCCGAGGATTGTGTTATCTGGCAGCACGGAGGCCGAGGCGAGTGGCGATGTCATTCTGTACGTGCCGGCGTTGCCGTCAACCGATCGACGCAGTATCGCGGCTCCATCGGCCTGGAGCACAGCGACGGCGTGCGAGAGCCTTCGGTGGATGCGGACAGACCGGTGGGGAAAGCAGGCGAGGACGAGGAACGTGATCTCGCGCTATTTCAGCGCTACCGTGGTAGTATCGTGGTGGCACTGCTCGTGTCCACGGCCAGCGTGTCGGCTCCGGTCGGTCGTTGGGGGCAGTGATGTGAACAAGAAGCGCTTTGTGCGCTGAGGCCGGCATGTCGCCGGCATAGACGTGCTGGTCGGAATGATGTTGGCGGCAAGCCACGTCGAGGAGTAGCGTGGAGTGGGCCGAGGATTGTGTTATCTGGCAGCACGGAGGCCGAGGCGAGTGGCGATGTCATTCTGTACGTGCCGGCGTTGCCGTCAACCGATCGACGCAGTATCGCGGCTCCATCGGCCTGGAGCACAGCGACGGCGTGCGAGAGCCTTCGGTGGATGCGGACAGACCGGTGGGGAAAGCAGGCGAGGACGAGGAACGTGATCTCGCGCTATTTCAGCGCTGCTGTGGTAGTATCGTGGTGGCACTGCTCGTGTCCACGGCCAGCGTGTCGGCTCCGGTCGGTCGTTGGGGGCAGTGATGTGAACAAGAAGCGCTTTGTGCGCTGAGGCCGGCATGTCGCCGGCATAGACGTGCTGGTCGGAATGATGTTGGCGGCAAGCCACGTCGAGGAGTAGCGTGGAGTGGGCCGAGGATTGTGTTATCTGGCAGCACGGAGGCCGAGGCGAGTGGCGATGTCATTCTGTACGTGCCGGCGTTGCCGTCAACCGATCGACGCAGTATCGCGGCTCCATCGGCCTGGAGCACAGCGACGGCGTGCGAGAGCCTTCGGTGGATGCGGACAGACCGGTGGGGAAAGCAGGCGAGGACGAGGAACGTGATCTCGCGCTATTTCAGCGCTGCTGTGGTAGTATCGTGGTGGCACTGCTCGTGTCCACGGCCAGCGTGTCGGCTCCGGTCGGTCGTTGGGGGCAGTGATGTGAACAAGAAGCGCTTTGTGCGCTGAGGCCGGCATGTCGCCGGCATAGACGTGCTGGTCGGAATGATGTTGGCGGCAAGCCACGTCGAGGAGTAGCGTGGAGTGGGCCGAGGATTGTGTTATCTGGCAGCACGGAGGCCGAGGCGAGTGGCGATGTCATTCTGTACGTGCCGGCGTTGCCGTCAACCGATCGACGCAGTATCGCGGCTCCATCGGCCTGGAGCACAGCGACGGCGTGCGAGAGCCTTCGGTGGATGCGGGCAGACCGGTGGGGAAAGCAGGCGAGGACGAGGAACGTGATCTCGCGCTATTTCAGCGCTGCTGTGGTAGTATCGTGGTGGCACTGCTCGTGTCCACGGCCAGCGTGTCGGCTCCGGTCGGTCGTTGGGGGCAGTGATGTGAACAAGAAGCGCTTTGTGCGCTGAGGCCGGCATGTCGCCGGCATAGACGTGCTGGTCGGAATGATGTTGGCGGCAAGCCACGTCGAGAAGTAGCGTGGAGTGGGCCGAGGATTGTGTTATCTGGCAGCACGGAGGCCGAGGCGAGTGGCGATGTCATTCTGTACGTGCCGGCGTTGCCGTCAACCGATCGACGCAGTATCGCGGCTCCATCGGCCTGGAGCACAGCGACGGCGTGCGAGAGCCTTCGGTGGATGCGGACAGACCGGTGGGGAAAGCAGGCGAGGACGAGGAACGTGATCTCGCGCTATTTCAGCGCTGCTGTGGTAGTATCGTGGTGGCACTGCTCGTGTCCACGGCCAGCGTGTCGGCTCCGGTCGGTCGTTGGGGGCAGTGATGTGAACAAGAAGCGCTTTGTGCGCTGAGGCCGGCATGTCGCCGGCATAGACGTGCTGGTCGGAATGATGTTGGCGGCAAGCCACGTCGAGGAGTAGCGTGGAGTGGGCCGAGGATTGTGTTATCTGGCAGCACGGAGGCCGAGGCGAGTGGCGATGTCATTCTGTACGTGCCGGTGTTGCCGTCAACCGATCGACGCAGTATCGCGGCTCCATCGGCCTGGAGCACAGCGACGGCGTGCGAGAGACTTACGAGGTTATACGGGGGATTCACTATACAGTGGGCGGCGACCTCAGGGTCTTGATGAACTGGCCCAATACACTGGAGCCACTTTCGAACTTGGTACCTGCGGACCGAGAGCAGATCGAGCGTGCTAACGGTATTGCAGGCAACTAATACGCTTCAAATACATATCCTTTGCTTTTTCCTCTAGCTACCTGTTTGTTTTATTTTTCAAAGATATTCAACACCGTCCTAGCCAACGTGCTTGATGTGTGGTCTCGCGCTGGTGTTTCTCGTCTTTGAGAGCATTCTCTGCCTCCAGAGCACGCTTGGACATCTCATCCAGCTTGGCTTGCAGGTTTCGGACTTGCACGTTCGCATTCTCCTCTGCTCTCTCAGCCTTCGCCTTTGCCTCTCGAAGCAGCTGAGCTACCTCGGTGTCTTGCTTGTCGTTCTTGTCCTCTTTGTTCTTGATCATGCTGAAATACTGCTGACTGAGCAGGTAATTTTTGTCGGCCATGTTCTCAGCCTTCCTCGTCGAATGTATCAAGCGCTCGCGCTCGCGCTCGAGGTCATTCACTCTCTTTCGTAGTTTAGCAACCTCGGCGTCACGATCTCCGGTGGGGGAGCTCGCTTTAGATGATCCCATTGCTTGAACGACACGCGGGAGGGGGAGGTAGTGGGGAGGCACGCGGGTGGGGGGGCGAGATGATGGCGTGCAGAACGACATGGGGGAGGATTCGCACTGGATTCGCAAAAACTGGCTACGAAGCCACACACCTTGTTACCTATCCCTAGAATTTACTGAACATAGAAAACCCGCGAGATATTGCTTGTAGCAGCCTCCGACATGTTTCATGAACGCTTAGGTGCTATTCTTGCCACAATGTCGAGGTGCATGTAGGAGGTATGTCAGCTGGAAGGACAGAAAAATGATACAATGATCTGTTTTATGCAGATTCATACAAAAATCTTTATACGAGTATGTATGAGCCTCCGACAAGCAAACAATCTCGCTTCCACGGAGATGAGCACGGGGAATGAGGGGTTAAGCGGGAACTTGTTTTAGGTTACCGGTGATTGGAGTTAGAGATAATAATATCAGGCTCCGGAATAGCGAAGCGTGTGCCCTCCCTCCAATCATCCGCCCAAACAGTTTGCTCTTTCACCCCTCGTTCTTCGTCTTCCAGTTAAGATACCGCACTCCGTTGTAGAAGTTCTCTTTAGACATACTCATTCGAGCGACTCGACTATCACGCGCGTCTGCGTCCCTGGAAGGTAAAACGCGTTCTTTCTTGGATGCATTCCACATGCACAACCTACCAAGCTCGACATTGCTATTTACCTGACTCGCATCGGTTCCTCGCAGAAGGGGAAATGCAAGTCTTGCGGGATTGACTAGTCCAGACAAGTTGATGTATTATAGAGAAGCATACTATCCAGGATAATCGACACTTACTCAGTTACCTGTAACTTTACATCACTTCCAGCGGGAACTAAAATCAACTTACAGGTAAATGGAGAACACTAGGCCTAACTGTCCTAACTGTCCTAAAGGTTGTCCTAAAGGTTGTCCTAATTAGGACTGTTAGGACAGCTATCTTAAATTACCGTTACCGTCATTTATGGGAGTATCATTTCGGTTTTCTTAGGACAGTTTAGGACATTTAGGACTGTTTTAGTGCAGATAACCCGACACCCCAGATCCAAATCCATGTCATGTCATGTCGGAATACGGACATGAAAAAAATCTTCCCTGGTCTTTGTATTCGCGTCGACACCAGCTCAAAGATCAGTTCGCTGTTATTACTGTAGCACAGTGAAGTAGTAAATGCGTGGTTTTCAGCAGCAGATTTTTGCGTATACCCTCGCTAAGTAAGCGAGTAAATGTAATGTAAATGCAACTAAAGAGATCTGTACTGTTCGCTTGCACAATTTACAGAACAAAATGCATCCATTAAATACCGCGAGATAAAGCAGCACTAGCGACAAGGGCACAGACTCGATATGCGTTGAATTTACCGTAAAAGTCAGACTGTTAGTTTTTTTTTTCTGTCATACAGTGTTGGTGTTTTTAATCAACACCAACTCCTACAGACCAGACCGAATGAGCGGCTTCAAATACTCTTCGTACCCAATCGTGACTTCATGCTGATTCAGGGGCTCGTCCTCGACTCGCTTCACCAGTGCGCGGTAGATGCCCCCATCATATTGGCCGATGGTCGAGTTCAGCTCGAAGTCGGTAAAATCCCATGCGTCCGTCAGCAGCACGCAGTTCCTGCGGATAATCGGGAGTAAGCGCATGAGTTGCTTGAGCACCAAGTTGACTTGGCTCGAAGAGAGGTAATCGTGCTGGCGGAAATCCCCCAGGGATTTGGTGATGAGCCACACGCCCAATAGCGACGCCAAGTCGGACAAAGCCTGCTTCTCAGGTCCAATATGGAGTTTCTCAACGGCCCGGACAAAATGTTCGAGCAGTATCATCTCCGTGTGCGCAGTTGACGCCTTGGTCATGAGGATCATGCACGCGTTGCTATCGTTCTTGGTAGCCTTCATTATCCCAGCCAGGGATAGCAGCGAGCGGGTGGCGCGTACTCGGAACGCTTCGAGGAACACGTTGAAGTTGCCAAAATCCTCAGAGCTCTGAGCCTTGCAACGTAACGCGACGTTGGCAAACTTCTTCTTGTCGTTGAGGAATTGCGTCGATGCACCACTGCACAGCTGCGAGGCGAGCGTTTTGAGCAGATAGTGCGCGTGTTGCTGCACCAGTACATCTGACGTTCCTTCAAACGTGTTGGCTCCCGCGATCTCTGCAAACAAATGGCCGAGGTTACTGGACTGAGAGAATCCGTGACCACCACACAGTCGACGACAGGTCTCAACACCTTCAATAGCCTTATCCGCGACCCAAGCCTTCAGACCAGACGTTACCGCGTGGAGTTCAGCCAACATGGCGCCAAAGCCAGCGTCTCCACTCTTGATGCTTTCCAGAGCCGCATCGTGCATCTTCAACACGACCGACCCTGCGAATTGCGAGGCGTAGGAGATGGCAATCAACGGGAACAGCGCGTACTGCTGGTTCTGGTAGCCCAGCACCTGGAACTCGCCCTTCCCGTCGGACTTTCGACCTTGGATACGAGCAGCACTGAAGCGAGTGGCGATCGTCGTTGCCATCGCCAGGCGTTCGCCAAGCTTCTTAATCAGAACTGCACGCACTCGCACCATGGTGAGGTACACGAGTTTGTCGCTCTTCGGCTTGACGAAGGTACCGTCAGGGAGCACCTTTGCATACCTCATCATCATGTTTTCCCTCGGGATTCGGACGTTGTGGAAGCTGCAGTCGCCGTTGTCGACAGCGTTGAAGCCGATCTTCGGACCGATGTCCCGCACTTTGATGCCAGGCATCGGCTTGTGGTCGTCAAGGGAGCGAATCTGCACGATAAACGACTGCACACCAGCGTCTTTGCCATCCGGCAACAGTCGGGCGATCACGATGGCGTGAGTTGCCGTCTTGCCCAGACCCCCGGGCCACCACTTGCGACTCGTCAATGTGGGCGAGTGAATAACGAACTCTTGCGTCGACTTGTCGTATGTGGCAGTAGTCTCGATGCCCTGCACATTGGACCCGTGGCCAAGTTCCGTCTGCGCGTAGGCCCCGATGATCCGGTAGCTCGAGGCTAGAGGCAGCCACTTGGCTCGTTGTTCGTCGGTGCCTTGGCTCTCGATGGTTGGGATAAACATTTCGCGGTGCAAGTCGAACGGCACTTGCTCACCCAAGGCGTTGAGCAGGGTGGCTTGCTCTTCGGCAGTGTAGCTCCCGTCCTGCACCATCTTGACGTAGTGGAAGGCCTTCTTCAGCCCGAAGAGGTAGCGCTCCGAGTGGTTGCGGTAGACCATGTCGCGGTCCGACAGCACGGGATGCTGCTCGATGACCTTCACGAGCTGCTTGCGACGGTCGTTAGCTGTCTTGCCGCCACGCAGCATGTTCGTGAGCACTGCTGGGTCGACGTCACCACTGGCGCGCTCCTTCTTGAGCAGCAATGGGGCCAGGTCCTTTAATTCCACGGACATCTTGGGTGGTTGGGGTGAAGTTTGAGCTTGAGTTGAGGAGGACGGAGAAAGTTGTAGAATGAGAGCGAAGCCAAGCGGACGGCAACAACGAGGACGCAGCCATGGCCGTCTTGGTGGTCTGTCCGTGCAGCGGGGCCGCTGATTCCGCCAGGCCAAGGGCGTCTACCAGATCAACGCCTGAGATCTCGCCTCATCAATCAGTGGTACCCCACTTCAGCTTGTACCACTCTCCTCCCATTCGTCCATATTCGTCTCCATTATCATCCAATCCTCTTCTCTGAAAGATACGTCGCCAACACTGGCCAAAACTCTTCCTCACGTTCCCATCATGACGTCCGAGGCGCAGGAAGTGCTGAGCTTCTGGTTCGATGGCGACCAGGCCGAGACGTACCGCTCTAAGTGGTTCCCGTCCGACGGCTCGGACAGGCAGCAGGCCACCGACGTGCAAGTTGCGCAACAGTTCGGCGCTCTGCTCGCGCGCGCGGAGGCCGGAGAGCTCGAGAGCTGGCGCGACGAGAGCCCCGACGCCTGCGTGGCGCTCATCCTGGTGCTGGACCAGTTCTCCAGACACGTGTACAGGGACCGCAATGCTGCTGCAAACGCAGAGCAACTCAAGCGCAACGACGCCCATGCACTGGCAATTGTGGAGCAGAGCTTGCTCCCCAAGCGCTGGCACGAGACGCTGCCCGTGCCGCGCTTCGTGTTCGCGCTGATGCCGCTGCGTCACTCACCGACACCCGAGCGGCTCAATGACGTCCTTGCGGCCATTGAAGCCCGTCGCCAATTGCAGGAGCAACACGGCGACTTGCTGGAGAAGTTCCGGCGCACGACGACTGGGAGGTTGCAGCACCTGCGAGGAGGACCCGACACGGAGTCGACGACGGGTGGCATCTCGGACGACGACATCCTGGAGCGCGCGTTCATGGAGACGGACGAGAGCGACATGCCCAGGAATCGGCTGTACAGGGCTATGGATGAGTATCTGACGCAGATGAAGGCTCGTGAGCACTCGCACCTGGCCGTGTCGCTGTCTGGAGGAGTGGACTCGATGGTGGTGGCGTACCTGATGCACAAGCTGAGTGACAAGCACGGAGGGTTCAAGATCGTGGCGGTGCATCTTGACTATGGCAACCGCGCTGAAAGTGGAGCCGAGTGTGACTACGTGCGTCGTTGGTGCGAGAGGTTTGGCATCATTTTCCACGTCCGAAGGATTGACGAGGTGAAGCGAGCAACCACTAAGCGTGATGACTACGAGCGCGTGTCACGGGAGATCCGATACACCACGTATGCGGAGGTGATGGAGAAGTACGGGATCCCTGGTATGTGCTTTGGTCACCACCGTGGCGACGTCCAGGAGAACGTTATCTCCAATATGATGAAGGGGCTGAGCCTGCTGAACCTGAACGGCATGGCGGCTAGCAGTATCGTGAACGGCGTCCGCATCTGGCGTCCGCTGCTGGACTTCGACAAGGACATCATCTTCGACTACGCCCACCGATACGGCATCCCGTACTTCAAGGACACGACGCCCAAGTGGAGCACGCGCGGCAAGCTGCGCAACCACCTCGTCCCGCTGCTCCGGGGTATGTACGGCGACGGGTTCCTCAACAACCTGTCGGCTCTTGGCGCCGAGTCGACGCAGTGCGCGGAGCTCGTGGACTCTCAAGTGCTGGCGCCCATCATGCAGTCGGTCGGACAGAGCGAAGTGGCTGTGTGGGTGGACTGCGGCCTGCTCTCGGACCAGCCCTTCTTCGTGTGGAAGGAGGTGTTCCGGCAGGTGTGCCACTCCATCATGGGCAACAGCATGGTGCGCGAGAAGCCGCTGCACGAGCTCATCCAGAAGCTGGAGCGTCTGGAGGCCGGTCCCGTGGGCAAGGCCAAGCACAAGAACAAGGACGCCGAGGTCGGGTCCTGGGTCACGCTCAAGAAGGGCAACCGGTCGTTCCTGACCAAGGACAAGCAGCTCATCATCTTCCGCGACCGGTTCTTCCCTCGCAAGGCGTACGCGGCTGCCCAGCTCCCCATTGTCGCGGGCGAATCGTACGTGTTTGGTCCGTGGCAGGTGAAGACGGAACTGCTGGACGGAGACCATGCCATTGTCCAAGAGCTCCGCGACCGCAAGCCGTTGGCCGTGTGGGACCTCGTGCACGCCAGCGGCCTGTCGTACGTGTTCCCCAACGCTCCGCAATTGGTGATCGACTGCGACTCGCGATTCCACGTGCTGCGCGCCATCGATAAGGTCATCACGGACGCCATGCCCATCGTGTCCTCGGTCGGCGCCTTCGACGTCGTCACGCCCGGCGACGTCACCTCCAAATGGGTACATGTCACTATGCGCTACACCAACTCCCAATAGAAGCCCCCTACCTGTCACTAAAGTGAGTCGCCCTTATTTTCAACCAATCGCCGCAGCCTGCCTCTTGACTGGACCAACTCTCCTTCCATTCCCAATAAAAGGCTGAAGGGCTCGCTGCTAGACGTCCCAAGCCTCCTCGTTCTACCCATCTTCCTCTGCCTGTAGCCATGTCGGAGCTGACGCCCGAGGCCTCCCGCCTGTACCGCGTGCGCAAGACGACGGTCAAGATGCTGCACAACCGCGGCTACATCGTGAGCGAGAACGAGCTCGTGATGACGCCCGAGGCCTTCCAGGCGCAGTTCGGCGACAACCCGACGCGCGAGATGATGACGATCCTCGTGGAGAAGATCGACGACCCGAGCGATAATTTATTCGTCTTCTTCCCGGAGGACACCAAGGTGGGCGTCAAGCCCATCCGCAACTACTGCAACCGCATGAAGGACGAGAACGTGACCAAGGCCATCCTCGTGGTGCAGGAGGGCATCACGCCCTTCGCGCGCCAGGCGCTCAACGAGATGGCGCCGCGCTACAAGATCGAGCACTTCAAGGAGACGGAGCTGCTCGTGGACATCACGGAGCACACGCTCGTGCCCGTGCACCGCGTGCTGGGCCGCGACGAGAAGGCCGCGCTGCTCAAGCGCTACCGCATCCGGGACTCGCAGCTGCCGCGCATGCAGGTCACCGACCCCATCGCGCGCTACTACGGCATGACGCGCGGACAGGTGGTCAAGATCATCCGTCCGTCCGAGACGGCCGGACGCTACGTCACGTACCGCGCTGTCATCTAAATACCCGCGAGTCGCTGGGCTGCTTCGTCCCCCTTCTTCTCTCGTCAATAGATATTTTTTCCTCTATCTCTCTGTGTGTGTATGTGTATTGTGTTGTGGTGGTGGTTGTGTTAACAGGTTAGTCGCTTTCGAAGAGATCCGACTCGTATCCGTCGTCCGACTTCGTCGTCTTCTTCTTGGTGGCTGGAACTGACTTCGGCTTGGGCTTGGAAGATAATAGAGGGCGGATCAAGTGAGCGGCGACGCGCTCTTCCTCGTCGCCGTCGTCGTACGAGATATCGCACGAGCCGTTGGGGTGCACGCGCTCGACGGTGCCTGGGTAGTACGCAGCCTGACCGCCGAATCGAGCTTCGACCCGGTCGCCGCGCGAGAATTCCGGCTCGAACTCGTCTTCGGACTCCTCCGTCTTCGGGCGGGTTCGTGTCTTCGTCGTGGCAGGAAAGTCTTTGTCGGATTCATTGTCGTCGTCGCTGTCTCCGTCCTCTCCATCGTCGGGAGCTAGCAGGTCAGGAGCGAGACGCTGGAGGACTCTTTGAGGAGATCGGGCCAGCTTCACATCGTACGTCCCGTCAGTTCGAACAGTGCAGACCTTCCCTCGCAAGTACTCGGTGCGCTGTCGAACCATAACGCGAGCCCCTTCACGGTAAGCTACGGGCTTCACGTTGGCGAGAGCCAACGCGCTGCGAGGGATGCGCTTCATGGTCTGAGCCAGACCGAACTCGTTCACCAAGATGTCAAACGTCCCATCGGTGCGACACAAGACGATCTTCCCCTGTCGCCGAGTGTTGGTGCCTTTGTGAGCCACGGTGACTCGCGAGCCCACGTTGAAGCCTGTCTTCCCAGCTCCAAGCAACTCGTCGTCGGGATCCAGCACTCGCAGTCCGCTGAACTCGACGTTGCGCAAGTGACGGCCACTGTCGAAGTGCACGTCGGCTACGAAGTAGTCTCGGTAGACGCGCTCAATGGTGCCACGACCGTGAACCATGCTGGCTACGCGTGATCCGGGAGCGAAACCTTTTCGTCTCCCGCGACGCTGTGTGGACGATCGCGTGCTTTCGGTGGAGGACGTTGTATCAGTTTCAGTGGACGATCCGGATGAACTGGAGCGCGCTCTGGAGCGATGCTGACGGTGGTGCCTCTTGTGTGAGTGCTTTGAACGGCTTCGTCTACGCGATCTCCGTCGTCGGTGTGTTCTTGAATCAGTGCTGCTCTCTGAAGCTGTGCTTCCTGTGTTGTCACTGTCGCTGTCGTGTTTACCGTCGTCTTCACTATCGTGTTTCCCGTCATCGTCGCTGTCATCTTTCCGCCGAGTACTGCGGTGGTGGCGGTGCTTTTTGCGCGTCTTGCTTGATCGTCGCTCTTCTCGGCGCTGCTGCTTGCGTCGAAGAGCCTCGACTTCTTTCTCCCATTGAGTTCCGTTGGATGCTGCGAGCTTTTGCCTCAAGAATTCGTCATAGTCCAGTCTGGTCTTGTACGCACGATAGCGAGGACTCTTGCTGGTAGTACGCCCCTTTCGTGGAGACGTCGTCACTCGTTGCTGTTCACTCGGTGTAGCGACATCGAGAAGAAGATCGCGGGGGTAGCTCTGGTTGGCATCAAGTCGCTTCATGAGCCGGTGGAAAGCATTCCGGGATATATCTCGCCGACGAATTCTACCCAGGCCTTCGCGCTCGAGGAAACGCAGCACTTGTTCCCGGGATAATGCCGCGCCTAGCTCCAGCGCTGCTTGAGCTGCTTCTACTGCGTTGAGCATACAACTCGGATCCTCTTCTTCCTCTTTGTCGCTATCGTCTTTTGCATCCTCCTCCTTTGCGCTGCGGATTTGTGCCCCGTGTCGTCTAGCAAACCGGTCGAATGCGTCGTCCACTTGCTGTCCGCGTCGCCGTTGCCTCTGGGTTTGTCGGGACTTGTCATCGTCGTCGCTGTCCTGCGCTTTGCCTTCTCTATCGGAACGTTTTCCGTCGTCGTCATCTTCGTGGTTGGTTCGGCGCTGAGACTTGCTCCCTACCTGCGGTTTGGACGGCTTATCTTGCTTTGTGTCGGGTTGATTGGAATCACTAGGAGGTTGTGGACACATTCGCACGTGGCCAGAGCTGTGCAAGTGTACTACACGACTGCGATGAACCAATGCGTCGTTACGTAGAGAGCGCTTGATGGACGCTGCCTCTTGTTCACGCGCGTAGACTTCAGCTGCGAACTCCAAGCACGCCAAAGCAAACTCCGGGAAGCTCAACGTCGTGGTGGTTTTCTTCTTGCGCTTAGCTCCAACAGCTCCGTCCTCAGTCATTCTTGGCACTTTCGCTGGCCAGAAGCTCGCGCACCAAGCGGTCACCTCGTCGGCAGGAACCATCGGAAACAAGGTCGAAAGCGCACGCTGCACCACAGTTCGGGGTTTCCATCGCGAGGAGTGCACAGGTTCATACGAGACGAAGAGCTGCTGCAGTCTTGCTACATTGGTGACTTCTGTCTCCTCTTTGGTGTCCATGAGCTGCGCGTATCGGGTGATGAATAGGGCAAAAGTTACGGTCTCACTTGCCTCGTCCACCTCATCCTGGGCGTCCAACCATCGACACGCGAGCTCTGCACTGCAAGTATCGCTCTGTCCAAGCTCCTTTAGCAATCGGACCAGCCCTTGTTCATCGAGAGAGCAGGCATCACCAGCTTGTTGATCGAAACACTTGCGTAAATTGGTCAGATCCAGCACTGGGAGTCTGGGGCCGAACGCGTGAACAGCAAATGCTCCTTGGGTGACAGCGGGGGTATCTGCAGGCTGTGTGGCAAACTTCGAGAAGGCCCGTGCAAAAGCTGGGAACGAAACTTTGCCTGAAGTTGCGGCCTCTTGTCCGAAGAGCTCTTCGCTGTGCAGTAAGCGCTCGGCAGCTTGAGCCGATGCGTCCACTGTATTGGAGTCAAGAGCGCCTGGAATTGTGCATCGAAGGCGTGACAGTGCTTGCTTGATTTGGTTGAAGTCTAAGAATCCGTCGTGGTCTGCATCCAGTCGGTCGAACGTCGTCTTGAGTTGCGCTACTGCGCTTACTCGATCGATGTCGAGTACGGCCAAGTAATCTTCGAGCTGCGTGTAGTCGAGGCCACGAGCGATGAGTTCCCGATCACGCAGTCGATCCACGTGTGTGAGCAGCTTGGAGCGGTGCTGCGGGTTGGTGATGCCCAGCAGCAACTGCAGATCACTCCCTTCAAGCAGTACCAGCGTGCATCCATCCACGGTGTTGCGTTCAAAGACCTCTCGATACTGAGGGAGGCCGACGTCTTTCTCAAGCCACTGGATAACCTGCTCTGTGTTCCAATCCTTCACTTCCAGTGGGGTCTGATCAACCAGCGGAGATGAACTTGGTGGGGTTCGTACTGGAGTTCGCGTACTCTGCGAAGATTTAGGTTTGCCGAGTATCTGCGTCAGCTCCGAGTGTCTTGCTCGTGGGAACAGAGCCAAGCTTCGAGTCTCCTCTTTGTCGCCTAGAGCATTGACGAGGTGAACTGGGAAGTCTCCCAGGTCTGCTAGAAGCTCACGACAAGAACCGCAAGGGAACGGGAGCATGTCCTGCTGCTCACTACAGATAACCATGGCTATCACGACAGGACTGGGCGAGTTAGCGGCCGACGTTACCATCTTCAACACTGCAGCACGCTCAGCACATAGTGTCATCGCCCCGTTCTCGATGGCGCTGGCGGCGTAGATTGTTTCCGATTCAGTGAGCACCGCGGCACCGATCCCCACGCCCATGGCTCGAGACGAGCGAGCTTCTCGGGCAGCGGCTTCCAGCAGATGCTCCATCTTGCGCTTACGCCCGCTGGAATCGGCCAAAGTACCCGCGTAGTGCCGTTTGTACAGCGTTCGACGAGCATCCAGACGTAGCTGCAACACTTCGTCGTCTTCCTCCGGGTCGTTCTTGTGTTGATGATACAGCACCGACTTGCTGCTGCAGTCTCCGAGATGCCGCGAGCTGGAGTCGAGCCCGTAGATTACCGATAAACCTTGCAACTTAGCGGTGAGCAGCGTCGAACGATCTCCTTTAGCACCCTGAAGATATCGATCATGGCGGTGTCGCTGTTCTTTTTGTTGGTTGGTTGACCTGGCACCGTTTTTCTTGCCGTTCTTCAGCTTGTTCGCCTTTGCTTCAGCCCGTGCAAGTCGCAGAACACGACGCAGATCGTCTTCAAGCTGGTTAGACATAATGAAGTCTTGATGTCAGATCAAATGCAAGGTTGTTTCCTATTGAGCTCCTCGAAGGTGATGCATACCGCCATTCTTGACTACCAGCGCATGCGATCACTGCAAGATCTCATCGCCACACAAATAGAGCTCGGATCGAGTTGCGATCATGCAGTTATTGATGTCACTACCGTCAAGCTTTTTCAAAGTCAGATTTTGCGGTGTTCTATTGGGCTGGGCAACCTTAGCCCTATTTTCTGATCGTCTTCCGTTTTCGGGATATATGCACGCACACAAAAACATCGACGGAGCAATTATGCGACTTCACGTGCCGGCTCGCCAGCCTCTTGCCGCGTCTGAGCGTCTGTCGGGTTGTCGCTGCCGACGCTTGTCCTAACGATTTTCTGGTCACTATTGGTACTCTGTTTGTCGTCGCCAGTTGGTCTGGTGCTGGCTTCGCCGTCGTCTTCCGGCCTTGCTTCTTCCGTGGCAGGCGTCGTCACCTCCACTTCCACCTCAGCGGTCGTAGCAGTACCCGTAGCCTCCGAAGAAGAAGAGGAGGAAGATGTATTATCCTGCTCAGCAGTGGCTGGAGTCACGGGCGTCACGGGGGTGTTGGATGCCTGTGTAGTCGCAAAGCTGTCATTCTCTCCCTCAGCAGCGGCGTTAGAGCTGACACCCGGCTCCTCGCCCTCGATCGGGTGGAAATGCCGCATTTCCTCCCAGATGAGTCTCTGCAGCACGGGCTTCGTGAGCTTCTCGTTCTCAAAGTCGAAGTCAAAGCTGGACGTGGCCATGGTCTCGTCGTCCATATTGCGGATAGAGGCCAGGTACGGGTGTGCGAGCGCCTCGTCCACGCTGATTCGCTTGTTCGGGTCGATCACCAGCATCTTCTGCAGCAGATCCAGCGCGTCCGGCGGCGAGTCCGTGAACATGTGCGCGAGGGGCTTGGTCGGGTTCGGTCCGCGCTTCTGGAACTCGGCGTTCATGAACTTCCGTGCGCGCGCGTTGGTCAAGAAGTACAGCTCCTGGTCGTTCGGAGCTCCGAGCGCGTTCATGATTAGGTGCAGCTGGTCAATGTAGTCCTGTCCGGGGAAGAGCGGCTTGCGCGACATCATCTCGGCAAAGATGCAGCCCATGGACCAGACGTCCACTTCGCGAGTGTACTTCATGCATCCCAGCATAATCTCGGGCGCGCGGTACCACCGCGTGACCACATACTCCGTCAGCTCCAGCTCCTCCTCGGGGAAAACTCCCCTCGCCAGTCCAAAGTCGCAGATCTTGAGCTCACAGTTGGCGTTCACCAGCACATTCGACGGCTTCAGGTCGCGGTGGATCACATTGGCCGAGTGCACGTACTTCATGGCACACAGCATCTGGTACATGAAGAAGGCGATGTGCTCGTCCGACAGCGCGTGTCTCGAGTAGATTACTCGATGCAGGTCCGTGGCCATGAGCTGCGACACGATGTACACGTCCTCGAACTTGTCCAGCGCCACGGGCTCGAAGATGTCCTCCACCCCCAGCACGCACTTGTGGTTCAGGTGCCTCATCAACTTAATCTCGCGCACGATGCGCTTGGCGTCCGTCAGGTCGTCGAACGCGCGCTGGATGTTCTTGATGGCCACCGTCTTGCCGCTCTTGGAGTCTGTAGCAGAGATCACGACTCCGTACGCGCCCGAGCCAATGGTCTTGACGTACTCGAAGTTGGACGGGATCTCGAACCGCGTGTTGGACGTCATGAAGCACTGCGTGCCGGGGCGCGTGGCCGGCAGGTACTTGGGCTTGTTCGCCGCGTTGGCGGCCGCCGCCGCCTCGTCCGCGCGCTGCTTCTCGCGCAGCTTCTTGGCGGCCTCGGCGCGGCTGCGCTCCTCCTGCTTGAGGTCCTCGGACGCCTGCTTGCCGTACGTGACGAAGCTGCCGTCCTTGGTGGGCACCATGGCGTGGTTCCAGCGGATGGCCTCCTGCAGCGCGCTCTTCCAGGCCTCGTAGGCCTTCTGGTCCTCGGCCTCGAGCGTCATGACCTTGGTGCCGCAGCGCAGCTCCAGGCGGCGCGGGTACTTGGCCGTGTTGACGTGGTCCAGCACGTGGCCGGGGCCGATGGGCGTCTCGGAGCACAGCGTGAGCGAGTCCTTGCTCGTGTAGTAGCCGAGCGTCATGTGGCGCTCCTCGAGCCGCAGGATGAAGTAGCGGCGCGACCACATCTTGAGGCGCAGGCCCTGCTTGAGCAGGTAGCCCTCCTGGATCACGTCCGCCGAGCGGAAGACCACAGCCGGGTGCGCGCGGTTGGGCACCGCCTTGCCGTGCAGCCACATGGAGAAGAGCGAGCGGTTCTTGGTCACGTACACGCCGTCGCCCGCCTTCTCCTCGGACGCGCGCCCGGCAGAGGCGGCGTCCTGTGAAGCTCCGCGCGAGCTCATCGGGAAGCGGAGGGGACGAAGTGGAGCCTTGCGGGTGGGCGGTTTCTTGCCGAGTGCCTGATGGCGATTTAGAGGCGGAATGAGGTGGCAGTTGGGGCGCGTTGCGGGGCGTGATACCTCTGTATTACGATACAGAGAGCTGTAGTGTTTGATTTAAAAGCGATAATGTTTGGTATTGATGTGCTTGAGATAGATGATGGAACTGGGAGATTCGATGGGTTGGAGTTGCAGGAGTATAGGTTTGTGGAGGCTTTGTGGTAATGCGTGTTTTACCGTGCGGACGTCCGGCTGGAGCCGGCACAGCGCGAGATTTGCGCCGTCGGGGATGAAAAATTAGGCTGGGAACCTGCGAGCCTTCTGTTGGGAGGTTGTGGCTGTGGTGGTCTGGCCGTAAGCGTTGCCTTGGCGGCGAGTCACTGCTGGCAGTGTTGGTGGTGCCGCAAAGGACGCAAGGACTCGACTAATTTCGGGATCGGAACACTGTGATTTAATTGTCCGACCACCCCGAATTAGCGCGGCGTTGAAGCCATCTGTCGACGACGCTGGCTCCACTCGCTGACTACATTCCGACGCCCGACGCTGCGAAACAAACTGGTAACTTCAACGCCACCACCCCACGACAGCGGAGACTTGCACCGAAGATTCGCAGCGTCGAGTCATTGTGACCTGGATTGGCTATCTCGTCCGGATGAGGTGTGGGCTTTTACACTGCCAAAAAGGACAAGTTCCCCGCCACTTCTATAGTTTTTCGTTTTTCTGCTTGGTGTCGGCCGGAACGTGGGGTACTGTAGCACACAGCTCATTCGCCACGCCGGAGATCGCCTTCGTGGCACGCACACCATCGCTGTTGGTCGAGGACGGCCTGTCGTGGAACTGCAGGTAAAGGTCTAGCTAGCACAGAGTGCGAGAAGCAGAGGTCGACAAAACGGATCTGCGTTCTAATGGTAAGATAAGTAAGCTGAAATGCAATACCTGTTTGGCGCGTCAATTTGGAGTTGGTTAAGTGTTCATTGCACGTGTCGTGGGCGAGCAGAAGGCCGCGAGACCTCGTGCGTCAAGAGGCTTGAAAAAAAAACTAGCAGCGCTTACTGGAGCGACGCACGCAGCGTGAATTTGAGCACGTTAAATCTGAAAGTACAGCAGTCGGGGCTCAGCTTGGCGTGGCCGCGGTAAGATGTACTGGTTCAAAAGGTGCCGGCATTGCACTTCTCCGTAGCACACGCGCTCGTCCGTCGAGGAACGCAAAGGCGAAACCAGTCTGAAGACGCCGCTCATGAACGCGTTCACAAGCTGTTGGGTCTTGTTGGGGCCGTCTGCAGCGCCAGCGCAGCCCAGTTTTTCTTCGTTTGAACGGCAATGCGCTTTCATCGCCTTGCAGAACACACACCTCGACAGCAGCAAATGGGTGACTTGCACCGCGCGTCGAAGAGCTACACTCAAGGCGTGAAAATCGGCGAGCTGCTTCGGGATATGATACGTTGGCGCGCGCGTTGCTTGAAGCGATAACTCATGAGTAGAAATGGCGGTATGTCCGCCTGGTCTCTTCATGCAAACGGCGACCTGGAAACATTCGCTGCTTGAAGCAACGGCCACGGAAATCGACTCGACTTGATGCAAATTCTTCATCGACGAAGACTGGCGACGATTGTTGTCCTTTGATCCAGCATGGAGAGCTGTCGATGTCACATGGAGAGGCCGCAAGTTGCCGTGATCCGTCGACGACGGACTAGAAGCCGCTGTTGTGGTAGCACTTGAACTCATGGTTATGTCGTTGCAGATTGCGTTGTGAGTGGGCGCCTTGGGCGATCTCGGCGAGCTGTTTAGCGACGCATCAGTGAGGAGGAGGTTCAGACTAGTCTATTCAACTTATGTTATGAGAGTGTCTGGAATGTCCTAAGCCAGGTGATCAGCGAGATGATCCCGGTGGCTGTACGTGGCTCGCCTCTGGTCGAGGTGCCTCTCTTGGTGCCCGCTGGAAGAGATCCAAACAGATAAGTAATCTTGTGCCTTGAACTATTGTCCTTGGATTTCCGCGTTCCCTACGTGCTAGTGCTCGTAGTTGCCGGAGTCCAGCCTGTTGGAATGCTGCGACGCTGCTTGCAATGGTAACCTGGCCCCCATTGTGAACCACTTGTTTTCGTTGGGTCCATAGGACTGTCATGCATACTGTGCTCATAACCCACCATATCCGTTTCCATTCACGCGCGTAGTCGTCGGTCTGATCGAGAAACGCGCTGCTAAATCGACGACGCAGGTCTGTTGTAAACGGTGGTGATACTCGAGACGCGCAATTCGCCGTATATGCTGGCCATCACACCTTCGTCTACCCCAGCAGCTGATAAGATATTTCCAGCATGCTTGGGCGCGCGGACACTCCCAAAGTATGTGCGTGAGTGTCTCCTTTCGGTGCTGACAGCTTTGAAGCTTGCGACAGCTTGCATCCATTTGACGGCCGTCGAAGAAGAGATTGAGTTGCTTCGTTGCCGCTCTGTAACTTACCCATACTTGATATTCCGTAATCGAATTCTTGTGAGCCCACAGTTGCTTCGGTGTTTGTTGCATAGCTCCGCGCTGCCATGGATCCGCCGCTGCAGTTGTTTCCAAGCGTGCGACCACAGACCGTAGCTCGCGTCCTGATTCTTGCTTGAACGCTTTGAATGGTAGTTTCTTGATTGCAGACAAGACATTGCAGTTTGACACAGTTTCCGGAACCTCCCAAGGGAAGCGGTGGAGCAAGGGGTGAGCTTGAAACACCAGCCCTCTTCTACCCGCTGCTAATTCATCGTAGTCGTCGGCCATCTTGGGTGTTGGGGTATACGCTTGTTGGATAGCCCAGTGAACGCCGTTCGGTTCTGGTTTTAGGATAAAATATCCTCCGTCGGTGCCGTCGGTTCCTTCTGGGACCCCTTGGACGAGTTTAGTGTCTAGGACTTTCCAATGGTAATGATAGTGCAGATTCGGTGGTTGCCGAAGCTCCACCGTTGGCCGCACCTGCAGTTCCTCTGCGATATCTATCGGTGGGGACCCTGCTATAATAGCCAATGCCCACCGACACAATTTCGGAGCCGTATGATGCGTTGTTGCGTCCGACGTCAATGGAATCCGGAGCGTATACGCCGCCAGTCCTATTCGCTGAATGTGCAACTCCTGTAGCGTGCAAACGCGGATCCGGTTATATTTCTTGGCTGTCAGCATGCCCCGGTTTGCTTCTCGAATCCATGGGTTACTGCTCCACAGATATGTGGGCCAGAATGTCTTAGCTTCAGTCGACCACTCCCGTTGCCAACGAGGAAGTTCCTCGTAAAGCCTGATCTGCAGTGTATTATCGTCCCTCCAACAAATGGCCTGGTCGGCTAACCGGGCCAGGTCCCGTGTACCTTGCCTTAGTAAAGTCTCCTTCTCTTCCTGTGTGGGTTGAAGCCACCCGCCTAGCAGCTCTTGCATCCTTTTGCAAGGTGTCTTCGGCTGTCGTCGCCCGGTTTCCGTAGGGGTTATTGTACTATCACTGTCGGCCTCCCCACCCCTGAATGTCCATGCTGCGGAATACGTATCCTCTTGCTGCATTAGCCAGAGCATCGCATGTTTCATTTTTTGAGATTTTACGGCCACCTCAATCGATACGAGCCCCACGCCTCCGGCGCCTCGTGGAGTGTACAGAAGTCGAGGATTGCCCTTATGCCTGCTTGCTTCCGTTGCTATCGAATGGCGCCACAGGAATTGCTTCTGCAGGTGTCGAAGTTCCTTGCCTGCCCACGGTGGTATATCGAACGCTGCGGCCGTGAACAATATTGCTGGTAGCATGATCACATTGAGGATGGTTACCCGGTGATATACACTCGTAGCCATCTGCGCCGCCGTTGCTAATCTTCGTTTGATATTGCGGATCCGGTGGGCCCCTTGTGACCCGATAGCTCCTGAGTTCCTACTTCGTAACCTAAGTAACGAGTAGTTTCTCCATGCCCGAGTACCGGTATTCCATATAGCTCATTCATCTCCATCGCCGTATTCAGAAAAATTAACTTGCTTTTGGTGGGCTGGACACTTAGGCCTGACAGTGCTCCAAAGCGCCGAATTATATCCATCACCCGCGGGAGCTGCTTGGCTTCTTGAAGGAACACCGTCGAGTCGTCCACAAAGGCCGAGAAGCGGTGCTCAGCATCCGGTTTGCCCGGTACGTTGATCCCCGGCAACTGTGAGTCCTGTGAGATAGCTAGCGCCAACACCTCTGCCGCGATCAAGAAGAGCAAAGGCGCCAGTGGACAGCCTTGGCGAATGCCTGATAGCACCTCTGTCGGCTGCGAGAGTTCCCCATTTACCAGAAAGCGAGCTGTAGTCCCATCATGCAGTCGTCGTAACATATCTACGAATTCTTTCGAAAAACCAAAGCGTAATAGCGATAGGAAGAGAAACTCCGTGTCGTACGCTTTCTTAAAATCCAGCAACACAATCACCCTGCTTAGCTCTGCGCTAATTCAGGTTCCCCTCTCGCCGATGCAAGGACCGCCAACATCATCATCACTGTTTTCATCATTTGTCTGCTGTGCACGAAGCCTTGCTGTGTCGTTCCAATAACCTTGCCTAGAATCCGCTGTACCCTTGTCGCCAAAACCTTGGTGAATACTTTGTATCCTGTTTGTAGAAGCGAGATAGGGCGGTAATCCATGGCATTATCCGAGTCCCCTTTCTTTCTGAGTGGTATGATGAGTCCTTCTAGAAACGACATAGGGGGCTTACCACCTTTCAGCAGTTCATTACCGAGCGTCACCAACGCAGGCGACAACTGAGCCTGCGCGTCCTTAAAGAAGTCGTTGTTCAATCCATCTGCCCCTGCCGCTTTGTGTCGATTTAGTGCCGATATCGCCTGAATAACTTCGTTCAATGTGATCGGCTCCATCAACATCCGATTGTCGTTCTCCGTGAGCTGTCTTTGAGCCGGTATCTGCACAAAGTCATCAAACTCGTGCTGTAAGTCCGACGGTGGTACTGAGCTGTGACTTTGCCCCAGGATCGGCGCCCACTCGGACGCAAATTTGTCCGCTGTGGACATGTTCCGGGAGAAGCTCGCTCCGTAGATCGGACGAATGCTCGACACCGTCTGATCTTGTTCCCAATCCGAGATGCGCCTGAATTGCCACCGGAGGCGTTCCGTCGTTCGTTCGAGCCGCTGTCCTTCTCTCATTAAGGCTGCCTCATGATGCTCCTCTGCTACGTTTGCTGTTGCGTCCTCTCTGGTAAAGATTTGTGCGCGCGCTTGGCTCTGAAGCTTCTTGACATACCGAGTCCTGCGTTGTTTCACCCGCTTCTGGATGCGTTTGATACATTCAACACAGGCCCTGGTTGTCTGATCCCAAGTTGATGCTGTGATGCCTCTGCCGACCTCGCGCTCAATAAGCTCCTCCAGCAGTTAACTGATCACGCGCTGGGGCTGAGCTGTTCGAATGGGGTATATTACCTTTCGTGCACTGCGCCGTGGGATTCCTAACACAGGGATTGTGAGATGTACTTTCACAGTTTGATGATCTGTCTTCACCGGCGGAACTTCCACCGAGACCCATTGTACGACTGCAGTCCAAGATCTTGGCACGTAGAACCTGTCAATTCTGCTTGCCGAGCGATTATTCCAAAAGGTGAACCAATCTGTCGGACTGGGGTTTGCCATTTCTTCCCCAGTCGCTGACAAGATCGCTGCATCCTCTACTTTGAGCTGGCGCACCAATTCTTGTAGCTGCTTACTTTCCGGCCGTCGGCTGATCGGTTTCCCAGCCTGTCCAAATGTGGGCTCTGAACGCCGTTGAAGTCTCCACCCAGGATGATTTCCTCCCCAGCCCACGGCCAATTCCGGATCGACCTGAAGAATTCCTCCCTGTCCGTAGACTGATTCGGCGCGTAGATGTTTACCAACAGGAGGTCACCTAGTTTCACCGCCATCGCCCTGCTCGACCACACTTCAGGATGCCATGCTTCTGCTTTGTTGGCCAATGATGGGTCCAGCACGATAGCCACCCCGCCCGTTTTACCTTGATTGGCGGTACTCCAATATGTAAGCTGCTTACCAGACCAGTGCTGCTTCCCCCACAGCCTACGCCAGTCTTCCTCTAAATTGTCTGCTTCTTCCTCCGTTTCCACATGCGTTTCTTGTAAAAATCTAAGTAGCGGGCGCTCCCGCTGCAACTCTTTTCGCCACGCCTCCATCCAATGTTTTCTCTCTGTTGCCGTGACCCCCGCAGATTTTGCGTTGCTATTCTGCATGAGGTGGGCTTCAGAGCCGCCTTACCCTTCCGTTTACTGTCACCAAATGCCTCCTGTAGGCGGAAGTGCCGTCCGAAGGCATCCGAGGGTACAGTGTCCATGGGCACCAAACCCTCTGTGACTGCGCTGAAGGAGAACTTAATTCTGGAGAGCTAGCTGCAGCTCCTCCCTCTCGAATGTCGAGGTGAAGTAGCTCTCCACAGCTGCCCAGTTGATTTGCCGGTCTGCCGCATAATACGCAGCTTTGTAACTCTCGATCTTGTCCAGGGCCGTAAGGTGACGCCGTACTTGAGTTGGTACGCCGTTCTCCACGTCATCTTCCGTACCAGTGATCGCGCGAATTTCGGGATCGTAGATAATGGCGCACAAGATATGTTGAGCGAGCTTGAGTGTATTGCCGAAATCGCATTGCTGGAGTAGCGAGTCATCACCGTACGCTCGCGAACGCATTCGCTTCCAGTCATCGCAGTTGTCAAAGGGCGGGGCACGCTTTTCCTTTGTAGGTGGTTCCGCTAGCCGCTTAGTCCAATCATCAAGCCATGTGTGGATCGACTTGTCGGTAGTCCGACCACGATACTGGATTAAACCCGCTAACCTACAATCTTTCCGCCAGGCCGCAGTCCATGCTATTAGAACATCATCACTCACAGCTTGCAGCACGTCGGTTGCAAACGGGAACCGTTCAACAAGTCGGATCAGTCGTCGTGGTTCCAGTTCGGCTGCTCGCTGCCACTTATCGTTGTTGCTCGTGGCCAACGGGAACGGCGTCTGTGCTCCTTCCGCCCACTCCGGAGCCAAGAATTTCCAGTGGTGTTCCCAGTCCGGTCTCGCGACGACTGGCGCTGACAATTGAACGGGTTCTGTCACTTCACGCTTTCCTTTTTTCCGCCCGACTGCGGTAGGTTTGGCACTGTACAATGCGCCGAATTTGTTTGTCACAGCGAGGGCAGAACGGTGATCCCTCTTTTGCATTGTCTTCTTGGATCTGTGCCTCAGCTTCTTCTGCTGCTGCCTGTACGGTTTCCGCCGGCTTGGTTTGCTGCTGACCCTGTCACCGGATGGGACGTAGGCCTCGTCATGAGGATCCGTGGCGCTACCTGTTGATTCCTCACTGTGGTCCTGTATCTGATCTCGTTCTCGGTCCAGCGCTCCTTCCTTGTTCTCCCGCACATGGGTTTGCCATTGCTTCAACACTACTAAAGGCACTTGGTGCCGCTGAAGGAATTCCCGAACGGTTGGGCTCGCTTCGTCCTCCAGGGCGGCGCTCAGGAGACGGTTTTGCTCTTGTACTGATAGTTTCGAGACGGTATTGACTAGGAATCCCAAGAGTTCATGGTATCGATCTGCCTCTGCTACCCGTAAAATATGTTGGATTTCACACTTGAGCTCGTGTGGTATCGTCATGCCTTGCAGCCGGTGGTGCAGTTCATCTAGCGAGCCACCCCATTCGTCCGGATTCCATGGCTCCGCTGTGGTTTCGGCTTGCGATCGCGATGACCCGTCCTCGCGACCGGGAATCCTCTCTGTATCCTCCATTTCAAAATCTTCCGTCTTCGTCCCCTCCCGCTTCCCTGCATCTGTGCCTTGTGGCTGGCTGTACGTGCACGAACGCCGAGTAGTGACGCCCCCAAAATCGTAGGACTAGTGGTGCTGCGTGTGCTTTCAGCTTGTCCTCCCGAATACGTTGGACGCAATCCTGGACTGTCAGCATAACCTGTTGACCGGTTTCGAAGACCTTTTTGAATCGCGTCCGCGAGCTTGGTCTATACATCACGCAGTCCACGCTTGGTCACCTTGCGTGTTGTGCGCGAATACATAGATTGATCGTTTGAGATAGTTTGCTGCCATCGCCATCAGGTCACTGCCACCCCAGTTGAACCCTTCAACCATGGTGTCTCTGTCAGAAGCACTTCCAGCGTACTCCTCCAAGTACCACTTAAACTGCTTCTTGGAATCACCTGGCGGCATGTTTTCCCACCCTCGCTGCACATTCACTAATGTCAATGTCCTTGCGTAGTGATCGAACTGGTCACTCGTATGAAGCTGTCCTGCGTATTTGATGCCTCGCTTGATTGAGGCGGTTGCCTTAGTCAGAACGTCGTCATGAGCGGCGAGATCGTGGTTGGCTACTGCTTGCACGATAGCGATCGCCATGCAATTGCCCGTCGATGGTGTCGTCACCTCACGTATATGCAGGAGCCGTTCGACCACTTCAACGTTGTCAATCGTGGTGGGGACCACCGTATCCCATGGAATGTTGGGGAGTTGCTTTGGTAGCAGCGGTTCCACCACAGTTAGTAGCTTCTGGTGTTCACGCTGTTTTAAAGCCACTAGTTGCGGGGCTGTCGGCACCGCCGGCGGCGTGCGTCTCACTATGTGCAACAGGCTCTTTTCATCTTTGGTAAGATCCTTATAGAGACGCTCTTTTGGGGTTTCTTGCGACGATCCCGATGAGATATCGATGATTTCCTGGTGTTGATCTGCCAGTGGCTCGATTCCAGCGTTCCTATCCTCCTCGTCATCTTCCTCATCTTCGTTTTCAGCTAGGACGTCATATCGCGAGTGCGCTGCCTTATTTTCTGGTCCAGGGCTGCCCTGTGGGCGAACAAGGTCCGTCCTCCTTTCAGCTTGACTGTTACCCATTTGGGTTGAGGCTTGGGCGTAGGTGCCTGCTGTTGCTGGCTGGCTTCTTCTCGGTGGTGATCTCCTTTCGGCTCTCCTGCCTGATCGGCCGCCGGTTCGAGATCTCGCTGCGGTCTTCCGAGCTCCACTTCGTGGCCATTCGCCGTCGGACTCACGGCTTCTTCCTCTGCTCGTTCCGCTTGCTGGTGCAGGCGCAAACATTTTGCTGCTGCCTCCTTCATTTCCTTCATGTTGCCGTACGGTTTGGCTAGGTCCACGAGATTGATCACCTCCTCTTCACAAGCCACCAGTCCTCCTTGCCCTCTTAAATGGTCGTCCGTGTAGTTGCACCGCGCGAGAGTGTGTCCTAGCTGCCCGCAACGTAGACACTGCAGGCGACGACCTACAGCCGGGTGCTTGATCACATTGCTTGCCCCGAACCAAATGATTCGTTGGATTCCCCGCAGGAATTCTGGGCATCCTGCTAATTTGAATGTTACTTTCCACGCTGTAGAAGTGCGAGAGTTCGGCGTGCAGGCATCAAGATCCTCGAAGTCGAATTCGGCCTGACTGTGCTTTTTAGAAAAGGCTGTCAGTCGTCCGATGTCCATGAAGCGCGTGATGTTGTATAGACAGACTTCGTATCCCGTTGGCGGGCTCATACTAACACCAGCGCGTCCTAACTGGCGCTCCCACGGGGTTCCGCGGTCGGGCCCGTGTACGTTCATCAAGCGGTACACTCTTCCTTTGAACGGCACTGGTGTCAGTGCATGCCTCGCAGCTGTCGCGCGATCAAAAAAGAAGAAATGGATTGACTTCTTGACCCTGTTGAAGCTTATCGTTTTGGTTTGACTTAGCAACCCATGCAGCTCCGTCAAATTCACATTAGCCCGCTCGGCTGCGAGCAGAATGTCTTCTTGGAGCGCACGTGTGTGCTGGCGGCTTACGCGCACGCCCGTATAGCCGTTCAAAACAAACATGAGCTCCCCTTCAACCTGCGCTTGAATCGTGCTGTACAGACGCAGCCGCTCTTGAGAGTCTAGAATACTTCTGATGAAATCCGGCAGACGCCTGCTGACAATGCTGCCTTCTGCTAGACCTTGAATGATTTTCCATTCATCATCGGAGCCCTCGCGCAGCTGGTGCTGCGCCCTGCCGGGTTCTCTTCGCGTGCATATTCCCTTGAAGCGTTCGATGTCATTGCTTGAGTACTTGCCTGGATTAAACATGAACACTGGGAATGCCTGGGGGTCCTCGCTTGTCGCTGGAGCTGAAGAGCGATCGGACCCTTGCTTCACCTTTGCCGCCCACTGGTTGAGCACTGGCGCTCTTGCCCACCGAACCTTACTGAGGACGCTTTGCAAGATCGTGGTAAGGTTCCAGCTTGTATTGTATAGTTCTCGGCTGATCACTGTCGCGTATGTGGTCCATTCGGTGTAGGATCCCTGACCCGTAACACACACCGCTTCGAATACCTTGAGCATGCAGGACGCTTCATCTCCTTTGAGCTTGGGGTAGCGCTACTTTCCAGGCGGTATACGCTCCATTTTCACCTCAACCGTCTTGAAAACCGTTGCGAATAAATCAGCCACGGTCAACTTCCACGCTTCCGGCGGCGCTACTTCCGGTGAAGCTCTCATTTCGTTCACTAACGCGTCGAAGATTTCTTCTGGTTGGACGTTCAGACCTCCCTCGATGGGTGACCGCTCGGATGATGCCCCGCTTTCTCGTTCTTCGGCCACACAGCCTGGGGCATCTACGCTGCTGCCGGTCTCTGGTTCTTGTCGTTCTGGCTTCTCGCCCCGCGCTTGACTGGGAGCGTCGTCCTCTGTCCGCTCGTAAGCCTCTTCCTGTGAAGGCGGCGTTTCCGCGACGATCGAATCCGTCTCCTCCGAGTCTGCGTCGCCGAGCGCCTGGTCATCTAGGCGGGGCTTCCCTGGGTCCGGTGGCTTGCCGTTGTCGGATCCCCATGCGTGGGCGATCCCATGTTCGTTCTTGGTTGACTTGACTTTTGTATGTAAAGCCAGTGCCGTGTGCACACTTTGCTTCCAATCCCTCCAGCTGGTACACTGTGCTGTCGGGGCCTCGCCTCTGCTCTGCTAAATTGAAAGTGACGACGCATCAGTGAGGATATCACATATTCGTGATCTCCTCATCGAATCCTTTGATTGTGGAACTTGAGACCAACACTCTATGGCAGGGAAGACGAAAATTATATTTAAATCGATTTTTAACATTTTGAAAAATTAATACCTGCTGCAAAAATCTCAAAGCGCGAAATGAATTATTTTTGTATGATATTGTTGAAAATTTCATTGTGGGGTTTACAAACAGCAAGATAAAAGGGCATATGATGAAATAAATAGCGTGATGGCTATAATTTTCATTAGCGAATAAATAACCAGTAAACACAATACAAGTATATTTTCAGTAAATATATTTTTCGGCTTCCCTGCTCTGTACTCGCGTTATCTCAGTGTACATGGTTGATGATCTACCTCATCACGCAGGTACAGGCAACTGCAACGAGATAACGCGCGATGCATAAACAATAAGTATGGTGTTGTTATACTTGCTGCGGGGATGCAAGTGGTCTACTTCTTCGCCTTTGCTACAGGCTCCGGGATGTCTGGAAGTCTGTCGCCAGGGTTATCGCACTGGAGCAGGGGCTCGATGAAGCCCATGGAGATGGCCTGGAAGTGCAGGCGCCGTCTCCACAGGTTGAGCAGCAGCTGAGGTGGCGCAGGCGTGGATCCCATGCCGGTCATGCACTCGGGCCACTCACCCTTACCGGCGGGTGCTCGTCGCTCCTGTCGCGGCGTCACGTGCGTCGGCAGCATGTTGAAGACGAGGTTTGGCTGCAGCAGGTTGAGCTTGTGCAGGCGGAACGGCACGGGGTCCACCAGCGATCGGCCATTTACATACAGCAGCTCAGCGGGGGCGCTCGTGTTTGCGGGGTCGAAGTGCGCCAAGCTACCGCAGAGCGTCTCCGGGTGTCGCTCCATGTCCTTGTTGGCCGTAGCGGACACGACACTCGCTCCCCATGGCGAGAAGAAGTAGGGCGTGTGTGAGAACTCAAACGATAGCCAGAAAGCCTCCTTGTCACCCCTGCAATGAGGAGAAATAGACAAAGAAAACCTGTTAGTAGTGTGGAGATAGAACAGCACGTAGAGCAGCGCGGACGTACCAGGAGAACTCGTAGATGAAGCGGTGCTCGGTAATAAGGTACCACAAGACGTTCATGGCCTTGCCGGCGTTGCGTTTGTTGATAAGCAGCATGGACGAATCCTGTTCGTGCGCAGTTCTTCCACGGTAGGCGAAGGATTTCTTGAACTCGGGCGATGGCTCTGCGTATTCAAGTCCGAAGCGCTTGTAGTCGAAGCTCTTGAGCCACTTGTGGAGGTAGATTGCGCCCTTGCCGTTCTCCCGCTTGTTGAGATACTGGTTGTTGTTGATCACGCGGTCGTAGAAGAAGAGCGTGCCCTTCTCCTTGTATCCTTCGTTCTCACGCAGTGCGGCGGGGTCTTTGAGCAAAATGGCGTCTGCGTCAAGGAAAATAAGTTCTTCGAAACTGGTGAAGTGCACGGCGAGAGGTTTGATCCAGTAGCTCTGGAAGCTCTTGGCCATTTCGTCTGAGAAAACCTTCTTAATGACATAACGCTCGCAAATGTCGATGACTTGGATGTTATCGTCGAGGCCGAAGAGGAGATCCACGGACGGTTTAGTCAGGTCGTGGCAGTGGTGCACCTCAATCGGTTCGTTGTTGCCCAGGCACCGCAACTCGCGGATCAACGAAATTCCCAGCTCCAAAATACCGTCGTGCAGACACATGAGAATCCCCTTGGAATCCTTCTTGACGGCTTGACGAGGCTCAGAGATTCGCTTCGGCAACTCCTTCGGCTTCTCCGTGGGCTTCTCCGTTGGTTTCTCCGTAGGCTTCTCGGTTGGCTTCTCAGTGGGTTTCTCAGTTGGTGCAGGAGTTGGTGCTGGTGTTGGTTCTGGTGTTGGTTCTGGTGTTGGCGCTGATGTTTCAGTCGGAGTTGGCTCGGGTACTTGCGTTGGTGGTGTCGGTTCAAGTTCTACTGAGGCTTCCACTGAAGCTGAAGTGTCGGAAGGTGTCCACACCTCCGCCGCATCGACATCGGGCGTTGACGCCGCGTTCAACGCCGCCAAAACCATCGCCTCATGCTTCGCAACGCTGCGGATGTTGCTCCGCTCGCCCAAGCCTCCGTCGTTCACGAACGAGTACTGCTGCGAGAGGGAGCAGACGCTGCAGAACAACATGAACGCTCCGAATCCTCGGATGTAGACATTGCCGAGGAAGCGACTGTCCCGAATGCGCGCGCCCCATGTTTCAGGAGCCGGCATTCTGGAGGTGGACTAGTTGCTACGCGAGTGCTGTAGTGCCGGGCTTTTGAGGAGTGAGGGCCCATGAACGCACCCTGGCCATTGATACGTTGCGTCTTTGGCAACGTGCCCACAACACTATCAATAGTGTTCTGGGATGGAGTGTCCGGGCACACAGCGCATGTTCAGTAACTTCTTTCGCGCGATCAGGAGTTTCAACAGTAGTGTGGATTCTTGATCCGTTTCGCCATCACTGTTGACACGCTTGCTTGAGCTCAACGGAACCACAAAGCCAAGTTGTTGGGCATCTTCGGCGAAATTTGTGCCCAGCGCATACGCGATGCTGCAGCGCAAACATGACACGGTCTGGAGTGCTTCCAGAGCTAGAAATCTGCCACGTCACTGAACGTCACTGGATTAGTTTCAATTTATATACGCAAGCATGCATGAGGCAGTCCCGCACTCTGCGATTGAGCATACGACTAAGCCTCCTGGAAGCCACGAGCGACGCCCTGCTCCTCAGCCTGTTGGGATGCGAAATAGTTGAAAATTTGCTCCAGCGAGGTCTGCGAGACGCTGTACTCGCGGATGTGCATCTTCTCCTTGACGTCTTCGACTAGGGCAAATACCTTGGACAACCAAAGCTCGTCGTTCGCGCCACGCAGCTTGAACCGGCAGAAGTCGTTCTGGCGCTCCATCACAGTCACGCCGCCGTGGCTGAACGAGTAGCTGAGGAAGTGGAGCAGCGCATCGAAGCGAGTCTCCTCCAAGCACCACGAGAGGAACGCCTCGGCGCGAATGTATCCGTCGCGCTCAAGCACGGCAGCGATACCGTAACCTGTCGGGTGCGACGCCACCACTCGCTGCGCCAGCTCTTGGTCGCTGAATGATCGGCACTTGTCCTCTAAATCCGCGCGGGTGACCACCTCGTTAGCACCTCCGAAGTGCTGGTGCACCAGCTCGTCCAGCTCTTCCTGTGAAGGGTTGGCCAGCTTGACGTCGAACACCAACCCATCGCCAAAGCGCGACTTAAGGTGCTGCACGCTGCCCAAGCAGCGAAGGCGACCACCGACCATGATACCGACGCGCGAGCACAACGCCTCCGACTCCTCCATGCTGTGAGTGGTAAGTACGATCGTCGAGTTCTTGCCTCGCGTCGAGATATCGGCGATCACGTCCCACATAAACCGTCGACTGACCGGGTCCATACCGGTGGAAGGCTCGTCCAGGAAGATGATGCGCGGATTGCCGATCATAGCGATAGCCACCGACAGCTTGCGCTTGTTGCCACCACTCAGACTACCAGCCAACTTGTTCTCGAAGTCACCGAGGTTCAGCTGGCTGATCTTGTCCACCACAACGTCGTTGAGTTGCGACCGAGGCACGCCCTTGATCGACGCGAACAGCTCCAGGTGCTCACGCACTGTCAGCAACTCAAACAAGGCGTCAAACTGCGGGCAGTAGCCGATTTGTCGCCGAACGTCGATCTGCTGCGTCAGGATGTCGAATCCTCCGAGCGTTGCAGTACCGTGAGTCGGGAGCTCGTCGCCCGTCAGCATCTTCATAGTCGTCGTCTTGCCGGCACCGTTGATACCAAGGAAGCCAAAGCACTCACCGCGCTTCAACCCGAAGGACAGATTACGAACCGCAACCTTGCCACCGCGATACACCTTGCGAAGACCAGCGAGCTTGACGATGTCGCCATCAGCCTCTCCGTTAGCCACGCGCTCCGCTTCTTTCACGACGTCAACGTCTTCCTCGTACGGTTCGTCAACAACGTTATCGCTGCCACTCATCCAGTCCTTCACCTTGGGGAACGTCATGGCGTAGTCGATGCCGACAGCCAAGAGTCCATACAGAATAGCAGTCACAAACAGGTAGATCATTTCCCACCCCATGAGATCCGTGCTAAACGGACTCGACTTGGTTTCGTCGCTTTCACGAATAGTTGTCAGCTCGTTCAGCACCAAGTTGAGCAGTCCGTAACCGAGATTGAACAGAGGTGAGAACCGCCAGAAGAACACCAGCACCGCGTTCACATCCTTCGTCGACTCGATCACATCCAGAATGAACGCCACCACCATCAGCACCACTCCAAGGACAAAGTTGATCATAATCGTGTAAGTCTGCGACGAAGCGTGCTCCTTGAACAGGTACGACAGGCAGTACGTGAACGGGCAGATCGCAAGTCCGAACAGGATGAGCAGGACAATCACGGCAGGGAACGTCTCCGACGTGCAACTGTTGCAGGCTGAGCTGCCAGTCATAGAGTCAATGCCGAAGCCCTTGATCATAATGATCGCTGCCGCGCACGGGATCAAGTACAGGAGGAAATCCCACAGGAAGTTGGACAGCCAAAAAGCACCTAGCGAGACACCAGACACCAGCTGCTGGTGCTTTGAGTTGTGGCTCGCTTGCTTCTCCTTCACCAGGAACACCACGATGGACGCGGGGTAGTACGTGAAGGCAATGCAGATGAACAAGCATGCCGTAAACGCCAGGAACGATCCGAAGAGCGCCTTCGTGTCGGCAGTCAGCGGCAGCGGGTGGTTGTTCACGACCAAGTTTACGTTCGATGCATCGGAGCTGGAGTTGGCAGCGAAAAAGCGGTAGATGGTCTGGTCCATCAGAGCCTTGAAAATAATCGCTCCGTGTGTGGCAGTAGTGTTGACGAAAATGTTGTAGCCGAAGAGGTTCTTGTCGCTGTCAGCGTGCACCAAGTACGCACCATACTGGCCCTCGACCGTTGCCGTGTCAACACCGTATCCGCGGTTATACACTTCTTCACCCAGACGCAGGCCATAACCAGTGGCGCCGGTAGTGTTAACCGCAGGGTTCGTGTATGTCACGCCGAACACCGTTGGTGAGCTGGAGTCGAATGCCGGTTCAGATAGCGCGAGTGCTTCAGTAGCAACATCGGTGAAGTAGGACCGACCCATGGCACTGCTGCACCACTGATCCTCCGATGTACCAGGTTGGCAGAAGTACGGCGTCGGAGTCTCTGTTCCGTAGTCAAAAGCATCGGTAGTTAGTGGCAGGTTAGGGTCGTCCTTGGTGAAACTCGTTCCCTGAAGAAGGCCCAGCCCAACCAGCAGCAACAAGATGGGCAGGGCCAAACTGTAGAAGATCATCTTCTTGTCGCGTTTAGCGTAGCGGAATCTCTTGAGGAAGAGTGCCCACAGATGCGTCATGAAGAATGAGCTAGTCTGCTCCGGGACTGCACCAGTATCACTTGATGCGGTAGGGCTGGAGGCAGGTGTTTCTGGACGAGCTCGGTTCCCAAGCGTGTGCTGGTTGCCGTGGTCATCAGCTTCAGCCACCTTAATGAACACCTCTTCCAGCGTCGTCACGGAGACACCGTACGACAGCAACCCAAGCTTCTGGAGGTTGTCGTCCATGTCGGCAAACATCGATGCAAACTTGGACGAGCTTGTCAGCGGCAACTGGAACGCGACCTCGCTACCAACGTTGCTTAGCAACTGCGCTGTCGGTACTCGCGACGTCACGAATGAGATGACCTCACTGTCCTTGCAAGTCGCATCGTCCTTCACCAGGGTCAAGTTGTAGCCTGCTCCAAACCGGTTCTTCAAAAAGAGAGACGAACCACAGCAACGCAGTTCACCCTCAGCCATGATAGCGATACGGTCTCCAAGGATATCAGCTTCGTCCATGAAGTGTGTCGTCAGCACCATGACACGGTCGTTGCGGTTGTTCAGCAGAATCTCCCACGTGCTGCGACGACTGTACGGGTCCATTCCCGACGTGGGCTCGTCCAGGAACACAAGCGAACTGTCACCAAGGAGAGACACAGCGACGGACAGCTTCCGCTTCATACCACCAGACAACTCGGTAGACTTGACGTGACGCTTCTCGGTCAGTCCGACCTCACGGATCTGCCTTGTGATCACAGCATCCAACTCTGTCTTCGTGTAGCCCTTGATCCGTCCGAAGAAAAGCAAGTGCTCCTCCACTGTGAGTTCTTCAAAGAGAACATCGTGCTGGAAGCACAGACCCAGAGACTCGCGAATTTCGTCCATGTCTTCCTTCACAGACAGCCCACGGAAAGTTGCATCTCCGCTCGTGGGTGCAATCATGCCGGTGAGCATAGAGATCAGCGTCGTCTTGCCTGCGCCGTTGTGTCCCAGCAAGCACGTGATTTGATTCTTGTACATGGTCAGATTCAGCCCCTGCACAGCCACCTTCTCGCCGCCGGGAACGGGGAAAACCTTACGCAAACGCTGAACTGCAAGCACTTCGCCCTGACGCTCCTGCTCGCGAAGCTCCGCATTGACTGGTTCAATATTGTGGTTTACATCCACAGATACGCTGTCCAGCAAAGCTTCAGACGGGTGATCAGCATCCAGCTTGACCTTTAGTTCTTCGCGGGTTTTGCGTCGGTTTCTCCAATACGACGGAGACACGGGGAAATACCACTTCAACGTAGTACCGTGCTCCTTCGGAACCACCTTCTCGAAATACAGTCCAAGCAGCGTGTAGAGCACCGTGTCGAACGCGAACATGAGCAGCGATCTACTGAAGCGGAAGTTATCGCTCAGCACACTCGCGTTCGAGAAGTTTACACCGGTCCCCGTAGCTTCGAGATTCGACAGCACAGTCACACCAAGCGACAGCGCGACTGGGGACAGAATGCAGCCTACCGTCTTTTGGTTTTCAGCCGTCTCCGTCGTGAACGCAGCCGACACGAAGTACATGAGGAAGAACAGCACCATACCAACGAACGCTCCGACGCGCGCTTTGCTGAAGATCGTGCTGATCATGAAGCCGTACGCCAGCACACTCAGACTGAACAGGAAGAAGAAGAGGAAGATCAGCACCACGGAGCTGTTCGAGAAGAGGCCGGCCATACCCATAAGCGCCTGCAGAATCGACCCGACGAATAGAATCAGGGTGTACGTCATGTACCACGACACGACAATGGCCTTCTCCTTGACTCCGAGGATCTTCATGTACTCGCGCAACCGCAGCTCCTTCTCCTGGATAAGCACCACCAAAATCCGCGAAATGGAGTACAGGTACGACAAGATGAACACGATCGCGAACACATCCGACACTTGGTCGTAGAACGGGGAGCTGATGTACGCTTCAATGGGGAAGGGCATCACCGACACGCCCAGATACGGCTGCGGTGTCTGTCGAAGCGGCTTCAGCAGCGCCTCCAGTGTCTCGTTCGTGAAAAACTCCTTGACACTCGAGAACGTCGCGTCAGCCCCCGCAATGTTCTGAATAGCGTAGTCGATGATCACGTCGTTGTCCAGCGACGACAGCAGCGCGTCATCTAGTTCCTTGGACGCTTCGGCCGTCGTCTGCGGGCGTTGGCACACACCCGTCGTCGTCTTGGTGGCCGCGTCCCACTCGGGCATACACGCCACAAACCTCGTCACCAGCGTCTGCAGCGTCATGAAGCCCGTGATAGTGTACCTGGTGTAGTAATCCATGCTGATATCCTTCTGGAAGGGCGACAGCTGCGGAGGGTCCCCACTCGTTCTCGGGACGAGTCCAATGGCTCCACGCCGACCAAGTGTCGAGTTCAACCTCACCGTGTACTCAATGTCCTGGAAAGAGCCAATGTTATCGTCCTCAGGGTATGAGTCGAACACGATGCCTCCGTAGATGTGGGGGTTCTCCTGGCTCGACGCGTAGTCGTTGCCACTAACGTACTCCTCGAGGGCCTCCTCCGTGTCGAAGAACTGGAAACTCTCCATCAACGACGGGAACACGGCTGACGTGGACGTGTTGCGTAGATTGAGCCTCGGGTACCACAGCTCCATGGTCTGCATGAAGTAGTCTCGCGTGAAGGTGTTGTCCGGCGCAATAGCGATTTTGTATGGCGACACTTTGCCCGCGCAGGAGGTGGGCACAGCGTAGGCCGAGGTAGGATCGATATCCACCATCCCGCGTGCAGTGACGCCGGTAGTACAGTTCTCCAGGTCTGCAGAGGACAGTTCGTCCATCTTCATGCCGTTGGAGATGGACAGACTGCCCATGTACAGTAGAATGCCCCAGAGCGACGTCTCGTGCATGGTGAACTTGGGTAGAGCGGCGGGGAGACCGGCCACCGTCGTCCCCGACGTCTGGAACAGGTTGTAGGACGTTCCGAGCGTGTCGTCGTCGGTGACGCTGCTGTCGTCGCTCCATCCCTGGGGCACGCTCACGTCGTCCACGAGGGACTTGAGCAGCCCCATGATGAGGATGAAGACGCAGGGCAGCGCCACCTCCATGAACGTGGCCACGGGGTGGCGCCGCTTGAGCGTCCAGTTCTTCCACAGCAGCGTGCGGATGAAGAGCCACGTGGTGCGGCGCTCGGCCAGCGGCGGCGCGCTCGAGGAGGGCGCCAGCAGGCCGTCCTTGCCGCCCAGCATGGCGGTCTGGGACGACGACCGCGTCTTGTCCATCGTCCGAGGAGTGCGCACTTGCTGGCGAAATACGTTGTGAGACTGCGGCCGTTGCGGCTGAAAGCGAAAGAGTGTTTGTCAGTTCGGACAGTATAGTGGAATCGAGTGTTTTGTGGTTTATAGACGACGTGACGTTCGGCCGCCTTCTGCAGACGGCGGCAAGAGACAGGCTGGCGCTACCACTCAGCTTGGCATAGAACCCTTTGACCGGCGAGGTTGCGACGGTGCCGAGAGATTGAAAGGAGGCGGGGCTGCTGCTACCGGTACTGGAGATGGAGGGTGGTGCTTGCGTGGCTTGACGGAGTATTTGCCGTCGCGGGTGAGCGACTCGCTCAGCGAAATGGAGATTCTGGATAGAGGATAAGGATTTCGCCAGTGTCGACGCGCGGCTAAGGAGGCAGATGGCGGCACCGCAATGATCGAGCTGGATGGCATTGCGATCGTCGAGCAGCAAGGCCGACCATCAAGGAGGGACGCGCCTACAAGCGTTGGCATCGCGGAGCTCAGAGCTTGGCGGGGATATTGACGCAGGAGCTGTTAATTCGCGTCGATGACTTGATATCATGCAGAGAGCGGCCGTGTAGCCTCAAAGTGTACCATCATTCTATGGTCTCGGACGTGAAGCAGAAGCTGGCAGATTACTGGCAGAAGTCTCCACACAGCACAGCTTCTGCTGTGGAGATTCCAAGTGCATGTATGCATGTACTGTAGGCTGCAAACAGTGCGTCACCATTGCGGTTGGTCGGTCGCTGCGGGTCTTGGGGCCTTGGTCATCAAGCGTCGAGTGTGCGTCTTGGCCTCAACTGTCCCGGCGGTGCCGTCGCCGAGTCGCTGCAACCAACGGCCCCGTCAAGCGCGCATCGGATGGATACATGCACACGTCCTACGGCCGCCGGCCGGTAGGCTTCGCGCCGGGAAAATCCGCCGACCGGTCGGATGCGGGAATCGAGAAGGATCGAGAGTTCTTGCATGGGTTGTCAGGTTTACCAAGCCGTGGTGGTCAAATTTCCTAGTAATCGTGCTAACTTGAAGTCGCTCGCATGCTCGCAGTTGAAGCGTGAAGGGAAAACAGAGTCGAGTTGTATGGTACCTAATAGTTGACGATACCAACTTGGTATTCTCATGTATGCCGTTAGATGGCCTTGGCAATGATGCTACAGTATATGCGAGACTGTGCTTATGACCTTTTGGAGTTGACGGAAATATTAACAAAGAAAGATGCCAGGACGTGGCACTTGCCTTTGGCATGTAGATCAGACTATCACGAATTCCGTCACCAAAGCGTGTTCGGATATCTCGTCAAGCAGATTGATCGATTAATGAGTTGGTATGAGTAGCAACGCAGCGGTGTAATAATTACACAAAAAAAAAGAATCGGGAATTTGTTCGCGCTAATAGCGTGCGAGTTGAAACGCGATCTAGACAGGAGGAGGAACTACTACTATGGAATCGTCGGAAAAGGAAATGAAAACTACCTGTCCAGTGGGCGTGCCCCTCAGGGGGTGTTCGAGCTGTCACTAAGCGACACTTTTGCAACGCCATCCTGCACGTCCGCGATCGAGTCCTCTTCCTCCTCCTCCTCCTCCTGTGCGCCTGCACGAACGATATCCGCAAAGCTCGGGGCGTCGTCCGCGACCCACGAGAAGCGCGCAAAAAGCTTCTTCGAGTCGCCACTTGCTGTAGCGCTGTCGATGCGGCTGCGGCGTCCCACAGCCTGCGTCGTGAACTCCTCTGAGAAGTAGGTGGTGTCCGTGTTGCTCATAACGTTGGGCAAGATCGGCGGCTGCACCTTTTTCTGCTCCAGCAGGTGCCAGTCGATGCCCTTGAAGAAGGTGTGCTTCTTGATGGCTTGCACGCCCTTCACCTGGAACATGGTCGACTTGCCAGAGCCCAGGCGTTTGTCGACGTTTCTTTCCAGCAGCTGCTTCAGAATGGAGTGGGTATCAGGCCCAAGCCACTTCGGAAGAGGGAGCTTTGCAAAGTGAACGCTGATGTCAGTAGGGAGTAGAACCGATTTGCGAGCTGCAGTTAAAGATTACTCTTACCTTTTCGTTCAAGATCTTCTGGTGGAGTTTCTTGCGGTTCTTGTGTCTGAAAGGCGGGTAGCCCGTCACCATTTCGTAGATAAGCGCGCCCAGCGCCCACCAGTCCACTGCCTGGTTGTATGCCTTGCGGCGGATCATTTCCGGTGGCATGTACTCTGATGCACAAAAGAAGAAGAATCGTCAGAAATTGGTAACAATCGTGTACATAAGTCACAGGCACTCACCGTTCGTGCCGCACATGGTACTAGTCGAGTCGTCCTCCTACAATACCACGGAACTTATTAGCACAGCAACCGCTCTTCCAGAGGTGCGGCTTCAACTCACGTCAGCCATTTCTTTGGCGAGACCGAAGTCCGTAAGTCGAATGTGCCCATCAGCCCCAAGCAGTACGTTTTCAGGCTTCAGGTCGCTGTACAACATTGTTCAAAAGCCACAGTAAAGTTCACCGGGAGTAAACGTCAGCATCAGAACCATAAGAAACAGCAAAATAATGCAACCTTACCGGTGAATGATGCCCTTCGAGTGCAAGTGCTCCAGCGCCAGCACCATCTCCGCGGCGTAGAACTTGGCGGAGCTCTCGAGCAGCAGGCCTTCCTTGTGCAGGTGGTGGAACAGCTCTCCTCCGGCGACGAACGGCATGACCAAGTACACATTGGACTTGGTCTGGAACGCGTATCGCAGACTGATCAAGAACGGGTGGTTGATCTTGGTCATAATATCCCTCTCGGCCTGCAGGTACGACACCGAGTTGTGCTGCACAATGTACTTGTTCGACACGATCTGCAGCACGAAATGCCCCCATCAGTCCACGCTCCCTCGCCTCCTGCCACCAAACCAACCAAACCGAATCCGCTCTCTCCATTGCACGCACCTTCATGGCCAGGATCTCGTCCGTCGGCTGGTGCCGCACCTGGATGACCTTGCCGAATGCGCCCTGACCGATGACGCACAGCAGATCGAAGTCTTGTGGCCCCACGGGGCGTTTGTTGGCCCCAGTCAAGCTGCTGGTGCTATCCGAGGTGGACGAGACCGACGACGAGGCGGGAGACGCCAGCACCGCTGCGTCCTCGTTCTCGGCCTCGACGATGGGCTCGTTCTTGCGGCTCAGGCGCTTGAAGGTGAAGCGCCGGCCCTTGGATGGCTTCTTGGCAGCGCGCGGCGTGGACGGAGCCTCGCCCAGCACCTGCGGGGCCTGCGGAGGCGCCTTGGCGGCCGCGAAGTCCTCGGTCTCGGCGCGCGTGAGCGTGGACGGCATGGCGAGCCGGTGCCCGGGGCTAATGGTTAGTGACCAGTAAGTGCTGGCACTGACGTTCGTCTGACGCTTTCACTGCAGCTGTCCCGGTGGTCAAGTCGCTGATATTAATAGACTGCGGGGTGGAATGTATGTCGATTTGTATGGTCAGTGTTGTGAGGTGTAACACCGAAATGGGCAGGACGAATCGGACGCAGCAAGTGAAAGCTGTGACATGGTGCGGTGTACCAGTGGTACCACTGACTGGGTGGGTTCAGATGATGTGGTCCACATACATAGTACAACGGCTCAAGTTGAAGCGGCGCGGCGTATCTTTTCAGATCGGATCCGCGTCATTTGTGCCACAAGGACTCGCTTGGGGAGCTTGCTGCGGTGGACTGGGCTCTATGCGTCGTCGCTTGTTGCCGCGCTGGCTGGCGCTTGTTGCGTTGATAGCGCTGCTGTCAGTCGGCGCTGTCGTGAGTCAGGACGTGGATGCATCGGCTGGAAGTGGAGGGGAGTCTGATTCCAGTCCAACGAGCGATAACGCAGTGGCTACGAGCACTGACAGTGCGTTTGTGGATAATGACTTGCTATACGGAAACGTCAGAACCGTGCTTGTTCTAATCTGATGCCGGTGTGCTGTGTGCGTGTAGATGGCAGCAAGAAGACGCGCAGCTTCGTGGGAGCTACGCGGGGATCGGCGCACGCGCTGACGTTGACGACCTTCTTGACGGACGCGGCGCACCTGCACTATGCCGTGCTACCTGCGGGCCAATCGGCGCTTGATGCTGAGGGGATCAAGACTGCAGCGGCGCAGTGCCGCGTTGATGCTTCTGAGAGTGATGGCAAACTGCCTGGAGGCGACACAGCGGTGACGCGACGCTGGCCAGGGACAAGCAATGCGGTGCAAAAGGCTCAGAGCACAGCCGCTGTGGCTGCGGAGACGGTGACTGTGCCCAAGGCGCAGAAGGTGGTGAGCGCTGTGGAGAACCTGCTGCCCAACACGAGCTACGACGTGTACCTCGTCGCGGAGGTGATCGGCAGCAACGGCGTCTTCGGGCCAGTGCAGTCGGTGCTGCAGTCCTGGACGCACCCGGAGCCACCAGCTATTGACGTTTCCTTTGTGGGCCCAGCTAATGCTTCGAGCGATACGGTGCTGGTCAACGCAACGCTGTCGACTCCGGGACGCGCGTATTTTGCGCTGGTCCCGAGTGATGCGAACGTGCTGATGATCTCGCCTGAAGATATGGCGATGAACCGCACCAGTGACGTTGGAACCTCTGGAGCGCACTTCACACTGCACAATATTCCATTGGGGACCAACGGCTCCTACGGTTTTCAAGAAGTCATGGGAAGTTTGACACCCGCGACATCGTACGACGTGTTCGTCATGACGGAAGCCCCGGGCAATGGACAAGTTCGGAGTGAGGTGAGCCGCCATCCAAGTTATGTCCGCACCCATGCGCTCGCGCCTGAAGTAGCCACATTAAAGTGCTCCCCCGTCAACGCGAGCGCTTCTGCTCTGGATGTGAGGTTCAAGCTGGACGTGGATCATAAAGATATCGATCGCGCCAGCCCCGACACGTTGTCGTACTTCAGGTACGACCTGCACTACGAGGTCATCGCGCTGTCTGACAACGCCGCGAGCAAGAAGCAGTCTACAGTCACATCCAGTGCTGCCACGACTACAGCAGGGACGGGAGCGACGCGCAGTACTGACGACATCAGTGCGCTGAAGAATACCACAATACGCGGAGTGTTTCCCACGCAGAACTTTTTCAGCATGGAAGAGTTTCATGCAGGTCTCAAGGCAACTCACCACGCCAACATCACGGGACTCCAGAGCGGAACATTGTACAAAGTGAAGTTACGCGCTGAGACTGCGGGTAGCAACGGCCTGTTCGGTCTTCGCGAGCTCACAGCGCAGGCGAAAACCCACGAGGAGGCGCCTTCAATTGTTGCTGCCACCGTCCAAGCCACGAACAAAAGTGTGAACTCTCTGACACTTACAGTGGACTTGGCACGCTCTCGAGGGAACATTTACTACGTCTTAACTGGTAAAAGTGGGTCCAGTGGCAACCTCCGCAGTGTGTTCCAGCAAGCTACGAGTGTGGAGAACCTCCGTCATCTGCTCCATGAACGATTTCCACGAGAATTTAGTGAAGATGACGTTGTGACTGGTGTTCTCAAGTTCTCATCGGAGGAAACTGTCAGCACAAGCACCCCAACTCCAGATCCAAACCCAAGATCAAGACCAAGCGCAGGTGCGAGACCGGGAAATGCTCCAGAGGAGAGTTCTGAAGAAGCGTTTCGACAGGAATTTGAGATCACGGGCCTCACGGACGCAACGTCGTATTCAATTGCGCTGCTACCGGAGACAACGAAGAGCTTCGGACTATTCGGACGCGCGCATCGCAATCTGCTGGAAGCTACTACGAACGAGAACGCCTCGGACGTTGAACTTCGCTCAATGAGGCCAGGCCACGGCAATATTTCTGCCATTGAGCTCGAAGTCAGCATGACCAAGCCGCAAGACGTGCTGTTTCTGTGTCTACAGCCAGTTACAATTACCTTCGAGGCGGCTAAAGACGCTGATGGCATGAGTTCGGACTCTTGCCGTGAAGTGGAGAACAGGGAGAACTTCGAGCTATCCAGAGGCGCTTCAAACCTTTTCACCTTTACGGTGGGGAATCTCAGTGAGGACACGGAATATCGCGTTAGTCTTTACGCTGAGAATGTCCGCCGCAATGGCGTCCTCAGCGAGCGCAGTGAAGAGCTCACCGTGCGAACACACAAGAGCGCACCACACATCGTCGAGACTTCCGCGCAACCGACTGCTGCTAGTACGTCGCAAGTCGAAGCTCAAGTGACTGTGGAGCCGGATTCCTCCTGCATCGTGCACTATGTTGTCCGTGAGGCACAAGATGCAATCGACACTGAGGAACGCAAGCCTGTGGAAGCTGCAACAATTGTGCAGCACTCGTCCGAAAGCACTACAGACAGTCGTCCTCACTTCCAGCATCGCTTACCGTCATCGTCTTCTCCGTCTTTCGTTAGTGGTGGGAACGTATTTTCTGCTGATACTGAGGTGCAAACGAACTTCGTTGTAGAAGGACTGAGTGCCAACACAACCTACGAGCTGTTCGTCGTCACGGAGACCAGTCGCGATGGGAACAGCAGCGGCGTGTTTGGAGAACCTGCTGTCTTCAACGTCACCACTCACGCTGTCGCCCCCAAGATCGTGCTTGCGACTGTGGATCCGGTGCCAGGAAGCACCGACAGTGTCATCATCTCGGCGAATCTCTCACACCCTGGTATGCTGCACTACTTCCTGAGCGACGTGGACTTTGCAGACCCTGCGATCATCAGTCACAGCGGTGAGAAACACACGCCGCACCAGCTACGGGGCCAACTCCAGGTGCTTGAAGAGCACATTTTGATGGAGATTATCAATGGAACGAACGACACGCGACCGACAGAGCCCCTTACGTTCGTGCACAATACGACGGTGGGTGGGCTCAAGTCAGGCCGAACGTATCACGTGTCGCTCACAACGGAGACGTACGGCAGCGATGGAGTATTTGGCGAGTTTCCGCCCCCAATCCTCGTGAACACGCACCTCGGTCCTCCTGTGATCATCCCAGAGACGCTGTCGGTGCACGCAGTGGGTGGGTCGAGTTCCGCGTTGGCTATCGACTTCCAGTTGGATCGATTTGGAGACGTTCACTACGCGCTGTTCTTCCGCGGCCTTGTGCCGGATAGAAGCCGCCAATTCGAAGAAGACCACAAGGCTGAAGTTAAACCTTCAGCTGCAGCAGAGGACAAGAAAGATGGAGAAAACGAGACCATCGCGATTTGGCCGCCGCTAGAGAGCACGTTCGACCTTACGGAGCTGACCGGGCCGATGCTCAAGGCTGCAGAGCTCGAAGATCTGGGCGTGGGTGTATGGGTGAATGACACCATATCCGTCTCCCGAGACGACGTGACCCGTGGCAAGCTTACCCACAAGAAGATCGACAAGCTCCCAGCCAACGCATTGTTTGACCTATGCCTCGTAAGTGAGACTGCTGCTAGCGGGGGCATTTTGGGGTGGCCCTTGGATGGAAGTGCGAGTGCATGCCACCGCATCGCGACTCATGCGGACTACACGAACCAATCGAAGCTGTTTGACGAGATTTCCGTGCACGCTTTGAGTGGCCGAACTGACGCGGTGCGCATCAACTTGAATGTCTCCAAGCTTCTCAATGCCCCGCAGACAACGGATACTGACGACGGAGACATCATGGATCGATTCGCCCGGGCAGCGGGTAGAGTACCCTACTTTGTTCTCCTTGATGCAAAGTCAAAGTCTGGGCGTGACGTCGGGATTTTCTCATCGCATCGGGGTGAGGTCACTAACGCCTTCAAGGAGGCATCCCCGGGTCGTGGTGACGGAGTTGTTGCTGCTGGAATGCTGGCGAATATCGCGGCTGAGAATGCCACTGCACTCCGGATTGAGCAGGACGTCTTTGGACTGGATGCCAACCACGAGTACCTGCTGTTCTTCGCTTACGAAACTAGCGACAGCGATGGCGTGTTCACGCGCGTGAACCCGCACAAGCACCGAAGCAACGACTCGCGTTTTGAGAACGACGGCATTCCCGTGACGACATACGAGGCGGCTCCTCGAATCCTCAAGGCGAAGGCGCAGCCCAGCTTCGGCCACACTACGCAAGTTACGGTCAAGCTCGACATCGCCTGTGATTCGTGCGAGAGCGCGATTGTCCACTTGTTGGTTTTCCCTGACGACTGCAAGCTCCCGCGCTCTGTGGATGACACGCTTCGACTGGACCACCTCTCTGCATCGGAAACCAACACGACGGTCAGTACGCCTCCAGGCAACGAAGAGAATGGAGATCAGTGCAAGATCCCGCTAGTCCAGAAGCGCGTGGAGTTTGAGATGCCCGAGCGTCAGCACAGCCGCAACGGCTTGGAAGAAGAACTCGGAGGTGACCAAGTGCTCTCCCCCACCACCAGCTACGTCGTGTTGCTTGCGGCTGAAACTGTGGACTCGCAAGGCGTGCTGAGCGAGAAGTTCGAGGAGCCATTGCGTGTCCGAACTCACGCTCCAGCGCCAAGTTTTACAGAGATTCGCTTGGAACCTCGCATAGGGTCGACGACGGAGTTGCTACTGAAATTTGCGCTGGATCGTCCTGGAGAAGTCCACTACATGCTCGGCGTGTCGGACAACGCCGAGTTCAATGTAACGTCACCACACAACATCAGCAGCAAAGGCACGGCGAAAGGAGATCGCCATGGACACGCCCGAGACGTCCACACTTACCGCCAAGAGGTTGTGCGAACGCGACGTAGTGTGACCTATTCGGACGGAGAGCATGTAGAGCTGCTGGACTACTTGCTGCCAGGCACGAGCTACAGCCTCTTCATTGTATCGGAGGACCTACCGGCAGACCACGGCGTCTACGGCTCGATTCACGAGGTGAAGGACGTGTCGACATTCGCCAACGCTCCGATCCTGCTGGCTCACACGGCGTACCCGACTCCAGGGACCACCAAGACGCTCACGGTGGACTTTCGGATGAATGCTCCGGGCATTGTGTACTTCTCCGTCGTTGCTGTCAAAGTCTGGGGTCTCACACATCACGTGGCGAAAGGCAGTGACCGCTATGGGAACCGCTTGGCGCTGCAAGATGAGCTCGTGGCTCAGAAGAACTTGGATGTGGACAAAGAGAGCATGGAGCTTGAGAGCGACAGCGGGTGGAGAGAGCAGATACTAGAAGTCCCGCAGACCGGAATGAACTACACGGTGCACATCGTAACGGAGACGAAGGGCAGTGGAGGCATCTACGGCACCGTAGCCACCCACGCCAGCGTCCGCGCTCACTCCGATGCTCCGGAGTTGGCGAACGTGTCGGTGAACCCGACGGACGCCCGTGTAGATGCACTGACCGTCAATGTCACGCTCAGTGACCGGGGCCACGTGCACTACATCGCACTACCCAGTGGACGTGGATCGACACCTCCGTCCGATGACTTCTCAGATGAGTCGGCGGGGCTGAGTGTGCTTGCTAGCGGTAGTGTGGACGTCAATGAGACTGCAGGCAGCGCCCAGGAGACCAGTTTCAGGATCACGGGGCTCAATGAGGGAACGAAGTACGACTTGTACTTCCGCGCGGAGACGTTCGAGAGCTTTGGCGTGTTTGGAGCGTGGACGCAACAGGCTGTGACAACTCGTACTCATGGTCTTCCTCCAGATGTGCTCCCTGAGGCGGTTGAGTGCAAAGTTACGCCTTCGTGCGAACACCGTGGGCGCGAGACGGTGAGTCCGTATCTATAGGAATTCATGATGTGTGCTTATTCAACCTAACACCTTGTGTGTTTACAATTTGCAGTGCTCGCGCAAGGCCAACACGTGCGGCAAATGCCTTGACGGCTACACAGCGACTAGCGATGATGAGACGTTGGAGACCAATGAGCCATGCGTGAAGCTGGAGCCTGCGACCGAAGGTATTATCTAATCATGACGACTATTTCTTTGCGAGTCAGTAGCTCATATCGCGTTCATGCGTACAGATAAACGTGGCCCGACCATCAAAATCAACGGGATCAAGCGCAATCCAAACTTGCACTTGTCCGAGGTTGAGCCCGAGCACAGGGAGGAGCAGGAGCAGGGGCCTCTGTATTCCGCGCCCGAAGAGGAGCTGCCTGCCCCAGCGCAACAACAGTTCGAGCAAGAACTAGTACAACAAGACGCAATGGGACCGATACCCGAAGACGTTGAGGTGATGCAGGAACCTGTACAGGAACCGACGCCGGACGCGGCAAATGTGCAGGAGATTGCAGCGGAGGAGCTCTCGGAGCCGGCGGACATGGTGCAAGAACAAGTAATGCAGGAGATTCCGGAGCATCAACCTGAACTGGAGCACCCCCAGCAACAGCCGTATGTCGGACAAGAGCAAGAAACAGCGGCCATGCCTGATCAACTCGTCGTCGACGTAGGCATTGACGCCCTTGGCCAGCCTGAAGTCACACCCGAACATGAACCAATGCCGGAGTCTCAAGAGCCCACGGGAGGGTGCCCACTGAACGCGCAAGCCACCGCTTCGGGTCTTTGTGAGTGCATCCCAGGGTACGAAGTCGACGAAGGCGGCACCAATTGCGTCCTCTCGCGGATGGCCACCGCCTCTGAAGCTGCAGCCACGGCTACGTCGGATGCGTTCGACGCCATGAACCCCCACCACCCGATTCCTGGCCGCAGCTCCCCCTAAACTTCCAGGCATGATCAGTTGGGGGCATAGGATACAATAGAACGTATTCATAGCGCTATTGTGGATAAATCTGAATCAATAAAAAACGCTACAGGTCATGTCATTTGTTCCCCATGTCGTAGCAAAGCATCCAAGCAATCCCAAGCAGAAAGAAAATTAAAAGACTCCCACCCCCACAACCGCTCCCCCTACGCCTCAAAACACCATTAGTCCGAGATTTGGAGGTTGGGGATACCTCGAGCAATCTGGTCGCCCACAGCACGCGCCATCTCCTCGTCGGGGCCGAGCATACTCTCAACGTCATAGTATCGCTGAATGCTATCCACAATGGGCCCGGATGCGCTTTTCCCAGTGACCGATGGAAGCATGTCCCGCAGTTTGCATCGCGTAAAGAGCCTCTCGGTCGGTGGGATCAGCTTCTTCATCACCGCAAAAGCTTCGTCGGGGTCGGAGATCAGCGCCGAGTACACCACCGTGTGCGTGTCGCTCTTCTCTCCAACCCAGAAGAACCGCCAGACACTTTGCAAGTCCGTCAGTAGGACCGTCACGGGGTCACACGTGAGTACGCTCAGAGTGATGAGCTCCGACACAGCCTCGAAGGCGTCACTCTCCTTCGCCGTCTTCTTCACTTCAATCGCCAACTTGGACGACTCAACGCATGGACCAAACATATCTGGGTGGGTCTTCACCACAGCTCCCAGTACGATCAGATCCGTGTGTCCACCAAGCTCAACGTCGGTGCCAGGGATCACGGCCGTGAGGAAAGTCGACTGTCTGTTCACCGCAAACACGCACATTTTTTTCTCCGACAGCACATCAGCGAGGTGGGTCTCCAGGTAACTGCGGTACGAGTCGCGCTGCTGCTCATCGGTTAGCTTGGCGATACTTCCCCACTGGAACGGCTGGATTCCAGCGCGTTGGACTTCGACTCCAGCAAGTAACTGCGCCTTGTCCACACTACTCATCGAGACGTTCAGCTCCTTCATGACGGAAATTCCCTTGTCAAAGTCGGCACCAAGCTCCGAGTGGGTATAACGTCGATACTCTCCCTCGAATGGCATGTTCTCCTCTGCTGGCACGCCCCTTCCAATCTGCAACTCCACGACTTCCACAATTAGGGCGTCCTCACACGAGAAACCAAGCGTCCCGATCCCCGTTCCCCCGTCTAGAGACCCACCCTTCGGCGTTCTATTGAACGCCTCGCCGTTGTTGTACGCCACGAAGTTGGCCTCCGAATAGTGTGTTAGAAGCCCTCTGTGCCGCGTATACACCGCTGCTAGGAAGTCTTCGACGGTGAAGGCTTCGCCCGTCGATTCAACCCGAAACGTGCGCTCGCTAGGGAACCCTTCGAGCTTCATCTGGTAGAAGACATCTCTCTTCGGCACGACGACGAGCAGTGGGGCGTTCGGGAGCCCAATGTCTTGAACAGAGGCGATAGCACCCAGATGATCTTTATTGACAAGTTTTTCTTTGCTCTCGTAGACTCGGATCCGAAACTCCGGGACTCCTTCGAGAACATTGTTCCTGAAGCGACGCACCAGGTCGTATAGGAAGTCTGCGACCGTATTGGCGTTCTTCACGTAGAGGGCCTGACAGTCCTCGACGGGGGCGCCGGTCGCGTCCACCAACGTAAACCACGTTCTGTGCGCCATCGCTGCAAAAACACTGAATGAAGTTCTGTGGATAACGAGGGCTTGAGGGGCAAAAGTGACACTGATAAATGGAGAATGACGATCAAAACCGGACGGCGAAAGACCCCATTCAGCATATTTCGTAGCCATGGCGCAGAAGACGTGGGCCAAGCTGGCGTACTCGGATGGTCGTGCAGTTCCAGTTGATCATGCTCCTACCTTTGGCGATTTCCTGGTGGCTCTGAAGAACCTTTTCGGGGACAGTTACCTCGCTGGAGTCTCTCCTTTCAACATCAAAGTGAACGAGAGCCAAGAGAAGCTTGAAGCCAACGAGAATATCACTTCTACCGACGCTCTCCAAAGACATGGCAGGACCGAGACCGACCCGCTGCTCCTCCTAGTGCCGAAGAGAGATGTCTTCTACCAGATGAAGCTCGAAGGGTTCCCTAGCGAGCGCACATTTCGGGTTGAATCGACGGGCGAAGCCTTCACCGTCGAAGACTTCCTAGCAGCGGTGTATACGCGGCACAGAGGGCTTCTAACACACTATTCGGAGGCCAACTTCGTGGCGTACAACAACGGCGAGGCGTTCAATAGAACGCCGAAGGGTGGGTCTCTAGACGGGGGAACGGGGATCGGGACGCTTGGTTTCTCGCGTGAGGACGCCCTAATTGTGGAAGTCGTGGAGTTGCAGATTGGAAGGGGCGTGCCAGCAGAGGAGAACATGCCATTCGAGGGAGAGTATCGACGTTATACCCACTCGGAGCTTGGTGCCGACTTTGACAAGGGAATTTCCGTCATGAAGGAGCTGAACGTCTCGATGAGTAGTGTGGACAAGGCGCAGTTACTTGCTGGAGTCGAAGTCCAACGCGCTGGAATCCAGCCGTTCCAGTGGGGAAGTATCGCCAAGCTAACCGATGAGCAGCAGCGCGACTCGTACCGCAGTTACCTGGAGACCCACCTCGCTGATGTGCTGTCGGAGAAAAAAATGTGCGTGTTTGCGGTGAACAGACAGTCGACTTTCCTCACGGCCGTGATCCCTGGCACCGACGTTGAGCTTGGTGGACACACGGATCTGATCGTACTGGGAGCTGTGGTGAAGACCCACCCAGATATGTTTGGTCCATGCGTTGAGTCGTCCAAGTTGGCGATTGAAGTGAAGAAGACGGCGAAGGAGAGTGACGCCTTCGAGGCTGTGTCGGAGCTCATCACTCTGAGCGTACTCACGTGTGACCCCGTGACGGTCCTACTGACGGACTTGCAAAGTGTCTGGCGGTTCTTCTGGGTTGGAGAGAAGAGCGACACGCACACGGTGGTGTACTCGGCGCTGATCTCCGACCACGACGAAGCTTTTGCGGTGATGAAGAAGCTGATCCCACCGACCGAGAGGCTCTTTACGCGATGCAAACTGCGGGACATGCTTCCGTTGGCCCGTGGACAGGGCGCCGGTGGGTCCATTATGGAGAGTATCCAGCGGTATTATGACGTTGAGAGTGCGTCGGGTCCTGATCTCGAGTTGGCGCGTGCTGTGGGCGACCTCATTGTCCACCATCATCAGCTAAAGTAGTGAGCCAAAGTAGGCCCATTACAAGACCCACCGGGCGCGGCAGGCACGGGAGCCTCGGCCCTACCTGGAAGTATGGGGGTGCCTGGCATGACGCCCCAACCGACACCGCAGTACGTCGGGAGTACGCTGGGCCAGTCATGTCGGGCTGAAAGTGTTTGAGGCGGTGGGTTTTATTTTCTTGTTCGTTGTTATGCAGAACTCCTTGGCTAGGGAAGATATGCTAACACATGTGAATTAAATGAAATGAATAAACACTGTTGATTCAACAGTCTGTAGTGGTGTTTGCTTTTGACTTATCTCCTTCACGATAGCGACCGCATGAAGCTTAAAGTTTAGGGGAAGCTGTGGCCAGGAATCGGGTGGTGCGAGTTCATGATGTCGAGCGCCGCCGACGTGGCCGTGGCCATCCGCGAGAGAACGCAACTGGTGCCGCCTTCGTCGACCTCGTATCCACCTCTTGCTGCCTCCTACGTCCTTCTCAACTGGACACCCGGAAAAGTGCTGAAGGATCCATTGCACCATCCGCAAATCGGCGCAGCGAACCGCCTGCATCAACGCGAGAAAGAACTCCCACTTGTAGTAATGCTTTTCGCTGCGCAGCAGTTTCGCAACTGTCCACCGACGTCCCTCGACGTCTCGCCGTGGATGATGTTGAAGACCAAATGGTCCAGAATGTGATTTGTGCATTGAACGGGTTTGTGATTTGTGTGTGGACTAGAAATAGACCGGCATACCTTTTTTGTTAATACGTCCGCCCAGCGGACGGGCCCGTCCGCTGCATCCACTGACTGAACGCCAGTCATTTACTTCGTGTGGTTGCTGTTAAAACCCTCTGCAAGACGACATCGCAATGCGTGGCGTGACGTCAGGCTGGACCTGACAGGCGGCGCGCCCAACAGAGGCCGTGCGACCGCGTGCGGCACGGATTCTGGTCTGCTCTAATAGATGTCGATAGGACAGCTCTGCAGGATTCGTCCCCCAGTGGTCCAGTTTGCATGGTGCAGGGCAGACTGCGCTAATCACCCGGTTTAGTTCCTGTTGTCGGTGTGTATCACCTCTTAGGGGATGTCCACCACGCTACCCAAGGTCCCAGCAACTGCCGCTCTCGTATATGCATACACAGCGGCCACAGAAGGTCGACCAAGCGAGCCTGCCACGCCGCGTATCAAACGCTGCGAGCTTCGCCGATAGACCTGTGTGAAGTGTCCACGCGATCTGACCTGTTTCCCTGCTTTCATCACTGCTTCTGATGCGTCCGCGCGACCGACTTCGAAGCTGCTTTCCGTGTACCATGCTTTGATCAATGCTCGTTCTTTCAGCGCCGTAGTATATTCCTCCAACGCAATCAACCACCAACGTGTGCGTGTCGAACTTCTGGTACACTTCCTGAGATTTATGACAATAACGTGACCAATGCGCCGTTACTCGGAGCTGATAGACGCTCAACCACTGCAAGACGTACGCACGCATCGTCCCCAATCGTGCAACACACGCCAACACCACTTATCTGCAGCCACGTAATCCACGACGCCGCCATTCCTGCCGAGCCAAAACGAGTGGAGAGCGCCCCCGCCTTGTATCCAACCCACTACGCAGCGATACGACGCCCAACACCAACGCGAATCGATAAATAACTGTATATTTACGGCGCATGCACGCTCAGAGGAGGGCTTGCTCCGCAAGTTCGTCGCCTTCCACGCTCGTCCGCAGTCTACCCGAACGCCCTTCTCAGGCAGAAGATCCCAGCGCGAATGCCCATCGTCTCTGCTGAGTCATTTCGCCACGCGGGCGACAGCTTCACCAGCGTGAGCTTTGCATCGCACACGTGCGCGCCTCTTTCGCACCAAACAGCACCAACAAACGCCTGCTCATCGTCCACACACGCAATTCAACGTCGTCCGAGGCCACGCGCGATGCCACGGCGTGCTTTTGTCGTCATCTAGCGTCCGCTGTTGTTGCTGCTGCTGCAAGGCCGACCTGTAACTGCCTGCAGACGATGTAACCGTAGACGAGTCGAGCGCGCATCCCCTCTATAAATAGCTGCCCCCTTCACCAGTCGCCACGTCAGGGTCGTTAGCCTGGGGCGCTCGGCTTCACGTCGGCGCCGTTGCCTGCCCTGCGTGTTCGTCCGTCCCGCTCCTTTCCGAGGGCACCTGCGCCCTCGGCCGCAAAAAGCGGAAAGAGTTCCGAAGAGCTCCGCGCAGAACACGGCGCACCAGCACCACGCATTTACGGAGCCCCGGCTCTGCGTGTTGGGCGGCTCCTGGCCACCGGCCGCACACTTGCTTTTTGTATTGAGACCGATCTTTGGCGTTCGGCGCTCACTGGTTAAAAATTACGGCAGCCAATAGAAAGGCCACTGAACATTTAACTTGCACTGAGTGAGGGGACGCCCATCGTCAGGATTGACCGCCCGTCCACTTTTTCGTCCACTCACTGAAACCAAGTGAATTTCGCGCCACACCACATGTACACCACAGATATCGCAACTCCCCGACGGTTCAGCCGTGTTCAGCGGTCTTCGCGAGCCTTCAACGCGCCTCTAGGTCGCTTGGTGTTGGTCTTTGGAGCTCGTGAGCCGCGCGCGCACTCGCCACTAAGACTTCGCCTTTTGCCAGCAAGAGCGCAAGCAGCACCACACCGGGACCATCACTCCCGCTCCAAGCTTCAACCCCACACCCTCCTCACACACACACACAAGCAGCATGTCCTCGGTGTCCTTCTCTGAGCCCGCGGCCGCCGCGCAGGCGGCGCTGTCTCCCGTGGGCGGCGTCACTACGGACGACGCCACGCGCGCCTCGCTGGTGCTGGCGGACGGCACCACGTACTCGGGCTACTCGTTCGGCGCGCAGCAGAGCATGTCGGGCGAGGTGGTGTTCAACACGGGCATGGTGGGCTACCCGGAGGCGCTGTCCGACCCGTCGTACCGCGGCCAGATCCTCGTGCTGACGTACCCGCTCATCGGCAACTACGGCGTGCCCGACATGGACGTCAAGGACCAGTTCAACCTGCCCAAGTTCTTCGAGTCGAGCACGGTGCAGATCTCGGGCCTCATCGTGTCCGAGTACTCGTTCCAGCACAGCCACTGGAACGCCGTCAAGTCGCTCGGCGACTGGCTCAAGGAGCACAACGTGCCCGCGCTCTTCGGCATCGACACGCGCATGATCACCAAGCGCATCCGCTCGCTCGGCGCCGTGCTCGGCAAGATCGAGTTCGAGGGCCAGCCCGCTGAGATCGAGGACCCCAACAAGCTCAACCTCGTGGCCCAGGTGACCACCAAGGAGGTGGCCGTCTACAACAAGGGCGCGTCCCCCAAGATCGTGGCCTTCGACTGCGGCATGAAGCACAACATCATCCGCTACCTGGCCTCCAAGGGCGTCGAGCTCACGGTCGTGCCCTACGACTACGACCTGCCCAACAGCGAGCTGCAGTACGACGGCATCTTCATCAGTAACGGCCCGGGTGACCCGACTATGGCCTCCAAGACCATCGAGAGCATCCGCTGGGCCATCAACCAGGAGAACCCCAAGCCCATCTTCGGTATCTGTCTGGGCAACCAGATCCTGGCCCTGGCCGCCGGCGCCACGACGTACAAGATGAAGTACGGCAACCGCGGCATGAACCAGCCCTGCATCGACATGCGCACCACGCGCTGCTACATCACGCCGCAGAACCACGGTTACGCCGTGGACTCCAACTCGCTGCCCGAGGGCTGGAAGACCTTCTTCATGAACGCCAACGACAAGTCGAACGAGGGCATCATCCACGAGCACAAGCCCTTCTTCTCGGTGCAGTTCCACCCCGAGGCCTGCGGTGGCCCCACGGACACGGCCTTCCTCTTCGACATGTTCATTGAGAAGGTCAACACCGCCCCGGCTAAGCTCACGGTCATGGACACGTCGCTGTACGACCGCCCCACGTTCTCCAAGGTGCTGCTGCTTGGTTCCGGTGGTCTGTCCATCGGCCAAGCCGGCGAGTTCGACTACTCCGGCTCGCAGGCCATCAAGGCCCTGCGCGAGGAGGGCGTGACGGTCGTCCTGGTGAACCCCAACATCGCCACCGTGCAGACGTCCAAGGGCTTGGCCGACAAGGTGTACTTCGTGCCCGTGCGCGCTGAGACGGTGCTGGAGATCATCAAGAAGGAGAAGCCCGATGGCATCCTGGTGAGCATGGGTGGTCAGACCGCTCTGTCGGTTGGTATTGAGCTGTACCTGAACGGCGACCTCGAGCGCCACAACGTCCGCGTCATGGGCACGCAGATCGAGTCGATCATCGACACGGAGGACCGCGAGAAGTTCTCGGAGAAGCTGGCCGAGATCGGCGAGACCATCGCTCTGAGCCAGCCTGCCACGACGGTTGAGGGCGCCCTGAAGGCTGCCAACGAGATCGGCTACCCCGTGCTGGTGCGTTCGGCTTTCGCCCTGGGTGGCCTGGGCTCTGGTTTCGCCGCCAACGACGACGAGCTGCGCACGCTGGCCGTCAAGGCCCTGCACGGCTCGGCCTCCAAGGGCGAGATCAAGCAGATTCTGATCGACCAGGACCTGCGCGGATGGAAGGAGGTTGAGTACGAGGTGGTGCGCGATGCCAAGGACAACTGCATCACTGTTTGCAACATGGAGAACTTCGACCCTCTGGGTATCCACACGGGTGACTCGATTGTCGTTGCCCCCTCGCAGACGCTGTCGAACAGCGAGTACTTCAAGCTCCGCTCGACGGCCCAGAAGGTTGTGCGCCACCTGAACATTGTTGGTGAGTGTAACATTCAGTACGCCCTGGATCCCAACTCCGAGCGCTACTGCATTATCGAGGTGAACGCTCGTCTCTCGCGCTCGAGTGCTCTGGCCTCGAAGGCTACGGGCTACCCGCTGGCCTACGTCGCGACCAAGATCTCGCTCGGCATTGACCTTGTGTCTATCAAGAACAGCGTGACCAAGACGACCACTGCCTGCTTCGAGCCCAGCCTGGACTACTGTGTGGTGAAGATGCCGCGCTGGGACCTGAAGAAGTTCTCGCGCGTGTCCAACGACCTCGGTAGCTACATGCTTTCCGTGGGCGAGGTCATGTCGATCGGCCGCAACTTCGAGGAGTGCATCCAGAAGGCTGTGCGCATGGTCAACCCGAACCTGGACGGTCTGGACGGCGACGCCGTGGACAACGAGACGAACCCTGAGGTGCTTGACGCCCAGCTGAAGCGCCCGACCGACGAGCGTCTGTTCTACGTCATCTCGGCCCTGGACGCCGGCTACACGATTGACCGCGTGCACGAGCTGACCAAGATTGACAAGTGGTTCCTGTCCAAGCTGGCGCGCATCTCGACGCTGCGCAAGGCGGTGCCCAGCTACTCGCTGGACACGCTGTCGGAGCGCTTCGTGCGCACTCTTAAGGTGTGCGGTTTCTCCGACCGTCAGATCGCTGCCAAGCTGCCGAACGCGACGCCCATGCAGGTGCGCGAGCGCCGTAAGCAGCTGGGTGTGGTGCCGTGCGTGAAGCAGATCGATACGCTGGCCGCTGAGTTCCCTGCGCAGACCAACTACCTGTACATGACGTACGGCGGCTCGGAGGACGACATTCCGATGAGCGAGGAGGCCATCGTGGTTCTCGGCTGCGGTGCCTACTGCATCGGTTCGTCGGTGGAGTTCGACTGGTGCGGTGTGAGCGCTGTGCGCACGGTCCGCGAGCTGGGCAAGCCCGCTATCGTGGTCAACTACAACCCGGAGACGGTGAGCACGGACTACGACGAGAGCGACCGCCTGTACTTCGAGGAGCTGAGCCTGGAGCGCGTGCTGGACATCTGGGAGCGTGAGCACCCCGAGGGAGTGATTGTGTCGGTCGGCGGCCAGATCCCCAACAACCTGGCCATGCCGCTGTCCAAGGCCGGCGTGAACATCCTGGGTACGGCCCCGGAGAGCATCGACCAGTGCGAGGACCGCAACAAATTCTCGGCGCTCCTGGACACGCTTGGCGTGGACCAGCCCCGCTGGGCGGAGGTCAAGGAGATGGATGCCGCTCTGGCGTTCGCCAAGGAGGTGCAGTACCCCGTGCTCGTCCGCCCCAGTTACGTGCTGTCCGGTGCTGGTATGATCGTCGCCTCGGACGAGGAGCAGCTGAAGGACTACCTGGACAGCGACGCCGTCAAGATGTCGCGCTCGATCAGTGTGTCCAAGTTCATCCTGAACGCCAAGGAGATCGAGTTCGACGGTGTGGCCAAGGACGGCGCCATCCTCAACTACGCCATGTCGGAGCACGTGGAGAACGCCGGTGTGCACTCGGGTGACGCGACGCTGGTGCTGCCGGCGCAGAAGCTGTACGTGGGCACGATCAAGCAGGTGAAGCGCATCGCGAGCGCCATCGCCAGCGCGCTCAACATCACGGGTCCGTTCAACATCCAGCTCATGGCCCGCGACAACGACGTCAAGGTGATCGAGTGCAACCTGCGCGCGTCGCGCACGTTCCCCTTCATCTCCAAGACGTTCGACCTCAACTTCATCAACCTGGCGACCAAGGCCATGATCGGCCTGCCGGTCAAGTCGGTGCCCATCGCGCTCATCGACATCGACTACGTGGGCGTCAAGGCCCCGCAGTTCTCGTTCACGCGTCTGCACGGCGCCGACCCGAGCCTGGGCGTTGAGATGGCCTCGACCGGTGAGGTGGCCTGCTTCGGCACGGACATGCACGAGGCGTACCTCAAGGCTCTGCTGAGTGCCGGCTTCAAGATGCCCAAGGAGAAGAAGGTGCTCATCTCGATCGGCAACCAGGACATCAAGCGCGAGTTCGCCGAGGGCGCGCTCACCCTGCAGGAGCTGGGCTACACCATCTACGCCACGCCCGGCACGTCTGAGTACCTGAACGCGCAGGGCGTCAAGACCATCACGCTGCGCAAGCCCTCGGACCCGGAGAGCGACCTGCCCAGCGTCATCGACTACATCTCGTCGGGCAAGATCGAGCTCGTGATCAACGTGCCCGAGGGCACCAACCGCGAGGAGCTCACCAGCGGCTACAAGATCCGCCGCACCGCCGTCGACTTCGGCGTCTCGCTCATCAACAACATCAAGTGTGCGCTGCTGTTCGCGCAGGCCATGCAGAAGGTGCGCAAGCTCGAGATCTGCAACATCTCCGAGTACTACGCCATGCCCACGATCGGCTGGCGCCCCGGCCAGAAGCTCACGGCGCGCAAGATGTCCATCTTCTAAGCTGCGACGAACCAAGTAGTGGTAGCCTCCTAGGTAGTAGTAGTTACTGGCCCCGAGCTTGTATTGATCCATAAGTGCATGTAATATTCAACTTCGCACACAAACTACATTGGTATCTGTCGCTGCATCCCTTGCATGCTGTCGGCTATGAAATTGCAACTGTCTCGTCGTAGTCGTCGGATCTTTGAATATCGTGAGAACTGCTAAGTCATACGAACGTACACGTAGTTAAATCCAACAAGTTCATAGTGATGTAGGTATTACTACGTGACTAGCCTCGATCGCCGCGCTTGTCCGACAAGACAATGACGAAGACATTCCTCGCATCGACAAACTGCACCTCTGGAGGAACCGCGACTTTAAAGATTGCATAGTCGTCGTCTGCCGAACTCCGCCAGCACATTTCAGGTCTGAGGGTGAATCGCTGAACGTCTTCCAGTGTCTCCTCACTTTGGCCGAGTTGCTCGACCACGACTTGGATGTTGCCCCGAGTGCTTTGGGCCTCCTTGAACTCATCAGTCAACGTGTCCGCGAACCTCCCACCAGCCCACATGCGCAAATTAGTCAGCAGATATAGTTGCGTCGCCGTTCGCTCCGCCACTAGCGCTGTCGTTGAGGTCACCGCAACGTTCGAGTCCAAGACCGTGGCTCGGGTGGAGATGCGGCTGTGCTTCGGGGATAGAACCGTCTTCCAGGTCGATGAGCACCTGAATGCTGCCGACATAATGGGCTCGGTCCGGAAAGTCGAATGCGGGGCTGCTGACGGCATCCATCGTGTTCATTTTCCCGTCGTCGCTTGTCATGGCTCTGATGGTGTCGGTAACTTCGCCGTGCCGGAGTTTCGCCACGCCGGGGTCATGCCCAGGCAACCAGTCGCCCCCCGTCTTGGCAAGGAACAGCGTCCTTTCGAGGGAACCGATACATCATCACCTGCTGTATCTTCATCTTCAGGTGCCACACCAGGTCTGCCTCGCCGACGTCCACGACACAGAGGCGCCCGCGAGTGTCCATGCATATCAACTTCTCGACGCGTTCTCCCCCTGCAGACATCTTGGGCGTGCCAGTGGGCAGGCAGTGTCAGCAGTGGCTAGTTGATGTCGATTGACCGAACTGGCCGAGTTTTCCGGTAAAGTATTTGCAATATATATATTTTTTATTTTTTTTTTTGGGGGGGGGCTCTTTCGATGATTTGGCTGGAATGACAGGGGTGCCCTGGTTGATGTCTTGAACTAGGGCTTCGCGAAGGCTGGGATAGGATTGATTAACTCACCTTTGATCGCCATTGATAAACTCAATCCGCACGCATCTCCTGCGCCTGCTTCGCAGCCGCAGAATCTGCCCGACAATGTATCGCCACTATAGTCACGACGTACAGATTTCAGAGCAAAATCAATGACGAATCTAACTCGACGAATTTGCAAATGAACTGGACCAGCCTCCATCATTCTTGAGAAGTCTAAAACACTCGGTCAATAGACATCACTTACTGTAAAATGACCTAAAGACGTTACCGGTTCATCACCGGCGTCGATTGGAAGGGGGGACATCGCCCGAATTAATCCTGTTTGCGTATCTCCCGCCAGAGCTCCCTTCGTCGGAGAAGGTGTAGTCAGAGCTCTTGAACCAGCCATTCAGCCGGGTGTGGATGGTGCTCTTGGGTTCTGCCGAGGCTTGTGAGGCTAACGCCACGAATGCGGTGAAAAAGTAAAGAGGCATTTGCCACTTAGCTGGCAAATTCGAAACTGAGGCTGAGGACTCCAGGCCCTGCGCTCCAGTGGAAACGTTGAGGAGTATGAGTGATACTGAGTACAATACAAAGTATGGTGGTGAAGTAGCGGATATATTCTTTCCAATACATGTACGCTGTGCACACAGAACTGAGTGTCACATTGTCATTAAAACATACGGTTCTGGGGTGACTACAGATACCACCCAGAAACTGCAAACCGTATAAGTTGATACCCTTGTGGAATCATGATATCAAGGGACAACATCTCAGGAGTCACATTGAAGTACCGCCACTGTGTGGTCTACACATTCCATTTTCATTTGAATCATCCCGCCAAAAGCATGGCGCACTTTTTCCACAGACAAACTCAAGGCAGCACTGAGCACAGGACGCCCAGCCTCCAGAAGCGTTCTAAGGGCACCCAGAAGCGTACCAAGGGTGTGTGGCTAACCATCCAGCAGAAGTGCGATGTTATTGAGGAGTATCACCCTCTCTCTTAGAAGTAAAAATGAAGTTTGAGGAAATAGTGGTAGTAACGCACCCCAATCACTTATCTCCTCATATAATTTCCTGTAGGAACTTGGATGTACCACTCTTTGCAGTTTGTGGGTCGTATCTGTATCGGACTGCGTACTGCAACGAGCGCGCTGTATGTTTGATAGTACATATGTAGCAGTCGTGCCGACCTTGGTGTTTCGCGTGTATTCCCGCATAGTGACCAGCAAGCCGCTACATCTACTTCGCAATTGGTATCGGAACATTGGCGTGAGGTCAACATCAGAAGGGGAATAGTTATCAATAACACCACATGTACCGCAACTCAAGGAAATGCTTCGGCATGGCGTCGCAAGCAATAAATAACACATGTAATCCCTGCTACCAATTCGTTCACGCTTTGCTTTGGATAGGAGTAGGCTGTAAACGTGTAGTATTTCTTACACGTGTATTTATTCTAATACGATGAAGCTGCCGGGTGAGGTTTCGTCACTTACAACATAAGTTCTGAAAATGTTGCATGCAACTACGACACGTACCACTAGTATACGCTTCCCAAACATAGCCCCACGTACTCTAGGCGTTGCATGTGCAGTAGTCACCAGAACGGCAACCAAAATACAAGAAATATTGCATTCATATTAATATTCTTGACTCTGATAACGCTACATCAATTATTCAACACATGCGCTGAAAGTAATGAATGGTGCAGGCTTCGTCAAAGCAATTGAGCAATTTCGTTTTATCGCCGACCACATGGAGCTCGGCACTACTCTTCGGCACAATGACGAGCAGCGGGGCGCCGCCGAATCCAATATCTTTGAACGCAAGCAGTACTTTGTATCTCTCGAGAGCATGGTATTTTCATGGTTTTTTGGGTCTCGTAAGCTTGAAGTGACTCTTGCAGTAATGCCCTGCCGAAGATGGTGAAACGAAAGTGACGTCCGCAATGCCTACGTCGCAGAACCGAGCTGGTGAAGCATTTAAGCGCGACAACACTGTACCGAATTCACGTGTATTCCAGCTTCGGCGCAGTCCTGAAGGTGAACTACGAGAAAAGGGGGCGAAGCTGATCGGCTTCTGCAGCCATTTCCGCTTCGGAGCGCGCCGTGCGCGTCTCATTGTCTACGAACAAAGCCTGCTCGTGCTTTTCGATCTGCGGCGGGCATCAAAGAGAGTGAGAAACCCCATTGTAGTTGGGATGAAAAAGGGTTTTGGCGGTAGTACCTCTGTGTAGATGTCGTCGTTGCGCTCGAAGTCCTGTGCAACGCGCGGGATGACATGGATGTGGACGTGCTTAACGGTTTGGCCCGCCTCCTTGCCGTCCTGTGGACCGCAACGTTAGAACGGGGTTACCGACGTAGAGATTGATTGCATGCGCACCTGGATAGCGAAAGTGAGAGAAGATGCGTTGTAATGTCGCTCCGCTTGCTTGCCGACCCGCTGAGAGAGGGAGATCAACAGCAGACAGACCCAGCAAACACACAGTCAGAGCGAGTTTCATTCCTATCGCCACCCGAAATGCAACGTACTTGAGCCACGGTCCACAGATCGCTCACTTCGTCCACATCGAGCATCTTGAACCGAGCCACTGGTCGCTTCGGCACGACCAGAACATGTCCTTCGTGGGATGAGTAGAGGGAGTCAGTGCCAAGACCCGCTATGATAACCAGAGATTGCCGTAACCCCAGTACAAACCTGGAACGATGGGCTTGAGATTCACGAGCGCGAACGAAGACGACGACTCGTAGAATACTTGAGAGAATAACACGCGGAAGGGGCCAAAGCAGCGCCCGGCAGGATCGAGGCACTGTTCGAAGTTAAGCAGGTCTTTCAGCACGACAACAAATGGTGTCAGATCCACACTAACCCATGCACTTTGTCCAGACATCCCCACCTTCTGCGAACTGAGCAAGAAGTGGCTGCGCTTCAGCTTTGGCCGGCTCTGATGGGAGCACCACCGATATCGCATCGTTCACTACGCCGTCGTCTAACGACGACTCCGTGACAAGCAGCGTCCTTGCCAGCGGAACCTCAAGCTGCTTCGACACGCTCTCGTACACCGACGCGCCGTTATCGTTCTACACCAACATCCGCCAGCGATGAGAATACAGGCCAGCATGCTCTTAGTTGGACCTCCACAGCTGATGCCGACCCACCTTTTGCTCTCCGCGCACAACGTTGAACGCATTGAGCACGCTGGAATTCCCCGTCCCCACGTCTCCGATGAACCCCAATCGGTAGCCGTGCCTGCATCAACCACAGTTACTACTTTGTCCCCACCGTATTGGTAGCTGCAGTTGAAGAGCTCCCACGTCTTCAGCGCCCGAACCGCCTGCACAACACAAACAGATCAACTGCGTGTCAAAGTCGAGCATTGCGAACTTCTGGCGGCAACAATAGCGCAGTGCGTTCACCTTCTCCACGTCGGGCTCTTGCGCCAATGCTCTCCTGGCCGTAGCAGCGCTCAGGTGAAACAGAATCGAGCGCACGTTGCGCTCCGCCGCCACGCGCTGCAGCGCGCCCCTGCCCACCTGCAGCCCCGCCATCGTACGCAAAAGACGGCGCCAAATTGTCGAATCGAAAGTTAACCTGAAATCAGTACCTTTCGCACCTCCCCTTCATAGCCGCTCGTTGAGCTCGACGTGAAGAGATAGAGAGGCGATCCATTAGCCCTTACATGACAATGCTGCGCCAGGTGTCTCGGACTCGCGCGGCCGCGCGCTCTGCGGCGCAGACCCGGCGCGCGTTCAGCGTGCCTCCCAAGGCCCCGGTGGCGCCCAAGACGGCGCCGCCCGCCGCCAGCGCGAAGCCTCCGAGCAGCGGCAAGCCCGCGCCTCCGTCGTCTTCGTCGTCGTCCTCCTCGTCGTCGACGGCCAAGTCGGCGCCTGCCTCCGCCGCGGCGGACTCGAGCACGGGCTCGTCGCTGCCCAAGCTGCTGCTGCTGGGGCTGCTGTCCACGCCCGCGGCCACGGCCGTGTACGTGAAGCAGAACCCGCAGTGGAACCCGGCGGCGCTCAAGGACGACGCGCGCTGGATCAAGTTCCGCGAGCTGGTGCTGGGCGCGGAGGCGGCGGCGCCTGCGCTTGCCAAGGCCCCCGCGGCCGTGGAGAAGCGCTCGCCCGAGGACTTCAGCGCGGCCATCAGCAAGGCCCAGCAGAAGGTGAAGAAGGAGGAGGAGAAGGCCAAGAAGAAGGCCGAGAAGGAGGAGAAGAAGGTCCAGAAGAAGGAAGAAAAGAAGGAGGAGAAGAAGAAGGAGGAGAAGAAGGCCGAGAAGAAGCTGGAGAAGGCAGAGAAGAAGGCCGAAAAGCTGGAGAAGAAGGCCGAGAAGGCCGAGAAGAAGGTCGCCAAGCTCAAGAAGGAGGCGGAGGCCAAGGTGGAGGCCAAGGAGACCAAGAGCGTGGCCAAGGAGGTCAAGAGCGTGGCCAAGACGGTGGAGGACAAGGTGCACAAGGTGGAGGACAAGGTGCACAAGGTGGAGGACAAGGTGAAGAAGGAGGTCAAGGCCGTCGCTGCCGCCGCAGCTAGCGCGGCCACTGCCGTCGAGAAGAAGGTGGACGCCGCTGCGGCCAAGGCGCGCGAGGAGATCTCCAAGCTGGCGGGCGAGGCCAGCCCCGAAAGCCTCGGCCGGCAGATGGACAAGCAGATCCAGGCCACGACGGTGCGTCTTGGTTGCTAATGCTGCGTTTGATGAGAAATGCTGACGAGACATAATGTTGCTGTGGTGATGTGGTACAGAACGACCTGCTGAGCTCGCTGAAGGCGGAGTCGGAGGCAGCGGCCGCCGAGATGGACAAGCAGTACCTGCAGGGCCTCAACGTAAGTGTCTACCGCTGCGTCGCTAGAGTGTTTGAAAGCCTCGATGACTAATGCGTTGCAATCTTATTGTATTGTAGGAGCTCGACACGAACGCGCTGGCGATCCGCGTTGCGCAGCTGGCGACGGAGATGAAGCACCGGTCCAAGTGGGAGGCTGTGCGCCTGCTGGAGTCGCTCCGCCACATGGAGGAGGATGCCCAGAAGAAGAGCGCCGAGGTGCTGCGCCGCCAGGACGAGCTGCACAAGGAGCTGCTTGCCCGTGAGCTGCGTCTGCAGCAGGAGCTCCTCTCTCGCCAGTCGCGCGAAGAGATGGACGCGCTTAAGAAGCAGTACACCGATGATCTCGCGCGCAACGTGAGCCAGCAGCGCGCCTCCATGCTGTCGGAGGTGCAGCGCACGTTCGCCCGCGAGAGCAAGGCGATCCAGGAGCGCTATGCCAAGCAGCTCCAGGACGCCACGGAGAAGATGGAGAAGACTCTGGCCGAGGAGCGTGAGCAGCGCGTGCGTGAGCTGAAGAACTACCGCGCCGAGCTGCGCGCTCTTGGCGCGGTGCTGGACAGCTCCTCGACGTACGAGGCCTTCAGCCACCGCGTCCACAAGGCTTCCATGGCGGCGCTGGCTCTGTCGGACCGCGTTGAGGCCGCGGCTCCGCTGCGCAGCGAGATCCGCGCTCTGCGCGAGGCGGCGAGAAACGACCCGTTCATCGAGGCGGCCGTCAAGTCGCTGCCGCAGGACGTCATTGAGCAGGGTGCGCCGTCCGTGGGTCAGCTCCAGGAGCGCTTCAAGGTCGTCAAATCTGTCGGCCACCGCGCGGCTCTGGTGCCGGAGAACAGCGGCATCATCGGCCAGGCGTTCGGCACGGCGCTGTCGCTGCTGATGATCCCGCCTGGAGGACCCGTGGAGGGCACGGACACGGACGCCGTGCTGTCCCGCGCCGAGTTCGCTCTGAAGGCTGGCGACATTGAGAAGGCCATCGTGGAAATGAAGGGCCTGTCGGGCATCCCTGCGCAGGTGTCGCAGGACTGGATCGCGGCGGCCGAGTCGCGGTTGGAGGTGGAGCAGACGGCCAAGGTGGTCAAGGCGCACGTGGCGCTTCTGGCAGCAAGCTGCTCCTAAGCGCCGAGAATTGGAGCGCAGCAGAGCTTGGAACCGACGACTGGATGGTTGGTACCCTTGCGTGTTTGATAAAGCGGAGAAGGCTACGAGTAAAGAGCAACTAATGACAAGCGAACCCATCGACTACTGGTGGAGTTCACAGCATTGTGGGGTTGATAGCGCCCGCCCTCCGAGTTGATAAATAATACCCTACTCATGGCAAATACGACAGGGGCAGCGGGCCTAAGGCTATGCTAGAGCAATACTGCATGCGTGCCTTGGATGTCTTTGTCGAGCTGGCGGCGACGATCATAATGACTCAGAGCCGGCAACTGATTGCGTCGCTCCAAGTTGAAGCTGTTTTGACCAATCACAGCGCCGCAAATGCAAGCCCCCGTTGACAATCACTCTCACTCCCAGATTTGCGCGCGGAAGGGAACAGCGATGACCATCGCCGGTGTCGGTGCCGGTGCCGGCGCCGGCCCGAGCGACCTGGCGTGGGGCATCGCGTGCAAGCGCTGCGACGGGCTCCTGGCGCGCCACTCGCAGCTGGCCTTCCTGCTGGAGAACGCGACGGCCGTGCACCTGACGCTCAACAAGCGGCTGCTGCACGACGAGCAGCTCCAGGCGCCCGAGGGCGAGGGCGAGAGCGAGAGCTGGCGCATCTACAGCCGCGCGGACGTGCTGCCGGAGCTGCAGTTCACCAAGATCCGCACGAAGAACGCGTTCAAGCGCGAGCGCCTGCCCTTCGAGCTCTGCTGCGTCAGATGTGACGCCAAGGTGGCGTCCGAGGGGTTCCTGGACGAGCTGGACGAGTCGCAGCTGCTGCTGGACTCCAAGGCCTGCGCCTGCGTGCTGGACAGACAGACGCCGTACGGGATGGCGGGAGATCCCAAGGCCAGGAAGTGGGGGGTCATCCTCCGCCAGCTGCAGGAGATGAGGCTGCCTCTGAAGATCCAGAAGCTCCAGGAGCTTATTGACTACGGCAAAGAGGGGGAGGAGAAGAAGGAAGTGGTGGAGGAGAAGGTGGACGTGCTGCCCCTTGTGCATCCGACGGAGGCTTCGATTCGCAACCACTTCAGACCCAGAGCAAAGATGTCCAAGTTGAGACGGTACCAGGTGGAGCTGACGCTTTCGGCATTGCTGGAGAACACGATCGTGTACCTGCCCACGGGGTGCGGGAAGACGCTTGTGGCTATCAAGGTGATGGAGGAGATGAAGCACCTGAACCCCGACAAGCTGGTGGTGTTCTTCGTGCCCACAGGGCCGTTAGTGTCGCAGCAGGCTGCGTACATCCGACGCGAGTCAAACTTTCAAGTGGCGGAGTTTTCTGGACAGCATGGGCGAACTACAGCGGCGACGAGCGCTCCTATTAAGGTGGATGGAGGCTTTGATGCGGTGGTGGTGACGCCCCAATACTTCTTGAACTTGCTGTTTAACGGACGCACCAGCATCACGGATTATAGTACGATGGTGTTTGATGAAGCCCACCACGCGACTGGAAACCACCCTTACTGCGAGCTGCTGAAAAATCTGGCTACTGTTGATCTCCGAGTGCGCCCCCATATTCTAGCACTGACAGCCTCACCTTTCGGCGAAGGAGTGCGTGAAGCGTCTGGACCAACTGCGCTGAGAAAGCTCGCCGATGCGTACAATGCTGTGGTCAATGCACCGACTATCGCTGCTGATGACTTGGAGGCGAGTTTCATCCCGAAGGAAGCGCAGTGGGTTACTGTCCAGGAAGACGAATCTGAGCGAAAGGTCCGAGAGGGTATTAAACGCTATATCCAGTCTTTCTACGCCGAGATCGCTAGGCTTTTGGGGCAAGTGATGCCGTTCGAAGCAAATTATGACACGAACGACATGGAATTATCACAGTTTCTTGCGAAGCTTAGGCTTTTACGCGAACAAGCAGAGTCGATGGAGATTAGGAAAACCAACGGTGATGCTGAGACGACTGGAGTCGAAAAGAGTAAGCGCCAACCGTCCGATCTGGAACTGGTTCTCGAGCATCTTCGTAAGGTGGCATCGAGTTTCTACACGTTGAGTATCCATGGTGCTGGGACAGTAGCCGAATCGCTGCACCGCATTTTCGGTGAGTTGGAGGCGTCGTCTTCCAATAAGGGAAGGCGTACATTTGCTCTTGTGGAGACCAGGTATCGTGCCATAATGAGCCCTGCGCTGATTCACTTCCCGTTGGATACATTTACCGGGTCTGACATTTCAAATCGTGTTCATCTCGTCGCGGACTGCATTCGGAAGGCCAATTTTGACCACGACTCCCGTGCCATCGTATTTGTCCGGCGCCGTAAAACCGCGATTGTGCTTGCAAAGGCCATGGAATCATTAGAGGTACTACGCGAACTCAACCCCACACGATTTGTTGGACACAACTCCTATGAAGGAATGTCGTGGGAAGAAGAGCAGAGGCCCACGCTGGACCGGTTTCGACAGGGACGGATTCGTTTATTAGTGGCCACTAATGTCCTCGAAGAAGGACTTGACGTACCTGAATGCTCACTGGTGATTCAGTTCGACGGTGTTGTTGGAGTTACGAGCCTCATTCAAAGTCGTGGCCGAGCGCGGCACCGTGACAGCAGTTTTATTATTTTCTGCTCTGCAGTTGGAAAGGAACGTAACCAGCGACTAGTTGAAAATGAAAAGCGATTGGTCTCGCTGGCGAACATGGCTGCTTCAAGGTTGAAGTCCAAAGTGGCTGTGAAGAAATTGATGGAGAATTATCCCGATGAAGCGCTTCCCGATGTTTCAAGCGGTGCAAGCGATGAAGTATCAACACTGCCACTGCGCGCAACGTTTGACGCGATGGCTGATAAAGTTTACAACATTGTGCTTGGTGGTGTGTTTGTTGAGGCCGACAAACATCGGCAAGAGTGCATTCTGGAGAGGGTTAATGAGTTTGCTTCAGTCAGGAATGTGGATCAGCGCATCGGGCTGTGTACGGTTGCGGCGCGACCTGGCCAGGACATCTATCTGTCGTTCAATCTGCTGTCCTCAGGAGTTGATTTCTTCGTGGATGAGCAAGCGTTCTGGATGCGCTTTGAAAGCGACGACATCGAGAGTGCAGCCAGCAGCGTGTTTGCTGAGAATGTAACTGGGGTTGGACTTCATCGAGGGTTAATGACTCCTGCTGGTGCCTTCATGGAACTTGAGAGCTTTGGTAACGCGGATGCTTTGGAGATGGCAGCTGATGCTTTAATCGCGGATTTTGGCTACCGCCGTGTGGAATTTGATATGCGAGCGTTGTCTGAATCGCAAGTTTGGTTTGATCTGACTTTAACCGATCATGCTGCGATTTACATGTCCTTTCGAATCCCACCATCCTGTTACGTTGAAGACGAGCGCGAATGCAAGGCTTGCCAGTCGCAAGCTCTCGTGTATTGCTTCAAGGTGCCGCGCTCAGAAAATATGAAGGCTCACCTCTGGAATCTGCGCGTATTCTTCTCGAAGCTTGGTGTTGAAGTCCGTGAAACAAAGATTCCCCGCGCGAACAAGGAAACTGTCGCTCCTACACGACTGCACTTCGATTTACCGGTTGCGTATGCGCTGCAATGTCTTCTTTCAGACTGCAGTCACTTTACGAATGGGTTTCTGCCTCCAGAATTTTACGATGTATTGAATGCACTCGACGACAAAGTTCAAGAAAAGGCTCTTCTATCGTTTCACGCTAAGCTGACTCGGATCAATATTGCAGAGCAGTTCTCGGCTTATCTGAAAGAAGAGCGTTCTGTGTTGGAAAGTATGTGCTCCAGCCCGTCCCTTGGATCAGGTGCTGTCGTGTACAAGGTTATTGTTACGCCATCACGGGTTGTATTTTGTCCCCCCGACCCAGCTCCGAGCAATCGAGTATTTCGCCATTGGGGGTCGGAGAACTTTATGTACATGTACTTCCGCGACGACAACATGGAGCGTTTGGACTACACATCTGGGAATATTTTGAGGAGAATTCGGAATGTTTTGAAGAAGGGAATCGAGGTTCCTCACGCCCGAGATGGCTGTAGGTTTAATTTTCTTGGCTGTTCGCTAAGTCAAGTTCGCAACAGCAGTGCGATCTTCACGCTGCTGGACCACCACGAAGTTAGATCATGGATTGGAGATCTTTCGCATTTAACGTCTCCAGCAAAATATCTGAAGCGTCTGGGTCAAGCTTTCTCCTCCACGAAAGAAACGTTCAACGTCAGCCAGAGTGTACTGGATAATCCGGTGGAAGACATCACGAACGACGATTATGTATTCACGGATGGGTGTGGCGAGATTGCCAAGATTGGTGCGGAGAGCATCGTAAGGGAGCTAAACCTCTCGTATACCCCATCAGCTTTTCAAATTCGCCTTGGAGGTGCGAAAGGTGTTCTGGTGGTATCCGATCAAGATAACCCTGAGGTCACTCGAGAAGAAAGTATCTTGCTTCGTGAAAGCATGTCTAAGTTCGCGTCCAACCACACTATGCTTGAAATTGTCGCATGTGCGGGAAAATCCGAGGCGTACCTGACACGCCAAAGCGTGCTCATTCTGAGCGACCTTGGGATTAATGAAGATGTACTTATGGAGATGCAGGAGCAGTTTTTGAGCGAACTCCGTACACTCATTGCATCGGACGATGGCGCGTATTTCGAGCTAAAGGCTGTACTCCCACCGAAGGTTATTTGGTGGATCGATGTGCTTACCCGTAAACTTGGAGTGAAGATCTTAGATGACGAGTTTTTGTCGTCCCTGGCTAGAACGATCTACCATTACCGGCTGGCCAACACGGTCATGCGTGCCAGAATTCCTATCGCACAAGGGCGTACATTGATGGGTGTAGCGGATTTCACTGGAACATTGGATTATGGAGAGGTGTTCGTGCAGTACTCAGTAACTGAGGAGGAGACAGGGGCTGACAGATACGTAACTCTCGATGAAGTTGATGTTGCCGTTCATCGCAGCCCGTGCCACCACCCAGGAGATATCAGAGTACTTCGCTGTAGAGCTGACGTCCCCCGTCAATTACGCCAGCTAAAGGACTGCATCGTTTTTCCGTGCCAAGGACCACGACCGCACCCTGACGAATGCACTGGAGGGGATCTAGACGGCGACATGTTTGTGGTCATTTGGGACAAACGTTTGATTCCGTCTAGAACGCAAGTTCACGAACCGATGGCATTTGATGAAGAAAACGAAGGCGACACCAGCCCTCGAGGGGGTGAGTTTTATCAATCGACCGACGATGACGGACTCATTGATTTCTACGTTCACTCCATCCAGGATGATATCCTAGGTGTTGCTTCGAATGCTCATCTTGCGCTGTGTGATTCATCACATGAGGGCAGTCTTGACGAGAGTGCAAAAGCTCTGGCACGTATTTGCTCCAAGCAAGTCGATAGTCTTCGCTCAGAAAAGGATCTGGAAATTGTGCGAAGTTTGGCTCCAAAGAATTACCCGGATTTTATGCAGAACAAGGAGAAACCGTCGTATCCGTCCAAGAAGGTTTTGGGCAAGATGTTTCGGCGATGCAAGGCCATCTTCGACACAACAATGACGAAAGGTGTCACTCAAATGCCGGTCCGCGATGATCACTTCTTAACGGCTGGCTACACTGATTACGTTGACCATGCGAAGATGTTATATCGCCAATACAAACTGCGTCTCCGAGCCTTGCTGCTCATGTCAGGAGCACAGACAGAGGCAGAGCTAGCCACTGGAATGATTGTGGAGCCGCCAAGCGTGTACAAGGCTGACTATTTCCGGTTTGGGGAGCAGTGCAAGGACGTGTTTTATGAGCTACAGACTGCGTTCCGAGCCCAGTTTAATGGTGATACTTCCACGTTGGCATCAGGTGAAGAGCTCAAACTTGCATCGGCGTGCTACTTTGTTGCTTACGACGACTCCGACGCATCCACGCGCAGTCTAAGCTTCACATGGATCGTGATCGATTTGCTGACAACAATCAAGACAAACAACATGGGCAAAACACACTACAAGTTGTGGACCCCCGTGCGTTTATCGGCGTACGCAGGGACAATTCCAAAGCTACAACTGTGTATCTTAGCCGAGATCTCGACGATCACAGAAGAACTGCTGGCTGATTTGTTCGACCGACTAGTTGCTGTGAGCTCACTACAGTCTGCAATGCCTAGCAACCTGAAAAAGAAGGAGTTCGACCTGATCCTCTTCGGCTCATCTGGACTACTCACATTTGAAAAGCAATCGGATCTGGACGTGATGATACGTTGCAAGTCTCGTCGCGGCTCGCTGAAAGCCATCGCCAAGGCTCTTGAGGGTTCCCACGGCAACATTGACCTGAAAGATGACATTCGCGTGCCGCTTCTCTCCTTCTCGTTCAATCAATGGTCTGTCGAGATGTGCAAGCTTTCAAATGGACCGGTAAAAACGCGCCTATTCCGCACGTACATGGAAAAGTACGACTTTGTTTGGCCGTGTGTGTACTTTTTGGTGCGTTGGGGGAAATGTGTCGGCTTGATTCGACGGCGGTCTGGCGGTGGATCGGATATGTTTTCACCGACGGGGTTCATGTGGTTCTTCCTGAAGTTTTGTAGGGAACAGAACTATGTGCAACCAGTTGAGCTCACCACGGTGCCGGAGATCCTGAAAAATAATGATATTGACTCCGAGATCTCGTTTTGGACGGAATTGCTGACACGACTGGTATCCGGAAATGGCGACACATCTGCACTTTCAGCTGCGGATGTTCTCCTTTCGTTTTTTAAGTACTATGCAGACTTGTCCACGCCATTCTGCGACTATGGATTCAAGGACCCCCTTGATCCGGAGAATGATACGCAGCTGGAGCTTGAAGCAGTGGCGTTGTTCCGCTCTGAGTGCCACATCGCGTTGCACCAGTTGGTGATCTCGCGGGGCGACATCAGATACTTACTGACTCATCGGGAGGCGCAAACGAGTAGAATTACGCTCAGCCATGCGCTGAGTACGCGGATTCATGAGGCACCCGATTTTTTCTCCCGGAAAATCCTGTTCGATACAAAAGCAGATAGTTCCGCGCGGTTGGTATTCAAGTTCCACCCGAACTCGCTACGTTCTGATCTCTATATTGCTGAGATCAGCGGACCCGGAGATGCGGTGCAGCGTATCGAGAATCAGATTCGCATGACCGAGCAGGAACTTGGCGCACGTATGCCGTACCGTTCGAACCGAAATTTCCATCACGAGGGCTCAAGTTTGGTGTTGTTTGAAGGAGCAGAATCGCAACAAGAGAAAATCGGATTTCAAGATTACTTCGGTGAGCGCCACAGTGATCACAACAATATCCGACTGCACCAAGCTCATTTGATTTGCTTCATGAATGGGCGCCAGTGGTATGACCATGCGGGGGCTACGTTCTGTGCTAAGTTCATCCAGCAAATGATCAAGCTGTCCCGATATGAACACTTGAACCCTGGTCTCACAAAGGCGAAGGCTTTTGTACGCTTCGGACACCACTACTTGATTAACTTGCCACGTTCTTTTGATGAGGAAACGATCATGCTGGCCAGTATCAAGAAGTTGGAAGACGAGTTCGAGCGAGGCCGAACTGCGCGTGAACTTTACGAGTCCGTCCTGATTGCAAAGCAGAAACAACGGGCTGAGACTGAGGCTGAAGCTGTATTGGGAGCTTCAAACCAAGCGGTTGAATCATCAGGAGAAAACAATCAGGATGTTTGGGGCGAGTACTCAGATGAGGAAGGTGGATGGAAGGTGGGAGATGACTCCATCGTCGACTGTGATGAAGACAGCGGTGGCGGTGGCGGTGGTTCAGGACCCAGGCGGAGGCCGCGACGACCTCGGATGAACTTGCAGAAAGCCACTACTGCTGCTCGAGGAGACAAGGGCGTAACGCATTCATTCTACTCAATGATTGAGCCGCAACATGCCCCGTGGACAAAGGAGTATGCCGAGAAACGCCTGGGTATGAAGTTGATTCGGGAGTCGGACTCTTACCAGGTATCTATCGTGCACCAGTCATTCGAGTACAACATCAGGTTGACGGACGAGCTGCAACTGGTGAAGGTGACATCACGTCCGTCGCGGTGGTTTAGTGCGACTTTGAAAATGAGGCAAGAAATGGACGATGAGAGTCACATGATGGACTCGACGCCGGACATCCGCTTTTACGTGTCGACCACGCAAGAGATGTCCAAGACGGAGAGCTTGTACGTAAAGCTGTCCAAGTGCTGCCAAGACGCGCCTGATGGTCGCGGCATCCTTGAATTCTGCGATGAGTCTCGTGACAAGGTGCGCATTAGTCGTTATTTGGTGGATGCAGGCGAGTCACCTGCGTGCATTGGAACGGTGAGGCACGTTCGCGGTGCGACGTACGTCAACTCGGCGACAGAAACGGAGCTGTCGTTGATGCACATCCGGGAGTTTGGTATTCCAGACCGGAACCCAGAGGATGGTTTCATGAGTGTCCGCGACAAAGTGGAGGCCGAGTTCCGACTCCCACCTCTGACGCCGGAACGCCGTTTGCAGCCAGCCTTCCCGCGTGAATTCCTAGCTACGGGAATGCAGTTTGTCGACTACCTGCGTACGCAGGCAGATATTGAGGCGCCTTAGTGTGAGTGGTCATGTGTTATGTGTTATCTTTTTGCTTAAGTGCATCAGACCGGGAGAGGCCTGACTATGCTCGACGTAATTGATGGAGCCTCGTGAATTTCCTGGCCAAGGAAGGCATTAATTGAAATTGTTGTTTCGACAGGATTGGTGTTGATGCCGTTTGCTGCTCGTGTCATTGTCAGTGTGGAATGGATTGCGCTTGCCCGTCATACTTTGTTCATTATTTGTGATGTTATGTTGCTATGTGTCCCGAGCTAGCGATGCGGAGACGGACGAAGTACACGCATACAAAATCGCTGTAGCCGCTCTCTATGTCTATTTGAATTGCCTCGACTGCAGGCTCGGTGTTTTCTTTCTCGTCAGCCCCCTTTCCCTCATCATTTTGAGATCCGCGCCGCGTTAGCGCAAATCGATGTGTATCGAGCTTCCCGCTGTCTGCCGCGCTCACTTCAAGCTCCCCGACCACCGCCATCCTGTTAACGGCAACGTTCCGACTAGGTGACGCGCGTATCTGGAGCTTTGTGACGTGCCTGCAGGTGATCTCCACGGCTGCCACACGCTTGGGTTCGCGCAGTACAATCCGAAGGAACTGTGGGAACATACCACTCGACACCCACAGCGTGCGACTGCCGGTCTCAAGTACATTTGCAGGGCCAAATGTTTCATCGTACGAGCTACTGAAGACCTCCGACACCAGCGCAAGCCCAGCATCGTCCAAGCGATGAGCGTCCAGATCGTGAAGTGAGCTTGGAACAACTTCCGCATCCTCTGCCAGCGGAGTCAGAGGGGTCATCCGCGGCTTCGCACTGGCTGGGCGAAAGCTTTTCCTCCTGTTGGCAGCAGAGCTCGGGTCCAGTTGCCCCTGCTGCTGCTGCTGTTCCTGTTCGTCTTGGATTCTCTGGAGCTCAAGATCCCGGAGCTGCTCTTCAAGTGCTGTGCGTCGCTCTGCATCGTTCGAAGACGAAATGAGGCGCTTGATCTCCTGGATCTGTAGTTCATCAAGATGTGGTTTAATGAACTAGATCTCGAGGTTCTGGACGGAGCAATGCATTGCCGCGTACCTGCGCCTCGAAGTCGACATCCAGCTCGTTGATAGCCTGGGGCATGTTCGATGTTCAGACCCGCCCTCCTCGTCCTGCTCTCGCGTCTGTCTCGGCAGTAGCCAGCAACTGGCGCGGTGAACCGTTTTCGAGCGTTGGCAACCCGCCTCAATGCGCGAAACCAGCTTATTATAGGGTTTACATCCCTAAAAATACGAAATAGTTAATAGCTGTCATCAAGGCAAACAACTTCGCAAGAGCGCATCAAGTTCTCCAGCTCACGATGGTGTCTGTGTGTGGTCTTCACATTCGGTCGCTAATTAGGTCTGTGGACGGATCGGCTATCATTTGCAGGTATGTTCGGCGATAGAGCGATCGAATAGTGAAGATACAATTTGTTTTACGATTGTCTGCCTGCTTTCCCTCGCTGCATTGCCTGTATACTGGTGTCGTTCTAGGCTTGATTTGGCATTTTACTGAAGTGTATAGTGACGAGGTGTGATTCGTGAGCGAGCCATCCCCGCCCCCTTTATTGAACTCGAAGCAGCAGGAAATCACCTCGATGAATATGGGCTTGCGCTTGGCTTCGACGGTAGCGATTGCGTCGTCGAGCTGCCTCTTGGTACAAATGCTCAGCTTCTGCACGGAGGAACGCAGTCGCGGCGGTCATACCGTCGGCTACTAGAGGAAACGCCACGAAGAAGTAGGCACCCTCGTGCTCCTGAACGGCCTCGATGTAGTCACCCGTACTGATCACCCGGGCAGCCATGCTCACGTCTTGTTGTATGCCACCAAGAAGGAAAGTGGGTCCGTCCGAGTGCCGCCCGGAATCCTCTGACCCCCTTCGCTCTCATTATTGGCGTTGGAATTTAGTTTCCACCAGCGAGGTGTTGCACTCTACTGCCCTCGTGTTACGGACTATTGAAGGAAGGTCTCGCTGAAAACCAACACGACGAACCAAAACTACCTACCCTTGCAGAATGATAGCACGCCCCTTCAATGAGATCGCTCCTCTTTCGGCCGTCGAGGCAGGCAGACACAGACAGCAATGAAGTCCACCAATACAATGTTTATTATTGTTGTTATACTGTCGCCTGCCTGCTCCCTCACCAGCTACGACCGTGTGACGTATCTGCCAGCTCGAGCAAGTAAAGGTTTTCCGACTTGCAATGCACACAATACACGATTTCACTCACGGCAGGGGCCTCGCCTTGCCTGCCTCTTCAACATGAGACGGGGCGTCACTCACGCACTCACATCTCCTTCATCATGGCCTCCTCCTCCGCGGGCGTGTACTCCGGGAAGTCGGACGACTCGCAGAAGTGCTGCTGCATCTCGGCCATGAGCTGCTCCTCGGCCAGCGCGTGCGCGTCCATGATGGGCTCCGGGGTCGGGATGAGCGGCACGGCCTGCGACAGCAGCGTGTCCTCCATGGGCGAGAACTCGGGGAAGGCCGAGGCCTCGGAGAAGTGGCTGGCCGCCACCTCCTCCAGCGTGCCCTCGAGCCCGAGCTGCGCCATGGCGGCGGCGTTGTTGAGGCTCGTGAGCGGCGGCTTGGCCATCTGCAGCTCGCGCAGCAGCGGCCGCGACGAGGCGATGCCGCGCGTGAGCACGAGGCGCTGGGCGGCGGGCGAGCGGATCAGGCGCAGCATGGCTACAATGAATGGGGGGTGAAGGCTTGAGCTTGGGGCTTAGAGACTGGAGCGCTTGGCTGGCACGAAGCAGATCTGGGAATGAGCTCTCGGGCCGTCGGGAGCCCCACGCTGGGACGATCTTGAAGTTATGTTGAAGCTGCTTGGTGTGTGTTTAGTTTTGGGTGGAAATAGAACTTATACCCTGTAGAAAACGATGGATCATGTCTAGGGCTACATGGAATTAGATACTGCAGAAAATAATGTAGACCTTAAAAATGTTTGGTGATTTGGGGCAGTTTTCCAGAATCGTAAACGGTAGTGGCTCTGTTTATGCTGACGTCTTGTGATTGGCTGGTTTGCGTTTTCGCTTGGAGATTTGCAGCGTTGAAACAACGGCCACCTTCACTTTCTCCGGCGCGGGTGAAGAATGCACATTCGAGAACAGGCTGAAGGTGCGTGTGAAGGTATGAGCTCTGGCGGAGAAGACGGCGTGTGTGCGTTCATCCTTGCTTGCTTGGCGGGCGGAAGAAAACGAGTTTGTGTTGCGCCGCGGTATTATAATAGTGCGTGCCACTTGTGTCATGGAGACAGCGACAAACGCGCGCCGGCCGTGGGACCCAATGGTGATCATCACCAACGCGCTAGGCTAGCTGCGATCAAGCTGGGCTACACCCTCGCGGTTAAATGCTGCTTGGTGTGCGTAGGCTTCAAGGTCAGCGTACGAGCTCCGAATTTGTGTCAACCCCCTGTGCAGCTAGCTGACTCCACCACCTTAGCCCAAGGCCCCACTTAAAAGCTGGGGAACTAAGGTGGTGTACGTAGTACAACGGCGCCATGCCTGTGAGCGTGTTTGCCAGCTGCAGTGTAGCTGGGATATCCCGGCGTAGCCCAATCCAAGCTGTTTTGGGCGACGCGCAACTTCAATTCGGGTTCCTAAGTTGAAGTTGCATAGACCCCGATGCTGCGCGTCCGTGCAAACCCAGCGAGGGTTCGCTCTTGCGTGGATCGGAGCTCATTATCGCTTCCGCCTCAAGTCGACCAAGCCAAGCCCAGAGAATCCCCACCAACAGCTAAGACACCGTCGCCGTCATGCTCCGCATCATTCGGTCGCCAGCCTTCCAGCGTCAGCTACTCGCGTGCGGCATCTCCACGACCAGGACGCTGCTCATGGCCCTGCAGACCGTCAGGCCGCCCATGACGAGCCTCAACGGCGCTGCAGCTACGGCCAAGTTGGATCTAGAGGGCTCACTGGAGGAGGTAGCTTCGAGCCACTTCTCGGAGTCCTCGGCCTTCCCCGAGTTCTCGCCCATGGAAGACACGCTGCTATCACAGGCCGTGCCCCGCATCAAGCCCAGGAACTCCACAATGACCAGCCTCAACAACGCCGCAGCTACAGCAAAGCTTAACCTCAACGGCACGCTGGAGGAGGTAGCGTCCAGCCACTTCTCGGAGTCCTCGGCCTTCCCCGAGTTCTCGCCCATGGAAGACACGCTGCTATCACAGGCCGTGCCCCGCATCAAGCCCAGGAACTCCACAATGACCAGCCTCAACAACGCCGCAGCTACAGCAAAGCTTAAACTCAACGGCACGCTGGAGGAGGTAGCGTCCAGCCACTTCTCCGAGTCGTCGGCGTTCCCGGAGTTCTCGCCCATGGAAGACACACTGCTGTCGGAGACTGTGCCTCGGATGAAGCCCAAGAACACCACACTGACGAGTCTCAATGGCGCTGCTGCGAATGCTCACTTGAACCTTGAGGGTACACTTGAGGAGGTGGCGTCCAGCCACTTCTCCGAGTCTTCCGCCTTCCCGGAGTTCTCGCCCATGGAAGACACGCTGTTGTCTGAAGCTGTCCCCCACATGAAGCCCAAGAACACGACGATGGCCAGCCTCAACAATGCTGCTATCAACGCCAAGCTGGAGCTCGACGGTACGCTCGAAGAAGTTGCATCGAGCCACTTCTCCGAGTCCTCGGCTTTCCCTGAATTCTCGCCCATGGAGGACACGCTGTTATCTCAGGCCATTCCCCGTATCCAGTCCAAGGCCCCCGTCATGGACGCACATGCCTGCGCACAGGAAGAGCTGAACGAAGAGATGCAGCAGCACTTCTGCGAATCGTCCGACTTCCCCGAGTACTCGGCAGCTGAGGAGGAGGCCATGATGCACAAGAGGGAGTAACTTCTTCGCCTCGGAGAGAAGGACTCTCATTTCCCTTGTGTGTTGTGTACAAATCTCCTTACATGTTGTAAACTGCATGCCGAAGCTGATCCAGAGCTAAGTTAGCGGAAGGAGCTAGCAACACGGAACACATTCGGTAACAAATCCATGAAAACTAAACTGCAAAAATTACTTACTGCTTGCAGATGGGCACTTTTCTCCAATTACTCAAAACGTACCCAATCTCTTGTTACCCATTTCCAAATCTACGTGGTGCACTCAAATGTACCCAAGTACGTCAGTGGTATCGGTGAACAATACGCGCAATAGGCGCATCTTCTCGCTCGTTCTTCTCATTCCAAGACCGCCCCGCCTCCAATCCAAGCGCATCCACAACAGCCTCATACCCCCGCAGCCTTCGCAGCTCGAAAACCGCGCTCGGGAGATGCCCCTAAAGCCGTGCTTCAACTTCCAGAGCACGGGCAAATGTCGCTTCGGCGGCTCCTGCAAGTTCGCCCACGACACAGCCACACGCAGCAGCAGCAACAGCAACAGCAACGATGGACCCACTCAACGACGACCCAATAGCAATACTAGCAGGCCTTCAAGAGGAAATAATGGGTCGCGTCGGAGTCCTGACGCTGAGCGGGAGTCTGCACCGGCGGCCCCGTTCTCCCTGGAAGCTCTAGAGACCCAATTGACGGAGAAGTTGGCGTCCGGGACCATTTTCTCGACCCATTCCGACGCTCTCGTGAGCTTCTGGCCAGGGAAAGACAACGTGGAGGTGCTGTGGAAGGGGTTCCTGATGCCCCCGGAGCCGGACAACCCGTGGCTCGTCAACAGCCAGACGCAGGCGCTCAACTTTGTCAACTCGGGGCTCCACGCGCTGCACAAGGACAACCTGGCGCCTCAGTTCGTGAGGGAGCTGGGGAGGACGGAAGGACGAGGAGTGCTGGTCATCCAGGAGCTGCTGGATCTCAAGTACTCGAACGACGCTGGACGACGACGCGACGTCGTGTCCTTCCAGCGAGGACTCGTGCCCTTCGTGACGCTGTTGACCATGCGTCGCATGGAGATGGTCAGCCAGCACATGGACGAAGCCAACTACGTCTACGCGTTCATCCGCACGGCCCACGTGCAGCTCTTTCAGGTGTATTTGGAGCACTTGGAGCAGATTGTGGAGCGCCGCAGTGTCGAGGATCGGACGCTATCCCACGCGAGCTTCCTTCGAGATACTCAAGGTCGAAAGTACGCGCCGCTGTGCTTCACGCAAGTGTGTCTGCCCTTCGTCCGGCTGCTGTACTTGCTGGGGAATAAATTCAAGGACTTTATCTACGAGAACGCCTTCCAGGAGACGGTGAACTACATGGACGCGCTGACTATCGAGTGGATCGACAGCTCTCAGGCCAGCGACTCGCCATTGGACTCGGAATTGTGCTTCAAGACGATGACAGAGGAGATCAAGCGACTGCACAAGATGATCCGGCGTGGAGAGCGAGGTATGCAGGCCGGTGCCGCGTTGAGAAGAGAAGCTCAGAGGAGGGTGAATCCCGACCAAACAGCCCCAGAGCCTTGGGATGTCATCGAAGTGGGCGTTCCTGGAGAGGCTGTGCTAGCGGACGGCAGCGTCGGCCCGCGCCACGACAACGACCGTCGAGATATTCGCGATATTCAGCTACTGCCAACTACAGAGGAGTGTTTATCCCGTGAGCCGCCGCTGCTACCGGGCAACTTCCCCTTCCACGAGAACGCACACTGGCTGCCACCGGGTCCGGAGCGCTGGGTGGATACGCACTTCCGACTGTATCGAGAGGATTTGTGCGGGACGATCCGGTCTTGCTTGCAGGATCTGGAACATCGACTTGCTGAAAGCCGAGGGAACCCTGCAGCGGGGCGTCTACGAGGCGCAGACGTGGACTACAATGTGTACCCGATTATTGAGAGCGATATGCCGCTAAAGCACACGGACAGTAGAGGGGAGAGGGACAGAAGCCGTCGCCTGGAGCGCCATGGACTTTGCATTGATGTACGCTTTCCACAGCCTTCAGCAGCTGAAATGACAGGCCGAGGCAAGGCTGCAAAGAAGAAAAAAGACGACATCAGAAGCCGCAGAGAGCTATGGGAGAAGACTGGTCGACTGCCGTTCAATGGGATGGTGGCATTGGTAACGTACGCGCAAGGAGCTCTGCAGGTGGTGTTTTGCCTCATTGTGGAGCGTGATCTGGATCGCCTGGTGAAGGACGTGGTGGAGGTGACGTTGCAGCCGTTTGAGACGCAAGACTTCGCGATTCTGGAGCAATGGCAGCACGCAACACCAACGCGCGAAAATCGACAGCAGATACACCCGCAGATGCTGCTGGTCGAGTTCAACAAGGTCTTCTTTGTCGGATACGAGCCAGTCCTGCGGGCGCTGCAGTCGATCGAGCCGGCTACGATGCCGTTCCTCGAGTACTTGGCACCGGAGACTCGCCCCGTATTGGAGCAGGTTCGAATGGAGTCTCCCATGTACTGCCTCACGAATGGCTTCAGCTTCGATCTCACCTCGGTGCTGCGAACACATCCCGCAGCGGTGAGCGAAATCCCGCAACGACTACGCCTGCACCCCCTTCAACAGAATTCTCGTGAGGCCTGTGAGAACTCCTTGGTGCGCTACTCTACTCTGGAACGTGATCAGGCGAAGGCACTGGTGGAAGCGTTGAGCAGTCGTGTGGCATGCATTCAAGGCCTCCCTGGCAGCGGCAAGTCCTTCATCGGGTCGATGCTGACGCGGATTATAGTGGAGGCGAGGGTTTCCCCGGTGCTGATTGTGTGCTACACAAACCACGCACTGGACCAGTTCTTGTGCCATCTCCTTGACGTCGGTATTACGAGCCTCGTGCGAATTGGAGGACAGTGCAAGGAGCCGCGACTGGAAAAGTACAACCTGAACAAGCTGCCCAAGACGTTCCAGCGCTACGAACTCAAGCTGCTGTACGAGAAACTTGACAAAAACGCTGATTCTATTGCGTCCGCGCTGCGTGAATTGAACGCAGAGACGCACCGTCCGACGTGGAAGTCGGTCAAGTGGTTCCTGGAAACGAACTACCCGGACGCGTACGACTATTTCGCCGAGCGCAGTGATGAACTGTACGAGGACGACTGGGAGATTGCTGGCGCGAATGACATTTTGGACTACTGGATCCAAGGTAGAGACCTCGACGCAACTCAGCGGCGTGGGCCTCAGCGACACGGTGCCAATGGTTGGATGGATAACTCCAACGTCTGGATGTGGAGCTTGGCGAAGCGCCGTGGAGCGCTAGCAGAATGGGTCGGGGCACTGCGATCGAGTCGTGTCGAACAAGTTGTAAGCGCTCAGAAGGCCTACTGGGAAACGAAGAAGAAGATCGAGACGGTGAAGGAGCAAGCGGACGTGGAAGTGCTGAAGCGTGTGCAGATCATCGGCATGACGACCACTGGAGTAGCGAAGAATCAGCAGAAAATCGCGGCGGTGGCGCCCCCCGTTGTGATTTGTGAAGAGGCAGGAGAAGTCCTCGAGGCACAACTCATGGCGTGTCTGTCCCCTGCCTGCCAGCAGCTCGTGCTTATCGGTGACCACAAGCAGCTACGCCCGCACATTGCTGACTACAATTTGAGCGTGGAGAGCGCCGTCGGTGAGCGGTATGCCCTCGATGTATCACTCTTTGAGCGGTTGGTGGGTCCAATCTCCGGTCTGCCGTTCTGGATGCTGACGGAGCAACACCGCATGCGTCCCCAAATCTCGCAGTTGGTACGAATGCTCTTCTACCCTGAACTGCGCGACGCGCGTGAGACGCTGGACTACCCGCCTCTCCTAGGCGTGGACAAGAACGTCTTCTTCGTGAACCACAACCACCCTGAGGATGGCGCGAATCTTGTCCTTGGAGCATCTGCGCGGTCGCATTCGAACGAATACGAAGTGGCGTACCTTGTCGCGACGCTGAGGTACCTGCTGCAGCAAGGTTACCACACCAGTGACATCGCGATCCTCACGCCTTACGTGGGTCAGCTAATGAAGCTCCGGTCGGCGCTCCGAGGACAGTTCGTGCTGGAGCTGAATGAGTTGGACTTGGAGGAAATCCAGCGCACGTTCGGCGACGATGACGATAGAGATGATGTTACGGAGGAAATTGGGAACGACAGTCCGGCTGCGTTGGGGGCTACTAAGAAGGAGCTATCCGGCGCAATTCGTGCCGCAACTATTGACAATTTCCAGGGCGAAGAAGCAACCGTCATTCTAGCCAGCCTGGTGCGCAGCAGTACGAACGTTCATGGCCGTGGAACCATCGGCTTTCTCAAGACCCCGAATCGGATCAACGTGCTTCTTTCCCGAGCGAAGCATGGGCTGGTTCTCGTGGGTCATGGAGATTTACTCCGTGCCAAGTCACCGCATTGGCAACGGGTGCTCGACCAACTGCAAGGTGATGGCTGCTACGGCAACGGTCTACCGCTTCACTGTCAACGCCATCCTGACTACCAGCGTGTTGCCTCGAGTCCAGATTCATTTGCGTTGTTGGCGCCTGATGGAGGTTGTCTGCGCCCGTGTGGACGACGGCTTCCGCGTTGTGGTCACGCCTGCCCCAAGTTGTGCCATGTCGACCAACCGTCCCACAAAGCTGTCTACTGCACCCAACCATGTCCGCGACTACAGGAGGGATGTGGTCATGTATGTCCCGGTGTTTGCGGGGACCCTTGTGGTCGATGTGAGGTGCTGGTTGGCTCGATCACGTTGCCTTGTGGTCACACGTACAGCAGCGCGCGATGCTTTGAGACGAAGACGCCGTCGAAGTTGAAGTGTAAGGTGATGGTCGACAAGTTCGTTCCTACGTGCGGACACATGCAGCGCGTCATGTGTAGTACTGTGAAGGTCAAGTGCACGCGGAAGTGTGGAGCGGCGCTACCTTGCGGTCACGCGTGCTCCCGTAAGTGCAGTGACTGTATTGAAAACACCCTCACGGCTCGGGAAGGGGAACCGGAACCAGATTTCCCCATCAAACCTACTGAGCATGGAGTGTGTCAAAAGGAATGCGAGCGGTTGCTGCCGTGCTGCCACAGATGCCGTGGGATTTGCCATGGAAAAGCTCCGTGTCCACCGTGCCAGCGCATCTGCGACGTCTTCAGTTGCGAACACGGTTCGTGCAACCACCCGTGCAGCGATCCCTGCGCTGCGTGTACCGAGTCCTGCACCTGGAGCTGTGAGCACGTTGGTGATTGCTCTCTACCCTGCGGTGCTCCCTGCAACCGGAAGTTGTGTGACCGTCGATGCTCGAAATCTCTCAGTTGTGGCCACCAATGCCCCAGCGTCTGTGGAGAAACCTGTCCGACGCAAGAGTTCTGTCACGTGTGTGGAGATGAAGACGTGAAGCAGCGCGTCGCTGACGTGATTCTCTTCCAGTCGTACGGCGAGATCGATCCATCCGAGGACCCTGTTCTGGTGCTCCCGTGTTGCTCGATGGTGTACACGATGGCAACGCTTGACGGCACGCTTCAGATGAGCTCGTACTACGACATGAACCGAGGAGAACCGTTGGGAGCGCTGCCCGGAGGTTATATCGATACGCCCCAGTGTCCGAACTGCAAGAAGTCGATCCGTGGCCTCCGTCGATACGGACGCGTGACCAAACGAGCTGCAATCGACACCGCGGAGAAGAACTTCATCTCCCACTCGCACCGACAGCTGACAGCGCTGCAGGAGCGTGCCAACGCTGCGGTTGAACGCGGCGATCTGTCTCAAGACACAACTCTGCGGCATGATTTACGCACATTTGGGGCAGCGGTGAAGCGTCCGCCATGCCAGAAAGCGTTTGAGGCGTGTGTGGCAGTGCTGACGAAGGCTAAAGGGGGTCAAGGCGGAGGCGACGTGGCTATCGACCAGAGCGCTCTTCCCGTACCCAACTCAAAGTTTCCCTACCTCGGGTACTTTTACCTCATTTCAGCCCAGCTTTCGTGGCTTGGAGCGAACGCTTCAGAAGTTCGAGCGGCAACGTATGCACGCCAAGCTGTCAACACGTTTGTGAAGTCCTCGCTCCTGCAGCAGAGCTACGAAGCTAAACTGATGTTGGTACAGATACTGCTGGCCAGTGCAGAAGGGCGGCTGAGTGAAGAGGTGAGCTCTGAGAGAGGGCGGAAAGCGCGTGAAGAAGCAGTGGAAAAGATCGCATACGAAGCTCACGAGGTGTTGGGCAGCCTGGAGACGAGTACAACAACATTCGTGGCCAAACATGAGCAAAACCTCCGAGTCCTACGACAGAAGTTGGTGAGCATAGTCCGGCGTGCCCGAGACTCTACTTTCTACCAGAAGGTATCCATGGAGGAGCTGAGGACCATCAAAATAGCGATGCAGGCGGAATTTCATGGCTCGGGCCATTGGTATCGGTGTGCGAATGGGCATTCCTACTCGATTGGTGAGTGCGGGATGGCAATGGAGCAAACGAGTTGCCCGGAATGTGGTGCGCCTGTGGGCGGTGCTAACCATAGCTTTGTCGTGGGAAATGTGCACGACGCACGAATGGATGCGTTGTAGCGTGGTTGAATCACTCAGATGAGAGCAATTCATGAGTCCTTCATATTTCAGTTGCTGATAGTTTTCAGTTTCGAGGCACGGAGTTAATGTACCATCAATCAATCGTCAACAGAAGATATATTGTGCATTTCGGGTTTGACTGTGAAGACAAGAAGCCAACGGACGATGGGGCGAAAGACGTTTTACAGGTTGGTAGGCGGCGCTGCTCGTACCCCTCTCGGCCATGTTAATTACGTGGAATTGCCCGAAGACGCCACGGATATTGGAGCTTTCCGCAAGGCGGTGTTTCACGAAATCGAGCCGTCTCTCCCACCCAGCATGTGTCGGTGCTCCATCTCTCGAAGTTTTTACTTTTCAATGTGAATTCGAGCACCTCGGAGTGGGAAAGAGCTTGACTGGCTTTGGACTGAATGACGATGAGCCGCTCATCGTTCAAGTGCCCCAGGTCTGGTTCGATTCAGTCCCTTTGACCGAACAGAACATTGTTCAGGATCTGCGGGAGGCAGTGTTCAACAAGGTAGTTCGCGCTCTCCCGGGCATGATATTAGCTTCCCACCTCAGGGTATATGCGCGTGACTCAAAGAAGTACCTGGATGCGGATGAGATCATTGGGGAGTATGGTAAGAACGAGAAGACGGCGCTCATTGTGGAAGTTCCCGAGATTTCCCAACCGGTAGCTGAATTAATGCCGCGACGTGGTGCTCTCGGACTCCAACGATTAGAGAAACTTGGCGACGTGCCGCCGCGTAAGAAACCCAAGAAGGAGGTGGTGCCACAGTTTATCCCCCACACGAGTCCAATTCAAGCTGGAGATTTCTGCGTTCCTCTCGAAAGCATCCCCGCGTTTGTCAGGATCCAGGACGGCTTCTCCAGGATAGGATCCCCACGTCCATTGTACATGCTGCATGGTCCTCGGCAGTTTGGGAAAACAACGATTGCGCTTGGTGTCCAGCAGTGGTGCATTGGATGCGTCCGGCCATGGCGAGAAGGCGATCGACTGGGCGTTGCTGCTCAACACGCTGTTCTGGAAGTACGACGGCATCAACACGTACTTGGGAGTTTTCCCGATGTCAAGTGTGTCTACATTGCGTTGCAAGCTGATGACATGGCGAATGAGGAACGGTTCTGGAAAACATTGGGGAGGGCCATAAGGGCTGGTAGCCGTTGCTATTGTGACAGCTATGAGTCTTTCATCTGCTTGGTCTACGAAGTTGCCTCGAAGGAGAAGAAGACGATCTGTCTGGTCGTAGATGAACTAGACGTTCTCTTCGGCAACTACGAGCTGGCACGCGCGTTTTTATCTGCGATTCGCTCTTTGAGGGGGAATAGTTCGTTTTGGGGATTCCTCGGTGTGGGCAGCCACAAGTTGGTGCTCGATCACCACATCGCGGGCATGTACACTGCGGCTGAACTCATCCAGATGCAACCGTTTTCCACTGAAAAAATGGCTACATTTTTCAGGCTGATCGCACGACGGTATGATTTCGCTGACTCGCTTCGTCAGGGGATCATTGGATACTCAAGTGGAGCTCCTGGTGAGTTTGCCGCGATGATTCGGTTTACAATTGATAATGGCAAGTGGGGACTTGAATGGGCTGACTGGGAGCTGTGGTTCAAGTGGACGAAATTTCATGAGTACTTGAAGAAACACAATGAAGCCTACGAACGCACACGGAAGCAGCTAGCTGACTTGGATCCATCGAGGTGGGCAGCGCTCGAATGCGTTCTCCAGCACAACGGAGCTCTAACAGCAGACGAAGTCGAGGTGATGTGTGGTGTCCATCACACACGACGTAACGAGAAACTGGTCGACAAGTTGCTAAGTATGGGCGTTGTGGTTAAAGGCAGTGGATTGCAATTGTCCGTCGTCTCCAAGGTGATGCATCGCGTATGCTTTGAAGCGCTTCAAGCGAGAAACGAAGGAAGTTAAATAAAATCAACTCCGAATCGTGTTCTGACTTACCCGATTTTTTCCCGATTGGGCGGCGCTCGTCAAACTCCAATGGTGTGCTAAATTAGCACTGCTAATCTGTAGCATCGTGCCTTACGGCGCGGTAATTGCTCGAATACTAGCAGGCGTTTTTTTCTCTTCGTAAGATCGGAGCATTTCACGCTGATGAAAAAAACGAATCGACGCTATGGGGCTTCCAAAGCACGCGAAAGCGACGATATTAGGCATGTAGTGGAGAGGGTGGCAAGTGGAAATGAAATGGTTGCCCATGCAACGATTTCGAGATAAGAGATGGCTTTATCATTCGGCAATCTACGGTGTTGCGTGTTAAATTGTTATGGATGGGAGTCCGATTGCTTGTTTTCTTGAGATCGGGGCATTTCAGGACGTAGAAAACGAATCAACGCTTTGGGGGGGGGTATGGGAAAACTTCACCTGGTCGATGCTTGTTGCCACCATTTACCAGCCCCAGCCCCAGCCACCCCACGGACGACCCCAGCCTCCGCCCCAGCCTCCTCCCCAGCCACCACAGCCAATGCCCATTCCACCCCAGGGGCCCCAGCCTCCTCCCCAGCCTCCGCACTGCTCCTTCTTGGCTCCAGTCGGAGTGTTCGCAGCACCAGCAGCAGGCGCCACCTCGGCCTGTTTGTCCACCGAGCGCAGGGCAGGTTGATCGGCAGCAGAAACGCCCGCGACAGCGACGGCAGCGACGACAGCGAGTGCAGTGAGCTTCATGGTCTTGACGATGCGCTTGTTCTCGTCCGGGCAAGTTGCGTTGTGGCGAATCGGAGACCGAGCTCCACAACTTGGCCTTGTTTCCTAGAACCACTCGTGGATCTACTTCCATCTCGTCAGCTTGCCAACCGCTTCAACTTGAAGTGAATGAAGAAATCCCCGCCAAATCCTCGAAAGTATCTCGAACTCGAGCTTTCCATGTATTAATCCATGTACTGTGCTTTGCAAATGTTTTGTCGTTTTGACTTGGACCTCTCCTCGATTTATCATTAAGTCGAGGTCGATTTAATAAAACGAGGTCAAAGAAAGGGACAGATCGATCTATTTAGGCGGGCTAATAACTCGAGCTACGACAATCCAAATCAGGGCTCGAGGTCGATCTCCTGGTGGATCTGGGCAGAACGAGGTCGATCTACGGTAAATCGATCCCTTTTGCGTTTTCAAAAGCGCAATTCGAGGTCGATCTAAGTAAATTGAGCTACCGCCTCTGTTTTGTACCCTGATTTGTGGACCGGCCTTCCTCGATCTAGGCCATAAAACGGGGCGACATTTTATCTGCAAAGCACAATACGTATTATTTTAATACTTAAATTAAGTACGGTAATAAAACACAAGAGATATCTAGCCACAGCAAGCGTATATTTTTTGTCACAGCCTCTCTCTCTACTAACTGAGCCTAGCACAACTTACTTCCACGCCGTCTGCAGCGCCTTGCGTTGCGCCAGCGCCTTGGTGACGAAGGTGGCCCCCAGGAAGGCCAGACACAGCAGGATGAGCATCTCGTGGTTGAAGTCGGACGGCAGCAGGTCGAACGACTTGGCGGGCGTCATGCGCACGTAGAACATGTCGAGGCCGTGGGCGAACACGAGCGTGGTCGACTCGAGCTCCGCCGCGGCCGTGCTGATAGACTGGAGGTTCTCCACCGTCTGGTTGTACGTGAGCATGGCTTGCGGCCGGTTGTACACGGGCACCAGCGGCGAGTACATCATCAGACCCTCCGCCTGCTCCTCCGGGGTGAGCGGCTTCTCCGGCTGGCGCGGGTCGATGAAGTTGCGAACCAACTTGAAGATCTGGCCGGTCTCCATGCCCACCAGGACCGACTGGGGAGTGATGCCGTGAGCCGTCACGGTGACACCCAAAGACTGCGCAGATAATACACAACCACCAAGTAAGTACCAAAGTACGAAAGACAATACGTGACATGAGTTCTGGGACGTACCGTGATCTTGGTGGGGTAGATGAAGCTCTTCTGCAGCACGAACGGCGCCTTCGAGTCGAACGACGAGCGCGAATCGGTCCACGAGGGGCGCTTCCACGGGTTCAGCGAGTGCATGCCCACTGCGCCGCCAAACAGCGACAGCGACACCATCTCAGTGCGCTTCTCCTTCGAGTTCCAGAACGAGTACACCAGCCAGTTCTCGCTCTGCACCATGCGGACAGGGCCCGCGGCATGCGAGTGACGAGCGCGGTGGATGATGCGGCCAGCAACCGAGTCAATCAGACTGACGTGGAGGATAGACGTCGGCTCGTTGTCACCCTCGGCGGGCTCCGTAGCGATCGTGGCAAGTCCGAACAGGTTCGGGTTCAGGTATTTGATCAGCAGCGAGTCGTCACCGGTAATCGTCACCGCCGAGTCCACAACCGAGTGGTCGTGGTGGTGCGACGTAGCAATCACCTGCTGGTCGCGAGGCAGCACAACAGACCACACTTCACGAGCACGGTAGTCCACCTTCTCAGCATCGCCCTCGTTCTCGATGACATAGCCGCGAAGAACCTCGGTGCTTTCATCGTACCGGTAGAAGTAGAAGTGCTCCAGCTCCGGGTGAGAAAAGTCAGCAGTCTCCTTCGGGTAAAGCGCCACCTGCAGCGAGTCCTCCGCAATCACAGCCACAGTGCGGCGTGCCGTCGGCTCCTCATCAGTCGTGAGATGCTTCCGCTTAGGCAGCACAACCACCCAGGAGGCACCGGTCGCCGCTCCCGCGCTGGCAGCATCCAGCTTGTGGCCATCGTCACCATCGAGCCACACGAGCTCCGTGGAGTTCGAAACCAGCAGCAACTCAGCACCCGATCCGAGAGCCGGGTGGTCACGAGTCACGAAGAGCTGGTACTCAGGGCCCACAAACGCAGACCACGCCACAGTGCTGGCTTCTGCGCGGATGGCAAAGAGCTTGCCGCTGTCCGTGAGCACCATGATGTACTTGGAGAAGCCGAACAAGTGGGCGTTAGGCGGCTCCTTGCGCGCAGCACGGGACCGGTCGACACCGCGCTGGCGAGTGCTCTCGTCGAACAGAGACGAGAACGACATGACCTTCTCGACAAGGTGCTGGAGACGCTTGACTTCAAGCCCGACCTCCTCCATGAAGGACGGGATGCGCTTGAGGGCCTGCTTCTCGATCTCCGTCTCCGCTGGAGTGATCCAACGCACGCGCTTGATGTTGGCCAGAGCCTCCTCACGCACCCACTGAACGTTACCATTGGTAGCAGCCTCGGCTTCCTCCTCGTTGGACGTCATGACCAACGCGTCATCCTTCAGCACCAGGACAGCACGGCAGCTCGGCGCCGAGTCCTTCTTCGTGTTGGGGCATCCAACGAACGCGTGCGAGACGTCGCCACCAAACGCAGCCAGGTCGAGCTCAGCCTCCCACGAGACCGGGGCCAGGCTCTCACCCCACGAGTACGACGAAATCTCCGCCACCTTTCCACTGCCCTTCGCCGCGGCGTGGAAGAGCACCGAATCGTCCGTGACAGACTCCATCAACGCGCCTTCAGCAGCCACCACAGCAGCAACCTCCACCTTCAACGCGCTCGTAATCTTGAGGATCGCACGCTTGCCGGAGGCCAGCACAAGCACCAGGGAGTTCGAGATGGCCGCATCAATAGCCACCACCTTGTCGCCGCCCAGCTCCAGCGAGCTCAGCGCGGTCTCCGTCGTGTCGTCCTTGTTCTCCAGTCCCTGCAGCAGCAGCTGGTCCTTCGTGAGCGTAACAGCGGCCGTCTTGCCCTGGTCCGTGTCGCGACGCAGCACCGTAGTGGCCTGCACGTCGCCCTTGTCGCCCTCCTTGATCTCGGGGCGGGTGAAGTGGTTCACCACGCGGCCCGTCGAGAGGTCTACTTGCAGCATGTGGCTGCCCGCCATCGCGAACAGCGCAGCGTTGTCCGAGCCCACGTGCCACGACAGCTCGGCCGCCTCAACGGCCGCCTGGGTGAAGCTCTCGGGCAGCGTCTGCACCTTCACCTGCCCGTTCTTGACACTGACCATGGCCACGCTGGCCGCCGTGAGCACCACCGAGTGGTCTCCGTCCAGCGAGAAGAGGCCGCCAAAGACCGCGTCCTTCACCGCCGAGCCCTCGCTCGTCACTTCGTCCCACAGCAGCACGCCCGAGTTCTGGTCCCAGAGTCGCACATTGCGGCCAGACCTAAAGGGATACACATGAGGCTTGTCAGAGATATAGTTCCCCCTCAATTAGAATAAAAGTATTTCAGTTGCCACGTACCCCGACACCGACAGCAGACCGTAGTTCGTGAGCTGGATGTCGTCGATAGCGTCCCCTGAATAGTCATATAAAAACATTTTTTCAGCATGCCGTCCTAAAAATAAAAAGATCTTTGACATTCCCCGTCCTAACCTTCGGGAAATACGCGGCGCCACTGAACCTCGCCCGTCTTCGAGTCCAGCCGCGCCAGCGCCCGCGAGCGCGCGTCCGACGCCACGTACACGGCGCGCGTGGCGCCCCTGGAGGCCACAGAGTGCGGCCCGCGGCTCACGGAGCCGCCGAAGGCCACGGCGCGCACGCGCCCCACGTTCTGCGCGCTCCAGTCGAACTCGCCCGCCTGGTCCGCGTACAGCGCGCGCGTGGCGCCCAGGCATAGCGCGGCGGCGCCCGCCAGCAGCAGCCTGCGCAGCGTCCCGGCCATCGTCAGAAGTTGCTTCACTCCCCCCTCCTAGGTCCTGCCGAAATGTAATGACGCAGATCGGGCCACGCGGTGAGTAAATGTGACACGAAGGTGGCGAATGTTGCACGAAGATGAATGTCGCTTGAAGACGGATATTACGCGTTTGTGATGTTGTACGCATGTAACCCGAAGACGAATTCGCTCGTGCAACATTCCCTACGCGTAACATCCGTCTTCATATAACGAGGTTTGATCCTGGTAGTGCTTCGGTTACGAAGTGTGAACCAGGATCAATTCGATGCACCTGACATGTGGCGCACATGAAGTAAAAATATAGGTAATCGGGATCGGAGGGCTCCGGATTGCTAAAATCGCTGAAAACCACAATAGTGCTTCGGTTGCGAGGCATGCCCAGCCAGGATTAATTCGAGGCACGTATATGTAGCGCGCATGAAGTAAAAGTATACTCAACTCGAGAGGCGATTGAGTAGGATATTCGTCCAGAGATTAAGGGTAAAACGTTAAGTATGAAGATGGCGTCAAAAAAACTTTTTTTTACTTTTTGTAAATGGAGGCAGTGGGAACTCCGCTCTTCAACGGAATTGCATGCATATTCAGGCGCACTACCGGCAGTTTCTCGCTCGGAGCGCTTCAAAACACACGCGATGCATCACTTTGGAGACGATGGACAATTGCAGCCCACTGCCTTTAACCACAACGCCCATACTTACGACCAGCTTCTCGTTATTTCGTGTGTGACGGACACCACACATCACATCGACATCGTCTGCTGTCAACAACCCGTTGTGCTGAAGAAGCGCTTTCCACCTCAGATATATTTCTTTTTTTTACATGGAGAGCTCGAGCTCGAGTTCGAGATCCTTTCGAGGATTTGGCGGGGATTTCTTCATTCACTTCAAGTTGAAGCGGTTGGCAAGCTGACGAGATGGAAGTAGATCCACGAGTGGTTCTAGGAAACAAGGCCAAGTTGTGGAGCTCGGTCTCCGATTCGCCACAACGCAACTTGCCTGGACGAGGACAAGCGCATCGTCAAGACCATGAAGCTCGCTGCTCTCGCCGTCGTCGCTGCCGTCGCTGTCGCGGGCGTTTCTGCTGCCGATCAACCTGCCCTGCGCTCGGTGGACAAACAGGCCGAGGTGGCACCTGCTGCTGGTGCTACGAGCACTCCGACTGGAACCAAGAAGGAGCAGTGCGGAGGCTGGGGAGGAGGCTGGGGCCCTTGGGGTGGAATGGGCATTGGCTGTGGCGGCTGGGGAGGAGGCTGGGGCGGAGGCTGGGGTCGTCCGTGGGGTGGCTGGGGCTGGGGCTGGTAAATGGTGGCAACAAGCATCGACCAGGTGAAGTTTTCCCATACTCCCCAAAGCTTCGCTCCAAGCTTTGATCCATTCTCCAGAACCCTGAAGTGCTTAAAGAAGCTGCGCTTGCTAGCTTTCGGGCAATTATCTAATTCAGTTTTAAAACGATTTTAACACGGGTACACTTTAGTGCTACTAAGCATTCTACCTTCGAATTGTGAAGTGTACTGTTGTGGCTTTCGTTGACCCAGACCTAAAGTGAATTTGGTTTTGTCCGGATCAATCAATTTTTGCGACAGGGAGGCAGAAGAAAACCCGTGGGTCATTCTGCAGTATCCCAACGAGAAGGATGCTTGGTAATAAAGGCATGCACCAGAAGAAAGCATGCGTCTACTTCCTTAGCGGAACCTGTCGCTATGGAGAATCATGCCGGTTTTCTCATGCAATCGGCGTCCCCGCCGACGCAGTTGGAAGTATGAGCAGCACGCGGTTAGCTCGCGTTGACGACCACAGTAGCACGGATGCACTGGCAGACTCGAGAGTAGTGACTTCTTTCAAGCTGGAGGAGCTCCAGCAGCAACTAGCTGTGAAGCTGGTGTCGAGTTCGTTATCTTCCGGTCATTCCGATGTGTTGGTCTGCTTCTCGCCTGGACAAGACGACTTGGAAGGGCTGTGGAAGGGCTTTTTAACGCGAGCCGACCCGTGGCCAATAAACAGCCAGACTCAAGCGTTGAACTTCATCAACTCTGGGTTGTACGCACTGACGACGGAAAACTCGGCCAGTGCTTTCGTCAAGGAGCTGGGGAAGACTGATGGACGGGGGATTGCGGTTCTTCGAGAGCTTCTGGAGCTCGAATACTCAACGGACGCGAGCAGACAGCGCGACGTGGTGTCGTTCCAGAGGGGGATGGTCTCTTTCGTGGCCATGTCACTATGCGGCGTATCGAGCTGATCAGCCTCCACATGGATGAAGCCAACTACGTGTACTCGTTTCTTCGGTCTACATACCCGAAGCTCTGTACCGTGTTCCAAGCGAATTGGAAGAAGATCGTTGAACGCTACAGCTTTGAGGACCCCGCGCTACCACACGCCAGCTTTTTGGAGAACACGGGAGGCCGCAGATATGCCCCGCTCTGCTTTACACAAGTTGGTCTCCCTTTCATTCGGCTAATGTACTTGCTGGGCAGCAAGTTCAAAAAGGTAATTTACGAGGCTCCATTCAAAGAAGCACTAAACGGCGTGGACGCCCTCACCTCCAAGTGGATCGCTGAAGCGAAAGGGAATGAAAATCCGCTCGACTCGGCATTATGCTTTAGGATCATGAGGGAAGAAGTGGCGCGGCTGAATAAAATGGTTCGACGTGGTGATCGCAACATCCAACTGGGTAGTGAACTGAAAGCAAAACCGCAGCAGAAATCGGCTTCAAACTCAACGATGGACGAATTTTGGGATATGGTCGAGGTTGGGATTCCTGGAAAAGTCGAACTGGCAGATGGACGCGTTGGACCGCGCTACGACAACGATCGCAGGGACATCAGCGGTATCCAGCTATTGCCTACAAGTGACGAGTGCTTTCGCGCCTGCCGACATTGGTACCGGGAAATTTGCCATTCCACAAAAATGCTCACTGGTTACCCCCAGGACCTGAGCGTTGGGTGGATACGCACTTTCGGCTGTATCGAGAAGATGTGTGCTGTTCACTTCGGACCTGCCTGCAGGATCTCGAGTGTCGTCTGTCAGTCGCGATAATTTCGTTGGTGGGCGCGTGCGCGACGCCAATGTGGACTACAACGTCTACCCGATCGTCCAGACTTTCACGGCACTGATGCATTCAGTGAAACCAGCGGAACAGCTCGGACTCTGCATCACAGTGCGGTTCCCACAGCCAGAGCTGACCGGGAAGGATGATAGAAACCTCGCCAAGGCGGACAGCGTTGATACACGCCGAGACATATGGAGCAAGCCCGGCCGGTTACCGTTCAACGCGATGGTGGCTCTTGTTGTGTACGCCGAGAGCAAGCTGCAGGTGGTGTTTTGCAAGATTATTGTTCGTGACCTTGATCGCCTTGTCGGCACCACAGCGGAGGTCACTCTCCAACCGTACGAGTCCCGCGACTTCGTGGCTCTAGATCGCTGGCAATCCACGGCATTTTTACACCGAAACCAAGATGGCAGCTACCCGGTGATGTTCCTGGTGGAGTTTAACAAAGTTCTTTACGCCGCGTACGAGCCTATACTACGCGCGCTGCAAAGTATTCGACCGGAGACGCTCCCGCTTTTGGAATATCTGGCGCCGGAGACTCCACCGGCGGTGGGCGAGGCGTCGATGGAGCCACCTCGGTACTGTTTGAAGTCTGGGTTTACGTTTGACTTGCTTCCTATCATTCAAAGCTACCCTCAAGGGGTTGGTGGGGAACCACAGCAACTGCGTCTGCGACCACTGCGTGAGGAGTCTCGTCAGAGCTGCGAACGTGCTTTGAGCCAGTATTCGACACTGGAAGGGGACCAAGCCAAAGCGTTAGTTCGAGCATTGAGCAGCCGTGTGGCTTGCATTCAAGGCCTCCCAGGCACGGGGAAATCTTTCATCGGGTCGCTCCTTACTCGAATTGTTCTCAAGGCGAAAGTGTCGCCCGTGTTGATTGTGTGCTACACCAACCACGCGCTGGATCAGTTCTTGTGCCATCTCCTTGACGTCGGGGTTACGAGTCTCGTGCGGATCGGGGCGCAGTGTAAAGAGAAGCGACTGACCAAGTACAATTTGACCAACGTCCGCCAATTCACGCCTCGATACGAGCTCAAACGGCTGTACGCTACTTTAGATACACATGCTAGTGCGATTGCCAATGCGTTGACAGAGATGAGCGCCGACGTGAACAAGCCGACGTGGGAGTGCATTAAGGGGTTTCTTGCCAACAACCACCCGGATGAGTACGACTACTTCGAGGAGCGAAGCTTCGATCTGTTTGGTACTCGTAGAGGGTGGCGAGTTGCAGGTTGCGGCGACATTCTGGAGTATTGGATCCGAGGTCGCGACGGTGCCAGTCACCAGCGTCGTGGGTCGAGGCCACCGAGATCGGACGTTTGGACGTGGAACGTGCCCAAACGCCGAGCTGTTCTCACGGAATGGGTCAAAGTGATGCGGTTCAATGCGGTGGAAGAGCTTGCACGTGCTCAAAAAGCCTACACTGACACCGTGAAGAAGATTGAAGCTGTCAAGGAGGAGGCAGATGTGGACGTGCTTAAACGCATGCAAATTATCGGAATGACAACCACCGGCGTGGCCAAGTATCAGCAGAAAATCGCGGCGGTGGCGCCCCCAGTCGTGATTTGCGAAGAAGCAGGTGAAGTCCTGGAGGCGCAACTCATGGCGTGCCTAACCCCCGCGTGCCAGCACCTCGTGCTTATCGGGGACCACAAACAATTGCGCCCGCACATCACCGAGTACAACCTCAGCGTGGAAAGCGCCATCGGCAAGCGGTATGCGCTTGATGTATCACTTTTTGAGCGTTTGGTGGCCCCAAGCTCAGGACTACCGTTCTGGATGCTGACAGAGCAGCACCGCATGCGTCCGCAGATTTCGGAGTTGTTGCGAATATTATTTTATCCGGAAGTCCGCGATGCGCGCGAGACGTTGGAGTACCCACCGCTTCGTGAGTCACAACTATGCTGAAGACGGTGCTCACGACTCCTTGACGCGCTACCATTCGAATGAGTACGAAGTGGCGTACCTTGTCGCAACGCTCAAGTATCTGCTGCTACAGGGTTACAACCCCGGCGACATCGCAATCGTCACTCCTTATGTGGGGCAGCTCATGAAGCTTCGAGCAGCACTTCAAGGACAATTCGCACTGGCGCTGAATGAGCTGGACTTGGAGGAAATCCAGCAGTTCTGACAAAGGTTTGAACGTACTGGGGGCTTCGAAACAAGATCTCTCGGGGGCCATACGTGTTGCTACTATCGACAATTTCCAGGGTGAAGAAGCAACCGTCATTCTGGCCAGCTTGGTGCGCAGCAGTACGAACGTCCATGACCGTGGAACCATCGGCTTTCTCAAGACGCCGAATCGGATCAACGTGCTTCTTTCCCGGGCGAAGCATGGGCTGATCCTTGTGGGGCACGGAGAATTACTCCGTGCCAAGTCACCGCTGTGGCAACGAGTACTCGACCAATTGCAGAGTGATGGCTGTTACGGCAATGGCCTACCGCTTCACTGTCAACGACATCCTGACTACCAGCGTGTCGCCACAAAACCAGATTCATTCGCGCTGTTGGCTCCTGATGGAGGTTGTCTACGTCCGTGCGGACGACGGCTTCCACGTTGCGGCCACGCCTGCCCGAAGTTGTGTCATGTCGACCAACCATCCCACAAAGCTGTCTACTGCACCCAACCGTGCCCACGACTACAGGAGGGATGTGGCCATGTATGCCCTGGAGTTTGCGGGGATCCGTGTGGTCGATGTGAGGTGCTGGTTGGCTCGATCACGTTGCTCTGTGGGCACACGTACAGCAACGCGCGATGCTTTGAGGCCAAGAAGCCATCCGATGTGAGATGCAATGTGGTGGTTGAGAAGCTCATATCCGTCTGTGGACACAAGCAGAGTGGCGCCTCCTACATCACTGACGTCAAGTGCACGCGAAAGTGTGGGGCAATACTCCCCTGCGGCCACCCGTGCTCCGGCTATACCGCACAGCATCAGCTCTTCCGTGTCGCTGTAGTTGTGGTAGCCTGTTTGACATCCACGCTGCTCGCGAGGAGCGAAGATAGTAGATTAGCATCTCGGTTTGTCAGAGAACGAGAGGCGAGCAGCGGAGACGTACCGCCATCGGCTTGACGGTGATCAGCGTCGAAGCTGGCGAGGGCGGGAATGAACCCATCGTGTATCCGTGGGAAATGTATGCGGTTGAGTATAGACGACTGAAAAAAAGATTCCAATTTCAAAAGATTCCATTTACACAAGTTTTACACGAATTTGATGTGAGCTAGCCCGACGTGACCTCCAATATACATGCAGTAATCACGAAGTCTCCGCACATTCGTGCAGGTGCTGTAGATCGCGGTGCTGGCAGCCCGACCACCCGCAACGGCAAAGGAACCACATCTTGTCAGCGTACGACACGGTCACCTCTTCACCCGGGTAGACGTCTCGGATAGTGACGGCTTCGATGGTCAGCCGCTGGCCCGTTTGGACTTCATGGAATCTAGCGCTCGGGTTGCAAGCATGGTTAAGGAAGCGGAGCTCCCCGCCGACATTCAGCGCGTCGATGCCCACATACTTGTTCCCGGCCGTCCTGGTGCGAAGATGCATCCTGTAGCCGTCGTTAACGGGGCCATTGTTGCACGGAGGTCCAAACAGGTCCATGTGTCGAAGGTACTCGCCGATGACCCCTCCGGCAGGGATGGCAGCCGTGGCCACCAAACCGCGCATACCCGTACGTGTGTTGCGGGCGATGGAGAGCGCACGGCTTTCATGAAGACCATTGCCGCATTCGGCAGCAAAGCTGCAATTGTATTCCGTGCAGAACCGACTGTGCCGGGCATTGAGGCAAGTGCTGGCAGTGCACCGTTCGTCGCACCCGCGGCCGAGCCCCCCCCCCCCTCCCCTCGCACACCGACACTGACGGCCTGGAACTTCCAGTGGCGCGGATTGAGCTGGGCAGCTATGAACTTCACGTCGTTTGGCCAACCGTCGACATGCCACTCGTCCTGAGGTCGGTTCACCGGCGTATCTTCAACAACGGTGGACCCGGGGGACCTGGCGTGCGATGAAGAGACCAACGGTCGTGCAGCGGGGAGCGGCGAGCCGATGAATAGCTCCGTCTCAGACTCCTTGTTGTCCGATGCAAGTGCCTCCGTGTACCAAGCAGGATCAGCGGCAGATCGCCCGCGCGTTGGCCGACGGAAAGGGCTCTGCGGCGACCATGACGCCACCGTGCTCGCTTGGGAGTTCGTACCATTGCGGGGTCCAAACGGGCTTTGTGGAGTCCACGACGCCACGGTGCGCGTTTGGGAACTCGATACCCGTTCGGCATCTGACGTTGGGTCAGGAGATGCAAGCGATTGTGGCCGTGATGGCGTAGCTCCCGTGCATTGGCTGGATCCTCGACTCAGCGCGACGGAGAAGGAGGCGAAAGTCAAAACTGGGCGAGAGGGGCGATTTGCATGGTCACGGAAGCGTTCACGGCGCTGGCAGCGCTACGCGACCAGACCTCGTCCTGGGGAACGTTCCACGGGTCTGGTCCACGGTAGTGCCGATTGCGAGGTTGGGGTCGGGTGGCGTCGAGAGGAGAACACTGTTGTTTGTAGATGCCGAGACAGCAGCGGAAGCAGTCGTCGTTGTAACGGTGTTACACGCACAAGTGGCTACAGCCACTTGTAACTCTAACAGACACGACGTCTGTTAGAGGTTCGAAAGACTTCCTCGACCTTGGTGTAGATACACCAAAGGCTACATACATTTACGACCACCACGACGGGTGGTCCATAAAGACTTATGATTCCTATTGGCTGAGAGCAGCATCTCTTAGCCAATGAGCGACATGCATAGCATTGGAATTCTGCCAACCAGCCGTTGGCAGATTCCTATCTTAGAATATTACATTTAGAGGAAGTCAGAAACATAAAACAAAAATAACAGTTATCATCTTTACCAAAACACGCTACCTAGAGTCTTTATCTTGTTTAAAGTATACTCGTGGATCTCGAGTATACTTAACTCAAGTAAAAGAAACCTACACACGTGCGCACACGTGTAAGCCGTAGTAGTGAGCCAAGGTAGGCCCATTACACCTGGTAGCACTTTGTAGTCCGTCCAACGACCGACTACCTGAACGTTCGTACGGAGCTGTATGAACGAGGAGCCGAGAACCTTATCATGAGCGCGGATGTGCCCCTGCAAAGCTCCATTTCGCCTGCAACTCGTGTTGCACGCGCTGACTGCCTCCACCTGTCGGATCCAGAGTGGGAGGCACTCCAACGACTGTCAACAGCCATGGGGGAGGCGGCAGTAGCTGCGATTCTGCGTACGCTATCGCCGACAGAGCAACATGGTGTTGCTCTGGGATTCATCATGAAGGAGCAGCGCGATTCTGCTTCCTCTACCACGGTGGCGTCGGAGACGACACCGCGTGGACAATCGTTGAAGCTAAACCTGAGCAACTATGTCGGAAGAGAGGGCGAGCATCTCCTCCGTTGGCTTGTCGAACTCGACACTGCCATCGCGGCTCGACTTATCGTCGACCCGTTGTCCAAGGTTGCGTTCGCCATGTCATGTTATGGCGGACGAGCGAGAAGTCGGGCGTATGGACGCCTACTCTCTGATCCTACGTGTTTCAGTACGTACGAGGGTTTCAAGGAGGAGCTCAAGCAAGCGTTTGAGCCCCGCAAAATGAGTTTCGGTCGAGGGCAGAGTTCCTCGACCTACAGCAGGGTAAACATGATGTTCATGCTTACGCGCAGAGAGCACGGCACTTGGTCTCGAACATTGTGACCAGCCCGATAGACGAGGCGACCAAGGTCGTCACGTTCATGAAGGGTCTGAGCGATGGGCCTGTAAAGACCTATCTCTTCCGTGAGTACCCAGGTATGCGATTACTCTTGCGATGCAGGAGGAGTTTAGTCTGAAGCAGGCTAAACTGTATGCGAATGCGCCGGCCTCCAGTCGCGATAGCGGGAGGTCCGGAACCAATGGACCTCTCGAATGCAACAGCTGTTGGTTATCAACAGCAACAAGGAAGTAATGTACGATGCTTCCGTTGCGGAAGGATCGGTCACTATGCCCGAGAGTGCACGGCATGCGTGCACCGAGATGGTGGTCGACGCGGCGATGCCGGGTATCGTCCCGGACAAACAAAAAACGCTGGAACCCAGTAGACGCCGGGCGCCCTACTGGTGAAGCAGTCACGCGTGTCCAACTCGGACATGCGACACTGAGGACTGCAGCCCCCAGGAGGACCTTCTCACTGCGAAATGCATGATGACAAACCGAACCTTGATATCTTGAACGTGTCTTCGAAGAGAGAGAGAGCAACTCTCTTCGTGCTTTGGTTGATTCGGGCACGTCGAACAACTTCGTTCGACTGCGAAGTCTATCAAGGCTTGACTTCGAGGAGGTAATTATACCTCGAAGTATGTTGAAAGTTCGATTGGCAACGGGTGCCATCGTTAAAACCGAGAAGCGCATGGTACGCGTGCGCTTCACGTATGGAGATCAAGAGTTTGTCGAGACCTTTATCGTCCTGGATCTGGACGATAAGTTTAACATTGTATTGGGCATGCCGTGGCTTGCACGGCATGATCCGGTCATCGATTGGGAGAAGCGCACTCTCGTGCGCTTCGGTCGCGACAGCGGAACAGTGAGCGATGGCGCTGTTGCCGCTACGCACGCACCGACAGGTGCCCGCGACTCCACACTCGGTACAGCGCCTAACGCCTCTGTCCCGGAGCGCCCTGGGCGCGCGCGAGCACGCGCTCAAGAGCAGCTAGCGTCGGCGTCGCCGCCGACAGCTAATGACGGAAATGTGTTGACCTCGGAGGTCGACACCCGCTTTTCAGCGAATCAGGAAGAGCCTCCGGCTCCGAAGGGCGCGGATGACGCAGGCGAGTCACACGCCTCAGCCGTGGAGGCTTGCGCGAATCTGATTGGATCATTTTTGGCCAATAATAAGAGCCAAGGTGACGTAACGCCGTCGACTCCGGGAGTCGATGGATTGGGTGAATTTGATTCGTCGGCTCCGGGAGCCGACGCATCCTCCGTCGTGGGGGTCTCCGCCAATGGTTGGCGTCGAGGTATTACAGTCGCGACGGTTCCGGGAACCGGCGCTGCGAAAAGAAATTTCGCGTCGACTCCGGGAGTCGACGCACCCTTTGTAACGAAGGGCTCCGCCACTAATAGGCGTCAAGGTGAAGTTGGCGTGTCGGCTCCGGGAGCGGACGCTGCAGGCGGTGCGGACGGTTGCAAACGTCCCGCACCGGGAAAACTTGCATGCTGTCGTGCCGCCGGGCTGCACGACGAAGCGCCGGGCGACCAAGCCGGGCTTGAAGTCGCTCGCCCGCGGGATGTACCCGCCGGCGGTATTACAGAAGAACACCCGTCCACGGCTGGGCCTGGACGAGGTCAAGAACCAAGCGGAGCCGGGCTCCGCAAAACAAGAAGACGGCGCATGCGAAGGTCGCTACGCAAGTCTCGGCCTGGGGCCGAGACGCTACAAGAAATGTCTGCCGGACAAAAGGAGGTTGAGAAGCCGGATGTCAATATGTTGAACGTCTTGACGCGTACCTGTGCCGGGTTCCGGTACAGGGAGATGGCTCTCGCTAATCCTCCGACGCAAGCGTCGGAGTTGACTTCGCTTCCAGTCATGAGCTGGAAGCGCTTCGCGCGTGACTTGCACGATGGACGCATCGAGCAAATATGCATTCTCTCGGACGCCGAGAGAACGAAGAGCGAGAATGAAGAACTGAGGCAGTTCTTCATGGAGACCACCACTGAGAGCGAGGACACTCTCAGTGCAAAGACGAAGAAGGAGCGCTTTGAAGAGCAGAGCTGGGACTCGTTGAAAACGAGTCCCTACTACGAGATCTTACGGGAGTACGCGGACGTACTTCCGGAAGAGATTCCTGCTGAGCTTCCGCAGGACAAGGGAATCCAGCACGAGATTGATCTCGTGCCGGGCACGAAGTACTGTGTCACGCGGCAGTGGCCACTGCCGCGAGAGCAGGTCAAAGCGATCGACGACTTCTTCGAAAGTCAAAGCTGGACAAGTGCGGGAATCGAAATCCCCGCACAGTGCTCCGACGTTCTGTGTCAAGAAGCCACAGGGCGGCTGGCGCATCGTTCATGCGTACAACAAGCTGAACGATGCGACGATACCGGCGCAGACACCGATACCGCGAAAAGATGTTATCATCGATTTGATGGCCAGGAGCACTATCTACAGTGCTCTTGATCTGCGCGATGGGTTCTATCAGATCATCATGCGTGAGAACGATATCCCTCTCACGGCAGTGAGCACGCCAAGCGGCATGATCTGGGAGTGGCTAGTGATGCCGCAGGGTCTGAAGAACGCCCCTGCGACCTTCAACAGATGCGTGACGCACTTGTTGCGCTCGGTGCGCGACTTCGCACCGAGCTACTTCGACGATGTGTTCGTCCACAGCCGGGCTGCGGACGGGATGAGCGATGTTGCACAAGGTGCATCTCCGGAAGCTGCTTACGCTCATGCGCAAGCACAAGCTCTATGCGAACCTGAAGAAGTGCATCTTCGGGGCGAGCGAGATACCCGTGCTCGGGTGTCTCGTTGGGAAGAACGGTATCCGCCCTGACCCTGAGAAGGTCAGAGTGATCAATGAGTGGCCGACGCCGTCGAACGTCAAGGAACTGCGGCAGTTCCTTGGCTTGGCCACGTACTTGTGCAAGTATGTGAAGGACTTTGCGGGCACGATTCGCCCGCTGTCACAGCTCCTGAAGAACGACGCCGAGTGGAATTGGGCTGCTGAGTGTCAGCAGGCCTTCGATGCAGTCAAGCAGGGCTTGACCGAGGCGCCGATCTTGGCGGTGGCCGACCAATATCGCCCGTTCCACGTTGTGTGCGACGCATCCGACTTTGCAATCGCATGTGCGTTGATGCAGCACGATCACGAGGGTCGTGATCGTGTCGTCTACTACCAATCGCGTCAGCTGACGCCAGTTGAGCGCAACTACCCGGTGCATGACAAGGAACTCCTTGCCATGAAGTACGCACTCGCGAAGTTCCGAGTGTATCGACTCGGAAGCAAATCGTTCGTGGTCTATACGGACCACGCGTCGCTGCGGACGGCTGTGAAGTCGCCGCACATCTCGCAATAGACGGCGAGATGACTCTCATTCTTCGCAGAGTATAACTTCCGGGTTGAGTACAAACCCGGAAGACGCAATGTGGTGGCCGACGCGCTATCGCGTCGACCTGACTACGCCACGACTGATGCCGACGTCAATTCCATTGACGCCATGCGATCGAGCACCCCAACGTACGCGCACGACGCGTACGCGAAGCTCTTGCTGGCCTACGGCTCAGCGCCTTCTGACAAAGCTCGTCAGAAGCTGCCGAAGCATCTTCGTGCTCGTGCACACCGTTACCGGGTGCACGACGGGTTATTACTCTACAGTGCAGTCGACGACAACGCGGACCGCGTTGCCGTGCCCAATGACCATGACCTGCGACTCCAGATCATGTACGAGTATCACGATGCACCGACTGCGGGGCATCCGGGCCGTGAGAAGACATACCTTCTTCTCACGCGAGACTTCTACTGGGCCCACCAGTATAAATGGGTGCGCAAGTACGTCCGTGCTTGCGAGGTTTGTCAACGTGTGAAGCCTGCGCCTTTCGCGCAGGCTCCCTTGCAGTCACTACCAACTCCACGGGAGTGTTGGCAGTCCATGTCTTTGGACTTCGTGTTCGGTCTTCCCCCGGACAGCCAGGGGAACACGGGCGTTGTGGTCTTTGTTGACCGCTTCAGCAAGATGGTACATCTTGCTGCGGTACCCGCTGAAGTGACTACGAAGCAGACGGCGCGTCTGTTCGTTGGCATGGTGTTCAAACACCATGGCATGCAGATCGACATTGTGTCGGATCGAGACCCGCGCTTCACTGCCCACCTTTGGCAAGAAGTGTTTACACTTCTTGGGAATCAACTTTCAATGTCGACTGCGGACCATCCGGAGACGGACGGGCAGACCGAGCGCGTGAACCGCGTGCTCGTGGACGTGCTTAAGAGCTACGCTCACTCGTTCCAACACTGAAGCGAGTGCCTGCCGATGGCGGAGTTCGCCATCAACAACTCGGTACATGCCTCGACCGGGCATACACCGTTTTACGTGAACGCCATGAGGCACCCACCCCTCCCTAGTCTACTCGGGATAGTGGCTCCTTCCTTAAGTGGGGGAGGATCTCCGACTGCAACGCAGCAGCCGAAGACTGCCGCTGACACTTGCACAGTGTCAGCTGCGACCACGCGCAAGAAGAACAAGAAACACGCGTCTATGCAGGGCACAGACACCGCCAACATGGACGCAGAGGCCGGGCCTACTGCTAGAAACGAGCTGAACGTGTTCAGCTCGGACGCAATCAACTTCGTGCAGCGCAGACAACCCGTCGTTCGGTTTGTTCAAGACGCTATTGCAGCTTCTGTCGACCGACAGAAGCTGAATGCAGACAATGTTGGCAGGGGCAACACTAATGAATTCGAGAAGGGTTCATTAGTCTTGTTAGCTACTCAAAACTTGCCTAAACATGCCGTTTCCGACTTCGGGGCAAGTAAGCTTGCTCCGCGCTTCATCGGGCCGTTCACTGTTCTGGCACGGCAACGCCTACACACTGGACATACCGCTAGTATGCGCCTCCATCCAACGTTCTACGTCGGACGGCTGAATCCATACCTGCAGCACGACCTACATAGCTCGGCTGAACCGAAGCAGAAGACTTGGCGGAAGCCGTCATCCTCTCCAGCGCGACTTCGCGCTAGAGCAGCGGGTCGAGCTAATGCTCCAGCTCGGCCGGAACGATCGAGGCGGTCTGGGAGGCCGCCGGAACCTGAGGATACTTCAGAGCGCCGAACCCAGCGCTCTGGAACTACTCCACGACCGAGTTCCGGTCGTGGGGAGACGCGAGATCAGGGTCAACACCAAGTTGACCACACACGGGGCGTGTTTCCATCACCACCACCGCCAATTCGTGACGCACACGGCTCAACTCGATGGATAGTTGAGCGGGTTGTTCGTCACAGTATCCCGAGAACGAACAGGCAACCGAATCGTTTCCGTATCCGTTGGAGAGGATTCCCTCCCAACCAAAATACATCGGAGCCGCGGAACATCTTGCTCGAAGACGTCCCGGACATGGTGAGGGCGTACGAAGCCCACCATGCGCTACACGCTGGAAAGTAATACGAGCGCTGTTGTTAACGACAGCCCCCGAAGGCACTTCAAGGGCAGGCTGTAGGTCCTGCCCCCGTGACAGCGACACGCTTCGCAGGTTGCTGCGCCAGGGGTCTTCAACTTAGACGTGCTCGTTACGGAACGAGCACGCTCTCTTCAAATGTCACGCATTGACCAAACAGTCAATGGTGGTTGACGTACCGAGACCGACACCTCTGTCCTTGACGGGGGGATGGTGTAACGGGGTTACACGCACAAGTGGCTACAGCCACTTGTAACTCTAACAGACACGACGTCTGTTAGAGGTTCGAAAGACTTTCTCGACCTTGGTGTAAGGAACACCAATGGCTACATACATTTGGGACCACCACGACGGGTAGTTCATACACATTTAGGATTCCTATTGGCTGAAAGCAGCATCTTTTAGCCAATGAGCGACTTGCATGTTAGTGGAATCCTGCCAACCAGCTGTTGGCAGATTTCTAGTTTAGGATATTACATTTAGGGGAAGTCAAACCATAAATCACAAATAACAGTTCTCATCTTTACCAAAACTCGCTACTTAGAGTCTTTATCTTGTTTAAAGTATACTTGTGGATCTCGAGTATACTTAACTCAAGTAAAAGAAACCTACGCTTCCTCGTACACGTGCGCACACGTGTAAGCCGTAGTAGTGAGCCAAGGTAGGCCCATTACAGTCGTTGTCCGTGGCCGCGAAACATGCGTCGTCTTGACAGACGTCGTCTTGACCATGACAGTCTTCGTGATCGACACGGTCCGCGTGGTCTTCACACTCACGACGGTGGTGCTCGGCGGCGAGGACGGCGCTAGCGTCTTCGCGCCGGCACGACTGGCAACCGGGGAAGGAATCGCGTCGTGGGACGAAGCATGGCGTGGCGTGCCTCCGTCAAAGTCGTCTCGTCCCCACGATCGCCTTGGCTCCGCGGAATGCCAGACCCGGACGCAGAATCCTCTTGGGGCTGGACGGCGCTTGGCCGCGGAAACCCCGTCGACATCATAGGCGCTTGCAACTTCGGGCGCTTCAGACACACAGCTGGAATAACGACACTTCTCCAACGTAGGACGCACGTCCGGGCTAAGAAGGCGGTAGTTAGTTATCCATCAGTCCGAGGTCATAAGCAAGCTTATCAATCGAAACACATGTACAGGTTCGGTGTAGGGCGGGCGGGGGCTTCTACTCGAGGAGTCCAAATTCGAAATGAAGCCGCAAAGCGCGCAATTGAGCGCGCTTTTCGCGCCTTGAACCCCTCCAAGATCGCGCGCTCAACTTCAATCCAAACAGCATTTCCACTTGAGGGCGCAGTATGAACACATACTTAGTTTGAGTCATTTTTTTAATCGAGTTGCTATTGTGAGAACCGGCTAAAAAGCCCATCTGTAGCAACCCCTTGTTAGATCTCAATTACCTAATTAATCAGAGTATAAATCGGGTTCGAAATCGATCGTGATCCATACGCATCACTTGGCTGCGCGATTGCCAAGTAAAAGGTGGGCATTTTGCTCCAAACGCGGGCTATATCGACTTGGTCTCCATAAAACGATCGTCTAATCTGCACATCCACTCACATATGCATCGCAGGGGCGCGATCGATTTACAAATCGATCGATCTAAATCAGGGTGCTAATCAATCGATTTACGAGCAAAATAGGTAAATGAAGCGGTTTTCACAATAGATTAGGGGGGATTAAACGGGCGACCAAATTGGTTTTATGAATTGTTTGGTCGGAGGACTTTTTGATCCCACGAAACAATTGTGTTTTATCATCGCGTTTAATAGTTGTTTAATCCCCCTACCCCTAATGATAAAACCTTTCTATGTAGATTTTGGAAGGCCAATCAGAAATGGTACACTTGGAGTTACCGGCACCCTATTCAGGAGACAAAACGCGCAATGACAACAGGAAATATACGCTTGCTTTGCTAGGTTATCGCAGAAGTTAACTGGGCGAGTGTTTCTGCCTCGTAGTACAAAACAAGCCAACCGTCGATACGTCTAACTCATTCGCTCCTTGTTATTAGTGGCCGGCAGCTGCGCGGAAGGACCAGTGGTTGGGGCGTCGGCCTTCCAGACGAGCCTTACGGTCGGCGCGCTGCAGCACCTCCAGCTTGACCTTCCACTCCTGCGACTCGTCCAGGTCGCCCGCCGCCAGGTAGTGCAGGTCCTCGCGGAACCGCGAGTCGGACGCTAGGATCTTGTCCTCCGGGTACGGCACCATGTAGCCACTCTGATGCTTGTTGATGCTCCAGTACGTCTTGCTGCCGAAGACGAGGTCGTGCAGCCAAGAGCCGGAGACGTCGCAGATCTCGCGCGGGGGCGACACCGACGTGTCCAAGATCACGCCACGGAGAGAGTCGGTCGGGGTCTTGGAGCTCGAGAACATGCCACCCATGCCCGACTTGGCGTCCGGGTTCAGGCGCAGCTCACACTGCAGGTGGTTCTTCTTGTCGTCGAACATCATGTTGCCCATGATGTCCACCGTACGGTCTCCCCACAAGAGCCCGCCGATCTGCAGGTACGGCAAGTTGTACTCGATCGTCGTCCCAGCGAGACCTTCAGTGTCGGGGAACGTCACGCGCACAGGACCCTTGTTTGTGTTGAGCATGGCGTTGGACTTGACGCTCATGCTGGCGTGCCACAGCACGAAGCCCGCGATCGAGTACTTGTCGCCCGTAAACTGGAAGTTACTGATAGGCGGGTGGTGGCTCGTATGTTCGCAGCTCACGTCGGTGCCGTCGTTCAGCGTCGACTGGAAAGTCTCGCCCAGAATCGGGTTAAACGGCTTCAGCTGTCCGATACTGTGGTGCAGACCAGCCACTGCGAACGCCATCACGTACTTGAAGCGTTCCAGCGCGTCGTTCTGAGCATAGGCGACGTTCAGGAACGTCGGCGCGTACAGCATCAAGTCGCACACACGCTCCAAGTTCGTACGAGGCTCAAAAATACGCACGGGCAGCGACAGACTCACAGCTGACTTGCCCTCTAGGATCTTGGCTCCTGCAGACTTAATCACGTCCTTCACCACGCCACTCTGCTTCTTGGCAACCTCCTTGTCAATCAGCTTCAAGCCACCGCTCGGCAGCGGCATCATGCCGCGCATGTACGTCTTCGGGTGGAAGATCGCAGGCGACTCTCCATCTACAACTTCGCCGAGACCGCTTCCTTCGCTGGTGTCTTCGTATCCGATGCTGCGAGTCTCATACTCACCCTCACCATCCTCGTCCAGACCACCACCGAATCCAAGCTCAGATCCACAAAGCTGGGCCTGGTTCACGTATTCGCTCAGCACGGACACACAGTCGAGCCTTGAGAGCAAGAAGCTCTGGCGCGTGGTGGGCGACAGCCACCCTTTCATGTCCAGGTCGGTAATGTAAGTTGCCAACGTAGCGTGGCCCGAATCCACCGGCTCCAGCAGCCAGCCGCTCAATCCCACGTGCGCGCGCACAGCGCCCGTGGCAACCGGCTTGAGCTCGTTCACCACCGACTTCTCGAGGATCAGCACGACGGACTGGCCCATCTCGTCCACGGACTTGTCGTCACCAGAGTCCTGCGAATCCGGCGCAGCAGATTCTCGCACGTGACGCAGCAGCACCAGGTCTCGGGGCTTCGTCAACGCGCTGTAATCGATGCTGTTCACAATACCGCCAATAGCTGCAGCGTACACCATCGCAGTCAGTAAGGCCTCCCACGACGAAGCGCCCGAGAAAAGAGCCGCGCATAGTGCGCACGCCGCCGCAGCCATGTGAGGCGCCACAAACGGCTTCGTCCGCTGGATCTGGGCAAAGCTGCCACTCGATAAGTGCACCAGGTCCGTTGCATCGTCAAAAGTTGCAACATGCGACGACTGCGGGAATTGCAGGTCCCATTCAGCGCGGCGCCCATGGTCCGCCAGCAGAATCGCCGCCACCTCTGAAGACACGGGCAGCACCACACTGGCGCGCGCGTACTGCTTGCCGGATCCCGAGTCTGTTCCAATACTGCGCAGCACGCCGTTCAACGCGCCAATGGGGCGGAACACGACATGGTTCCGGATCAAAGACGACGAACCCGTCGCGCTGTGGCCGCACAGCAGCGCCTCCAGAACGTCCAGACCATGCGAGAGTTCGTTCTCCAGCGAGATCGTCGTGGGCAGGCGCTGCGTCTTGGTACGGTGCGAGCGGTGCTGCTGCTGCGTCGGCTGAGCTGCACTGCTATTGGAGCTGTTCACCGCTGACGGTGCGGACGTCATCCTTGTCGCGCGCTTGCCGTCGCCATTGGAACTCGCCGTCAACGCCGCGCTGGATCCCCCCACCACGGACGACGCCGACTTGAGCGTGACTGTCCGCGCCTGAGCCGGTCCCATGGACGTGGCGCGCTTGAGGTGCACGCGGCTGTCCTCGTCGTCCGAGGAGGACGGGAGTCGCTGGGTCTGAGTCCTGGCCTGCTGTCGTCCCCTGCTGTTGCTGTTCGAAGACGCCCCCTGCGACGACGATGACGAAGCCGCAGCAGAGTTGGAGCTGCTGCTGCCGCCGCCGTTGTTGACGCGCGCCACGGCCACGCGCAGCACGTCGAGCCACTGCGTGACCACGATCCCCTCCTCGGCGCTCAGGCAGTACATGATGCCCGTGGCCGGGTCCGTCAGGTAGATGCGCGGCGAGTTCCACGTCTCGCTCAGCCCGCCGTCCTGCACCGTGCAGCCCTCGAGCGGGATCACGGCGTTGGGCTTGCGGTCCTTCCTCGAGATGTAGTAGGACAGCGTGCGGCCGTCGCACACGAACCAGCGGCGCTTCCAGCCCTTGAGGCGCTGGCCCTTCTTCTGCAAGAAGCCCTCCTTCATGTACGTCGGGTCGTAGTCCGCCATCGACTCCACGGGCACCCGCTCGGGCCACTGCAGCAGCGTCAGTCAGAGAGTTAGAGAGGTTGTTAACGTGTTCATAACGGGTAGACGGGCGTACGTCATTGTTGACGAGGTCGTTAAAGCGCTGCTGCGCGTCCTGGAGCGCCTGCATGGCTCGGTCCCGCTTGCGTTCGCGCGCCGCTGCCTCGCCGCCGCTGGCGCTGCCGAGTGCGTGTCGGTGCGCGCTCTGGTCCTTCGTCTTGCTGCCGGGGCCTCTCGCGCGCGCGGTGCAAAGAGGCGGAGTGGCAGCGGAGAGAGGAAGCCGCCGACAAGAGAGAGCTGAGCTGAGCTGGTTGTGCCCCCAAGCTCGGGGCCACGTGCGCAGAAGCTGCGGATTGAGGCCGGAAGAGCCAGGTGGGGAACCAGGCTGTCCGGGCGGAAGTGCCCGATTAGCGATACAAGCCGCCTTCGTGCGTGGCACTTGGTGATTGGACAGCCGGCGGAGACGCGTCACGAACGTGCAACTAACCTGTATCATCGCATGTAGCTTTATACACTGATTCATGAGATAAAGAGGTAGCAATGGAAAAAAAGCTGAATTTGTATTAACTGTGTTACGTAGTTTAGACAGCTCTAGCACCAAGATATTGTTTATGGAGATATCGTGTATCTCGGGTCTGTTAGTTGAAGCCCCCCAAGTGGCAACCATGATCGCGAAGAGGCACGAGTCCGCTTTAGCGTCGCGTCGTGTTGCCCCCAGCAGGATACTACAACAGCCGACGCGCTCTCGAGCTCTCCAAGGCCGCAGGAAGCTCGCTTCTCTCTGCGCTGCTGTGTGTATCCATCGACTGACGTGTCAATTCCAAGAGACGATCCAATGAGCGCCGCCACGTACCAGACGCCCGACTCGAAGAAGGAGGAGTTCCGCAAGTACCTCGAGAAGAGCGGCGTGGTGGACGCGCTCACCAAAGTGCTCGTGGGGCTCTACGAGGAGGCGGACAAACCCCCGAACGCCGTGGACTACGTCAAGCGCTTCATGGGCGCCCCCACGGGCATCGACGTGGACGCGCTGCGGGCCGAGAACGAGGAGCTCAAGAAGAAGAACGCCGAGCTCATCAAGACCATCGAGGAGCTCAACAAGCGCGTACGTTGACGTTGCAATAACTGGGATCAGATGTGGAGCTGTGAGTGTTGAGGTACTGACTGGCGTGTCTTTGTGTCTCCTTTTTGTATTTGCATCCTCAGCTCACGACGGAGGAGGAAGAGGAGGAGGCATGAGCTGGGGTCGAGCAACACTATTCCATTGCAGAGTCGCGATCTCGTATCTATTAGTCGTGTCGGTGGCAGCAGCAGCACTGCTATCGACGAAAGATCATTCAGCTAATTCAATCTCGCATTGCATTGCATTCGACAATCCAAAAAGGAACGAACTACAGAAGACCGACCAACCGGTTAGGTGCACTGAGCCAGGAGCTCCGTGATGTTGTCCTGCACCGACTGCTTCTGGCGGTTGAGGTAGTTCTTGCGCGCCTCGAGCGACGACACCTGCTCGTCCACGCGCTTGTCCTCGCCCTTCATGCTCGCGGTGTTCTCGTCGCTGGTCGTCTGCAGGAACATCTTGCCGATGCTGCGGTACGTCTTGGTGCCTTCGGGCAGGTCGGCCACCTCGCGCTCGACCAGCGCCAGGCGCTTCTTTTGCCGCGCGTAGGCCGCCAGCTTGGCCTCGATCTGTTCTAACTCGCGCTGGATCTTCTGGAACTGCGGCTGCAGCTCCTGCAGCTCCTTGGCGATGTGCGCCGGCACCTGGCGGCCGCCACCCTGCGCCGGAGCCGCGCTCTTGGCCGCCAGCTCCTGGTTCAGCTGGCGCAGCAACTTCTTGATGCCCGGCGCCTTCTCAGGGTCAGTGGCCGTCGTCAGGGCCGTCTTCAGCGTCTCAATAGCCTCCTTCTTGCGTCCCAGCTGCGACTGCGCATTGGCAAGGCGGTGGTAGCCCTTGGCGAACTTGGGGTTGCGCTTCACGCACTCCTGCGCGTCCTTCTCGGCCAGCTCCCACTTGAAGAGCGCGCCGTACGCAGCACTATCGACAATAAATAAAAGAAAAGAAAGTTGTAAAAGAAGCATCGGCGTGGAGAAATCAGCATTGACAAGCTTTGCGGGCGGGCGGACCTTCGGTTCGAATAGTAGACGTGGCTCTCGGGGTCCAGGCGGATGGCCTACATGTACCAGCAGGTGCATAGCATTGCATTAAGTATCGCAGTATTGCAGCAGCATTTCCCCTGCCACTTGGTGTAGCTTGTCCGTGGGACGCACCTCCGAGTAGCACTCGACAGCCTTGTCAAAGTTCTTCTCGTTGAATTCCTGGTTGCCGAGCCTGTCGACGCGCACACAACACACGCCGGGGGAGAACGTCGTCAGAGCTATAGAGATCGCTACTTGCGACAGATCAACGCGTTGCAGAGCACGCACGTCTTCTGCTCCTCGGCGGCGTCGTGGGCGGAGCTCATGGCGGCGATGCGGTGGATCGATTCCCTTATCACCAGACAAAATACTGGAGCAAAAAGCTGGTCCCTCAAGGACTAGCATACAGAATAGTAAGTACAAATCTGAAATAGGAGAGTTTATCAAGAGATGGCTACATTGAAGTGCTCTGCGACGAGGTGCTGGCAAGAGGGCTCTGCAGCAGCAGCATCTGCTCGTCAACGGGGGAATGCTTGCTGCATTCCCCCGTTGGAACCAAGAAATGGCGAGGATTTCGCCCAGTCTCAACTGCCAATCGAAGTCTCCTGAGAAAGGAGCGGGGACTGCCGCGCTCAGTCCACGACATTCTGCCCACAGAGCAAGTCAAGGTCGTCATGTTTGAACGCAAGCAACCGTGCAAGTTCTTCCTCCGCAACGGGAGATGTCGCTACGGATCGTCCTGCAGATTTTCGCACAGTGGCGGGCCTGCTAGTAGACATTCATCCGGAGATATCGGGCGGTGGGGACGTCAGCGCACTTCCGAGCTTGTAGCAACGACTCTGTTTTCGCTACAGACGTTCCGAGCTCAGCTGGCAGAGAAGCTTGGGTCGGGCACGATATTTTCCAGCCATTCCGACGCGCTAGTGAACTTTTGGCCGGGTCGAGATCGCTTGGAGGTGCTGTGGAAGGGGTTTCTGCTGCCTCCCGATTTTCGCGGTCCAAGGCTCGTGGACAGCCAAACGCAGGCGCTCAACTTCATCAACTCCGGACTTCACGCTTTGACGGACGATCACGTGGCTCCGCAATTTCTGAGGGAGCTAGGACAAACGGAAGGGCGCGGCGTTGCTCTCATTCAAGCCCTGCTTGATCTCAAGTACTCTGTTGACGCTGGCAGACAGCGCAACATCGTGTCTTTCCAGCGAGGACTGGTGCCGTTCGTGATCAAGCTGACAATGCGCCGCATGGAGATGATCAGCCAACACATGGAGGAGGCCAACTACGTGTACTCGTTTGTGCGTACTGCACACGCTCAGCTCTTCCGCGTGTATTTGGAGCACTTGCAGCAGATTGTGGAGCGACACAGCATCGAGGACCGGACGCTGTCTCACTCGAGTTTTCTACTAGAATCTCAAGGCCGGCGATACGCGCCGCTCTGCTTCACACAACTGTGCCTCCCTTTCATCCGGTTGTTGTACCTGTTGGGCTCCAAATTCAACGACTTTATCTACGAGGATGGCTTCCAAGAGACGGTGAATTACCTTGATGCGTTGATCAAAAAGTGGGTGGACGACTCGGAAGAAAACGATGATTCGTCTCTTGACTCTGCCTTGTGTTTCAAGATGATAAAGGAAGAAATTACGCGCCTTCACAAGATGATTCGTCGTGGCGACCACGCTATGCAGACTGGCGCTGCACTGGAGAATGAGTTAACGGAGGGGTCAGATTCGAGCTTGCCCACATCGGAGGTTTGGAATACCTTAACCGTAAGCGTTCCTGAAGAAGGCACCCTAGCGGACGGTAGCGTTGGTCCGCGCCACGATAATGACCATCGAGACATCAGCAAAATTCAGTTGCTACCCACCACAGAGGAGTGTTCATCCCGCGAACCCCCACCGCTACCGGGCAACTTTCCGTTCCACGTCAACGCTCACTGGTTGCTGCCGGGTCCGGATCGCTGGGTGGACACGCACTTTCGACTGTATCGAGAGGATTTTTGCAGTGCCATCCGCTTGTGCGTACAGGATGTCGTACACAGACTCCGTCAGAGTGGTGGGAACCTGGCTGCCGGGCGAGTTCGAGCTGGCGACGTGGATTACAATGTCTACCACGCGTTCAACACCTCGGTGATGCTAAAACACACGTTCAGTCGGAACGAGCACGAACGAGCGCATCGTCCGGAGCGTATTGGGCTCTGCGTTGACGTACGATTCCGTCACCCGTCTCTGGTAAAAGGTGACAAAAAAACTCGTCGAGAGTTTTGGGAGAAAACGCGGCGCCTGCCGTACAATGGGATGGTGGCCATGGTCTCCCATGTCAGCGGCGAGATCGAAGTGGTGTTTTGTGAAATTGTTCAGCGAGACGTGAATCAACTCGTGGACAATGTCGCGAGGATTTCGCTCCAGCCGTATGAGACCAGCGACTTCGAGACTCTCGAGCGATGGCAACACAACAAGTCGCTGCAGCAGCAAGCCAGCACAAACGGCGCTCCACACCACACGATGCTGATCGAGTTCAACAAGGTGTTTCTCTTTGGGTATCAGCCGGTGCTGTGTGCCCTGCAGAGAATTCGTCCGGCCACTATGCCGTTTCTGGAGTACTTAGCACCCGAGAGCCCACCCCAGGCTGTGCAGATGGAGACCCCACTCTACTGCGTGGCGCCTGGTTTCAAGTTTGACTTGACGTCTGTGGTGCAGGGACATCCGAGAGAAGGGAACGATGATCCACAGCAATTGCACCTTTATCCAACTCAAGAAACCTCCCGAGAGGAATGTGAGACTGCGTTGGTAAACCACTCGACGTTGGAGCGGGATCAAGCTAAAGCGCTGGTGCAAGCTCTGAGCAGCCGTGTTGCGTGTATTCAAGGTCTGCCTGGTACTGGGAAATCTTTCATCGGCGCGCTACTCACGAAAATTATCGTGGAGGCGAAGGTCACTCCTGTATTAATTGTGTGCTACACGAATCACGCGCTGGACCAGTTCCTGTGCCAACTTTTGGACGTTGGCATCACGAAGCTCGTACGCGTGGGGGGTCAGTGCAAGGAACCTCGGCTGGACCAGTACAAGCTGAACGCGATTCACAAAGTTTGCGATCGGTACGAGCTGAAGCTGCTGTACCAGCGACTGGACTCTCACGCAAGTGCTATCTCTGTGGCCCGACGATGCTTACAAGCCCAAAAGCACGGCTCCACATGGGAATCTCTGAGATCGTTTCTACAGCAACATTTTCCTAATGAATACGACTATTTCAACGAACAGCAAGATGAGATGTTTGGAGACAATTGGGAGGTCTCCGGGTGCGATGATATTCTGGAGTACTGGATGAAGGGCTACGACGACGGTACTGGACCGATGCTTGATGAACCAAGTAATGTGTGGTTGTGGAATTCAACGAAGCGCCAAGCTGCTCTTTCCGAATGGTCCGATCAAATTCGCTCCAAGTGCATGGACGAGCTTGTGCGAGCTCAGGAGGCTTACAAGAGCACCCTTAAGAAACTGGAAGCCGTAAGAAAGGAAACCGACGTTGGCGTGCTCAAGGGGATGCAGATCATCGGCATGACGACCACCGGTGTGGCCAAAAACCAACAGAGAATCGAGGCAGTGGCGCCTCCGGTTGTGATTTGTGAAGAGGCTGGAGAAGTCCTCGAGGCGCAGGTCATGGCGTGTCTGTCACCTGCCTGCCAGCAGCTCGTGCTAATCGGAGACCACAAGCAGCTACGCCCGCACATCGCTGACTACAATTTGAGCGTGGAGAGCTCACTTGGCAAGCGCTACGCTCTGGATGTGTCGCTATTTGAGCGTTTGGTGGCACCAACGTCTGGACTGCCGTTTTGGATGCTGACGGAGCAGCACCGCATGCGTCCGCAAATTTCGCAGTTGCTGCGAATGCTGTTTTACCCAGAAGTCCGAGATGCACGCGAGACGCTGGAGTACCCGTCGCTCCTCGGTGTCGACAAGAACGTATTTTTCGTGAACCACAGCCAGCCGGAGGATGGCGCGTCGGATGAGTTCGGGAAATCCACAAGCTCCCACTCGAATGAGTATGAAGTCGAGTATATCGTCGCGACTCTGAAGTTTCTTCTGCAACAAGGTTACCAAAGCTGTGACATCGCCCTCCTAACTCCTTACGTTGGTCAGCTCATGAAGATTCGATCCGCTCTGAAAGGAGAGTTTGTGCTGGAGCTGAATGAATTAGACCAGCAGGAGATCCAGCGCACGTTCGGTGACGATGGCGACGATGTCGAGGATGATACGGGAACAATGAGACGCGATAGCCCATCTGCGTTAGGAGCCACTAAGAAAAATCTGTCGGACACGATTCGAGCTGCCACAGTTGACAATTTCCAAGGAGAGGAAGCAACGGTCATACTGGTGAGCTTGGTACGCAGCAGTACGAATATTCAGGGGCGTGAGACCATTGGCTTTCTCAAGATTCCAAATCGGATCAACGTGCTCCTTTCCCGAGCGAAACATGGGCTGATTTTTGTGGGTCATGGGGATTTACTCCGAGCCAAGTCTCCGATCTGGCAGCAGATTCTCGATCAACTGGAAAGCGACGGTTGCTACGGCGATGGTCTACCTCTTCATTGCCAGCTCCATCCTGACTACCAGCGTGTCGCCTCGAATCCGAGTTCGTTCGCGCTGCTATCACCTGATGGAGGTTGTCTACGTCCGTGTGGAAGACGACTCCCTGGCTGTGGTCACGCCTGCCCGAAGTTGTGCCATGTCGACCAACCGTCCCACAAAGCTGTCTACTGCACCCAACCATGTCTGCGACTACAGGAGGGCTGTAGCCATGTGTGCCCCCGTGTTTGCGGCGATCCGTGTGGCCGATGTGAGGTGCTGGTTGGTTCGATCACGTTGCCCTGTGGACACACGTATAGCAACGCGCGGTGCTTTGAGGCCAAGAAACCATCGAATGTGAGATGCAATGTGGTGGTTGAGAAGCTCATATCCGTCTGCGGCCACATACAGAATACTGCGTGCTACATCACTGACGTCAAGTGCAAACGAAAGTGTGGAGCAGTACTTACATGTGGCCACGAGTGCTCCCGTACATGCAGCAATTGCATTGAAGACACCCTGGAGGTTTATGAGGGAGTACCGGAACCGGACTTCCCGATAGAACCCGCTGAACACGGGGCGTGTCGAAAGAAGTGCGAGCGTTTGCTACCATGCTGCCACCGATGCCATGGAGTTTGCCACGGAGAGGCTCCCTGCCCTCCATGCCAGCATATCTGTGACGTGTTTAGCTGCGAGCATGCATCCTGTAATCACCCGTGTAGTGCACCTTGCGCTGCGTGCACCGAATCATGCAAGTGGGGCTGCGAGCACGTTGATATTTGCCAGCTACCCTGCGGTGCCCCCTGCAACCGGAAGTTGTGCGATCTCCGATGCTCCAAATCGCTCAGTTGTGGACACCGATGTCCCAGTGTCTGTGGAGAAGACTGCCCTGTGCAAGAGTTCTGTCACGACTGTGGGGATGAAGATGTGAAGCAGCGCGTGGCCGACGTGATTCTCTTCCGGAAGTACGGCGAGATTGATCCATCCAAGGACCCTGTTCTGGTGCTTCCGTGTTGCTCAATGGTGTACACGAAGGAAACGCTTGACGGTACGCTTCACTTGAGCACGTACTACAACGAGGAGGGGGAACCACGAGGAGCGCTACCAGGAGGCTATATTGATATGCCCCAGTGTCCGAACTGCAGCAAGCCGATCCGTGGCCTCCGCCGCTATGGGCGTATGATCAAACGAGCTGCAATCGATGCGGCCGAGAAGAAATTCATCACACACACGCAACATCAGCTCACGGTCTTGCAAGCGCGTGTGAATGCTGCAGTTGAACGTGGCGACATCAGGCGTGACGAGACGTTGCAGGGAGAAATTCGCTCGTTTGGGCTGGCAGTGAGAAGTCCCCCCTGTCAGGAAGTTTTCGAGGCCTGTGTGGCATTACTGACGAAGGCTCAAGGATGGCAAGGCGGTGGCGATGTGACTATCGACCAGAGTGCGCTCCCCGTACCCAACTCGACGTTCCGGTTCGCAGGATACTACTACCTTTTCGCTGCTCAGATGCAGTCGCTGAACGCTCGGAAAACTCTGAACAATGCCGAACCACACGCCCGAATTGCCTTGCAGAAATTCGTCGATGGGTCGTACTCCCAGCAGGCTCGAGAAGCCAAGTTGGTGTTGGTGCGAGTTTTACTGATCGAAGCGGAGAAAACGTTAAACAAGTCGGTGAAGTCTGAGGGGGAGCGTGCAGAGCGCGAAACGGAGGTGGAAAAATTCACCTTCGAGGCGCAGGAGCTGCTGAACGATCTGGAAGAGTATGTGGATTTCCGTTTGCAGCATGAGCAGGAGCTGCAGAGCTTCCGCCGAACGCTAGCGAGCATTACTCGGCGAGCCAAGAGCGCCACATTTTACCAGGAGGTGTCGACGGAGGAGCTGAGAGCTGTGAAGACGGCTATGCAAGCGGAATTTCAGGGCTCCGGCCACTGGTACCGATGCGTCAATGGACACTCGTACTCGATCGGGGAGTGCGGTATGGCGATGGAGCGAACTACGTGTCCTGAATGCGGTGCACTTGTCGGCGGGGCCAACCACGTGTTTGTGGAGGGGACCGCGCACGACTCGGATATGGATTCGTTGTAAGGTTTGCCAGCAATCAGCTTACGAAGTCTTAAGTCGAGAATATGAAAAGACTGCTCGAGTATCATGAGGAACATACCGATGCGAGATTTTGGCTTTGCGATGTGAACTAAGTCGTTCTATCTCGTTAGCGATCGTATTAGCTGAGGCCTAGTTCTAACCGCGTGCCATCCGTGCCATGCCATGCCATGTCATTTTTCATTGGCCGAGAGCTCCTCGGGTTTAGGTCACTGGTGCCATGAAAGTGCCATGCATGGCACGCTTTGGTGCCATGGCTATTGGTCGTGCCATGTGCCAAAATGGGGAAACTGCTCGCGACGGACATCAGACTTCGCTCTGCTGGTATATACTAGTTCATACACCTATTAGAAACCCATGTAACCCGCTTTTGGTCGACGGGGTGCTAAAGTGTGCTTGTATATCACCAGTTCATCTTGCCATGGCGCAGGCCATTTCATTCGGAAACGGAGTGCCATGCAAAATCGGTACCTAGCCCTATGGCATGGCATGGCACCATGGCGCGCGGTTAGAACTGGGCCTAAGTGACAATAATGATCCTCAATTCAAAAACAAAAACAAATAAGTCGTTCTATGGCCGGAAAGAAATGTGCTCTGCTGTGTTGTGTGGAATGCACACTGAGCTTACGAGGTGCTGGCGAGATGGCTCTGCAGCAGCAGCCGACGCCGCAGGACCGAGTCGCCTGCCCGAATCCCAAAGCTGAAGTTCATGATGACGCTGAGCTCGTTGATCTGCTCGTGGGTCCACGTCTGCAGCTCCTCGTAGTCGGTCGGGAAAAACTCTGCAGGAACGCGCTCGTCGAGTTGACGCACCGGAAGATACGACGCAGTGGTGGAGATTCAGGCAACATGGGTCCAACGCCTGCGATAAACTTCCGGAACCGGCGGAAAGCCGGTTGTATGGGGGTCACTGCATAGCGGGCGATGCATTTGGCGACGAAGGCCGCGGCTCGGGCGTTCCACTTACGGGCTGCAGCTCGCGCTTCACGCTCGCGTGCTTCCTTGCTCCGGCGACGGTGACGGTGTCTACGTGACTTGTGTTGTATCTCCCGGCGTAGCTCACGTTGTAGATCTTTATTGTTTCGCTCCAACGAGCGGATGAGGTTGACTGCCCAAGGCGGAGCACCTTGAGCGCCGTTCGAAGGAACGGTTTTTGAAGCGACCTGCAGTCACGCGCAGCGTGAAATCGGTGCTTGCAAGAAGCTTGGCGAGCAAGCAGCAAAATGCCACTTGCGGAGGAATCGTTGTTTTGGCGAGTGAGCTCACAGCTCAAGTTACCGTCTCCTTTCTCACAGCTAGATCTTTCCTCACTGTAGCACGTTTATCTGTAAGTTGCAGTAGACAACCTCCGTAGGACAATTCTACTGCGTGGGAAAACCTCCAGCACTTTTGTACCTTCTCGGGGTAAACGACCCACACGTGCTCTCGTGCATCTTCAGTCTGCTGATGGTGATCAGTACACTGGACTCCGCAACAGCCCGGTTACCATCGCTGTGCTTCGATCGCTCAAACGCCGCTCTTGGCATCAGCCCCATAGCCGCTCGGTGCTTCTCAAATGCTGCTCGTGGTAGAGGCTTTGTAAAAGCATCAGCAACATTGTCGCTGCCAGGCACGCGGAGCACATCAATCTCCTTCATGTCGACTCGCTCTCGAATGAAGTGATGGCACACGTCAATGTGCTTCGTGCGGCTGTGAAATGCCGGATTGCTCGCCAATTTCTTCGCACTTTCATTATCCACAAACACTTCCGTGGCTGCTTGCTGCTTCACCTTTAGTTCTCGCAGCATCTGACGCAGGTGGACCACTTCCTGCACGAGCAGGCTTAACGCCATGTACTCGGCCTCCGTGGTGTGCAAAGCCACAGTCCTCTCAGTCTGACTGCACCATGAGATCGTACTGCCACAAAACTTCGTCAGATATCCTGCCACCGATTTTCTATCGTCGGTTCGGTTTGCAAAGTCTGCATCAGCAAATGCTTGCAAGTGGCGATCCAGCTTCTGATCCGTCCACTCAGCACCTCCAAGGCGAATGCCCCAGTCCAGTGTCTCTTTCAGATACCGCAGATCCCGCTTTGCTGCCCGCCAGTGCAGTATACCTGGGTTCTCCAGATACTGACTGCATTCCCGAACCAGATACGCTAGATCAGGACGTGAACCCATCATTAAATACATCAAACTGCCAACCACAGATCGATACGGCTTTGAACTCGTCAATTTTCTCTCATCTGCATCCGCAGCACACATGCTCTTCGTCAACTTCAAGTCTGCTGTACACGGCGTCTTGCACCCATTGCATTTGTCCATTCCAAACCGTTCCAGCACTGACGATGCGTACTTGCGTTGATTATGAAGATCGTTCGTTCACTTCGATTGCGTGTGACTTCCCAGCCCAAGATGTAATGCAGCTCACCGAGATCCTTCATTTCGAAGCGCTCGCAAAACATCTGCTTCATCTGATTGATGAGCTCCATGTTGGGGGCAACCAGGATGAGGTCGTCCACGTAAAGCGGGATGAACACTAGCTGTCCATCGGTGACCTTCACCGCAACACAGGCCTCCGACTTCAACAATGTAAAGCCCTGCTCCTCCAGAAAAGATTTCAACAACTGGAACCACACACGTGGCGCCTGCTTTAAGCCATAAAGGCTTTTCTGCAAGCGACACACCCAGTCCTCCTTTCCTGGCACTTGGAAGCCCTCTGGTTGCTCCATATACACCTCCACATCACTCTTGCCGTTAAGAAAAGCAGTCGTCACGTCCATTTGATGGACCTCATAGTCCCACACAGCTGCAAGAGTCAACAGGACTCGCAAAGTCTCCAAACGCACCACCGGAGAGTAGACCTCCAGATAGTCAACGCCGTACACTTGCATGAAGCCCTTTATGACCAGCCTCGCCTTGAACCTGTCAACCTCCCCATTGGCAAGGTACTTTACGCGGAACACCCAACGATTCCGCAGCACCTTCATGTTCGTTTGGCGAGGTACCAGCTCCCATGTGCAGTTCTTCATTAATGCATCATACTCTGCTTGTGCTGCACTTCTCCATTGCGGGAACCATTCGCTGTCCATGGCTTCACCGTGGTCTCAGGCTCACTGATCACGCTCATGGTCAGACAACAATAGTCTTGCCACCACACCTGAGCTTGCTCCTTCGCCATTGCACGCTGCATCTCTTCACGGGCTTTCTCCCATGATGGCGACGAGCTCACAGAATCAGGGTTCGTACTGGAGTATCCAATGTAGATATAATCACCAAACCACGAAGGCGGCTTGCTCGCACGACCGCTCCGTGTTACCGGGTAGTCCTCTGTGCGTGCACCTTCTGGAGCCACATACTCTCGCAATGCTCTGCTGGAAGAGGTTGGCAAACTCTCACTGCTAGAAGCATCGCTAGGTTGCGGCATTTCCGAGTTCGCAGTCTTCATCTCACGAGCCTCCGAAGATGAAGTCGGCTCCGTGGTCGATGATTCTCCACACAACACCCCTTGACCAGTTTTAGACGTTGCTGTCGGCGCCCTCTGCTACGTTTCTTCTTTTTGCGTTTGGCCTTACCACTGGTTTCACATTCAGGTTCACATCCACCTCGCAGGCGGTCTTCATGTGATCCTTGTTCGTGCAGCTCAGCGCCACGCACTGCTGCAGAACTCGGTGCAATCTCAGATCGCATCCTCTTTGAAGGGTGTTCACAATTTTGAGAGACGTCATCTCGGCCTCGCTTACGACTCTCTGTAACCGAGACAACTCCACCAGCAACAGCCCCACCAGCCCCACCAGTCCTGGCACTTCCATCGTCAATGTCTGCCCCACCTGGCAGGTCCTGGTGTTCATCGCTGGCACAAGCAGATTCACGATCTGCATGCATCTCATCCAGCATTGCTGGTATGCTCTCCATGGCTGCACTATCCATGTTGAAATACTGCTGCGTCGACACTCCAGTGTTTAGTGCTGGTGTCACTCCTTCAGCAATTCGACCAGGCTTGTCCTCGTAGAACACAGCGGTATGACTGTAAAACGCCTTTCGCGTCTTGCTGTCAAGTAGGCGATAGCCACGCTTTTCACGGCTGTACCCAACGACGATAGCCTCGCGAGCCTTAGCTTGCATCTTTCGCCTCTCCACTTTGTCCACATATGCCAGTACTGCCCACCCAAAAGTGCGCAGCCGCGAGTATTGCGGCAGCTCGCGATGCCACACAGCATAAGGCACCTCCATATCTCTGGTCGAATTAGGCATGATGTTCACACAATACGCCGCAGTCGCTGCAGCCTCTGCCCACATCTCCTCTGGCAATCCGAAATGGTTCAACAGACATCTCATTCTCTCCGATACTGTCCTCACCATTCTCTCGGCTACTCCATTCTGCTCGGGCGTGTGCTTGACACTAGACGAGCACTCCATACCGTACTTCTTTATACATATCGTCGCCAGCTTAGTCAGCTCCTTAGCATTATCATTGCGGATTTCCTTCATGCGCACGTTCAACTGAGTCTTCACTTGCTGGTAGTAGATATCTAGCTTCTCATACACCTCCGTGCGCTCCGCCAATAGATAAAGCGTAAGGTATCTGCTGGCTTCGTCGACAAACACCACGAAATAACGCTTGCCGGAGTAGGAATCGACGGCGTACGGACCCCACACATCGACATGGGCACGCTCTCCAATTAGCCCCTCACGGGTTGGAGTATTTTTCTTGTTGCGAAAGCTCTTCCGCGTAAGCTTGCCCTTGACACAGGAATCGCATCTGAAGCCATCGGGAGGGAACACGGAGATCAAGTCCCCTGATGGGCCATCGTGTGTGCCGAAAGAGTGCGTTAAAAGCATTTCGTCCGGGATCCCCAAGACGGTCATCCCACAGCTCGACGTTTGCCACTCCGCCAGATGAAACCATTAGCACAGAGTCAGACGGACTCTCAAGACAGAGACGAAAAAGATTTGTTTCATCCCTGTGAGCCGTTGTGCTGCACGACTGCAGCAACACGTCTGCATAGTCGTCTTCATCAAAGTGACAACACACTCGCTCAGCTGAAGCCAATGAGCGCGAAGCTTGCCTTCCTCCTGAGAACAAGCTGCACTGTAGCTCAGGAACATAACGCACTCCACGCAGCAGCAAAGTAATTCTCCCAGTTGAGGTGTCCAACTCCTTCTTTACAGTCCCAACTCCAACAACCTCCAACCAATTCTTGCCGCCAGTACGCACCATCGAACTCAGCGGTGTAAATGACACAAAGTCATCTTGCACGTTCGTCATATGGCTGGTGGCTCCGGAGTCCAGATACCAACGACCACGAGCAATATCTGCAACTCCTATCTCCAATTTCACCAAACTCATAGCAACGTAGGCGTTATTATCACTTTCATTACCCTCACGGGCCTTACTGCTGGCCTTCGCGCTATTTCCGCCACCACCGAGCTTACTGCGCTTCTGTGCTGGGCCTCCACCTTGGTTCTCGGTTGGTGGGCGCTTACCGAGGTACGGGCAATCACGCACTTGGTGGTCCTACTCATGACAGTGAAAGCAGCCAGCACCCCGCTTCGTCTCGGCGCTGCCTCGACCGGCGCCGCGGCCTCCACCTTGATTGGCCCCACCACGGCCACCAAAACCGCGTTCGACCACGTCCACGACCGCTTCGTCCACGACCACGGCCACCACCGGCGTAGAAGGCTTGATCTTCAGCGCTCGCCTTGCCTCCTTCTGCCTTCCTGTTCTGCATATGGTCGTACGCCATCTCCAGCGCTTGCTCGAGCTGTTCGTAGTTCGGCGGGTCGTCCGGGTTTTGCGACGTGTGACTCGCAAGGAAAGTTTGAATCACATTGTCGTAGTCTCGCGGTAAGGAGCCAATCAGAATAGCCGGTTTCGCATATTCATCCACTGGTCTGCCGACCACCGAAATTGTCTCCATGACACGACGCATCTCACTCAAGTGGTCCGGTAGGTTGCCCTTGGACTCCAGACGCAGGCGACTCAGCTTCGTTCTCTCCTCAGCATACTTCAGGTAAGTCTTCCCCATGAAGCGCTTTTTTAAACGCCCCATCACACGGAACGGGGTCGACTAATACTTGACGGTCTTCATCATCTGATTAGTCATCGCCTCGTAGAGAATCTCCTTGTCCGCGACGTCTTGCTCACCCAGTCGTCGTGATCCGCTTCCTTGCTCTCCTCGGGCTCCGCGACGTCCTTCTCGCAGAACTGCCACAGCTTCTTGCGTTGCAGCTTGAGCTTGACTCGCTCCAGCCACACCTCAAAGTCGCTGCCGTCAAACGGCGGGATCGTCTTTCGCTCGTCCTTCGACTCCTTCACCACCTTCTTCTCCTCGGCCATTGTTGTCTGTTAGCACGCGATATTCACAGCGAGAGCCTTGGGCTTATAACCTGATGCGACCTGCAGTCGCGCGCAGCGTGAAATCGGTGCTTGCAAGAAGCTTGGCGAGCAAGCAGCAAAATGCCACTTGCGGAGGAATCGTTGTTTTGGCGAGTGAGCTCACAGCTCAAGTTACCGTCTCCTTTCTCACAGCTAGATCTTTCCTCACTGTAGCACGTTTATCTGTAAGTTGCAGTAGACAACCTCCGTAGGACAATTCTACTGCGTGGGAAAACCTCCAGCACTTTTGTACCTTCTCGGGGTAAACGACCCACACGTGCTCTCGTGCATCTTCCGTCTGCCCTCAGCACCAGCTGATGGTGATCAGTACACTGGACTCCGCAACAGTTTTCACATAAACGACTTCTTTGGATTCATCAACAACGCCGGCAATTGGCTGCGAATTTTCAGCCTGCATGCTTCCCTTCGTAATGCAACGCACGAAATAGCGTTGTGGCACTGGGAGCTTTGTCGGTGATTGATGGGGTATAACTTGTTAGTCCCAAATTTGAACATCCATTGATATTCCGTACCCCGTGGTCCGGAACTGCTGGCGTAGTCCGCGAAAAGAAAAAGAAAAAAAATAGTTCATCGCGGAATTTATCTCCGCAAATACAATTTCTTCGGATCTCTTCGCCTGCTTTAGTGTAAACCGCGAACAGAAAAAAAAATGAGAAAAAAAATCCAGTGGCGAGGAAACAAGCATTGTGCTCCGTCAGCATGAATGCGAGTTTTATTCACAGTCCTCGTTGAAGCCATCTACTGGGATGTACGGGTAGCTGCTACCCAAATCTCCTGCATGCCTCCATCCATCTAGCACGCCTGAGCAAGAGGTTTGAAGTTGCCACTCGCCTTCTGGTCGTTGCAAGAGCCGTTGAACTCGCCTTGGCGGGAATCGGGGACGTTGCAGCACTTCTGGTTGCCGAGCCTGTTCGGAACGATCGAGCCGCCCGACGTGTCGCAGGCGCTCTGGGTGTACTTAAGCCAGAGCTCTCGTATCTGTCGTCAGCAGCTCCCGCACTGCCGAAGAGCACCGTGACTGATGGCAAGAGGTAAGTAAAGACGACTTGTGCATCCAAGTGTCGAGCAGCGGCTACAGATGAAATCCGCCATACCTTTGAAATCCACCCATGTCGTTCATGCGCATATCAGCGGATCCGTATATTTATGTAAAACGCGCATATTTCACGTAATATATGCACTTTATCGTGTACATTTTACACTTTTATGCATACTCAAGACCCTGATCGGCCAATGGAAATACACTCGAAATCCTTAAAGATTAGCGTTATACTGGAGGATAGTGTTCAGATAGCGGGCGGATTTCATCATCGTTGTCTGTCCTTGGCCCAGACGTTGTAGTTTCTGCGCTGGTTTCGAGGAATACGTAGTCTCCATAAACGAATGGAATGCAGTAATTCACCACATACATATAAGGATGAGCAGCATGTGAGGTCTTTTTTTAATTTTAGATGTGTTGTTGTCACTTAGTTACCTAACGACCTCTAATCACACCTCCTACCTACGCCCGTTTCCGTCGCTGGCAGGTCTTCAGTCCGTTTATGCGGTGGACCAACCCGGAAAAGTTTTATCTGCGATCTTCTGCACAATCATCCAGCCATTTGCGTAGATCACTAGCAGCGTATCGCATCACTACCGTGTGGAAGTGACCATTAGTAGTTTCTGGAGAAAATATCACTTGTCTGCTGCGAGCGGTGTCCATAGCCAAGTTGGCTAGCGAGTCCGCTGTCTTGTTAAATGCCCTGAGTTGATGTGTCCACTTGACTACCTTGCACTTGTCTGCCAGCACTCTGCATCGCATATAAAGTTGACGCAAATGTTGCGCTCGTGGTTCGGCGCGAGTCCGCTGCTGCCGAATGATGAGCTGACTATCCCCGACAACAAATAGCGGGCCAATGTTCGCCCTGTGGGCGTATACCAGGCCGGTGAGCAGCCCGTTGTATTCTGCTTGGTTGTTCGTCGTAGTTAGGCTGCCATACGCCATACTTGCAGCCCAAATGGGGGCCCGATGTCGACTGTGGGTTTACCCGCAGTATGACCGAACCGCTGCTGCCAGGCCCAGGATTCCCTCGTGAACCCCCATCAAAAAATAGGACATCCCGAGTTGCCGTTGGGTTCAAAGTCGTTCGGTACAGCGCGCAGATTGCGCTCAGCTCCCCTACCACAATACGTATCGCCACCAGGGCATCGTGTGATCTTCCAGCAGCGCGATACATAGCTTGAACCGTTCCGTAAGTATCCCGTAGCCGCGCCCTCAGCAGTGCACAGAACATCTACTCCGCAACTACTGCTCCTTCTTTGAAGTGGGATGTCCTCCATTTCCAAATAGTGCGTAAAACCGTCAGCACGCCCAGCTTCCAGCAATCTATGCAGCTAGTGTGTAATTGAAGAATAATAGAGTCTCGTTTGGAGGTAGGCATCCAGAACAGTTCCTCGTCGGTTCGTGCTAGAAGAGCTGGTGGAGTGCCACCGAATTGAAATGTGAAGCAGGATTCAGGTTTGCCAACGTCCACGTCGTACCCCAATTGGAGCCACGGTCGAGCAAAAGTTGTCCACAGAAGCTTCGCCCTAGGACAGTCCCAGAAAGTATGCCCGAGCGTAATGTCCTTCGCTCCGATACATGAATTATGGGGGCATCCCCAATGCCCTTGGGTTCGGTCAAACCGACTGAGCCCGTGCGTTTTGATCCGATAAATTAGGCGCTCACCCCATGCGTCCAGGCCTATCCAACGACGAATATGTTTCCACGTCACCGATTCGAGTCCCTTGTACAGGGCTCCGTGAACAGTCTGCCACCGTTCAGTCCTCTCTTGTAAACATTTCTTGCCCGACATGTCCCGGTGTTGGCGAATACGCAGTTTAAACGACCTCCGAGTATATGTTAATCGTCTTTTACCTGCCGGCAGGCAAGCCAAACGGTCCAAATGGGTGTGTGGGTGTAAGTCCGTAATGAGTGCTGTCGACCCAATCGAGACCTGGACAGCTCGTAATAACGCCTGCCGCGATAGAACTGGAACGTAGCGCTGCTCCGTTTCGCCGACGATTGTCAGCTTGGCCATCATCGGCTCAGTAGGCTCGATACGGAGTTCGTATGGATGGTCCGTGCACATAGTCACTAGTCGCACCTCCACCTTATGAGTCGATACAAAAGCAATTCCAGGGAAATTCAACAGGAGCAACCAGATAATCTGGTTGAGCAGGCGTCAAAACGTGAGAGACGGCTTACTCACTGGGCACCCAGCTTTCATCGCTTGAAATGCTAGATGAGAATCATCAATATGTATCCACCGAAGTACATCTTGTACCCGTGAGTGGTTCCCCGTCAGACTAGAAGAGCATATGTCAGGTTGTACGCGGTCGCGATTAGCCGTGAAGAAAGCAGATGTCGAATTTCCATGCTGGGTAACCATTCCGCACAGAAATCACCATACTCCTCTCGCTGCCATTTACGAAAGTTGACATAGTTCTCGCCTCTAAGCGTTCGGACATCCACAAGGCATGTGCCAGTCGTCCAATCATCTTCACTAGGAATGATATCCACTAGGGTTCGTTGAAGTGTTGCTGTTAGAGCCTTGTCGGGTGCTCGAGGTGAAGGGAGTCCTACCATAGTCAGCAACCGATAGCCTGCATGCCATAATGTAGGCGGAAATGAACCGCGGGTCGGATTTGAATCTCCCACCCCCACCGTAATGTAGCCGCTGGGATCAAGATGCTGACCAGTCTTTCCGATGACGAAGCCAACAAGCAACATAGTCGCACCTTGATAACGCCAAACGAGCGAGTTCAGTTCCAGCCATCGCCAGTAGTTCCAGTCTGACATCAGGTAGCGCCAATCCGCCATCTTCCCTGGGAAGTGCTGCAATCTTAGGTGAAATCCACGCCCTCTTGAATAGTGCCTTATCCGTAAACTGACCGTGCCATACGAAATTATGTACGTAGCGTTGGAGCGTTTTGACCCAGGCTGAACTGGGCCAAATATGACGGGCAACGAAAGTAAACTTGGGGATAATAACCGCAGCGGCTATTGTAACCCGTTGATCTTCAGTCATCGTTTTTAGTGAGGCCAATCGCATGGTGGTGGTGAGCTGGGCTGTTGTTTTGTTCCAAGCGTGCTCCGTCGCAGTCTGACTGCCGACTTGCGCGCCCAAGTAACGGCCGAACATGTCCTTCCCCTGAAATTGCAATCGTCCTGGTAACTGCATCGATTTTCTGGGGCCGTCTGAGTGTAAGGCAATGACCACCGTTTTGTGCTCGTTAACATGAAGCCCACTTGCCCTGCTAAATTCTGCAGTCAAATTCAAAAGTGCAGGTACTTCCTTGGTCGATGCTAAATATGTAGCCGTGTCGTCCGCATATCCACCAACTTGCAATTCCATTTGCCAGTCCGCCGACCTCAACACAACTCCACGAAGCAGTGGTGAGCGTTCAAGAGCACGATAGTACGGGTCCAGCGCTAAAATAAAAAGGAGAGGTGCCAGGGGACATCCCTGCCGAATGCCTGTAGATACCGTAACCCACCTTGATCGTTCACCGTTCACTAAGAAACGGACTCGGGTGTGCTGGTGTAACGAGGCTACCGCGTCCACAAATTGCCGAGGATATCCATGAGCAGCAAGAGCACGGAGAAGGTATTCACGCCCCAACGAGTCGTACACCTTTTGGAAGTCCAGCAGAAGGACGAGGGCTTCTCTTTGCGTGTTATCCGTGTTTGCCATCACTTGAGCCGCTGCGAATAGGTCAATTGTATCGTGTAATTGTCGACCGGAGACAAACCCATTTTGATTCCCATGAATCCTATCAGGAAGTGTTTTACAAACTCGAGTTGCTAGGATGCGCGTGAAAATCTTGTAGTCGGAGTTGAGAAGCGCGAGCGGTCTGTAGTTAAGCGGGTTCGACTGATCTCCGCTCATCTTAAGACAAGAGATGTCCGCCTCCGAAAATGAAGGAGGGAAGACACCGGCCGTGTACCACAAGTTGAACAAAATAGTGAGTACGGGAACTAACTTGGCGCGGAAATCGACGTACCAATCATTGCCAAGTGTGTCAGGACCGCATGCCTATCCAGCGGCGCATTCGTCAATTGTAGCAGCTACTTCAGCTTCAGAAATATCCGTCGCAACGGTGCGTTGAAGTTCGTCAGTAAAGCTGTTGTCAGCCGTCCACCGCAGCGCATCGTCGATAGCGGAAGGATCAGCAGGTGTCTGGTTGAAAATGGGGGACCAGGCATCTGCGAAAATATTCGCTTTGTCATGAATGTCACGAGCTGGCGCACTAGTATCCGGGACCAAAGTTGGGACAGAATTATCCGTGAGCTTTGTAGATGTAGAACGAAAAAGCGTGTGCGTAGTCTTGCCGTCGTGCCAAGCGTGGTCGCGCATACGCCGCTTCATCCTCTGCTTACCGCGCTCAGCCTGGAGCTCCGATATTGCCTGACGAATTTTTCCAGTCGAGAGGTGCTGGCAGCGTCCCGGAGGGACATCGCATCTAGTCGTGCGGTGATGTCGTCAATTGCATCCTCACGGGGAGTGTCAGCTGCAAGCGCAGCGCGTTGCTGGCGTAATAGTCGTGCCAGCTTCTGCCGAGAAGTGCGAGTGAGCCGCCGTCGTGCTTGACGGGCACACCGTCGCAGTCCAGTATAGGCCCTTTGTTTCATGGCTTCCCAAAGAATAACAGCTTCGTCAGCATTCGGTTGCTCATCTCGTAGTCGATCGTATAGTCCATCGAGAATCCCATGTATACAGGCATCAGCCGTACTTTTGGCATAGCTAGGGACCGGATACGTACGCTTGGGTCGCTTGACTCGGAGCGGGTTCCTGGGAGAGCGCAGATGGAGTTGTACACCATCATGATCAGCGTTAGCTGCTGGAGCAACGACTTCAACTGCGGCCACCCACGGACTAACAGACGCAGTGCCATACCAGCGATCCAGTCTACACGTTTCAGGTTCTCCGTCCACCTTGTACGTGTAAGTGTGGTATTTCTGCTGAAACATCCTCACTCGTGCGTAATCGTCACCCGCCGGTGTGAACAATGCTAAGCAGTCACAGGCGCTCCATGTTGCGAGAAGATGTCAAAGCGCGGGCGAGTCGTGCGAGTTAGAGCGAGAAGTGTACGTACGATCAAGTACCCCATCGAGTGTGCAGTCGAAATCTCCCCCGAGCAGGATTCTGCCATGCTCTGGTCGCTCCAACTCTAGTAAACTGCTGAAAAGCTGTTCCCTCGGGCCTTGATCTATAGGGGCATAAACATTTGCAACCACAATATCCAAACCGTCTAATGGACCCACAACCGCGACAAAGTGAGGAGACTAAGCATGTTGCCAATACGGTCGAACATTTTAGTAGGATCTGAAGGGGTTGATCAGTATGCCCACACCTCCTTTTCCATATTCCGCTGCACCCCAGTAAGAGTAAACAGGACAACCTTCACCGACACGAAACCCCCAACGCGCAGCGTGCTCACGCCGCGCTTCCTCGATCTCTGACGTGTGCACATGTGTCTCTTGCAGTACTGCGATATCTTGGTACCCGTGAGATGTTGTGCGCCCTAGAGAATTCAGCCAAGCAGTGTGCGCGGCTGGCGTCGCACCAAAACCTCTCACGTTTTGAGTGATGAGGCCAAAAGTTCTGTCAGACGCGAGCATACCGCGGTCATTGTTCAACCTTGCAGAGGCTAAAGCTTTCTCTTCTCTCTTGCGAGCTTTGGCTAGCTTTGGCTAGCTTGCGTTTCAGCCGCTGGAACTCCTTTCGACGGCTTTTGTTAGCGGCTTGGGGAGACTGAGGCAGGAACGTGTCTCGTAATGTCGTCTGCACTAATCGTGCGGCAGACGACTGTCGGGTCTGCGGCGGCGAGACATCCGCCGAAGACCCGTGCTGGGCCGGGTGGCCCACTAGTGCGCTTGGGAGCAGTCCATGCGTTGCAGCCCAACCGCATCGCACTCTGCCCAGGTTAGCCCCGATGGAGCGTGGAGTGCCATCCCCCAGTCAGCACTTGAAATAACGCTTTTGCATAGCGTGTCGAGGAAGGGGTACTCATGGTGCCAAACAAGACGAGCACAGTGAGGAGTCCTTCCCATCGGTGTCGCTCCCCACATCGTGAGAACGTATGGCAGCACATGGAGAAGCTTCCACTCGTCATCAGGTAATTCAACGTAGTTGTCTCTGCACAGCTCTGCTGGTAACCACTGCTTAAGACGCCGCCATTCTTCCGGTGCCTCCGCATGCCGGTGCATGCTGGTCACGTTGTCACTCGAGACACAGCGGGAATGCCAGTCAGAACAGAAAACCCGAACTGCAGGTGAAGTGTTCTCATCGTGAAGAATACGAGCAATTGCAGTTGTTTGTTCAAAGTAAACTTCGGCAGATCCCCAGGAGAGCAAATCTTGAATTGACCATGTTTTCACCTCTAATTCAGGATACGGCAAGAAAGCAAACAAATGCCTGAGCACGGTGCAGTTGTTCAGGAGCCAAGGACGGAGAAAATCCACCTTTGTCTGAGTTCGCTTCATCATCGGGATTCCCAACGACTCTCGGTAAAGCGACACCCATCTACTAAACGCCTCCTGATTCGCAGCCTGCATTAACTCGCACTGAGGGCGGTCTTCCTCTCGAATAGCATCTGTGCTGATCGCGCGTAGTAAGCGAATGTACACATCTTCAACTACTTTGCCCGAGGCGATCCGCGGGCTCCGAGACGGGAGCTGCGTGGCACCTTCTACCTTTGCGCTCGACGATTGAGAGCCGCTTGCGTAACCATCCACTCCGTAGGCTTCATGAATAATCATTTCTTCAGTTGTCATTGTTGCTTCCAGCTCGCGCTCATCTAGCTCAGCTGTCGACAGCGTGGGAAACCCGAGTCGGGCAAGCACAATATCCAGTCTATCTCGCATGTTCATGTTACGAAGAAGCATCGCGTTCACATTCGCATTCCTTGACAGCACACCTAGCTCTTCAAGTGCATTGTCGTCCTCATCACTATCATCATCGGCTAATGGGCCATATTGACCGAGCGCCTCCGCACGTTGAAAAGCCGCAAATCCGGTAGCTTGCTTCGTGCGTGATTTGGCCTTCGCACTTGGCTTTTGTTTTGTGCTGGATTTGGAGGTCTTAGCTCCGACCGCTGCCGAGATCTTAGCGTTCTTAGCCGCAGACTGCGTCGAGTGAGACGTCTGCTCCGTCTTCTTTACTGCGCGTTGATCCTTCTTCGACCTCTTTACAGCGAAGCCATCGTCGCGAGCAGTGAGCGATGAAGCTGCATCCAGTCGCACGTCAGCTGGTGTAGTCAACGCTGGACTGGAGGCACTGGGCGCGATAGAACTAGTGTCGTTCGCCGTTGTCACCACCTCCGTACGTTCCAATAAGGCCGAGCCATTTTGCGCCAACTCGTCTTGCTGTGCCGTGAAAAGAGCGAGGAGCTCCGTAACTGAGTTCACCCGGTACGCCGAGTCTCCTGCCGGTGTAACCTTAGTCACCTCACCCTTGTACACTCGCGAACACCGAGCTTGCGTCTTGGCGAGTAGACGACCAGGGACCTTGCACATTTTAGCACTGTGTCTTGCATTGAAGCATCGCGTGCACGGAAATCGTAAATTGGCTTGGAAGTGATGGAGAGTTATCATCGTTCCGTTTAAGTCAACCCGTGTGACCCCCATCAGAGCGTCAGGACACTTGGCTTGAGCAAAAATGACTTTGTGGAATCTGTTGTCATAGATATCCGTTTTCTGCGACCGTGGATATTCAACATCGAGGACTTTAGTTCCTGCAAACTGCGACATCGCTCGTGCCAGTGCGGCAAGACCCAGCGCTCCAGCTCCATGGACATATAGTGCATACTGCAACTCCAGCAGTGCCGGCGAAAAGCTACCCGTTCCTTCATCCTGGGGTCGGCGCACCGTGTCATGGAGTGAAATCACGGCACGCTGGAAGCGTAAGACTTTCTTCACCCAGCTTTGAGCTGCACGCTTGGAGTAGAACACAAAGCTGAGCGTGTGGCTGCCGTCGTAAATAAATCGCTTCACGTCGTTGAGGAGGCCGCGCAACACCGGAAGCCCAATGCCAGTCGCGGGGTCTACGTTAGCCTTGTGTAGCTCTTCTAAGATGGCTACATGCGGCGCGTTCCTGGGTAGGTTAACGTAGGGTGGGAGGTTGGTCGTCAGCGTATAATTCATGTGTGCCTCATGAAAGTCTTCCGGCAGAGCACGATGTTCGCTGACCAGAATCTCCTTGATGAAGTTTGGAGGATGAGGAAGTTCCAACATACCGCTTGTATAAGCAAGTAAAGTCCCTTCTTCTGCCTCTGACCACGCTCGAATACTTTCATCGCAGCATGCGTTAGCTGGAGCGAGCGCCAAGTCTCGCATTGCTTGGACCTCTGATGGCCACTCCCGATCAATGTATGCCGGCCAATCCGTCGTCAGCGTCGTGAGCAGCATCTTCATCTCGTCTGTCTTCCAGACGCCCTGCATCATCCTGGACGCCATGGCCGCCTCCTTGGATGGGACACCTGCTGGAGTTGGCTCTGCGCGTACTCATTGCAGCCAGGTCCCACCGCCAAGAGGCCTCGGGCCGCGATGACCGGCACTGGAACCGCGCTGGTGTTGGTCATGCATCGCACTCGCTGCGCTGCAGTCCACCCGTCCGCTGTCGTCGCATCGTGAGCCGTCGTCTTGGAGCGCGGTGTCTGCATTCGACACGTGGGAAGTGGCTGGTGCCCGCTCAGAGCCGATCCCTCCCAGGGGGAGCCGGCCAGGGCTAGCTGCCCTGTGTCCGGAGGCTCTTGCGCTGGCGAAGCCGCCGTGGTGTCGAGCAGCAGTCAATACAAACTATAAGTATAGTCCGCAGGCGAGTTTATACTCCGTCCGTCTTTTCCCTACCGGGTGATTTGGAGAGTGCATGTGAGGTCTTACTCTGGCGTACAGCTATAATATATAGGTACAGGTGATAGCTTACTAAAAAATCTCTAGAAACGACTAAGGGGGTGATAGTGAGACAGTGGTGGGCTTCTACGTAGTATTTGTCCTTGCAGAATGTCTCCTCGTCCAAATAGACGGCCCACATGAACATCTTTCACATTGCCAGCACTCAGTAGGGCAAAAAGATGAACTGATAAGATATCCAAGAAGACAAGTTGAGCCATGATCCACTGTTGCGGTTGTATGGTCCAGGTCTTGCGATTCGGTCATATAATCAGCATGTTCAAATCCTGGACCTGATCTGCATAAGAACCAAAATAAAGGCAACCCAACGAGGACGAGCGTTAGACTGTGGATAAAACTCTCATTCATGCTGACGGATCACAATGTTTGTTTCCTCGCCACTGTTTTTTATTTTTCTCTTTTATTTTCCTGTTCGCGACATGCATTTCAATCCTTGCTCATCCACACTTTGTAGTCATTTATTCACTTTTTTGTTCATATTTCCAACCCATCCGTTTTGGTAAGCTCATTTGAAGTCGATCGAAGCTGAAGAGACCTGGGAAAGCTTCAAGTCCTCTTTAACATCCCTCGACCTGAAGAGATAATTCCGCTGATGTTCCGTATTTTGAATTTGAATTTGTTACAAGACACGCGTAGACGAGATGCCAGTTTAATCTGACGAGTACCTACATTCCTATTTTAGCGCCATCGATCCAACTCGTTCAAAAGAAGAGCATCGTGCTGCCGTTGGGAAAACTGAGATACTCAATTTGACGTCACTACAGGAGGTAGGGAAATCCGTCAGCAGGAAATAACGGTTTACTACGCAGAGCTCGCTACGGACGATATTACTGAGCAAGTAAATGGAAATTTATTAACTAGCTGAAAGCTTCACGTTGAAGCGGATTGACTGGCAACTACGATGGAAGTGGATCCATGAGAGATCTCCAAGAAAGTCGACCAAGTGGTAGATCAATACCTGCAGCTCGGTCTCCAATCGTCCACAACGCAACTTGCCTGGACGAGGACAAGCGCATCGTCAAGACCATGAAGCTCGCTGCTCTCGCCGTCGTCGCTGCCGTCGCTGTCGCGGGCGTTTCTGCTGCCGACCAGCCTGCCCTGCGCTCGGTGGACAAGCCGGCCGAGGTGGCCCCGGCTGCTGGTGCTGCGAACACCCCGAGTGGATCCAAGAAGGAGCAGTGCGGAGGCTGGGGAGGAGGCTGGGGCCCCTGGGGTGGAATGGGTATTGGCTGTGGCGGCTGGGGAGGAGGCTGGGGCGGAGGCTGGGGTCGTCCGTGGGGTGGCTGGGGATGGGGATGGTAAACGGTGACAACAAGCATCGACCAGGTGAAGCTTTCCCGACTCTCAAGCTTAGATCCATTCTCCAGAACACTGAAGTGCTCGAAAAGTTTAGCGCTTGCTACAGTACTATTCGGGTTATTATCGGCATGAGTTCTACAACAACCAGTTAACACAAACAATTTGTTGTTGACAAGTCCGCTAGCTGTGATTCCGTTTGCACTAGTGTGCATTTGTCGCCAACCGATGCGTTTGCTTTCAGAACACTGAGCTAATGACTGATGTCCCATGCATTTCAATCCTTGCTTTGTAGTCATTATTCACTTTTTTGTTCATATTTCCAACCCATCCGTTTTGGTAAGCTCATTTGAAGTCGATCGAAGCTGAAGAGACCTGGGAAAGCTTCAAGTCCTCTTTAACATCCCTCGACCTGAAGAGATAATTCCGCTGATGTTCCGTATTTTGAATTTGAATTTGTTACAAGACACGCGTAGACGAGATGCCAGTTTAATCTGACGAGTACCTACATTCCTATTTTAGCGCCATCGATCCAACTCGTTCAAAAGAAGAGCATCGTGCTGCCGTTGGGAAAACTGAGATACTCAATTTGACGTCACTACAGGAGGTAGGGAAATCCGTCAGCAGGAAATAACGGTTTACTACGCAGAGATTTAATTCCTTGGCTCTCTTTGCCTGCCCCGCGAAAAATAGTGGCGAGGAAAGTCAGAGCCAAGCGTAGTCTTTATTTCGCAAAAGCGCACTGGGGATAGGAGTTTTGTCTAAAGCTCTTCATTGTTGAAGCCATCTTCTGGGATGTACAGCTAGGCCACCCACATCTCCCCCATGTCTCCATCTAGCACACCTGGGCAAGTGGTTGGAAGTGCGGAAACGTGTCCTCCTTCTGCCGCTTGCAAGAGTTGTTAAAAGTGCCCTGACGGGCATCGGGGACGTTGCAGCATTTCAGGTTGCCGAGTCTGTTGGATGATCGAGCCACCTGATGCGTCGCTGGCACTCTGGGTAAACTTTGCGGTCAAGAATTCAGAGTTCTCGTATCTGTTGTCAGCGGCTCCAGCGCACTGTCGGAGAGCACCGTGGCTGATGCCAAGAGGTTATACACACATAAAGACGACTTGTGTCGCTGTGGGTGGACTTACGTTGGCATCAGCAGAGCGGCGAGGGCAACAAAGACGAGGTGGAGCTTTATTCTAAGGAGCGTGCGGCCGGTGAGGTAGTTTAGCTGCAGTTGAGAGATTCATCCATGGTCCCCTTCTGTGTGCGGAGTTGACCAATACCTGATGAGAAAAGCAGACCAACAAACCGATGCGGTACGTACTACGTACTACGTGTCTCGGCCAGATTTGGCAGACTGCATTCGATTGCCAGTACTTACAGTATGTATCTACGAAAACGCGATGACTTCGAAACCTTGGCTACAACTCTACTGCTCATTGCATTTGTTGGCTTGGTGCTGTGTGCTCGTCGGTGCAGGAGTATGAACCAATCTATGCAGGAGCGGGATCCGTACTATTCGTGTGGCTAATCTGGAAATGCCTACTACGTAATGCTCCAGCTTTCAGGTTTCCGATCAATCCAGGTCGAACCTTGGCGATGCAGTCAACGAGTATCTGTTAGAAATGCAGTTATGTTGAAGAAAAAGAGCCTCACATGCTCCTTAGAACGAAGCTCCACCTCGTCGTTGTTGTTTTGTCCCGCGTTTGTGCTGCGGTTTCTAACCGTCCTAAGTCCATAGATTGTTTGCTGCGTGTCCAAGGAGGATTTAGAGCTGCTGGAAGCCGCAGTGTTTGAATCCGAAGAGCAGCATGACGACAAGCTGCGACTGTATTCGGTCTCTTTCACTATCGAGAAGCGGGAGGATGAAACACGACAACACGGAGTGCGTGCCCCATACTTCTGCCATTTCGATTTTTGTTTATAGGCATACTATGATCATTAAGCTTATCCACTGTCTAAAGCTCTTCATCGTTGAAGCCATCTACTGGGATGTACAGCTAGGCCACCCACATCTCAAAGAGAGCCAAGGAATTAAATCTCCCGCAATCAATTCCATCATATGCTCAGGGCGAGCTCTGAATTGGGCCTGCTAACATCCTTGAGGACCCCACGGTTGCATGAATCGACCGACTTCAAACATGCCGTCCAAAAACGGATGATTTGAAAGTGTCGAAGTGCTGAAGAGTATGGAGTGAAAATTGAAGGGGCTCCATGACCTCAGTAGTGCCCGCCACTTCGGTCAGTCCTCTGCTGAAAACAAACGCATCAGTTGGTGACAAATGCACGCACAGTATTCCAAAAGAGTCACAGGTTTAGAGGACTTCGTCAACAACACAGTGTTCTTGCTAAATGGTTGTTGTAGAGCCCAATGAAAGAATAGTCTGAATGCTACCACGCGCTAACTTCTTTGAGCACTTGAGGTTCTGGAGACGAAGCTTTAAAAATGTTGTAAGAGCTTCACGCAGTCGATGTTTGTTGTCACCGTTTACCATCCCCATCCCCAGCCACCCCACGGACGACCCCAGCCTCCGCCCCAGCCTCCTCCCCAGCCGCCACAGCCAATACCCATTCCACCCCAGGGGCCCCAGCCTCCTCCCCAGCCTCCGCACTGCTCCTTCTTGGATCCACTCGGGGTGTTCGCAGCACCAGCAGCCGGGGCCACCTCGGCCGGCTTGTCCACCGAGCGCAGGGCAGGCTGGTCGGCAGCAGAAACGCCCGCGACAGCGACGGCAGCGACGACGGCGAGTGCAGCGAGCTTCATGGTCTTGACGATGCGCTTGTCCTCGTCCAGGCAAGTTGCGTTGTGGACGATTGGAGACCGAGCTGCAGGTATTGATCTACCACTTGGTCGACTTTCTTGGAGATCTCTCATGGATCCACTTCCATCGTAGTTGCCAGTCAATCCGCTTCAACGTGAAGCTTTCAGCTAGTTAATAAATTTCCATTTACTTGCTCAGTAATATCGTCCGTAGCGAGCTCTGCGTAGTAAACCGTTATTTCCTGCTGACGGATTTCCCTACCTCCTGTAGTGACGTCAAATTGAGTATCTCAGTTTTCCCAACGGCAGCACGATGCTCTTCTTTTGAACGAGTTGGATCGATGGCGCTAAAATAGGAATGTAGGTACTCGTCAGATTAAACTGGCATCTCGTCTACGCGTGTCTTGTAACAAATTCAAATTCAAAATACGGAACATCAGCGGAATTATCTCTTCAGGTCGAGGGATGTTAAAGAGGACTTGAAGCTTTCCCAGGTCTCTTCAGCTTCGATCGACTTCAAATGAGCTTACCAAAACGGATGGGTTGGAAATATGAACAAAAAAGTGAATAATGACTACAAAGCAAGGATTGAAATGCATGGGACATCTGTCATTAGCTCAGTGTTCTGAAAGCAAACGCATCGGTTGGCGACAAATGCACACTAGTGCAAACGGAATCACAGCTAGCGGACTTGTCAACAACAAATTGTTTGTGTTAACTGGTTGTTGTAGAACTCATGCCGATAATAACCCGAATAGTACTGTAGCAAGCGCTAAACTTTTCGAGCACTTCAGTGTTCTGGAGAATGGATCTAAGCTTGAGAGTCGGGAAAGCTTCACCTGGTCGATGCTTGTTGTCACCGTTTACCATCCCCATCCCCAGCCACCCCACGGACGACCCCAGCCTCCGCCCCAGCCTCCTCCCCAGCCGCCACAGCCAATACCCATTCCACCCCAGGGGCCCCAGCCTCCTCCCCAGCCTCCGCACTGCTCCTTCTTGGATCCACTCGGGGTGTTCGCAGCACCAGCAGCCGGGGCCACCTCGGCCGGCTTGTCCACCGAGCGCAGGGCAGGCTGGTCGGCAGCAGAAACGCCCGCGACAGCGACGGCAGCGACGACGGCGAGAGCAGCGAGCTTCATGGTCTTGACGATGCGCTTGTCCTCGTCCAGGCAAGTTGCGTTGTGGACGATTGGAGACCGAGCTGCAGGTATTGATCTACCACTTGGTCGACTTTCTTGGAGATCTCTCATGGATCCACTTCCATCGTAGTTGCCAGTCAATCCGCTTCAACGTGAAGCTTTCAGCTAGTTAATAAATTTCCATTTACTTGCTCAGTAATATCGTCCGTAGCGAGCTCTGCGTAGTAAACCGTTATTTCCTGCTGACGGATTTCCCTACCTCCTGTAGTGACGTCAAATTGAGTATCTCAGTTTTCCCAACGGCAGCACGATGCTCTTCTTTTGAACGAGTTGGATCGATGGCGCTAAAATAGGAATGTAGGTACTCGTCAGATTAAACTGGCATCTCGTCTACGCGTGTCTTGTAACAAATTCAAATTCAAAATACGGAACATCAGCGGAATTATCTCTTCAGGTCGAGGGATGTTAAAGAGGACTTGAAGCTTTCCCAGGTCTCTTCAGCTTCGATCGACTTCAAATGAGCTTACCAAAACGGATGGGTTGGAAATATGAACAAAAAAGTGAATAAATGACTACAAAGTGTGGATGAGCAAGGATTGAAATGCATGTCGCGAACAGGAAAATAAAAGAGAAAAATAAAAAACAGTGGCGAGGAAACAAACATTGTGATCCGTCAGCATGAATGAGAGTTTTATCCACAGTCTAACGCTCGTCCTCGTTGGGTTGCCTTTATTTTGGTTCTTATGCAGATCAGGTCCAGGATTTGAACATGCTGATTATATGACCGAATCGCAAGACCTGGACCATACAACCGCAACAGTGGATCATGGCTCAACTTGTCTTCTTGGATATCTTATCAGTTCATCTTTTTGCCCTACTGAGTGCTGGCAATGTGAAAGATGTTCATGTGGGCCGTCTATTTGGACGAGGAGACATTCTGCAAGGACAAATACTACGTAGAAGCCCACCACTGTCTCACTATCACCCCCTTAGTCGTTTCTAGAGATTTTTTAGTAAGCTATCACCTGTACCTATATATTATAGCTGTACGCCAGAGTAAGACCTCACATGCACTCTCCAAATCACCCGGTAGGGAAAAGACGGACGGAGTATAAACTCGCCTGCGGACTATACTTATAGTTTGTATTGACTGCTACTCTCAAGACAGAAAAGGCAAAAATGCATCAACTCATATAATCTTAGCAGTTTATCTCACACTACGCCGTCTCCGGCGTCTGCCAGTGGGTCCCTCCTTGAGACGGACAACTCAAAACATCTGAACCAAACTTCACTGCTTCTAAAAGCCCTTCGGCCTCCTCTCCTTCTCTCTTTTCCTCCCCCTCGGTCCGTTCGATCCATCGCGAGGTGGCGGAAACTCTTCATCTTCTTCATCCTCTCTCTTTTGTTTCTCTTCTTTTTCTCTCCTTAGCAGCAGCGAAACCCTCGTCAGCTTTGTCTTGCGTCTTCCTTCTCAACGATCGACGTCACTTCTTAGTACTTGGGCGGGTACTGCTGCTGCGGCGGGTACTGCTGAGGCGGGTACTGGTGGTACTCTCCGGGGGGCGGAGCGTAACCGGCCGGGGGCGGCGCGTAACCCGGAGGAGGCGGGCCATAGCCCGGCTGCCCCGGAGGCGGTGGGCCGTAGCCCGGCTGCTGCTGCACCACGACGGGCTGCACGTACACGGGCTGGCCGTTGCGGTACTCGTCCGAGTAGCGGCCGCCGCGGCGGCGGTCGTCGCCCGAGTCGGCGGCCGAGGCGCAGCAGGCGCCGCAGAGCGCGCCGCACAGGCAGCACTCGAGCATATCGCACTCGTCCTCCATGGTTCTGAGTCTGGTGTGAGGTGTGTTGGTTGTGTGGTGTGGCGGTCTGAGTCCGCGGCGCTCGCTTGATGTGAGGTCGGGGACGGAAAACGAGAAGTGATGGCGTGGGCGCTTGAGGTCGCGGTCCGTAGCTGGCGCTGCGTTCGATTTGACTGTAGTTGAGTATGGGGAGGTAGTCAGTTCCCGGCTGCGCAGAGACGCGGCGATGTGTCGGCTCAAGAGGGATTTCGGCCAATGAGCGAGCCATTAGGGACCGAAGCATCCCCCCTGATGCGGGCATGCAATCATCAAGCAAAATCCAGCAGCCATCGAAGCAGCCTGCTTGCCTAGAGCTGCTGCCATCTTGATGGCAGGAAGGCACTCGTCTTCTGCTTTGCCCGTGCAGAATGGTCCGACGCAAGCGGTTGATAGCGTCGCGGGGGTGGCTGCGAAATAATAATCTGGAGCAGAAGGAGTTTTGCTCTATTACCGCGTACGCGCGGTTGTGGCGACGGAACGACCAATTTGTTGCCGGCGATCGTCGTGCACTTCGAGCAAAATGTGTTGCTGCCTGCCTCAGGCGAGTCTGCCTTGACGCGCACGTATCTCATCGAGCAAAGCGCAGCGTAGCGCTCCAATTGAGACCAGCCTTCCTCACGCAGCTGAGATCCTTGGCAGTCGCAAAATCCACATCACCTGCTGGATCCGTCATGGCTACATGGTACATGCAACTTCAACACAGCGAGCGATTGTGTCACACCACGCGCGTTAAATGCAGCTTACTATCCTACGCACGCTTTACTTGATGAAGAGGGGCGCGACGCAGGCGTTCTCCCAGCGCACGACGGTCATGATGAGCTCCAGCATCCAGTGGGCCGCGAAGTTCATGGTTCCGGCGCTGATCGAGCCGCCGAACGAGATCTCGCAGTCCGTGAGCATGCCGTCCGCGTCGGGCACGCGCGAGAGCGTCGTCCAGTGGAAGAGGTCGATCCAGGCCTCGCCCTCGCCCAGCGCCTGCTGGATCCCCGGCGCCGGGATCGTGCGGAAGCAGACCGTGTAGCCGCTCGTCGTCTGCAGCCGGAAGAGCAGGTAGACCGTGTGGAAGCTGCGCCCCATGGCGCGGTAGTTGGTGTGGCGGCGCACCACGAGCGCGTCGCGGTTCACCACCTGCAGGATCTCGAGGTCCAGGCTCACCTTGGACGAGAAGACCACGCGCCGCATGAACTCGAGGTCCGAGAAGGTGCGCCAGGACTCCTCCATGAGCCGCTCGCAGCTCTGGTTCTCGAAGAGCTTGCGGAAGCAGAAGATCATCTTGGACGCGTCGTCGTCCAGGCGCCGGCGGTCGCTCCAGCCGAAGAGCGACGAGCCCGTCGTGACGAAGTCCTGACCCGCCTCGAAGCGCGTGATGACGTCGTACGAGTCGCGCATGATGGCGAAGCACGTCTCGTGGGCCAGCGGCTCGAAGTGCGCGTGCGCCACGGCCTGACGCCGCGGGTCGCTCTCGGCCCCGTCGAACTCGGCGGCCAGCGCCTTGAACGAGTCGCGGAAGAGCTGCTGCACGTGCAGCACCTGGTGCAGCTGCTTCTGCTCCCTGCGCAGCGCCGCCGCCTCCGACGACAGGCGCAGGAACTTGTTGCGCAGCACCTGCACTTGAGAGGGGTCCAGCAAGACGCCGCGCTCGTGCTGCGGGTCGCTGCCGTCCCCCGCGTCGCCGGAGCCCATGGCCGCGAGCCGCAAGTACTCGCGCTCCAGCACCTTGACCTCGTCGCGCATCCCCTTGAGCGAGCCCTGGCGGCGCTGCCGCGACTTCTTCTCGATCTCCGAGCGCCGCGCACGCTGCGAGCTGGCGCTGGTGCTGGCATCGTCCTTCTTCTGGTTTGTCTTCTTGGTGGCGGCCGCGGGCTTGCGCGTCTCGCTAGTCGATTTGTTGGTCGGCGAGAAGCTGCTCAGCAGCTTGTCGACGTCGTTTTCGCGCAGCTCCAGCTGCTGGACCTGCGGTTGCGGCGCCAGGAGCTCCATGGTCCTCCACCGAAATCGTTTCGTCAGCGGAGACCTGGCCGGGCCTGACTCAGGCGCAAAAGGGCAACGCAGCGCTGATCTGGACAAGAGGCACTTGTCCTCCCTGCGGCGGTTCTCGGTGTTTGGGCATTGCGTCATCGGAAGCGTGCAGTACACTGATTGGATGAAACAGCTGCTGGTCCATCAAGTTGAACTCGGTGCTGGACGCTCGCCATGCATGTTTTGGATTGACGTGTAATAATACATCATGAGCTTACAGTTAGCCCAGTTAAATGCTCTTGAGGAAGAGCGGAGCCACGCACATGTGCTCCCAGCGCAGCACGGACAGGGCGAGCTCGAACAGCCAGTACTTGGACGCGAGGAGCTGCTTGGCGTCGGGGATGTAGCCGCCCGTCGAGATCTCGCACCCGGCCGGCCGGCCCTCCTCGTCGAACGCCTGATTGAAGTGGGTCCTGTAAGCATTATACAATGTAGTCCTGTAAGCTCATCGTGTGAGGTTGCAGGGATAGATAGCTGGGCCCAACGTACCAGTGGAAGACGTCGTAGTAGAACTCGTGCGGCTCCAGCGCGTCCATGAGCTCGGGCGCTGGGATCGTCCGCATGCACAGCGTGTAGCCCGTGGGCGTCTGCAGTCGGAAGATGATGTTGACCATGACGAAGGTCACCGGCATGTTCGGGACCTTCTGGTCTCGGCGGGCAATGTGGAGATCGTCGCCGAGCGTCTGAACAACCTGCCAGCGCGTCGTGGTCGATGAGTTGAAGGAGAGGTGCGCCATGGAGTCGGGGTGGGTGAAGACGTCCCAGGTCTGCGTCAGCAGCTTCTCGGCGCTCTCGAGCGGGAAGGTCTTGGTGAAACCGTACTGCAGCGCCATGTCCTCGTCGAGTCTGCGGTTGTCCGTCCAGCCCATGAAACTGGCGCCCGTCGACTCAAAGTACCCGCCGCTGTCGTCGAAGCGCTTAATCTTTTCGTACGTCTCCCGAACCAGCTCGTAGCACTCGACTGGCGTGCGGACCCGCACCCGAGTAGCGAACGACGAGCTCCGAGGCACGCCAGTGTCCCAGATAACGCCGTCGTCGTCGTCTTCTTGGCTCTCTCCAGCCGTAATACGACCAGCACCGATAGTTCTTTTGGCCATGGCCTCCGCCGTGCGTTGGAAGACTTCGTGGCTCTCCAGCAGCTTGAGCAGCTTCCGTCGATCCTCCTCGAGCGCCTGCGTGACCAGCGACAACTGCGAGTACTGGTGCTGCAACGCCGACTTCCTCGAGCTCACCAGTCTGTCCTCGGCAGTGTCCTCCTGTCTCGCGGCCATCTCCTCGTAGACGTCCTCCAGCTGCTTCACTTCTTGGCGCATGCGGCGCAGCACGTTTTGCCGTCTCTGTCTCGACTTCTTCTCAATGGCCGAGCGCCGCGCTCTCTTGGCCTCAGGCGAGTCATCGTCCAGGCCAACATCAACACCCTTGGTCTCCCGCGGACTCAGAGTCGTGAGCTCCTCCTGCCACTCCGCCGTCATGGCCTCGAGAGTCGGGGAGACAGTTGCGGACACTTGCAACGCCGAAGGAGACACCCACGCCACTGGACTCGCATCAGGTTGACGCAGCAGACTGACGGTGTCTTCTTCTTGGCTCAAGTGGCTCACTTCACTGACTGGATCGTCCGCGAACGCCTCGAGGAACGCGCGTTGCATAGCGGGGGACAGAGGCGGGAGTGGCTCCAAGTCCAACGGCGCGTGGTCATCGCGCGCGTCCTGCAGCGAGGAGGCCATCGCGGTCTTGCTTCCTTCCCCGAAATGTGGGTCACTCACGACGCCACGCTCGACAATGAAGGAAGGGTGCGAGGTCCGACCTTTTTACCCTACCTAATCAAAAGGTCAACTACACTGTACTGATGGAATGTCTGGGTGGGTGGGGCGGGTTTTGCTTTGTGTCATTGCTAAGTGAGCTCGCAGCAACGATAAAATGCTGTACTACGCGATAGTAGTGCTTCTAATACTGATGGGTTGGTGAGTGGGTGAGTGAGTGATCGGTCTCGTTATATCTGCTTGAGGAACAGCGGCCCGACGCACGCGTTCTCCCAGCGCAGCACGGAGCACACGAGCTCGAACAGCCAGTACGACGACTTGAGCTGGTTCTGGTCTTCGATCGACCCGGCGGCTACGAGCTCGCAGCCTGCGGGCTCGCCGTGGTCGTCATACACTCGGTTAAAGTGCGTCCTGCAAAGCAAAAACCGTCCTATTAGAGCCAAATAGAATGCGAGTTGCTGGATCTCGGACGTACCAGTGGAAGAGCTCGTAAAAGTATTCGTGGGGGGACATGGCGGCGTGAATCTCCGGTGCGGGGATGGTTCGCATGCATAATGTGTAGCCCGACGGGGTCTGCAGGCGGAACATGACCTGAATGGAGGCGAACGTCGTCTCGACGGTGGGGATCCTGTGGTCTCTCCGGACGATGAGCAGGTCGTCGTTCAGCTCCTGCAGCACCTCGTACCGCGTGTCAATGGACTCGTCGAAGGACATTTCCCTGAATTTGTGCCCGTCTGAGAAGATCTCCCACGTCTTCATGAGCAGCCCCTCGGCGCTCTCCATGGGGAACTTCTTGGTGAAGCCGTACTGCAGCGCGCCCGTCCGCGAGTCGTACTTGCGCTTGTCCGTCCAGCCCATGAAGTTGGCGCCCGTGGTCTCAAAGTTCTCGCTCTCGTTGAAGCGCTGAATCTGCTCGTACGACTCGCGCACGAGCGCGTAGCACTCGGCCACGCTCATCCTCTTGAACTCGGCGCGGAAGGACGCGCTGGGCGGCACGCCCGTGTCCCAGACCTCGTGCTTCTTCTTCTCGGCCAAGTCCTCGTCCGACAGGCTGCGCACCGTCCTCTGGAACTCCTCGTGCTGCCTGAGCAGCGCCTGCAGCGCCTCCTGGTCCTCCTCCAGCGCGTGCGCGACCAGCGACAGCTCCGAGTACTTCTGCTGCAGCTCGTCCACGGCTCCGAAGCCGTCCCAGGCCACGGGCGGCGCGTCCTTGCGCTGCGCCATGGCGGCGTACACGCCCTCGAGCTGCTTGACCTCCTCGCGCATGCGGCGCAGCACGTTCTGCCGCCGCTGGCGCGACTTCTTCTCGATGGCGGAGCGGCGCGCGCGCTTGTCCTCGGCCGTCTGCTTCTTGCTCATGCTCTTGCTCTTGCTCTTGTTCTCGCTCGGGCTCATGGTCTTGAGCTGCTGCGAGGCCGGCGCGGGGGCTGGCGAGGGCGAGGACGCCGCGCGCGGCTTGGTGCTGACGGCGTCGTCGTCGCTGCTGCAGGGCCACGCGTGCGTCGAGGACGACGGCGTCTCGAGCTTGATCACGGCCGCGTCCTGGCTCTTCTCGAGCTCCGTCATGTCCGCGAAGGCCTCGGTGAACGCGCGCTCCATGGTGGGGGACAGCGGCGGCAGCGCCGTGAGCGCCAGCGGCTCCGGCAGCGCGTCCATGCCTCGATCACTCGATCAATATATGAGTGGCGAATTTGGGTGTCTTACTTTCTGCTAAGGGAAAGTGCCATCGGGAATGGGTCAAGTGGTCGGTCGGCTGCGAATTGAATTTTTACCGGGCGTGACCAATTTCCGGCAGATCCAGAACGAAGAAACGACGTTTTCCGCCGGCTTAGTCCGCTGAGTCCGTGTCCGACGGAGGACTGTATTTCTCTAATAGTCCGCCGTGGAGCGCCGACGCCCGCTTCCTGTCGATCGAGCTGGATGGGGACCCATCGCGTCGGCTTTGGCTCTTTTCAGTCAGCTGAGAAAACGGTGCTGCGGTTATCTTCGCTGTGCTCTCTAAGAGGGTAGTCATGCTTGACTGCACCAACCCGCACGTCGGAAGACCGAGTTGTAAGAACGACTTGAGCTAAAGACATCAGACGGTACGAGAAAAAAATCGTCAATTCGGCGTCGTTGCGAGTGCTTCCAGTTGGAGTTTGCATGCAGGCCTATTGCAAACTTTGCCGACGCAAAGATCCCTGATGTCCATGGTGTATTTTAGCTCTGCTCGACGTGCGCAATGCAAAATGGGCCTTTTTTCGAGTGGGCCGTTTTCTGCATTCAAAAATCAAGCCATCAGCAGCGCTATCAAATCACACGATTGCTCGTGCGTTGGCGCTTTCACGTATCGTCGCTTCGTGCATGAAGTCAAGTGCAACGTCTTCACAAGATCTTGCGGGTCAATGAGATCGAGAGGAGGCGAGCTTGTCTCGGTGGCAATGCTGCCAACCACTCAAACACGAGTGCATGCATCCAGCCGCTGAGCCTCAAAGCAGCCGCGTCCAGCTCGCTGACGACCAGCGAGCCCTGTCTGTCTCCCGACGTCCTCAACGAACGTGTGGGCCAACTGCAACCTGCAGGGCCGGGTGCGCGATGCCTACTTTTTTGCCGAGTACATAGAGCCCTGTGTGGTACAGATAGAGCCGTGGAGGAGCACCACCGGCCCGGTGGCACGGGAGTTGAAGCTAGAGTTGTTACGCTGCTAAAAATGAGTTAATAGCTATGATTGCAAACAATGTTTTTAACGTTAAATACGTTAAATATTTTCTGCGAGAGGAAAAAAGGTGCGGTCACTTTCGTAATTATCGAGGTACTTATCCCCTTGAAGTTGACCTTCACACACTCCACTTTTAAGCGCTTCGAATACCTCGATGTGGGCCGCGCTTAAGGCTTCCCGCGCTGTCTGACCGAGTGCAGGGGAATGCTGCCAAGGGCATACAGTGTAGACTTTAGGTTGCTCGACCACATCCACCATCTTCTCCTTACTCGTACGCTGCGCGCAGCACGTCTCGAAATCCCCGCAAGTCTTTGCTTCACAAGTCAACTTCCTATGGGCTACACAAGTCCTCTACAACTGGGCCGCGACTCCGATGGGCCGCAAGGACGACCCTGTATGGGGCGAGTTCGATGTCGTCGTCCCGAAGTCCAAGCCGACGAAGCCCCACCCCGATGTGTCGTGCCGTCACTGCGGTGCATTGGTCATGAATGCCCAGCCCGGCCGTCATCTCTATCCACATATCCGCTTCTGCTCCAGAGCCCCAGCGACAACGAAGGCCACCTGGGCAACGTACGACGCGCAGAAGAAGCGTAAGGCAAGGCCTGGGATGTTTTCGCCGTCGAAGAGCCGTCGCACAAGCTACAGTGGCTCTCCAGCAACAAATTCCCCAATCGTACTCAGCAAGGAGGAGGAATCAAGCATTCATCTGGACATCGCGATGGTCTTCTACACTGCTGGAATCCCGTTCCGCGCGGTCGAGAATGCGTACACGCGCAAGATGTTTAAGCGTCTGACTCCTGCGTTGAAGCTTCCAACCCGGCAGGCGCTAGCGACCACCCTGCTCGTTAAAGCCTATGAACTGGAGAAGGCCAACCTGGCTGAGCGTCTTTCAAAGCAAACGTTTCTGGTTATCATCACTGATGGCTGGTCCAACGTAAACCGCGAGAGTATCGTGAACTACGTGTTGTGGTCACCCGCCATGCGTCCAATGGTGTGGTCATCGGGTACTACGGGTTCTGAGGCACACACGGGGGACTACATGGCATCGGAGCTTCTGCGAGTCATTGCTGAGGTAGAAGGCGTGGCCGGCGCTGGCAAAGTCTACGCCGTTGTGTCGGACAACGCAGCCAACATGAAAAAGGCTGGCCGACTGGTTGAAGCTAAGCACCCAAACGTGGTCTTCAACGGATGCTCGGCGCACGCCATGAACCTGCTCCTGAAGGATACCTTCAAGATCAAGTTGTTTGGAGACGTGCTGAAGAAGGCCATCAAGATCGTCAAGTTTGTGCGCGCTAGATACCTGCTGCTCGATCAAGTTCGGCGTTACCGGCGCCAGCTACAAAAAGCCAGGAAGACAGGCGAGTTAGCGGTCCCTGTGTCAACGAGATGGTACGCTCAAGAAAAATGCATCAAGAGCGTCGTTCGCAACAAGACAACGCTGAAGGCAGCTTTGGCGGACTCGGAGCTTATGAAGCACTACACGGACAAAGAGAGTCAGGTGAAGCTGGACGAAGTTCAAGGTATTGTCAACGATAAGCAGTTTTGGATCAAGGCGAAGGTTGTCGTTCGGCTGACGAAACCGGTTACACGAGCACTAGCTGTCCTGGAGACGGATGCTTGTTCGAACTCAATGATCCTGCACGAGTTTCTTCGGCTGTATCAGGCGCCAGAGTACACTGAAGGTATCGCAGCTTTAGCCGGCAGCTCCGTTCAAGATGAAATTCGCAAGCTGATTGCTAGTCGATGGGACTTCATTCGTCCACCGTCCGATTCCACGACGGTTGCATACCTGCTGGATCCGTCCAAGGACATCTTCAACTTACCGAGCGGTAGCCTTGACGGCAGTGGTGGTGTCGGATCGAGCGGAGACAGTTCTGACGGAAGCTGCCCTATCAACGAAGCTATACCCGACCCTCAAGACAGTCCGCTTTGTAAGGCGGTACGCTCCGCTGTAAAGCTTGCCGAGCGTTTTGGCCTCCCACCCGACGTGAGCTCAGCTCAGTTTTGCGCATCGCTGCTATCTTTTGTAAAGACGAAGAAGAACTGGACTGCTGCTCAGAGGGAGGCTGCTAGTGAGGACTCACCACTGGACTGGTGGACACTCGACGACCAATTTCCTGTTCTTCACAAGTTCGCAGAGAAAATTTTGAGCATCCCGACTTCGTCTGCAGCAAGTGAGCGCCTGTGGAGTGTGCAAGGATTTACACACAGCAAGCTTCGAAACCGCCTCAAGGTCGCAACAGTCGAGAAGTTGTCGTTCATCTACACGAACAACGGAGATGCGAAACCAACTCGACTGCGGCATTGTACAAGACTTCTCCTCGGCCGATAGAGCTCGATAGCGACAGTGACAGCGACAGTGACGAGCAAGAAGCTGAAGATTCTCTGTTTGACATTAACGACATGGAGTTCGAGTATCTCTTGGACGCAGTCGTGAGTGTGGACATTTCGCAGTAATCGATTTCTTTAGTCCTTGCCTTCACAACAATAAACGCTTTGCTTCTGAGCGTAAGGCGCACTAACGTTCACAATATAACACACGCTTTGCTAATACACACCGATATCACATGTAGAGTGCTATTCTCGATTAAGATTTCAAATGTAATCCACAGCAATGACGCAAGCCAACACCCCCACTACTGAGCCGATTCCATGATACAGCTGCAGACGGTGGAGTAGCGAGGTGTCGGACAGGGCACACACCTTCTTCTGCGTTTACGAATACTCGCGCCCAGCAACGTCTGCGTCGTGGCCATTGACAACAACGAATTGAGCACCCCCGTCCGCGCGTTGTACACCGCGTGGCTGTTGTCGGGCAATGAGAAGCCGAGAAGCGTTGATTCACTTGAGCGCCAGTCCGCGACTCGAACGGCACCTTGCACTTCTTCAAAGTCCTCTCAAGGAGGACGAGGCCGTCCAGCCGGCCGAACGCGAAGACACCTCTTCTCGATCGCACAGCACAGCTGCAGCGACGTTAGATACAGCTCTGTGTCCGTGTCGTTGGGGAAGGCCACGCGGAAGGTGCGATTGGTGCCGTGGCTCGAGCCCTTGTCATGCATCAGCTCATAAATGATCCAGCAGCAGCTCGCACTTGCCTTCTTTCGTGGCGTCGTAGGCAGCCGCACTGCCAATGAGGCCGGCACCGACCGTCACGCGGTCGTACAGTGGAGTCGCCATCAGGACGCAAATCGGGGAATGGCACGAGCTGCATTTCAAGCGCGTTGGAAGTCCTGTCGATCCACGCCCGCCAGTCGAAGCTCCGCGGCCAGCGCCGCCTCCGCGAGCGCCTCAGGCGTGATGTCCGCTGTGAACTGCACCACGTCAGGGGGGTAGCACTTCCCACACTACGCCCACGTGCGTACTTACCACGGAAAGCTCGTATTTCGCAGCCTCCAGAATCGTGAAGTAGAGGCTCTCTTGGCCAGCGAGCTGTCGGTTGAGGAAGATGTGGTCTTGACACAGTACGTCGCGCACTTTGAAGCCGGGCACGGCGCCGTAGAGCGTCACGCAGTAGTGCCGTCGGTGCTTCTCCAACATCTCCTCGAGCAGCAGCCGTGTAAACCCACTCTCGAGCCCCTCGCGCAATGACGCACGCAGCACGAGGTTCTAGCGACACGTGTGCGAGATTCCGATGGCCGTATTCACCGAGAACACGAGAATATTTATGATCTTGTTGAGAAGGACGCTGGCACCGTCCACGAAGCCGAAGAGCGAGTGATCCGTGTACACGGTCTTGACGCCCAGGTCCAGCGCTTTGGTCTACAGCAGACACTCGTGCATGAGGGTGGACGTGGCCTGGTGACCATGCACGATCCGCACCTGCTCGCGGACGCGGATGGCCCGGAACAGCGCCAAGTGGCCCACGAACGTCATGTACGTCACGATGTCCAGAAAGTGCATCACCGGCAGGTAGTACAGCTTGTCATGTAACGCCCGCCCGCGCGCTGAGTGGGGTGTTGGCGGCGCCGTCGGGGCCACTCTGACCTTGGGTCCGGGAACGGCATACGTGAGCACGATGACATTGTGGCCACCGCGCAGCAGGCACTGCGAGAGCGATCGCATGGGCATCTCCACGCCGACCAGGAGCGGGAAGAAGTCGCAGCACATGACGATGCACAGCCGCCGCACCGTAGTCCAGCATGAGTAGCGAGAAATCTTTCAGCAGCAGCAGCAGCGTACCAAACAGCATGTTCAGCACTGTTAGAGCGTGCTGACGCCGCCACGAGAGCGCGATGTCCAGCACGGGCGAGAATGCACTGTCCAAACCAGACTAGTAGCATCTCCACGTAGCGTTCACGCGTGGCGCTGATGACCACCTTGGCACAGTCGCTGTGCCCACGGCGGCGGTGCCCCAAGCACGGTCCTTCGGTCTGGCCATCCACAGATCTCAGCCCCACCTCCTTCATCTCGGACAACTCCGTGCCTTGGGGGGGGGGGGATGGCGCTAGCCGCAGATGGTAGAGTCGTCTTCGTCCAGGTCAGGATCGAGGGGGCGGCGTCCACGTCGGGATCAGAGGTGACGTCGTAAGGCCGCGGCGCCGACGTACGTCTGCACCGAAGACGATAGCCCTTGGCGCGCTGGTTCTGCGTCAGGTCCTCGCGGGGCTTACGCTTGCGCGGAGTACTTCGTCAGCCTGATAGAGTCCTCCTTTGAGAATTGAGTGCATGGCTGTAAATACAGAATAGCTGCCTCAAATGGGTTCAGCCAAATCTTGCCTTTTAATTATTAATAACTGCGCGCAATTTTGTGATTAACTGATATTAACGTTAATATCACTTTTCCCCCTCTAAAAAACAACTCTAGTTGAAGCTCAATGGGCTGGAACTGAAAGGGCAATGTGGATCGGGCCAATATCCAGGCAGTCTACCTGGCAGGATTCAATGTTTGAAGTCCGCCTTCATGGCAACTTTGGAGCAGGTCTCAGCGTACTCCTTGAAATGTATCGAGACTGGAGCAAAAAGCAGCAATCCAATGGTTTAGGCCAGGTGAGCATCGACGAAACTCGCAGCAAAGTTTGAAACACCAATCTCTTCACAATAATTTGTTGTAAATTTGCTTGCCGCTCCGAGGGACACACGTAATTAGACGTATTTGTGGGGAAATTGTCGTCAATCCTTGCTACTACGCTGCACACACGTGCAGAGTCCAACTCAGAGGGGAAGGTGAGTACATGAGTAGGAGCTAGAACCGTTGCATCGCCAAGGTAAACCTCGTGGGACCAGCTAGTGCCAGCCCAACAGAGACCGGCTTAGGGAGAGGACATTCTTAGGCAGCCGGCAACCCGGGCAGGTCTGTGGGCCTGTCCTCACGCATTCTGTATACCCGAATGTAAATACAGGGGCGAGCGTGGACCCTTCCTGTACGGACACACCCATCGGGTCCGCTCCAGGTCCACCACTCCACGACCAAGAGGTCATCAATAGTCTCCTCGCGCCCTCGTGGTCGCTAACCACGCTCCCAGCCACTCTATGACACACTAAGTTCGTCAAGGCTCGTCCTCTAAACTACTCAATACTACCTTACAATGACCCGCACGCCTCGCCGATCCCCTTGACCGCAGTACGAAACGCTTAGAACCTCTTCTGTTGTTGTGTAGTGCCGGCTCCGTGCCGCAGAACACCACGCGTAGTATTAGCTGCTTTATCTGAACCAGTCCTGTCCAAATTGCAACTGAGAGATGCGGAGGCAGCCGCCCCACAGAGCTCTCCTAACGAAGTCCCTCTACCTCTCCTACGCCGCCTCTCTTGTCGTCGATACTCCTCTCTATCCTTCGCCCGCCGTGTCTTCTCTCCTCGCGATCTTCGATCGTGTCGACGTCAACCAGAAGCTCCCAGCTTCAACGTCTCCGGTGGTAGCAGCTCCTCCCGCCACGAACTCGCCACTACCCGCTCCCGACCAAGGTGCTGTGCGCCACACCATCGGCCGTGAGGTCAATGGTCACTGGCACGCGGTTGCCTAGTGACGTCGCGTGCTCTTGGCGGTGTAAGAGCACGTGATGTCCATAAATGCTAAAGCCACGAGACAAAAGTACTAGGGACCCGTGACATTACCAATAAGTACCACTAATCTGGTACATCAAATCTGATGCAGTCGGTAGCTGCAGGCAGACATGGAGTACATCAACTACTAGAGCCCGAGACAGACACCGAGTACATGCAGTACTAGAGCCCCGAGACCGAGGACGAGTACGTGTAGTACTAGAGCCCCGAGACCGAGTACATGCAGTGCTAGCAAGATCTGACTGATCTAAATACCGTTTTTTAGTATTACAAGTACTCATTGTCGGTCTCGGGGCTCTAGTACTGCATGTACTCGGTCTCGATCTCGGTCTCGGGGCTCCAGCACTGCATGTACTCGGTCTCGGGGCTCTAGTACTACACGTACTCGTCCTCGGTCTCGGGGCTCTAGTACTGCATGTACTCGGTGTCTGTCTCGGGCTCTAGTAGTTGATGTACTCCATGTCTGCCTGCAGCTACCGACTGCATCAGATTTGATGTACCAGATTAGTGGTACTTATTGGTAATGTTACGGGTCCCTAGTACTTTTGTCTCGTGGCTTTAGCATTTCCCGTATTTGTGGAGCTCACAACCATCATCATTGCGCTCAAAGGACCCCAAGCTGCTTGGTAGACTACCAGGTAGACTAACCCAGCAGCTCGGGGTCCTCTGCGCGCAAGTGCTGATGCTTATATATTCTGGATTCGCGAATGAGTCAACGACAATTTGACGTTCGTCCCTGGAGCGCATACAGTGTTGGATGAGTCAACCTTTTGTTGCTTATATAGAGCAGAGCTGAGTCGCGTAAAAGGGATGGATAAGTAAGCAACGAAATGATTTTCGAAATTTGTTTGGATCATTCTGACGCGAATAGTTTCTAAAAAACACGTTAGATTAAAAATCTTCGATACATCGCGCAGAGCGAGCCTGACGCTGACTTAAGTTTGCAGGAGAAACAGCGGCGCAATGGTGGTGCTTTCCCAGCGCAGCACGCTGCAAACGATCTCGAACAACCAGTAGTTGGACCTCAGCCTGTTCATGTCCGTAATAGTCCCGGCCGTCACGATTTCGCAGCCTGCTGGATTGTCATATTCATCGAACAAGCGGTTGCAGTGTGTCCTGCACATCGGTTATAAGTTAGCAGTCAATCTATCTTCCGGACTAGGGGCAAATACACTGACAACGTACCAGTGAAAGACTTCGAAGGAGAACTCGTGGGGCTCCAGCGCATTTTTAATCTCTGGTGACGATATCGTCCGGACGCACAACATGTATCCTGTAGGTGTCTGCAGTCGAAACATGATCTGGACCGAGGTGAACGTCATCGGGTACGCTGCTGTTCTGTGGTCTCGACGAATCACGAGGAGGTCATCGTTCAGCACCTGCAGCACCTCAAAACGAGTTTGTGCAGAACTGTCGAAGGCCAGATTCTCGAGCTTCGGGCCGTCCAGGAACGTGTTCCAGCTCTTGGTGAACAGACTCTCGGCGCTTTCAAAAGGGAACTGCTTGGTGAACCCGTACTGCAACACCTGTGAGCTCGGGTTATACATGCGTTTGTCCGTCCAGCCCATGAAGTTTGCCCCTGTCGTCTCGTAGTTCTCGCACTGCGTAAACTTTCGGATCTCGTCGTAGGAATCCCGCACCAGCGCATACCCCTCTGCCATTGAAAGCGGTCGGAACTTCGCTTTGAACGACGAGCTCGGAGGAATTCCACTGTCCCAAATTGCGAAGGCGTCTTCAGCGCATCTCTTCTCCGACAAACCCCTCACGGTTTGGTAGAAATACTCGTGTTCTTCCAGGAGCTTCCGAAGAGCAGCTTGATCGTCCTCCAGTGCATGAGCCACGAGCGTCAGCTCCGAGTACTTTTGCTGCAGCTCATCAACGGAGGTGAAGTTACTGAGAACTCGCCGTTGTGGCAAGTCCCCTGCCTCCTTCTTGGTGGCCATGCCGGCGTACACAGTCTCCAAATGCTTCACTTCCTCTCGCATGCGGTTCAGAATGTTTTGCCGTCTCTGTCGCGACTTCTTCTCAATGGCCGATCGTCTCGCCCGCTTCGCTTCGGCAAGGTCCTTGAAAGAGGCATGGTCTTTCATGCACGGGTTCATGTCTCCGTGGTCGGTCGATGTCGTCGGGGGTGGCGTCGCCATCCGCAGGCTGGTCGAGGCGTCGATGTCCTCGCACTTCGGCCAGCTTTGCTCGCCCTCCACCTTGACCACGACCGACGAGTCGTCCAGCTCCGAGATATCGGCAAAGGCCTCCGAGAACGCGCGCTGCATGGAGGGGGACAGCGGGGGGTCCGATGAGCTCGAAGGCTCGTAGTTTGCGCTAAGAATCGTCGGCATTGCGGACACTTACGTTTTGGGCTGACGGAGAGGAGAGGAGCGCAATGAAACGACTTAGGGTACGGTCATTTGCTGCTGAGGACGATGTCATCTGCCTGCTATCCATTGGCAGGTCAACTCGCACACAGATGGCTTGGTATTCACATGATGCAACATTTTCATGATAGGATCATGCGCAGCTGCACTAAAAATGACTGCAGTCTGTCCGGCTCAGAAGTGCTAAAAAAGCTGGGACGTCCCTGTCCTTTCCCGTCTGAGGAACTTCGATGCTGGCGTATCCACTACATATATAACCCAGCTGCGGAAAGCAAGATTCATCGTTTTGTCCTGTTCCAATAGTTCGGGATAATCTACTAAGGACCATATTCAAACGACAGAGGAAGTGACATTGCCTGCAGTGGCAACAAACCCGACTACTGTAGACTGTATTTTCGAAGAATATTTTTTTATTGAAGAGATGGATGCAATCCCCACTCATGTCTGTTTCAGCAACAGCGGCGCGATGCACGCGCTTTCCCATCGTACAACAGTGCACATGAGCTCGAACAACCAGTACCTAGACGGCATTTGGTGCTGAGTTTTAATGGAGCCAGCCATCACAACTTCGCAGCCTAAGACATTATCGAATTCGTCGTATAAGCGGTCAAAGTGCATCCTGAAAAGAAACATCACACCAACACAGTTAGTCACTCTGGAAAAACAATGCTGACAACGTGAAGCTTAGATCTACGTACCAGTAAAAAGTGTCGGAAAAGTAGTGAGCTTTCGATTTCGGGTGCCGGGATACACAAATTGTGTATCCCTTGGGAGTTTTCAGGAAGACATCGAACTGAACTGCGACAAACGTGACGGGGATATCAGGGACTTTGTGATCTCGACGTACGATGACGAAGTTGTCGTTCAGAGTCTGGAGTAATTCGTGACGGATCTTGATGGGTTTCCCAAAACCAATACTCGCCACCAGCGACGCGTCCAAAGACACAGTCCACCTTTTGTTAAACACATCTTCGGTGTTCTCCGAGGGAAAGTGCTTGGTGAAGCTGTACTCGAGCGTCTGTGAGTCCGAATTGTACTTGCACTTGTCCTTCCAGCCCAAAAACCTTGCTCCAGTCGTCTCCTAGCCTTCGGATAGATATGTAAACTTTTGAATCTTTTCGTACGCATCTCGCACAAACGCGTATCCTTCCGATAGCGAAAGCGGACGAAACCTCGCCCTGAACGACGAACTTAGAGGAATTCCACTGTTCCACATTGTCGACCAATTCTCAGATCGCTTTTCCTCCCACATACAGGGATTGATAGTAACGGGATTTTCTTCCTAAACTACTATAGTAGAATGGATGAGCCTAAATCAATTCTACTATTCTAATATTAGCCAAATCGAGCGATCCAGAATACTATATTAATAGTACTATAGTAATCTAGATAACTCCTGTAGCCATGTCGACCACCGGATGTCCTCCATGTCGACCACCGGATATCCTCGATGATGATCATCACGCGCTGTTGCTCTCTAGCTCCATGCGACGGATCTCCTTCTTGTTGTGCTTCAACAACACCTGCATCTCAGCGTGCAAATTATCCGTCCTCGTACGAAGTCTTTTTATCACGAACCCTCCCGTCGAGAAAACACGCTCTTGAGAAGCGTTTGACGGAGCTCTCCCCAACCAGACCCGCGCAAGGGCGGCAATGGCACGAAATCGCCCACTGGCGGACTCACGGAACCAGCGCAGGATGTCTACATGTTCGCAGACAGCTTCCACGCGCCAGCAGACAACTCCATTGCGCCGAACCAGCATGAGAGGCGTAAAGTCGTCCTTGGACTTGTTCTCGTCTGCCGAGTAACGGCACGCCACCGACACCCAGTCCACCGTGTACTCCAGCCACTCGTCCACCACTTTGTCCGCTTGAGCATGCTGGATCGTCTTCGAAGTGGTGGTGGGCTTGGTTACCGCGATCGGAGCTCCGCAAATGACCTTGTCGTCGTCCACGGATGGAACAAGATCGAAGTTGGGCGAGCTGACATCGGCAGCTTCTTCGTCACCACCACACGAGCCTGCATTGAGCTTGCAGTAGACTTCACGATGCGCATCATAGAGAAGCTTGTTTCCCGCGGCGATGGTCTGTTCGAGCCGCTCGTCGTCTGCATCTCCGCCCCTCTCCTTGGTAGCTTGTTTGCCGACTGCAGCCTCGCTACTCTTCTCGCCAGCTTCACCAGGGTGTTGAATAAGCGACGCCACGGAGAACTTGGTGTGAGGATCCAGTAGAAGGATCATCACCGTTTCCGCAGTAGCGAGCGGAATGCGCATGTTGACTTGGCCTTTCAGACGTGCCACTCACGTGCGCGCAAGCGGGCTCAGCTCGTCAGCAGCAACCGCGCACCGTGGGAAAGATGCGACGGTTGTCGTCGTGGTTCGCGGAGCATCCAGATTGTACACTTGAAAGACGTTGCTGTAGAGGCGGTCTGCTGCAAACTTAAGTAGGACGATCAGCTCCGACGACACGAGATCATGGCGCTGCACTTCAATCCGGGCGAGGTCAGCGATCGAGCCAACGATGGCCTCCATTTCAGCCATGAGACGCCAATCGTCCATGGTCAACTTGGTGAACACCGTGGCGTCGTCGCCCTTCTCTGGGTTCTGGAAGTAGCCGCGGAACGCAGAGTAGTTCAGGATACTGCGCTGAAAAAGCTTCACTGTGAAAGCGACCCGTGTATCGCAGTCCAGGGTTGGCGCGAGCTTCGGCAGGCAGTAGAAGCTTTGTACGGCTTCTAAGCGCTTGCAGCGCTGTTCCGTCCTGAAGTAGTTGTTCAGCGCATGCACGCGCTTCACCAGATCGCGGGCTTCCTCGAACACACCACCAACCGTGACGTAGCGTTGCTCTCTTTTGCGGGAGTTGGTCTTGGGGTCGAAGACTTCGACGGTCTCCTTGTTCACGCGCATGCCCATGGCGTACTGCAGGCACAAATTCAGCGTATGCATCATGCAGTCGGTCGGCTGCGAATCTTCAAAGAGCTTGGAAACTTTGCGGGCGCTGACCGTGGTGTCCGAGATCGTGAACTGGATCATCGGATCGATGTCCACCTCGTACACGCTCTTCATTCGGGAGCAGATCATCTTGTGGACATCCGCGGACGCATGAGAAGTGTGCCCAATGGTGAGGAGAAGTGCGACCTCGTGAAACGTCCACAATGCATCGATGAACGAAGCCAAAGTCCCCGTAGCCCCAACCCTTTCGTTTGCAGTCGTCCATCCATCATGGTGAAGGTTCAGGAACGGTAAGCCGAGGGCCGCTTTGAACTCCAGCATCAGCAAGCCCTTCGTCATCTTGCAGAACTTCGCGAAGACAGCCAACAACAAGTCTCGAAACGTAGAGGCAGCGAGAATCGTTGCGCCCGACAGCTCGTTGCTGCAGATATGGTGCACGCCTTTACCGCACACCACGCAGGGGTCGGTCGTGGTTAAGTCGGCGAACGAGCACTTGGAGCTGGCGCACTTCATGGACGATCTTGGTCGAGCTTGGTCGAGCGAGTGAGTCGGAAGGAGACTGTTGACTTGTCGAGCTGCTGGAAGATTGCAGAAGGAGCCCAAACAGAACGCTGCAATTTGTAGCCTCCAATCGCTCACTACAGAGAGCTAGTAGACCGGTCCCGTGCGACGAACCGCGTCCGCAGGACGTGTGCGCCTCCGAGCAGCGAATCCGCTTCCTCCATAGAACCGGAGCAAGCTCCAACCTGTGTATATCGTCCCCCTGCGTTAGCCAAAATGCCTCTAGTAATCAGATAGTACTAATATTAGCCGAAAAAATTCTAATATCTACTATAGTATAATTAAATCAGCTGGGAAAATTCTAATATTACTATAGTGAAATAATATTATTTTACCGGTAATATTAAAAAATCTACTACTGGTAATATCTACTATCAATCCCTGCCCACATACCTTTCACAGTTCTGTGGAACCATTTGTGCTCTTGCAGTAGCTCGTGAAGAGCGGCCTGGTCCTCCTCCAACGCTTGTGCCACGAGTATCAGCTCCGAGTATTTCCGCTGCAGCTCCTCCATGGAACCAATTCCATTCAAACTGCTGAGACCTTGCCGCCGCACCAAGCCCGGCGATTCTTCACCTTCCTTTCTGGCCGCCAGGTTGGCGTACACAGTCTCCAAATGCTTCACTTCTTCTCGCAGTCGTGACTGTCGGAGCTGGTTGTGGCTGATCGAGCTCCGCTGTTCAATGGTTGACTATACTTCAGTATGGAGCTTCTAGTTAAAGTATCGCTCCTGTTTATACTGAGGTTTCTATAGTATAGTTTAACCAAGAGGGGGTTGTCACCCGAGAGGTTTTCTCCTCCTCAATCCCATTCTTTCCGTGGGCAAGCAAGCTTGTGTTCCTGCGTTCTCGTGTCTCGCCCTCCACGGTCACCGACACTACGTGCCCGGAAGCACAAACGTCCTACTGCGCAAGCCCTCAGGTTATGAGCCCAAAGCACTGGGTGTTTACAGACTACCCTCGTGAAGCTCTAATCGACTATGGCCCTCGCCGAGTATGTCGACTGCGGCGTCAAGTGGCCAAGGTGGATCGGCTACTGGTTCAGCTGGTTCAAGTACGACTGGTGTTTCTATGGTGGCATCTGCGGCCACTACTACGGTGGCTCCTGCAACGACTGCTGCCACGAGTGCTGTGACTGTCGGTGGTGGCATCGGCCCTAGTGCTGTGGCCGGACTCGCTGGTGCTGTGACTGGCCTCCCTGGTACTGGTGCTGTACCAGGAACCGCAACAAGTGCTGGAGGTGGTTTCGCTGGAGTCGCTGGTGGTGTGCCGAGTGCTGGCATGCCTGCTTACGTCGGAGTCCCAATTGTGCCTAACCTAAATGCAAGTGGCGGTGGCTGCAATTCTGGTGGCTTCAACTTTGGTGCATTTCCGCCTGGAGCTGGATATGGCTACCGTACCGGTAAAAATGGACAATGTGCCGCGAACGAAGGGGAGTTTTGATCTCTATTCTAACCATCTACTAGAGAGACCGTCCAGTCTGCGTGAAATCCCGTCCGTCACACCCTGTCCACTTTAATGGTGGTCCACATAATAGTACATAGACAGCCTTGGACGCCGAAGGCGGCCCCATCACAAGCTGCCGAGCGCAGCGAAAGCGGCACCCGCGTGCGTTCTAGCGGGCCGCAGAGCCCGCCCTACAACTATGTACTAATAGCACGGCGAGTAGTGCAGCGAGCCGACGAGGCGAGCGGAACGGGGGCGATTACGTCACCCCCGCCGTGGCGCTTGGCCTAATATAATACTTTTCGGAACACCTGCTATTAATTAAAATGGGCCCACCGCGTAGTAGCAGCGATAGCAGAGTCCGCTTAAACATATAATAGCACTGCGAGTAGTGCATAGTGGCAGCGATAGCTGGGCTTGCCCTACTACATAGTATAATTTTAATTCAGCGAACTTGGTTAAATATAAGCACATTGTAAGCCATAGCAGCGCTTAGTTAGCTATAGCAGCGTGTAGTCAGCGATATGAACGTATAATTAGCGATAGCAGCACGTAGAAAACGATTGCAACCGATAGTTAGCGATAGCAGCGCATAGTAAATGATAGTAAATGATAGCAGCGTATAGTAAGCGATAGAAGCGCATAGAAGGCGATAGCACCGACGTAATAAGCGATAGCAGTGCGAGTACATGTAGCGAGAGGTACAGTAGCTGAAGGCGAATGAGGAATAGTTTTAGCTTAGTTTTAGTGTAATACTTTGTAGGGATGGATATATTGTAGCTGCAGCGGTGCTTGGCGTTCATCAAGGATGTCATATAGCTACATTGGCTTAAACGTTCGTCATGTATCTAACTTTCAGTACGTAGCGGTAAGATAATACGTTCTGGATAGTAGTAAAACGACATTTAGTGAACTTATTGCACATAACGTGAAAATTAAACTATCAAAGGAAGAAACTGAATTAGCATTGCCCAAGGTGTAGTAGTATATGGTGACAGAATGCGAAGTTTGTTACTTTTAGCATCTTTAGCTACTGTACTCTTGGTAGTGCGTAAAATTGCTATTGGGCACAGCGTAGTAGAACAGTACAGTCATAATTGCTGTTAGTAAACAAGCCATTGGGGATTATAACAGCCCACGTAGAAATTAGCGCAGTCCACGCAGAAACTATGTTAACATGAACGCAGCCACCAGCTCAAAACGTTTTATGGGCCATACAAAGTGCTGAAACGATAGCACGCTGTCGGTATTTTTTAAAGATCAGTAAGCACTAAACATATTGCAATGTACAGGATTAGTGAAGCCCACACCATGCGTTCTGAAGGCTTATATAACTTGATAAAATAACACGCATACAGACTGAAGTGAGCACAGCGAAGATCGCAACACAGTATTGATTTACCCCACCAAGACATGTGGGTCATGCAAAAGTTTATACCTACTATATGTACATTACAACTTTAGATATATACACGGATATACTTTGACGTAGAGATATTCATTAAATTGATGCCAATCACGTAACTCTACTGATAGTATATTCAACGTAAAAAAATGCCCACAATCGAAATGAATAACATTTGAACTCAATAAAAGTCCACCGGAGCGAAGCGGAGGTGGGCGGCCCTAACTACTACAACTAACCACAAAACTACCGCCACGTAGCGGCGGCGCCCGGCTAGTCCTAAGAATCAATCAGAACGATGCTGTCCGTCGGTCACAGAAATCGTCACGCTTATTCACTAAGTACGAATTACACTAAGTACGAGTAGCTGCCGAGCGCAGCGAAGGGGGACCCCACCATACGATATTGCGGGACCGCAGGGCCCGCCCAACCTCTGTAGTAGTAACTAACCATTGAAAGTAGTGCAGCGAGCCGACGAGGCGAGCGGAACGGGTCCGTCACTGCCGTAGCGAAGCGTAGGCAGCCTGCTCCAATAGCGGAGCGAGCATAGCGAGCGAAGCGCTAACCAACTAAAAATTCCCCGCCGCGTAGCGACGGCGCTCGGCTAGTGCTGTTCAACTACGGACCTTTTGACTCGCATGGATTGCTGGAGTGTTGTTGATGGAACCTTCGACCTGAACGATCCCGTGCAGGCACAGAGTTTTGCAGCGAAGGATAATGTCGCTCGTGAAGCTATTTTGTCTGGTGTGCCCGCGCAGGACGCTGAGATGATATGCCAAGAAGACACGGCGCAGGCGATGTGGAACCGCTTCGTTGATAAGCAGACGAAGCGAGAGTACTCCAATTACATTTTCGCTCGTGCTGAGTTCTACTTTAATGTGTATACATCGGAGAAGAGCATGGATCAGTGGTTGCGCGAGATGGAGTCGATGCGTCGACAGCTTCGACACTATGGCAAGTGCGTGACTGATGATGACTATGCGGAGACGCTTTTGGGTCACGTCGCGCGTACCCATCACGACGTAGTGCGGCAATTTTCGAAGCATTACGTTGTGCGGTGTGATGGTGGGGCAGATCGCCCTGAACCTACTGCTACTCAAGTAATGAATGCGCTACGCGCTGAATCGGTACTGAACGAGAAGATAGGTGCTGAAGAGCAGAAGCCAGTGGGTGTTGCTGCGTGTGGTAAGAAGTCTACACCGCCGAAACAGAAGCAGGCCAACCAAGGCCGTGCAAAGCGTAAGAGAGCTGGTCGAAAGAATCATCAGAAAAAAGGGAAGCAAGGAAGCCGATCAAGTGCGAAGAAGAGTGATAAGGAAGGAACTCGGACCTGTTTTCACTGCGGTGAAGTCGGGCACTTGCGACCCAATTGACCTGAACGTGCTGACTCGTCAGATGACAAAAGTGCTGACAAAGGATTTGCTACTTCTGAGCGCAAGCGTTGGCAGAACAAATCCAGCAACCAGAATGACAGCAAGATAAAGCGAGTGAGTGCTGTTGGTCGCATTTCTCGTGAAACGTTAGTGGTCAGTTCTGTGAGTGACTCACACGGAGATGATGTCGAGTGGGCATTGGACTCCGCAAGCGATGTGCATGTGTGCAACCGGCCAGATGTGCTCTTGCATTTGCACAATGACTCAGCGCATGCCTTCCAAAGCTACGATGGCAGTATTTCAGGTGGAGAGAAGGTACGCAATGTGCAGATTCGTGTACGCAACAACAAACAGCCACACCAAGATGTGTCGTTGCAGTTGGAGCAAGTTCTGTACAAGCCTTCGGCCCCTGATAATTTACTAAGTCTGGATGTGATGGAGAAAGACGGTTGGAATCTAAAGACTGGATTTCGAGATTCTCAACGTGTTGTATGGCTGTCTAAGGGACGTCTGCAATTGCTGCTGGTAAAGTCTCGCGGTAGATACCGCTTGAAGGCTGCAGCAAGCACGGTATATCACGTACCATCATTGCACCAATGTACTGAGCGTGCTGTTGGAGACGCTGCCGTTGGAGCAGCGCGAGCTGGCGCTCGTGAGACTGATGCTGTTGATGTTCGAGGAGCTGGACACGCTGATGCCCGTGGCGCTGATGGCGCGGATACTCTTGGTGCTGGGTGTGCAGCTGCTGGAGGTCGTAAGCCAGCTGCTGCTGCAGATGCTAGGCGCAGTGATGCTGAGTCACTGGTGCGTTGGCACCTCCGATTCGCTCACTTGAACTTGCCGATGCTGAAGCAAATGGCTCGTCAACAAGTGGCTACTGGTATGAGCAATGATATGTGCGACGACACGGATACTCCGTGCTGGAGCTGTGAGGAAGCAAAAATGACTAGAATGTCCTATAAGAAGACGTAGACTCGTCGGGCAAAAAAGCCATTTCAGAAGATTATGACGGATATGTGTCATATGGGCGTTCGGACGTATGATGGCTACTCTCACTTCCAGCTCGTGCAAGATGAGGCAAGTCGCTACCTGTGGGGCTTTCTGCTGAAAAGAAAGGAGCATGCCTCAGAGGTGGTATTAGCTCACGTGAAGTGGCTTGTTGCTCAAGGCCACAAGATTGAAGTCTTCAACTCCGATCAAGGCCGTGAACTCCTCAACAATAAGATGACGACGTACCTCACTGGTCAAGGCATCGAGTATACCTGGACAAATGGATACAGTCCAGAAGAAAATGGACTCGTGGAGCGTATGAACGGTATTTTTGCGGCGCAAGTGCGCAGCATCTTGACTGCGGCGAACATGCCCGAGGGGAGGCATGTGGTTTTGCTGTCGAAGTGAGAAATATTTCGGCAACGAAGGCTCTGAGCGGTGAGAAGCCTTACTTTCGGCGCTTTGGTGAGCGACCTGCCGTGACTAAGTTGCGGGCGTGGGACTGTCTAGTGTTCGTGTTCACGCCCAAGAAGCTACGGAAGACAAAGCTAGAGAACCCGGGCAAGGCTGGTTTGTTTATGGGTTTCGCTAAGCATTCCGAGAGCTTCCGTGTACTGAGTATGATTGCAGGAGGTTCGACCCGTGGAATTTCACGAAGAAGGGACTGTTGACCGAAGCTATGTCGATCGCTTGCTCGCGATTACCTACGGCAAACGACGCAAACGCGCTCTGCCTGGAGTGATTCCTTTTGTACAGCTCCCTGTGACTGGTGTAACATGTGATAACAGTGATTTGACCTCTGATGAACATCCTTCAAAGCGCCGCCGTTGCGACGGTGAAGCCGCTGCTACTCTCACTACTGAAGTGGATACTCCGATTTGTGCAGGTGCGCCTGCTGCTTCGTTGAGGGATCCTGGGGTAACTCTTCCTGCTGCGGTGGGAGATCGGCCGTTGTTGCGTGGGGCTAACCCCTCTCGTAACATGCGTGCTGAGGATGATGTCGGTCAGGAAGTGCAAGATGGGGTCTGCCTAACAGCGACCTTGTTGCTGGTCAGCTACCTGCGATATCGCGAGGAACCTCACCTTCGGTGCGGGAGAGAGTGACTGGCGGTGAGGTTGACTGTAACGTTGATCTCGATGCAGCTGAAGATGATGATCTCGAGGAGAAGATGACTGTTCCTATCGCGTCAGGAGATCGCGCTGTTCCGATGACAGAAGTTGCTAATGCTCTTAGTGACAGTGGGAGCGATGAGGACGAGGAAGAGCTCAGAGATACGGCTGAGTCGTTTCGACGCTCGACTCGCGTTCGACGACCAAATCCGAAGTGCCAGGACTATGAAGTGGACCTTCCGTTAAGTTTGGTAAGTGAGGCTGTGAATTCTCTGATGAAGCCGCAGACAATTGATGAAACTTTGTCTGGACCAGATGCAGAAAAATGGATTGAGGCTCTGGAGAAGGCGTATGGCGACCTCATGCGGAACAATACGTGGGAGCTAGTCGATCGGCCCAAGGACAAGCAGGTTCTGACAGGCAAGTGGGTGCTGGTGAAGAAGCGCGATGCTCAGGGCAACGTTGTGCGGCACCGTGCTAGGATCACTATCAAAGGATGTCAGCAGCGCTATGGTGTTGATTACTGGGAGACGTATGCTCCCGTAGTATCTCAGGATGCAGTGAAGTTTATCCTGCTGTTGGCTCTTCACTTGGGGCTTTCCGCCCGTCATGTGGACTTTGTAACTGCATTCTTAAATGGACCGATTGATGATGACGTCGAGATCTACATGGAAATGCCTGATTATTTCGACGATGGATCGGGCCATGTGTGTAAGTTGTTGTGCAGCTTATACGGATTGAAACAGGCGCCATTGATCTGGTATCAGACCCTGGACAAATATTTGAGGCAGTGTGGCTTTCGCCGGACTAAGATGGACGGAGGCATCTACACGCGCTCAGTGGGAGGCAGCCCGATAGTTGTTGCAGTCTATGTGGACGATTTGATTATCGTGGGGACTGATGAGAATATTGAACTGGTTGTGCGTGAACTCCGAGCCAAGTTCAAGATAAAACACTTGGGACATGTTACTGATCTATTGCGCATGGAGATTTCCTATGTTCCGGGTGAGGCGCTGTGGATGTCGCAACGTGGCTACATTGACAAAGTGCTGAAGCGCTTTGGCATGGAGGACTTTCGGCCTGTTGCTACTCCGCAGGCACTTGGAAACCTGCCTCAACTTGTGGGGGAGGACGAACCCGGGGTTAATGACCCCAGCATACCCTACAGAGAGCTGGTGGGTTGTCTCCAGTACCTGGTGCAAGGCACGCGCCCAGAGATCGCAAATGCAGTGCGAACCCTTGGCAAGTACATGAGCAAGTACACCAAGGAGCACTTTGTGATGGCAAAACGAGTGTTACGGTATTTGAAGGGCACTCGTGATTTTGGACTCTTGTGGAAGAAGACCGCAAGCCCAGAATTGCATTTCATGGCTTACGCTGATGCGGATCTCGGTAGTGAGAAGGATGATCACAAATCCATCACGGGTTTTGTGCTTCAGATGAACGGATGTACTTACGCCTACAAGAGCCATAAGCAGTCTATTACCCAAGATGATACCTGTAGTGCTGAGTTCATTGCTGCGGTCGAGTGTTCCGTGATGATCATTTGGACGCACAATCTTTGCGAAGAGCTGAAACTTCGCCGGCGCCATCCGACTGTGCTGCTTCAAGACAATCAGTCGACGATCAAAGTGATCAAGGCTACGATGGGCAACTACAAAATTAAAGGTGTTGACTTGAAGTATCACAAGGTGCGAGATCTGTATGAACGTGGAGATTTCGATGTACGCTACTGCCCTACGTCGGATATGCTTGCAGACACTTTCACTAAGCCACTTGGATCGATGCAGTTCTGCAAACTGCGTGAGAGACTGAATGTTGTGCCGCTGCCGCTGACTGATTGCACTGGCAAATAAGTGTTGTCTGCGTGGTGGATCTCGAAGTGGGAGTGTTGGAGCTGGTAGTGGCTGATCGAGCTCCGCTGTTCGTCAAAGCTGCAATGGTTGACTATATATCAGTATGGAGCTTCTAGTTAAAGTATCGCTCCTGTTTATACTGAGGTTTCTATAGTATAGTTTAACCAAGAGGGGGTTGTCACCCGAGAGGTTTTCTCCTCCTCAATCCCATTCTTTCCGTGGGCAAGCAAGCCTGTGTTCCAGTGTTCTCGTGTCTCGCCCTCCACGGTCACCGACACTACGTGCCCGGAAGCACAGACGTCCTACTACGGAAGTCCTCAGTGACTTTTTCTAAATGGCCGAACGTCTGGCACGCTTCGCTTCGATGGGGTCTTTCTTGGCCGGGTTGCATCGATTGGCGCCGTCGGGGGTGGGGAGGCGATCCGAGGGCTTGTCGAAGCATCAATGCCCTCGCTGTCCGGCCATCTTTGGCCCACTTCCTTGATCAAGACTGGCGATGCATTGAGCTCTGAAGTATCGACGAAGGCATCGGAGAATGCGCGCTGCATGGAGGGAGACAACGGAGCCTTGAATAGCGCCGCTTGATCGCACACAAGGTCTATCATTGTCGGAATGGCGATTTAGATATCTGGATTCCCCACAAAGGCTGTGTGGTGTCGCTAACTTGTCGTACTAACGTTAACTGCTTTCTGGCCCGGATCTTATGACGTGAAGTAGAGGTATCTCGTTGGAGCTAATGAAATTGTTTACTGGTGAAAGGGCAAGAGCATCTGGCGTGGAACGACTTTACGCGTGCCCCGTTCACTTGTTGGTTGATGGTATCGCAAGGATGGAGCTACATATACGTGCTGAGAGATAAGAATTGGTATGTCAACTCAAGCACACATCGTCCTCCACAACGATGCTACTCTACTGAACTTTGGGGGGGGGGGCGTACAATTTTGTTCTCACCGGATACGAAACCGTACTGGTAATGATGGAGAAATGATGCTCTATTGCGTACAACAGGACAATCATCTCATAAAACGAGAACAGTGAGGGGACACATTCGACATATCCGGATAGAAAGTGCGAGGCGAAAACACCACATTCGATCGCCTGGTGGACCTCGGAGCGGCACTAATACACACAGGATCGAGATGGAACACAGCAATTTTTTTTTTTTTTTAGAAACACGTAAGCAGCAGTCAACACAGAGCCATATTGAGCATGGAAAAAGCTACAAACCTTTAGGTGTGGGTGCAATTCTATATATTCTTACCCCAGAACATCACAATCAATTTTAATCAAACCATAGATTGTAATCTATTAAAATATTTACTTTAAGAAGTCTGTAGAACTTGATCACTGATAAATACAGCATTCCAGATTCCCGCCACCAATACGGTGTCATACTTCGTCGCCTGTACGTTATCATGCTTCATCACCAGATTGAGTATGTACGAGGAGTCGCTAAACTCCTGAATGTGTACTTCCTCTTGAGTATTGTGTGTTCTGTGGTTGGTTGAACCGCCCAAGCCAAATCTCCGGCCAATCTCCGTGGCCACTAGGATTGGTTTTAGGCACCCGTTTAAGTACGAATTGGTCTTAACATGCGGGCACTTGGCCATATGGTTTGGCCCCGGAGATTGAGCAAATGACCTGAGTTTTGTATTTGGCGATTGGAGCGGGGTCTCCAAACCGCCCCGATTTGGAAAAGTTGGCCGGAATTCACAATAGGTGTGTCGTAACCCTGGTACCTCAGCAATTGCGCATATCGAAAATAGTATTAGTTATAGTAAACGTATTACCACTAAAATATGTCGCAAAAGTATTACTCATGCGGTTCTAGTGCTTCTTGGAATTTTGGAAGCTGAAATGGTGCGGATGCAGATTGTGT